AAGGCGCCCCCTTCGTCTGGGGCCCGCGCAAGCCGACGCGCAAGAAGAACTCAAAATCGCGCTCATGAAGTCGCCCGCGCTCCGACCAATCGACTACAACTCCAGCGGCACCGTCGTGCTCGCTGTCGACACCTCCTACATCGCCGTTGGCTACCTCCTCGCGCAATGCGATCCCGACGACCCCGCCCGCGCTACTACGCCCGCTTCGGCTCCATCGTCCTCAACGACCGCGAGGCCGCGTACTCACAGGCCAAGCGCGAGCTCTACGGCCTCTTCCGCGCTCTCGGCGACTGCAAGCGCATTCTTATAGGGGTGCGTGGTATCATCATAGAGGTCGATGCGCGTTACATCAAGGGCATGCTGAACAACCCCGACGAGTCGCCCAACGCCGCCATCAATCGCTGGATCGTCTTCATCAAGACCTTTCAATTCACCCTCGTACATGTCCCCGGCGTACTCCATGGCCCCGACGGACTCTCACGCCGCCGCCCGCAGCCTCTCGACACCCCCGATGAGCCTGACAAGGACGAAGATTGGATCGACCGCATGAACGGCCTTCTCCACCTCATCAACGTCCCCGCCCAGTTATCCCTCCACCACGCAAGCACCCCCGATCTCGACACGGTACCCACCTTCACCACCGACATCAGCCCTTCCCCCGACTCCGCCACTACCGCAGCAACGCCGCCAACCATCGCGATCCCCCGCTCCGACTCCGCGCAGCGCGAAGACCGCCGCCTCCTCCAAGTATGGGAGTACCTCGACTCCCTCAAGCACCCGACCGACCTCAACGACGACGCGCTCGCCCGCCTCCTTCGCTTCGCCTCCCGATTCTTCATCGCGCGCGGTAAGCTCTGGCGCCGCGACCCAACCGGCGCGCACCGAGTTGTTGTATTCCCCGACCACCGCCTCGCGCTCCTCCATGCCGCCCACGACGCCGTCGCGCACAAAGGCATCTACGCAACCAGCGCCCTTCTCGCGCTCCGCTTTTGGTGGCCACAGCAACAGGCCGACGTCGTCTGGTACGTGCGCTCGTGCCATCTCTGCCAGCTTCGCCAGCTCCGTCTCGTGCATATTCCCCCATCCGCGCCGCTTCCGCCCTCTACCCCGTTCCTCCGCGTTCACGCCGACGCCATGCACCTTCCGGCATCTGCGGGTTTCAAGTACCTCGCCCACCTCCGCTGCGCTCTCACCGGTTACGTCGAAGCCGCACCACTGCGCCGCGAGACCGCCCGCGCGCTCGGCGACTGGCTCTTCCGCGACGTCCTCTGTCGCTGGGGGACCATCACCGACATCGTCACCGACAACGGCGCCCCTTGGGTCAAGGCCGTCCAGTACCTCGCCAAGAAGTATGGTATCAACCATGTCCGCGTTTCGGGCTACAACTCACGCGCAAACGGCATCATCGAACGACCTCATTTCGACATGCGGCAAGCTCTCTTCAAGGCCGCCGACGGAGACCAATCGCGCTGGTCGCAGTACCTTCACCATGTCCTCTGGGCCGACCGCATCACCGTCCGTCGCCGCCTCGGCTGCTCCGCATACTTCGCCGTCACCGGATCCCACCCCGTCCTCCCGCTCGACCTCGCCGAAGCCACCTTTCTCGTACCACCGCCCGACGGAATCATGTCCACCGCCGATCTCATTGGCGCCCGCGCCCGCACTCTTGCACGCCGCCGCGAAGACCTCGACCGCATCCACTCCAACGTCTATGCCGCCCGCCTGCTCGCTGCGAAGAAACTCGAGCGCGAACTCGCGTCCACCATCCACGACTTCGACTTCAAACGCGGCGCACTCGTCCTCATCCGCAATACCGCCATCGAGAAGTCTCTCAATAGGAAGATGCGCCCGCGATATCTCGGTCCTTACGCCGTGCTTTCACGCAATCGCGGAGGTGCGTACATCGTCTGCGAGCTCGACGGCACCGTCCTCGACCGTCCTATCGCTGCCTTTCGCGTCGTACCATACTTCGCCCGCAACTCTATCGCACTGCCCGACATCGCGGACCCCGACTCACCTTTCGACATCTCCACCTCCCGCCTTCGCGAAATGGAAGCCGCAACGTCCCTCGGCGACGACGACGAGCTCGACCCCACCGAATCCATCACCCCCGACCACGTCGAAGACGATGAAGACGCACTGTAGAGCAGGGCGCCCGATGCGCGCATCTGGAGTATGCCGCGGAGTTCAGGTTCAAGTAGGGAGGGTCTTGGCTTCATTACCTGGTACGCCCCCTCTTGGAACCGCTCTCCTGCGTCCCTGCAGCGTACAAGACGCTCCTCCACCCCCCAATTTTTTCCGCCCGCACGGCTTCGCGCTATGCTTTGTCTCGATCCCCACATCCCCGCAGCAGCTTCGTGCCGCTTGCTTCCGCTCTTGTCTTGTCCCACCACGCTCGCGCTGCCGCTTCGTCTCAGTTCCCGCTTGAGATATAACCCCTGGTGGGTTCATATCTAAGTAGGGAGGGGATGATGCGCACCGCGCGCGGCCAAGCGCGCGCAGCGCGCACCGTACCAAACCACCGCGATGCGAACCAACTCCAACCGCACGCCCACCAGCCCGCGCAACGCACCGACCACCCCATCACCGACACCACCGAGACATCGCCGCCAACAAGACCCCGAGCAACGCACATCAACGCGCGCGCTGACCGACATCGCCGCTGCCACCCACTGCTCATGCGCGCGAGCCAGACAAGGCTGATAGCCTCGCCGACAGCCCAGCCCACCACGCTCTCGGACGTCTCACTTATTCCCCGCGCGTCCGGACGCTTCTCGATCACCTCCCCGCACCCCATGATTCCTTTTCGAACGTTCTGTATTTCCTCGATGTCCCACATTTCCCCGCTCCGCTCCGTTCCCGCTCCCTTCGGTCTCGGATTACGCTATCCCAGCTCACTCGGAACTTGCTCCGCTCTACCAACCACCCCCGTATGTTTCTCTTTCATAGTTTACGATCATGTGTCCGCTACCTGGCCTCTGCCTTACGCTCGCTCGTCCTCCTCTCTGCGTTCTTTTAGACTATTCTACCTCATTTCCTCGCCGACATGCCCTCCTACCCTCTCGGACTTCGTTGCTACGACGCCTGCACCCTCATGTATATATTCTAGCAGTCTTTGTACTCTATCTATAGTTTCGACGCCCCCATATCGTGCGTGTCACTCACCCAAGTCCGCCCTCAGTCCGCCGCCGCCGCCGCCTCCCGCACGTCAGTCCTCCGCCTTCCGCACGTCCGTCCTCCGCCATCCGCCTCAGCCGTCTCGCCGTCCTCCACATCGTCTCCGCGCGCATCGCGCTTCCTCCTTCTCCTTCTCGCGCTCGCCTTCCCCTCTCGCGCCGGGCCGACTTCCCGTGGTACAAGCTCGACGAGCTCGCACGCGATCCCCTTCGCACCCCTTCTTCGCGCGCCTCCCGGCGTTAGCGTCCCATCAACGGCAACCGAGGGAGCGAGGGAGCGAGGGAGGTGGACGCGTAGGGCGTGGAGGGGTGTATCGGTTGAGCGCGGGGAGATGGACGCGTTGAGTGTGGGGGAGGCGCTCACCTGAGAAGTCGTATTCCACTCCTCATGAACCGGTTTAACACCACTGGCGTGCCGCACTTGCTGTCTGTCGAAGATTGGCGAAGCAGGGGGAAACATAACGGGGGAAACGAGGTTCGTACTGCTGCAGTGCGGGCCCCAGTGATATAAATGTTCTTGTTAAGCGGAGTTCATGTCGACCAGGATACTGTTGCCAGATGAGCTGCGCTTGAACCGGGTGGCAACGAGGATGTACATCTAGATCACCTTACCCACTGATAGCGACACCGGCCCCCATGAGCCTCTGAGAGCCTCGTCAGCAATAATATCAACTGGCCGACAAATCCAATATCATTGCAGATATGGTGAGGGAGACGATTCCATGAGACATGGAGATCCGAGAATCTGATCAGGGCACGAGTACCGTGGGACAGGAGGTCCGAGGGTGTCGCGGAGAAGAAAGGGAGCGAAGTGGGCGGACACGGAGGGGATGAGAGGAAAGCAAGCAGAGAGAAGGATAAGCACGATGGGAACTTCGGGGATGGTGGGGCGCGAGGCTTGACGGAGAGCGCGTGACACCGGCGCGTTGTGTCGGGTCCCTCGTGAGTCGGAGATATGGCGTGTTGTGTAGCGGCACCTTGCAGGGCGATTTTCGGGGAGGCGCGACGTAGGTGCGAAGGGCGAGGGTGCAATGAGAGCCGGCGCGCGGGCGTCTGCGATGGTGGCGGGGTCGGGAGTCGAGTCCTGCGGACGCGCGCGTGGATAGAATTGGGAGACTAGTAGTACCAGCGCCCGTACCGAGGATGTTTTGACTACACTCTAGCTCCTTCTTAGCGTGAAGAAACAAGGAATGAGTCTCATCTACCATAGTACAACTGGCTCCCCAGTGCTCTCTCAAAAAATGTCTTACCAGATTATCACCGGTCGAGCAGAGCCTACACTACGTAAGTCGATCGTGTCCGATCATTGGACCTCCGGACCGACGATGTCTGGCGTCTGCCGAGCTGACATCATCCGCTTTCGCCGGGCGCCACAGCGCTCGATCGGGCACCCCTCGTTTTGCTGATGCTGGCCACATTCAGGGGAACAGGGGGAAACAGGGGGAAACTCAAGCTCGTGAGCAGGAATCACAGGGAATCACCCGCCTCCTCCTCCTCCTCCTCCTCCTCCTCCTCCTCCTCCTCCTCCTCCTCCTGCAGCGCGACCCAGACCGAGATGCCAATGCTGCTTTCACTGTCCTCGGGGATCAGCCGATCACCGAAGTGCAGCGCGCAGCGTGCACGCCGCTTGGTCCCGACTCATAGACCTTGTACAGTGCTCCAACACTCGTACCACATGGACGCGAAGTCACATACCACTTTCCAGTTTGGGAAACGCCGTACACCACAGCTGGGCACTTGACCAACCCCGCGAGACACGCCGTCACAATCTTTAGAACCATTCATCTCGCCGCCGACACCACGCTCTCCCCGCACCTCGCCGACATGTCTCAACCATCGAGACTTTTCCCCACTCCTTTCGACTACGACTACATCCAACCCCTCACTCTCGTCGAGCTCCGAATGGCATACTACTCGGGCAAGATCCGCGCCAAGCCCCTGTGGTGGGAGAAGATCCGCGATTCCGCTGTCGCCGCGAAGTGGCGGCGGAGATGATCGACCACGACCGCGCCACGCACGACGGGTTCTGGGGAGGCGAGCGCCGCTCCGACGAAAGCGACAAAGAAGGACGGGCGAAGAAGTGGCCGCGAGACCCCCTTTCAGACGGACAGATCGAGTACATCTTCGACGAGCTCGTCTACGAAGCTTCTGTGCGCGAAAAAACCACCGGGATATTCGTGAGTGACATGTAAACCCAGCTTACGAGGCTCTCTCTGACGACGGCGCATCACAGGCGAGTGCTATCAAGAAGGCGTACGAGTCGCAGTCGCTCATCGACGGCGCGCTCAAAGCCCAGCTCGTAAAGGCAGCCTCTGCCTTCGAGAACGTCCCCGACGACGAGAAGGACTGGCACCCTGGTTCCGACAACCAGGTTCTTGACCTCGTGCACCCCTCTCTATATCCCATCTGTATCGGCCACACTCTCTTCCGTTCGTCCCCGGGCCCCCAGGGAGCAGACCCCGTGCTCACTCTGCTCGACATCGACAAGTATCGTCAAGCACGCCCCGACCTTGGCAGGGGCGTCCACAAAAACACATTCTCGGATTCTTATCAGTGGTTGCCGACGGACTTCGCCGTCTCCGCCGCCGGCGAAGTCGCCGCACTCGGGTACATCAACAACGCGCACCCGTCGCGGCACCACGCGTTAACCCGCCGTCACGTCCATCATCGCGCGCTTCATCCCCATGTTCGAGCGCGTGCTCTCCGACGTGCTCTCCGCTCCGAGGGAGGCGCCAAGCCAGCTTCCGTACGAGTGGTACGCGGGCCTCGACGCCGAGTCGCCGACGTGGGACCCGGAGGCCCCCGACCGCTACGAGCAGTGGGAGCACGAGCACAAGTGGCCGCGCATCCCGGACCCGGCGCCGTTCACCGCGCCCTCGACGGGCCGGCGCGTCGAGCTCTCGCTCAAAGGGCGCACCGTCCAGGTGATCGTCAAGCTCGCCGGCATCCACCTCACGCCCGAGAAGCCCGCGTACCCCGGCGGGGCGTGGCACGTCGAGGGCATGCTGAACGAGCGCGTCGTCGCGACGGGGCTCTACTACTACGCGACGGAGAACGTGACCGAGAGCCGGCTCGCGTTCCGCCAGCGCGTCGGCAACGGCGACGCGGGCCTCGACCTCCCGTACGAGCAGGACGACCACCGGGGGTACCGCGCCGCGTACGGGCTCGGGCGCGATGAGCCCCTGAACCAGGTGCTCGGGCACGTCGTCGCCGCGGAGGACAAGTGCGTCGTGTTCCCGAACGTCTACCAGCACCGCGTCGACGCGTTCGAGCTCGCGGATAAGACGCGCGCGGGGCACCGGAAGATCCTCGCGCTCTTCTTGGTGGATCCTCACGCGCGGGTTTTGTCGACGACGGACGTGCCGCCTCAGCAGCGCGACTGGGCGATGAGTGAAGCGGAGAAGTCGCCAGACCTGCAGAGCTTGCCGCAGGAGCTGTTCGACATGATTGCTGGGTTCGCAGAGGACGGGATGATGTCGCGAGAGGAGGCGCAGGAGCACCGGGAGAAGCTGATGGAGGAGAGGTCTGCGTTCGTCGACACACAGAACGAAGGGTGGTTCGAGGAGGACTTTAGCATGTGCGAGCATTGAACTTTAAGTCGACGTACTTTACACCCTGTTGCATTAGTTCCACGATGTCTCACAAGCGAGTAGCACGCTCGAAAGCACCGTCACCGTCTAGATGCGCCCGGCCGCATGCATCAAGCCGCGGGCCCTCAGCCGCGGGCTTCCTTCGCGCAACTCGAGCTCCACCTTCGTTTACCCGAGGCCTGCCAACGCGTCCGTCTCCGTCTCTCGCGCGTCGCGCTTTTTCCCGACCCGCCAGACCGATGATACATGCTTTATGGTGTCAGAAACAGGTCGATGTCGTACAGCTGCAGGGTGATATAATCAGTTTGTAGACCGAGTGGGCCAGAGGAAAATCATACGCACCAGTAGGGTCATAAATTGAGATAATACCGCATACGGTACATGCGAAGCGACGTCACAGCCACGGTCAGGAAGATATATGTAAAAACACACGACGCAAGCCGCACGCAGATAACCCCCCGTCCAATCGCTTCTACTGCTACTGCAGAACGATAAGTCATCGAAGCAGTATGCACCCGATATCAGCACTCACTTCGAAGTTGAACAAAGGTTGAGGGTGCCTTGCTTCCATCTGTTCTAGAGATCGAAGAATGACGCTAGTCGGGGCAACGTGTCATGGTTGAGCTCGTTGCACTGATTATGGATCTGGTCGCGACACTCCTCGCAGAACACGTCCATGTCGGGTTGAACGAACGGGGTGGGGTGAATAGGCAAGCACCGACTAGAATCGTATTGGAAGTCTTCAAGTAAATCATATATCCCCCCCATGCAAGCCGCACCATCGTCGTCCATCCGTACATTCGGGCACGACACTTCCGGTCGACCGATGAGCAGAAGTTGCATCTGCTCAATCCCGCGGGAGGTCAGCTTGGGTATGGCGTTAAAGCAGCGCTCGAAGTCTCCTGTAGAAAGCGTCTCGTACGTCCCGTCCGGGCGAGCGAGGCCCTTCAACAGCTTCCCGCCCAGCTGACAGCAAGACAGCAAGGCGAGGGGAACGAGCGACTCCTTTCTGGTCAGCCGAGCGAGGTTGACGATCCCGATGGCGCTCTCGGGAGCGCATCCGGGGAGCGCGTACGGTTCGTCCCGAGAGTTCCACTTGTTCCAGCGGTCGAGGGTGGGAGAGAAGAAGCACTCCAGATAGTTCATGGCGGGCTTGTAAAAGGCGTCCATCTGGTACTTGTGGCCAAGACGGATGTAAGCGGACAATTCGTCGAAGGTGGGACAGTAGGTTTCGTCCCCGATACTTCCAGGAGGAGCTCGTTATTATGGGGAAAGAACTGTGGACAGCATGCGCACCTCATTAATGGTTTCATGTTATAGATGACGCGCAGAAAATGACGCCAGTCGTGGATGGAATCCTGCAATTCGACGATGGGACATGGGTCGAGGTTCCCTCCGATGTCGCCTGCTTGATAGGACGCAGAGCCAAGAGTTGACATGTCCTTGAAGATGGGTGAATGCATGGCAAGTATCCCCGTATGCACCCGGAAATGGACACCTTGCACGGACAGGATGATAGTGCCATCGTCGAAGTAGAACTTCTCATCATCTTGGATCTTGGGTCGCTCGTCTGCTTCCTGCAGCGGAGCTGAAGTGAGATTCATGCAGTGATGCGAATACACAATGCCTCACCTCCGATTGCATCGATGCAGAATAATGGGCGCTGGATGTGAATATCTGGCTGGATCGTGGACGCGGGAAGGTGACAAGAAATTGATCGTCGAGGAGGCTCTTCCAAGGCGCGGGAACTACCGCAGCGTAGACCACGTGGGAGCACCGGTATGGGAGTCGGCATGTCTAAACGTGCCAAAGCTTATACAGAGCGCAAGACTAGACTCATCGACCTCGAGGGCAGCCACCGCTCCTTGAACGAACACTTACTTCGGACTCGCCGACTCGGTCCACCCCGGCACCTCACCCCGACCAGCTCCGGCAACGACTTCCACGCCTCAAAGTACACCTTCTGGCTCCACTGCACTACCCCTTCCCGACACCCGTCGCACAGCTTCTTCCCGCTCGGCCCATCCATGTTGATGTACCCGATCAGCGGGTCCGGCGCGACGAAGATCCCCGGCTTGTGCCTCATCTTGTGCACGAAGCTCGTCGCGAACCGCCGGCACCCGCTGTCGTCCCCGCCCAGCGCCCCCGCGCTGCACGTCTCCGCGCTCGGCGCCGGGTAGATCGACAGGAACGTTGCAGCGTCGCCTGCACCAGCCGCGGCCGCGCCGCCCAGCACAGCGCGACGTCCGCCGCCCCCAGCGTCTCCACCTCGCCGTCCGAGTACGCGAACCCGGACAGCAGCTCCGGCCCGAGTCGGCAGCACATCCACAGCGCCGTCGGGAGCAGCGTGCGCTCGTGGGTGAGGCGGGCGAGGTTGACGACGCCGATGGCGTGGATGTCCGCGAAGCCGGGGGCCGGCCGGAGGCCGTGGTCGACCCAGACGCGGAGGTCGTCGGTGAAGTGGCGCTTGAGGTGGGCGAGCGAGGCGCGGTAGAGGACCGGCATGTCGTACTTGTGGGACAGGCGGACGTACGCGGCCACCTGCTCGAAGGAGAGCATTGGCGGGTACTGGTCGAGGAAGCTGTGAGATGGGAGGGACGTGTGAGCGGCAGTGGAGTGGCTGTATGCGGCTGGGACGGACTTTGTGTGCCTTCGTGGCATGTAGAGACGGAGGATGTGGCGCCAATCCCGTGCTGAGTCGCCTGACATGCGCACTACTGGACAGCTTGAATGTGTCGGCGGTTGGGGGAGAGAAAAGAGGTCGACGAAGGCGGACGAGTGTTCTGTGAGGAGGCCCTTGTAGATGCGAAACTCGACGTTCTGGACGAGGAGGATGATGGACCCGTCCTCGAACCAGAACTCTTCGTCTCGGACATTCGCGACGGTAGGCTCAGAGTGACCCGATTCGGCCGTCAAGCTCTCAGTAGGAGTCATCTGGGGGGAGCTGAGCTGGACAGGCCTCAATGAGCCTGCCAATGGCCTGAAGCGCGTGTAAGAGGGCGTCTCTGTGTGGGATCGGGGGCAGAAACTCACAGATAGACGGGAGGAGCCGCCATTCGCTCACTAGAAGCGCACGCAGTCAGTACAGGCGCATTCACAGCAGAGAGGACTGACCTGTGGTGGGAGGAGGGAGAACGCGCGGGAACTGCGGCGGAGAGGAAGCCGTGGAAAGTTCGTGCTCGCCACCGTTTCGGGAGGCGTGGCCGCGTGGGCCGCCCGCCCCCGGCCCCCGACCCCGACGACTGCGGCCCGCCCAGTCTCCACTGGCTGTGCGTCATCTCGGATGTCCGTTTCGACTAGAATGGACGGTATCTCTCTCTTCTTCGGGGTGCGCGCTCTAACTATGCTGTGTTTTGATTAGACCAATATGGATCTCGGATGCGCTATGTAGTGAGGTCGCCGATATGACGTTGGTGATCCTTCAACAGCCGGCGGGCGCATTGTGTAGCAGAGGCCGTGACAAGACCATGCGTCGAGCAGCTATGAACAAAGGAACCAGTCCATTTATAGGATCCGACGGGCGGCGATGAGAGCAAACGGTGAAGAAAAACGTTGTCGGCGCTCCCGGCGCTCACGCCACATGTGTGATGTTACAGCATCACGCCGGTCACAAGTAGTCACCACGGACGTCCCGCAGCTCTTCCTTCGATACTACCACCACATCCACCATGCCACTTTATCTTCCCCCGCTACCCTCAATCCTGAATCAAGCACCAGCTCAAGTTTTACAACACAGGTGTAACAAGACTCGCGATGCCTCGTGGCCATCATGCCACTGATGCCACGCGGATCTGTCCTTCAGGCCGACTCAAGCAAAGGGCTTTCATTCCGGCCCTGACGCCTCTGCAGTGGCACCGCTTCGTTCTGCGCAGGCAATGACATGCTGCACCACGACGTGTGTTTGCTCCCTTCTCTTATCTACCCCTCGCTGAAGACATGCGATTCTCTCTCGAAGGGGCGAGTCGCGACGCCGCCAACGCGTCGCCATCACGTGTCAATTATCAGGAAGCGCTTGTCACTTGAACTTTTTCGGCAGCGGGCGTCTCCTTATTGTCTTGCACCCGGCGAGGACGAGCGAGGACGACTTCGATGGAACGGCTCCGGCTCTCGTCGTCGCGGATGTCGCCCGCGCACACAATCACCTCGCGCGCTAGCGCTATTGTCTTGTCTCTCGAGGCCCACGCCCAACATTGATCCCGCGGTCTTTTGTCTCTCCATGCCACTCCGCGCGCACCGCGTGCGTATCGGCATAAAGCCCAAGCAAGGTCGATCCCGAGAGCCCAGGACTCTGGACGTGCCCTCCTCCCCGCCCTCTCCCACACTACACCCTCACCACCGCCGCTCCGCGTGTGCTTGACGCACTTCTCTACAATCTCGCCCACCACTCACTCGCCCGCTCCTCCTCCCCCGATGTTCTTCTCCAAGACCAAGTCAAGCGCGCCCGCGCCCCACACGCGCGCCTCCAGCGCCGCATCCCCCACCACAACCGCCACTCCGCCCGCGTACCCGTCCGAGCTCGCGACGCTGCAGTACCAGCAGGACCTCCTCCGCGACTTCTGGAGCGGCTCCGCCGCGGGCCCGCTCCCGCCGCCGCCGGTGCCCGTCGCCGTCTCCCCCACGTCGGCCGACGCGTCGCGGAGCTCGTCCTTCGACCTCGGCGAGGGCCAGAAGACCAAGTGGGGCTCCGTCATCCTCGGCCGCTCGCACATCGCGCTCGCCGCCGCGCCCGTGCCGAAGCCGCTCTCGCGCACGCTCTTCCTCTTCGGGTTCCGTACGTCTCTCCCCCCCCTCTCTCCGAGACAAAGACAAGGCTGACGATCGCCCCGCACACAGTGTGCCCGCTGCTGTGGTTCGTCGGCGCGTTCTTCCTCTTCCGGCCCCCGGCGCCGCGCGCGGTCGAGCTCAACGCGCTCCCGTTCTACACCGTCGCCGAGCGCGAGCGCCGCGTCGCCGCGTACCGCGCCGCGGAGGAGCGCTGGGCGAAGCGCTGCCTCTGGGCCGCCGTCGCTGTGCTCGCCATCGCCGGCTTCGTCGCCGGGGGCGCGGTCATGGCCGCGCGGGGGGCGAAGCAGGCCGCTGCTGCAGGCTCGCAATAGTGGTAGCGGACGTCGACGATCTGACTGTTGGGTCTGATGCCGTTAGATGTGGGGAGGGCCTCTTGAAGGTCCGTCCGTCCGTCGTTTGCTTCTGCGCGGAGGGGCGCGGGCGCTGATGATATCGTGTCCCCTGCAGAGCCGCTCCTCGGACCATACCCCTGCCTCCGTGGCTGTATCGATATATCTCCCTCCCGCTCCTCGCCGTTGTACCTCTCTGTACCACCATCTCCAGGACCCCCCACCTTGTTGTGTTTCTACGCCCGCGCACCTCTCATGTACTCTACACCCCACACGTCCCGCGCTTTGCGCCTCGCGTGCACACCGCGCGTGCCCACTCCTTTATCACACCGCGCGCCGCACTGTCACTGTACACTCAGCCCCCGCCGCACCCAAAGTACCGTACTCAGGGTCTATATTATGTGTCTATACTGCGCCCACTGCGCACCAGCCTCGTCATCACGTCCCGGGCCCGAGCCCGAGCCCGAGCGCGGCCACTAGTACTGCTCGCCTGCGGGGGTGCGTGTATGCGCCCGGGAGTCGATTCAAAACTCGACGTCGCGCCGGGAAGAGCGCCACGCCCCGAGGCGTCCAGGGTCCGAGCGTGTGCGCTGCGGATCTGCTCTTGCCCGCCACGAGCGGTCTGCAGCGAAGCGCGCCACGTCCACCCTGCATGGCACGCAGAGTGTTTGCTTGTTTGCTTTATTCCGTTTTACGCCCTCGAGGGCCGAGCCCTATATATGGTAGGCGATACATACAGGCGTTCTACAATGCGTACGGGGTCTTCGGGTATATACGGGGAGGAAGACATGTCGGTCCTCTGAGGAGGATCGGGACGCTGCAGAGTGTCACAAACTGCTATCGCTGCTTCCGTTTCGACGAGACCGCACGCGAAGTGCACCGATGACCATATGTTTCTCTGCGTCCTCCTTTCGCGTCTTCGGCCTGTCCAGACTGCGCCGCCACTCGTCTTCGTCTTCGTCCTCGCCTTCGTCCTCGCTCGGTTCGACGCTGGGAGTGCAGCCGTCGCTCGTCCCCGCCCGGGACGGAAACCAGCGGTTAATCGCAAACACCCTCGCAAGTGCCCTGCGTGATCCTGAGACACAAACTAGGCTTGCGCGCTCCAGTGACGGCGCCGCCCTCGGTGCCCTCTACGCGCCCATGATATCCGGGATCGCGTTTCCCCCTCGTCGCGTCGATGGCCAGCAGGTATAGGGGGCCCTGCTCGGCGCGTAAACGATGGACGCAAACGCCTTTGCCCTTTGCCTCCGCTGTGACCCGCAATCGGGATCGAGTAACTGGGTACGCGCGGTCGTCATGCCGCGGGCGGCACGGCGCGACGCTGGGCGCTCGGGCGATGCCGTCGTCATCTCCGCGTGGGTGCGGGGTGCGGCGTTTGAAGTTTGGATGTTCGCACCTTCGCACCTTCGCGCCTCGGGTGCGTACATTCTAGGTCGGCCACGGTCCTACGTGGCGCGTGCCGCTGCGCAGGAAGACCTGCGCGCCCCGAGTTTCGACGCATCAGCAGCTGCCAGCGAACGTTGAGGGGGAAACGCCATGTGCAGCGCGGACTTACCAGGGTCCACAGTGTGCGGTGGCACGCGTGCACATCCACGCCCTCAGCCACATTCGGCGCCGCCCGAGGAAGGTTGAACGGCGAGTGCCGAACGTCGAGCGTTGAAGACACCGTGGTGCGGAGCGGAGCGGTCTGCGTTGCGTCTTCTAGCCCGCACGCCTGACGGCCTCTGATGCGCGTGGCGACCGCGGTGCTCGACCCCGCACGAGCTAAACTAAGCTGCACTCCGTCGCGACTCGCGCTGCGCCAATGCGTCCGAGATCCAGGGTCGACGGGCGGAGACGTCGCGCCGCGGAAGCATTTGCCGTTGAGCCTGTCGCGCGGCCCAGCACGCGCGCCACGTGTGCTCACGCGGGTTCGTTTGGGCCCACACGCGACGCCTGTCCGAGGGCGCGACGTGGCGGGACCCGAGGTCTCCATGGCTGCTTCCGTTGTGGGTCCTTCGGGGGAGAAGCGGGCAGCGCGTTGAGATGCCGCCCACAGTGCCGCGAGATCGAGCCCACGAAGTCGCCGGAGAGGGGCGCGCGGCGAGTGGATGGATTGCTGTCACCGGGGACGAGTTGCGCCTTGCGCCGCGCCACCGCGGGCGTATCTAGACAGACAGACCATCAGCTCGTAGGTTTGCGGTGAGAAGGCCAGGCCGCACGGCGCACCTGTCTCCGACCCGGAGCAATCGAGGTGCGGGTCCCCACCACGCCACGACGGCGACAGCACGCTAACTCCGGCGATCGCGGTGAACACACGAAGCCACGTTGGGTCGAAACTCGGATGGCACGCCGCGCGCAAGAGCAGGTCAGCCACCGACCACCGCGCCTTCCCCAACAAGTCCGCTGAACACGGCAAGACCCCGCAACGTGCGCTCCGAGCCCAAGTCTGCGCGCACCTGCTCCTTGGGTCGAGCCAGTCAACGAGGGGCGCAGCGCAGCAGTACGCCCACCGCGACGGTGCCACCTGCATCTACGCTACGCGGGCCTGCGGGTGTCGCCGTCGCCGCCTGGCCGTCAAGCCGTCACCGCCCGCGGCGCACCATGCATCGAGGCCGCGCCTTTGTCGGCGCAAGTAGGCAGGTGCCCGCGACCGGCTCGCGTGCGCAGGTGTATATATCCATCTCCTCGGCAGCGCCGTCTGCCTCCACCCGACCGCCCTCTTTCCTTTCCTCGACCGCCCCCTTGGCCTCTGCCGTCACCAGGCTTCTAGCGTCGCTCGCGCCGCGCTTCTCTCCCGGACGCACCACCACCGGCCGCGCGACCTCCACCTCGGCCTCGAGACGTCGACTTCGGCTCCTGGCTCTGCTCCGGCTCGCACCTCGCGCGCAGCCACCACCGATATCCGGACGTGCAGGACTGAACGCGGGAGTGGATAGAAGACGCACGAGCTTGCCAAGTCCCCGCCTCCGCCCCTTCTCCCTTCCCCCTTCCTCCTCCGCGGCCTTCTCCCCTTCCCCCCCTGGCCCTGATCTTCGCGCCTGATCTGCGCGTCCGCCCTTTCCTTCATCGTCCTCTCCCCCTCCCTGGCCGCCCTTTCTCGTCCCCCACGCCGCACCTGCCAGCCGTCCGCCAGCCGGGCCCACAGACCGCCCGCGCGCCGGGGTCCTGCTTAGGAAACCGAGGAGCCAGAATCCACGTACAGGTCTGCCGCAGAGTCACCCCGGCCTGCCTTGCCTCGCAGTGCCTCGCGAGGGCGCATAAAAGCACGCGGCGCGCAGAACCAGGAGACGCACCAACCCTCCCTCGCCCCCGTTCGCAGCGCAGTCCGGACGCGCCCAGTCGAGCGTTCTTGGAGCCGGAGACGCAGCCAGAGACACAGACAGCACCGAGAGGAGACATGTGCGAGCACGAGCTGTGAGTTCTTTGGGCCTTTACGCGTCTTCGGCTCCCTTGCCTGATTGCTTGCTTGCTTGCTTGCTGACCGCGGCGCCTCGACAGCATCGGAGACTACTGGCGCGGGTGCCAGGTGAGTCGCGTCGTGAGGGCGGAGAACACTACAGCTCACCTCGGTTCTTCCCAGCACTTCCACGGCAGGTACTACTCGGGCGAGCGCGTCGACTGCTGCTCGCCGACATGCAAGACGAGCGCGGCGCACACCCACTTGCCGACGATCGGCTGCCGCTGCCCGACCGTGCGTCCCGTTCTTGCCTAGGTTTGCCGGCTCCGCGCGCTGACTGGAGGTTCCGGGGGAGTGCAGATCGCGACGAACAGGAACAAGGTGCAGAGCATCTTCCAGATGAAGCACGAGGACTGCAAGTGAAGGTTGACGATGAAGGGGAGAAGGGCAACGAGGGCAGGCGTCGGGAGGCGCCCGTCGGTCGCGTCGACCGGCTCCGGCGACCGTGCTGGGCCGAGCGGGCCGGGGCGTCGGAGCCACGTGTGTTCATCTCGCCGGACGCCGACGAGCTCGGGGACGTCTTTTCTCTCTGCCGCCACCACCACCACCGGACCACCTTCTTAGACTTAGACGTATCGTTCTCGAGACTCGGACTACTTTCTGCCTCTGCCTAATGCTGTTGTAATGTCCCCCTAGAGTATACCGGATATAGTGCTGTTTGCTCATCAACTTCGGTTGCCCTCTGCAGAAGCGCCGCGGCGTGATGGTGCTGTGAGTTCTGTGTTGCGTTCCTCGGCGACGCCCCTCGCGCTGACCGATTCACCATGACTGCTTTAGGGTTTCCTTTGCGAGACCAGTCCGATGTCTGCGGTTGGAAAACAGGTATGAAGGCGTAGCGGTGCGTCGGGCAAAGTAGGCATTGTCGCGCGCGGCGCACTGTGCGCTCACGTGTCTTCAGAGTCGCTGGCCTTCAGCTTGCGCCTCCGGTGGCCAGGTCTCTGGCGATGCGCATATACGAACCTCTTCGAACGAGCCAGAGAACCTCACCAACCCAAAAGCGCCCATACCGGGCCGCACGCGGCGGCACCGGAGCTCGAGCCACATAGCGCTTTTTCTCCCACAACCACGACGTGTTGCTGATGAAAGCCGCCGGTGTGTACAACCAGCTGCGCTGCAGGTGAGTGGAAGACGTGTTCGCTCGTTTCTGTGCATTTACTCACAAGGAGGGTCTCCCCAGGATCTGGCAGGTCCCCTCGTCGGTTGCACTTGAGTGTTTTCTGCTTGCAGATGACCCGCGTGGGTCCTTGAGCACGCTTTTTCGTCATACGCTTGCGTGTTGATCGGACGGAATGCACGACGATACACCAAGGAGGCATTCTAGCGCTTGCATGACGTCATCCCCTCCCCGGCGTTCCACCAAACTTCCGTGATGCGGTAACATTGTACTCATGCATAGCCAGGGTACCCCGATGGAGTCGGTCCAGCCGCTCGGAAGATACTTGTGTTTGGTGCCGGCCGTCGCTGGCGCTGAGAGTTGAAACGTTGAAGGCTTAATGCCTTAGCTCTGGACGTGGTCCCGTGCTGGTCTCCGTTCTCGTTGAGTCCGGGGTCGCTCCGCGGGAAGGAGGCTTACTCATGCGCCCCTGCCTCGCCACCTTCAACCCGGTTTTCACTTCAGCCCCGAGCGCATCCACACCACTTCTGGATCATAGTGAACTCGTCATGCGCTCCGAGCCAGTACTGCCTGTGCGGTGCCGAGGTCCGGTAGAACGAAGGCGCAGCGGAAGACGCCAAACATGGTTTGTTTCGCGACATAGAGTGGCCACCGCGCTCGTGCTAGTGTGCCCTCGTCGAACGGCGCACACCGTCCGCCGTGGTGGGCACCTCCGACCAGCGGCGGAGGCTTCTGCGTACATAAGTAAGGCGCACCGGTGCGTCTGCTGATCCTCCACTCAACCACTACTACCCACTGCTCGCCCACCATGTCCTCCACCACGACGCACAACATCAACCTCCCCGTGCTCCCCGACTGGGTCCAGCAGCACGTCCGCACGCTCTACTCCGCGAAGACGCAGCAGGCGTTCGACGCCGCCTTCGACGCGTTCGTCTCCCAGGATGCGCGCATCACGCTCAACGGCAAGCACCTCTCCCGCGAGAACTACAAGAACACGATCCGCGGCGAGGTCCAGGGCGAGACCGGCGCGACGGTCACGTTCAAGGACGTCGTCGCCGTCCCCGCGCCGAAGACCAGGAACCCTGTGCGTCTTCACCGTGTCTCTGGCCCTGGATGTGTATCCCGCGCTGACGGGGTGGCTGCACGTCTGTTCTACTAGGTCGGCGCGGTCGGCGCGTTCTTCACCGCGGAGCTGTTCCAGCGGTTCATCGTGTTCGGCGCGAGGCAATCCAACATCGTCACCTCGTCGCTCAATGTCGAGTGCGTCTTTCGTTTTCTCAGGGTCCCCGATTCCACGCGTGCTCATCGTGACGACGCGCGGCGTGCAGGGTCGTCGAGGAGCTTTCTGCGAACCCCGGCTTTGGCGACCCCCGCCGGGTTTCGGTGCTCAACGAGGTCCTCACGGACAAGCCGAGCCCGATTCGCCCGCCTACCGCCGGCTCGGCCTGAGGTTGCTACTCCGCACAGCGAGATGTGAGATGTCACACCTATGTATGATATGATATGATGCGATGCGATTAGTTGTGTTTCTATGTGTGGGCTCGAGATCTGTCTGCACGGAACCCATGGGGCGCCAGTCGTGCAAGTCGCCAAAGTCCCGCGCATCTTTTCTCACCCCACGACGTCTGAGTCGCTACCCGTCGACTGAAGCAGACAGGCACCTGGTATTTTCGATGGCACAGGTGATAGTAGGAAAATGAGCGAAGAATGCAAAAGGAGGTACGGCAACTATGGCTTCCGATCAACGCTTCTCAGCATTTCCATGACCTGTATGACAACTGGTGAAGGCTGGGATTGTGTGCCGGGCTGTTTTTCGACAAATTGGGAGAGGTCCTGGTGCCGCGCTAGTAAGGGTCTATAAGTCATTTTCGCCTGTATCAGGCTGCCAGAGGTCTTTTCGACGAGTCGGGATAGCCTCGGCATGTTGGTCTACGTCTCTGCGGGTAGAGGTTCGGTCGTCAATTCGAATTGCATGTCACCGAAAGCCTGCGGCCTTGTGCATATTTTGAAATGACAACGAGAGCGAAAAATAACGAATTGTTACGTCGGTTCGCATTGGGCTCATTGAGTCCCAGCTCGGTCCCATCCGCCTTTCTCCCGACGCACGTTGGTGCCCAGAATGCCATCCAGTACCATTCAGCACTTCGGTAATGATTATGGCACGGGCACCAAGCCCAGAGCAGAACGGCAACCTACCCAGACCGTCCACGGCGCACAAAGCCCGGGCTGAAAATCCAATGTCCCTTAGCAATCGCAGCGCGGCCTCACCGTCAACCGTACTACCGCCGCCCCACCGCGCCCCGGCACCACCGCCTTCCGACGCTAGAATGCACAACACGCAGGCCGAGACGCGACACGCACGCGCGACCGGAGCAGCCGTGACGTACAAATCGGTCACCCGCCTCGCGCACCTGTCGCGCGACCGCGCCGGGGCGCGTGGGAGCGTACGGCATATCGGGCGTGCGTCCGGCGGCGGCATCGGGACATCGGGAGCGGGCCCCAGCTTCTGGGGTGGTGGCGTTTGCCGCGGCGGAGGCGCGGGTGACGTGCGCGAGGATGGCGAGATGGTTACGACGGGCGGGAGCGCTGGGTGCGGGGGCGCGTTGTCTTGGATGGGGACTCTCGAGAGGCGATTGGGGGTGGGTCGTTGCCTGAGGCCTGAGGGCATGGGCATGCACGACGCCGCAGAGGTGCGGCGTAACTATTCGGGGCGGCTGAGGTCTAGACACCGATGTCGTCGTCAGGAATGACACTGGCGCAGTGAGCGTGATGCAAACTCGGGCGACATACCGGATTCTCGCCGTGGAAAGAACTTGAGAAGCTGTATTCGGAGAAGTACGATCGGAGGCATTCTACGGGGCCGAACAGGAGTATAGCACTGACGCGTCGACGGAGTGCTGGATGCCATAACTTGCCCAAAACCCACGCCATCCCAAGGCGCGGAGGGAAAGCACTGCGTACAGTTATGTCGGGCGGGCTCGAGCCCGCCCGACACTCACATCTGAGCGCAGTATTCCGCCCAACAAAAGAGACCGTGGTTGATGGCTCATGCGATTAGTGCGGCACGGGCCATCACGCGGTGTTCGTGTACTTTCTGCCGAGAGACGGAGTCATTAATTGGGTCGCCTGCGACCTCGTGAGAGACGGAGGCTCACCCAGATGAACCAGGAATGGCGGGCTTCTTTCAGCGATCCGCGACAGTGATCAATCCAGGTCTGGGATTTCTGTCCAGTGTCGTCGCAAGAACTTTGACAGGCCTAAAGACAGTTGGTGGCGTATACACGGAATAACTGTCCTGATGGTGAGAAATGAGAAAAACATAACTGCCAGTGAGGGAATGAACAAACAGCGCATACGTACTCGAAATCGAGCTCTTCCCAACGAATTCTGCTAAGATTTGTGCGGTGAATTTGCGCCAAACTTTCTCAGACCTGGATATCCATAAGAAGTTCACTTGGCGAGCGGGCTCACCTCGTTCTCTGCGCCACCAAGGGAGCTAGAACGCCCCCGTGGGTGTCGCGTGCTCGCCGCCGCCCTTGCGCTTCCGGTTGTCGGGAACGCGAAGGCAGATCGGGGATTGAAGCTACCCCGACGAGATTGAATGCGGCGCCACTGGAGGATGTGTCCGTCTTGGTTGCCGGACACTCTGGGATCGGTAAGTTGCTGCATGTCGTAAGAGACGGGGCGGGCACAGTGGACTCGGAGGCGCTGGGGTGCACGTAAGACGGGCACTTCTAGCCTCTAGGCGATCGCGACGCGCTCTGGTCGCATTCTCGATTCTCGACATGATAAAGCGGGGCACGCGTAGCATGCGTTCCCCCGGGCCATCTGTGTGGGTGAGGGGATGCAGGACAGCAAAGTCCAGGTCTCGTACCGGAAAACGCGCCGCACCAGGTCCATGATACATGATGGTTGTGTCCAGGTTGCGTTTGGCGGAATGCCGCATCATCACCGCCTGCGTCAGAGTCTTCCCACGGCCGTTGCTCTACGGGCATCGGCGATATCATCGGGCAATGAGAACTGTGTGACACATCGGTGATATCTCCGGGGGATCCATGTAGGCGGAACTCAGCTCATACCCAAGGCGTTCAGTTCAACGATAGGCGCGCGGACTCTTCAAGAGATCAAAAACTTCAAAGTGCAGATAAATATTATGATTGAGGCCGGGATCGAACCGACGACCGCCTGTGTGTAAGACAGGAGTGATAACCACTACACCACTCAACCATATGCAATGGTCTAATTATGGCTTTCTTGAGGATTGCTCCCACGATGAGAGCAAATTGCGCAGAGTCGGCATCGATGCCTGCTCTGCTGCTTTCCCTCTTACTCCATTCAGCCCTGGCGAACGCCCCAGACGGCCACATCCAAGCCTCGCAGCTCGCCCGCTCACTATCCTGTCTTCGACCCGCATTGACTCCATCCTTCTGCAGAAGCTCTTGATACTGCAGGTTTTGGACAGCAGGCGGATGACGGCGATCGCGAGGTGCACCCTTGATGACCTACGTAACGAGCAAAGTTCACGCTCCCGGGCGCGAAGAATTTCCAACAATGCCGCTCTGCCCTGCGTCTCCCGCCCTCTGCCTCCTGGAGCCTTCCCATTCCCATCTCTGCCATCGCCTCTCGACCTGATCACACGCCCCGCGCCCCCCTCTTTGGTTCTTCCCCTGCTTGCCCCTCCCCCGGTCTGTTGTCCCCTCCCCTGGACGCTGCGAGTGCCACCGCCAGGCCGGTGACTGTTCTGCCCCGCCGCGTCCGCCCCACGCGCCGCCCCTGGGAGTCTCAATAAGCCTCAGGACCCCGAGGTCTCTGGTCTGAGGCCTGAGGCCTGAGGCCGAGGCCTAGGGCTCGGACGTCGTCTATCCGTCCGCATCAGCGCGCTCCTGCACCGCGACGCGTAGATCGCGCATCGGGGGGGCTCACCCCGATGGAGTTCTTCGCCATCCTCTCTCTCGGCTCTCCCCGACTCCTCTGCGAACCCCGGCGGGGACACACCGGCTCCCCCTCCCTGGTTCTCATGGCGCGCACTCTGACGGCGAGTGGGAACGCTCTGCGCGACCAGCCATCTCCGCTCGAGAAGCTAGCTCCGCTCTCGCTATAAAGCCCGGCAATCTGCCTTCTGTCTGCCACCCATTCCTGCCTCGCCATGGATGCGTTCAGCCCTATCCTGACTCCCGTCGGGCTCGCCGCCTTTCTCTTTTTCCTTCTCCGGCTGTCCCTCTCCCACCTAAATACTACCCAAACTACGAAACAACCGCGTCCACTGCCCCCGGGCCCGGTTGCGCTCCCGGTCCTCGGAAACGTGCATCAACTTCCACAAATGTACCAGGAGCAAACGTTCGCGGAATGGGGCAAGCAATACGGTGCGGCTCAGTCACCGTGTATCACTGCCGTAGCATATCTCTTACTCACTGCCTTTTCAGGGGAAGTTGTCTACGCCAAAATCTTCCAACGCCCGGTCCTCATCCTCAACACCCTCCGTGCGGCGCAGGAGCTCCTTGAGAAGAAGAGCTCCAACTTCTCGGACCGTCCCCGGCTCATCCTCCTCGCCGAACTGTGAGTTCGAAGTCCACGTATTTCGCCATCGAGGTCCGCTCACCCACTCTCCGCTTCTCGTGTGCGTTCGCGGGCGCCTTAGAATGGGCTGGGACAACGTCGTCACCCATTTGAAGATGGGCGAGCGCCACAAGCGCCACCGCAAGTGGATGCACGACAACTTTCAGACGAAGTCCGCCCTCGACGGCTACCGCACCGTGCAGCTCCGCGAGACCTACACTTTTCTCGCCGGACTGCTCGACACCCCCGCCGACTTTCTCTCGCACATCAACAGGTACGCATCCCACCCCCTCGCCGCACCCACCTGCTATCAGACGGCCTGCGGGTCCAGTCGCCTCTGCTCCCGCGAGGGGTACACCGGGGATCATGCGCGGGACCACGCCGGACTGGTACCGGGGTGGACCCTGCTTCGCTGTTCAAATCTCAAACGCTGACCTCCCTCACTGCGCGGCGCAGGTGGTCGACGGGGATCATCATGGACATCACGTACGGGCACCAGATCGCGTCGCTCGAGGACCCGTACTCGCGCCTCGCGCACCAGACGACGACGGAGACGGTCCGCGGCGGGAGCCCGGGATCAATGCTCGTCGACTTCTTCCCCCTCCGTGCGTGTCTCCCAACCTTCTTTGCGCGTCCCACGTTTCCCGCGGACTGCGGCCGTCGCTATGCTTCTCGTGTGCCGCGCACTGACGTCTTTCGTTCTTATCCTTCCCGCTCGGTCTTGTGGTCCGCGGACGCAGTCAAGGAGCTGCCCGCGTGGGGTCCCGGGGCGGGCTTCAAACGCAACGCGTTCCGGATCCGCGCGCTCGTTGAGGAGCTGATGAACGCGCCGTACGAACTCGTCAGGAGCCAGATTGTTCGTATCTTCCGCATCCCTCTGGTATCTTCAACGCTCATCTCTTCTGGGCACGGCCAGGCTGCCGGCACCGCGCGCCCTTCATTCACCGCGAGCCTTCTCGAGGAGACCTTCGCTCGTGGAGGCCCGACCGCGGAGGAGGCGGACGACATCAAGGGTGCCGCGGGCGCGATCTTCGCCGGTCCGTTTCCCCGCCCCCGCTTCCCTTCCCTTCCCTTCTATCCCGCTGACCGCTCGCGCAGCCGGCTCGGAGACGGTACGCGCCTCCCCTTCCTGCCTGCGTTTATACGCCTATCGCCCAAGGCTAACTGACAGCGCGCTCCCCCCCGCGCGCGCCTTCGCTTATCTCGCGCGTATCTAGACGGTGACGGTGCTCTCGAACGTGCTGCTCGCGCTCGTGATGCACCCCGAGGCGTTCGCGCGCGCGCAGGCGGAGATGGACCGCGTCGTGGGCCGCGCGCGCGTCCCCGACCTAGACGACCGCGGGAGCCTGCCGTACCTCGACGCGGTGCTCGCCGAGGTGCTCCGGTGAGTGCTTGCGTGCTCGGCCCCCCGACGCGCGCGGGGATCATTCCTCAGGCGCGACGCTGACATGTGTGTGCGCAGGTGGCGGTGTCCTGTCCCCCTCGGTGCGCTCTCTGTCTGCTGCGCGGGGCGCGGGGCTGACCAGAACGCCCACAGCGATCCCGCACAACACGCGCACCGAAGACAGCTGGAACGGCTTCCGCATCCCCGGCGACACCATGGTCGTCCCCAACTGCTGGTCCGTCCCCCCTCGTTCTTCCCCTCTTTCTCCACCTCCCTCCATCCTCACGCTCGCGCCCACGCAGGAACATGACCCAAGACCCCGCCGCGTACCCCGCCCCGCACGCCTTCCGCCCCGAGCGTTGGCTCGAGATGGACCCCGCGACGGCGGACGCGCGCCACCCGCGCCGGATCGTCTTCGGCTTCGGGCGCCGGCTGTGCCCCGGGCGCGAGTTCGCGGAGGCGAACGTCTGGCTCGCCGCCGCGGGGCTCGTCGCGCTCTTCGACGTGCGCGCCCCAGCGGGGGTCGACGTCGCGGGCGAGTACCACTCCGGGTTCGTCAGGTGCGTCGTCCGTTGTGCGCGAGGGCGAGCGTGCGCTGACGAGTTCGTTTGTAAATTGTCTTTGCCCGGGTGTTTGGGGCGGCGGGACAGCCAGCCGAAGCCGTTCGCGTGCGAGATCCGGCCGCGGGGGGCGGACTGTGCGGACTTGATCGAGAAGGCGCGGACGGCGCTCGCGGTGTGAGCGTCGTGCTACGTGCGATGAAACGTCTCTTATTGTGCCATCCCTGGGTTTAATGTGCGATTTGTCCGAGAAGCGGACGGTCGGCCTGCAGCACGACCTTGTAGACCTTGTACAGCGACACGATTTCTCAATAAAGTACGTACACAGGCGTTTGTGGCCTGTGTCCCTTCGCAGATGTTGCCATTCAAGAAGGGCCCTATGACGTCAAGAGTGTTCGTGCTGGTACCGCAGTCCATCCAAGTCTCCGGACTGCTGCATCGCAGTTTGAACACGTTTACACAAGTTGAATCGACGGCCCGGCGGCCCGGCTCCAACCGCCGGACGAGTGCGAGGTGCGTACTCACCATGTACCGGCTCATCCGCACACCATGACCGTAGACACCCCCACCAGGCTCCGACGTCACGCCGCGAGCATCGACGCGTACCCAGACTCCGATGCCGCCGTGATCGTCAACGCGCCGCCGGGGACCACGACAGCCCCTAGCGGGTGCCTCCGGCGAGCCTACGCGCCGCGACAGAGCCCCTCTCCCGGACAGCATGACGAAGAACCCTGGGATACCTGCAGCCTTCAAGGTATTCCCCTCATCATCCATGGGCTCTATGGATCACGTCGTTGAGATAGCCATTCCCGGAGCATGGTTGGAGGTAAACGAACCAGCGTACATTGAGACATGTGCCCATTCACATGCTCGATTGTCTCACAGGCCAACATGGACAGCGCAGCCACATTCAGCCACGAGGAAGAACGGAAGATCTACTATGATGACGGAAATCTCGACCTCGTCGTCGGGGGCGTATGTTTCCGAGTCTACCGAGGAGTACTCGCCCAGCACTCGCCGATCTTCAAGGACATGTTCGATCTGTGCGTTCCTTCCGACAACATCGCGTCCACCAGTAAAGAGCCTTTCGTCAACGGGAATCCAGCTACCGCAATTGCCACGGTAAGGCTGCAAGACTCCGCGCGTGACTGGCGCCACGTCCTGTGCATCCTGTTTCATAGCCATGGTCGATCCATGCTGCTCATGTGCGTATCTTCATGTCTCGCATGTAGGACCCCTTTGACGTACCGCGTACACCCTCAGTCCCGATGCCGCCGAGCCCGACGAGCTGTCGCTGTACCCCTCCTTCGACCAGCTCTCTGCGTGCGTCCGGCTGGGCCACAAGTACCAGATGTCCGCGATCTACGCCCCCGCGATGGATTACCTCAAACGGCGCTTCGCCCCCACTCTGGACGGGTGGAAGAAGTGGACCACCTCCCGCGGCGAGCCGTACACGCTCCCGCGGTGCACCCCCGCGCACGCGATCGGAGTCGTCAACCTCGCGCGCCTGACCGGCGAGCACGCGCTCCTCCCCCTCGCTCTCCTCGGGTGCGCGCAGCTCGGGTGCAAGCAGCTCACGGACGGGTTCGCGTACGGCGACGGCCAGCGGGAGACGCTTTCCGCGGAGGACGCGATGCTCTGCTTGGAGTCGGTGTCGCGGATCGCGTTCTACGGGGCCGGGCACACCTTGAACCTGGTCCAGCAGAAGTACCAGTGCCGGAACCGACTGGGCAAGTCGAACGGCGTCGTCTGCAGGGACACCGCGGCGGAGCTCATCATCAGCATGCAGCTGGACGCGTACCTGCGCAGGGTCGCGTATCCGACGCCGTTTGTCCGGCCGGATCCGGAACAGGCGCTGTGCGAGTCGTGTCTTGTGAACCTCGACAATCTGAACTCGCGGGCACTGAAGAAGTTGTCCGAGATATTTCGGGTTGGTTGACGTCGTCCTCGATTGGGCCCGGTACGTGCGGTACGATTTGTCTTCCTTCTTACGCTCACATGCGTGTGATAGAGGAAACTGTCTTCTACAATTGCTCGATCTTGTGGAATATAGTAAGCACTTATCGGCTCTCACCATCTGGTTGTATCCTTCGCTCCGACGATGAGATTTTGACCCCTGCACCGGAGAGACAAGCGCGGGGTGGGGATAGTGGGGTATCAAAGCAAGACGAAACGACCTGTCTATATGCCTTTCTTACATCTTGATTTATCGAAGACAGAATGGGCAACTGATGTTCTGAACGTCGCCATGCATTCTGGGGCACATAAGTGAGGGGGAAACACTTGCGTTGTGACAAGAACTTCCACTATCCCGACGGAACGATCATTCTGGTCGTGAGCGGCGTCGCGTTCCGCGTCCACATCGGGGTCCTATGCCAACATTTGCCCGTCTTCAACAACATGCTCCCGCCGGGCGACGCCTCCGCGACATCATCTGAAGAATTCGCGGGCAGTGGCGACGGTCCGTGACGACTCTGTCAGACCCCACCGCCCTAGTGCCTTGGCTCGGCACGAGCTATGGGATGTGTCCGGACATACCAACAGATCCTGACTGGTCGTTCGTACATGGCAGAAGACAAACACGTACGTTCGAATTTGACGACGGAAGTCACGAAGATGACTAGTCCCGTGACATGTGACTCTGCCCCTTTATGTGACCTTGCAACGTCATCACAGATTTGGCGCGGGCGCCTTTGCGTTTGTCCTCCACCTACTGCTCTGACCGCTATCGAGCTGTATACGTTTCATCACAGCACGGACATGACGCCGTGGAGACCTGGGAGCACACATGGCCCAAGTGGTGTCGTATAAGGTATGACGCCCGCGGCCACACCACGCCATGCATCTGTCGTTCTGATCTGCTGATTTACAGAATCCATGCCTTGAGGGAGCTCGCTCACACGGAATTCCTCCGCGCAAGCCATGGAGAGCGCTCTAGATAACGCGATCCCACGCGGGGCTCGTGTTGGCCGCGGAGGCCGGATGGCGAGGACCGAGACGGGCACTGGAATCCGACGTCGCCCGAAAGCGGTGGCCTAAACCTTAACTTGGCCTCCGCTCTTCCCGCGTTCTCCCTCCTCCCACCACAGGTCAGTCCTCCCTGCTGCGGTTTGAATGCGCATGCACTGACTGTATTCCCTTCTAGCCGGCGAATGGCGGCTCCTCCCGTCTATCTGTGAGTTTCTGCCCCCGATCCCACACAGAGACGCCCTCTTACACGCGCTTCAGGCCATTGGCAGGTTCATTGAGGCCTGTCCAGCTCAGCTCGCCCCAGATGGCTCCTACTGAGAGCTTGACGGCCGAATCAGGTCACTCTGAGCCTACCACCGCGAATGTCCGAGACGAAGAGTTCTGGTTCGAGGACGGGTCCATCATCCTCCTCGTCCAGAACGTCGAGTTTCGCATCTACAAGGGCCTTCTCACCGAACACTCGTCCGCCTTCGTCGACCTCTTTTCTCTCCCCCAACCGCCGACACATTCAAGCTGTCCAGTAGTGCGCATGTCAGGCGACTCAGCGCGGGATTGGCGCCACATCCTCCGTCTCTACATGCCACGAAGGCACACAAAGTCCGTCCCGCCCGCATACACCCGCTCCACTGCCGCTCACACGTCTCTCCCATCTCACAGCTTCCTCGACCAGTACCCGCCGATGCTCTCCTTCGAGCAGGTGGCCGCCTACGTCCGCCTGTCCCACAAGTACGACATGCCGGTCCTCTACCGCGCCTCCATCGCCCACCTCAAGCGCCACTTCACCGACGACCTCCGCGTCTGGGTCGACCACGGCCTCCGCCCGGCCCCCGGCTTCGCGGACATCCACGCGATCGGCGTCGTCAACCTCGCCCGCCTCACCCACGAGCCCACGCTGCTCCCGACGGCGCTGTGGATGTGCTGCCGGCTCGGGCCGGAGCTGCTGTCCGGGTTCGCGTACTCGGACGGGGAGGTGGAGACGCTCACGCCGGCGGACGTCGCGCTGTGCTGGGCGGCGCGGCCGCGGCTGGTGCAGGCGACGCTGCAGACGTTCCTGTCGATCTACCCGGCGCCGAGCGCGGAGACGTGCAGCGCGGCGGGGCCAGGCGGGGACGACAGCGGGTGCCGGCGGTTCGCGACGAGCTTCGTGCACAAGATGAGGCACAAGCCGGGGATCTTCGTCGCACCGGACCCGCTGATCGGGTACATCAACATGGATGGGCCGAGTGGGAAGAAGTTGTGCGAGGGGTGCCGGGAGGGAGTGGTGCAGTGGAGCCAGAAGGTGTACTTTGAGGCGTGGAAGTCGTTGCCAGAGCTGGTCGGGGTGGAGGTGCCGGGGTGGACCGAGTCGGCGAGTCCGAAGTAAGTGTTCGCTCAAGGGAGCGGTGGTTGCCCTCGAGGTCGATGAGTCTAGTCTTGCGCTCTGTAAGAACCCGTATAAGCTTTGGCACGTTTAGACATGCCGACTCCCATACCTGGGGTTCCCACGTGGTCTACGCTGCGGTAGTTCCCGCGCCTTGGAAGAGCCTCCTCGACGATCAATTTCTTGTCACCTTCCCGCGTCCACGATCCAGCCAAATATTCACTTCCAGCGCCCATTGTTCTGCATCGATGCAATCGGAGGTGAGGCATTGTGTCTTCGCATCACTGCATGAATCTCACTTCAGCTCCGCTGCAGGAAGCAGACGAGCGACCCAGGATCCAAGATGATGAGAAGTTCTACTTCGACGATGGCACTATCATCCTGTCCGTGCAAGGTGTCCATTTCCGGGTGCATACGGGGATAATCGCCATGCATTCACCCGTCTTCAAGGACATGTCAATTCTTGGCTCCGCGTCCTATCAAGCAGGCGACATCGGAGGGAACCTCGACCCATGTCCCGTCGTCGAATTGCAGGATTCCATCCACGACTGGCGTCATGTTCTGCGCGTCATCTATAACATGAAACCATTAATGAGGTGCGCATACTGTCCACAGTTCTTCCCCCATAATAACGAGCCCCTCCTGGAAGTATCGGGGACGAAACCTACCGTCCCAGCTTCGACGAATTGTCCGCTTACATCCGTCTTGGCCACAAGTACCAGATGGACGCCTTTTACAAGCCCGCCATGAATTATCTGGAGCGCTTCTTCTCTCCCACCCTCGACCGCTGGAACAAGTGGAACTCTCGGGACGAACCGTGCGCGCTCCCCGGATGCGCTCTCGAGAGCGCCATCGGGATCGTCAACCTCGCTCGGCTGTGCTGTCAGCTGGGCGGGAAGTTGCTGAAGGGCCTCGCTCGCCCGGACGGGACCTACGAGACGCTGTCTACAGGAGACTTCGAGCGCTGCTTCAACGCCATACCCAAGCTGACCTCCCGCGGGATTGAGCAGATGCAAATTCTGCTCATCGGTCGACCGGAAGTGTCATGCCCGAATGTACGGATGGACGACGATGGTGCGGCTTGCATGGGGGGGATATATGATTTACTTGAAGACTTCCAATACGATTCTAGTCGGGGCTTGCCTATTCACCCCACCCCGTTCGTTCAACCCGACATGGACGTGTTCTGCGAGGAGTGTCGCGACCAGATCCAGAATCAGTGCAACGAGCTCAACCATGAGACGTTGCCCCGACTAGCGTCATTCTTCGATCTCTAGAACAGATGGAAGCAAGGCACCCTCAACCTTTGTTCAACTTCGAAGTGAGTGCTCATATCGGGTGCATACTGCTTCGATGGCTCATCGTTCCGCGGCGGCAGTAGGAGCGATTGGACGGGGGTTTGTTTGCGTGCAGCTTGCGTCGTGTGTTTTTACGTGTATCTTCCTGACCGTGGCTGTGGTGTCTCTTCGCATGCGTACTACCGCGGAATTATCTCAATTTATGACGTTGCCGGTGCGTATGATTTTCTTCTGGCCCACTCGGTCTACAAACTGATTATATCACCCTGCAGCTGTACGACATCGACCTGTTTCTGACACCATAAAGCATGTATCATCGGTCTGGCGGGTCGGGAAAAAGCGCGACGCGCGAGAGACGGAGACGGACGCGTGGGCAGGCCCCGGGTAAACGAAGGTGGAGCTCGAGTTGCGCGAAGGAAGCGCGCGGCTGAGGGCCCACGGCTTGATGCATGCGGCCGGGCGTATCTAGACGGTGACGGTGCTTTCGAGCGTGCTACTCGCGCTCGTGAGACATCGTGGAACTAATGCAACAGGGTGTAAAGTACGTCGACTTAAAGTTCAATGCTCGCACATGCTAAAGTCCTCCTCGAACCATCCTTCGTTCTGTGTGTCGACGAACGCAGACCTCTCCTCCATCAGCTTCTCCCGGTGCTCCTTCGCCTCCTCCCGCGACATCAGCCCGTCCTCTGCGAGCCCAGCAATCATGTCGAACAGCTCCTGCGGCAAGCTCTGCAGGCCCTGCGACTTCTCCGCTTCACTCATCGCCCAGTCGCGCTGCTGGGGCGGCACGTCCGTCGTCGACAAAACCCGCGCGTGAGGATCCACCAAGAAGAGCGCGAGGATCTTCCGGTGCCCCGCGCGCGTCTTGTCCGCGAGCTCGAACGCGTCCACGCGGTGTTGGTAGACGTTCGGGAACGCGACGCACTTGTCCTCCGCGGCCACGACGTGCCCGAGCACCTGGTTCAGGGGCTCATCGCGCCCGAGCCCGTACGCGGCGCGGTACCCCCGGTGGTCGTCCTGCTCGTACGGGAGGTCGAGGCCCGCGTCGCCGTTGCCGACGCGCTGGCGGAACGCGAGCCGGCTCTCGGCCACGTTCTCCGTCGCGTAGTAGTAGAGCCCCGTCGCGACGACGCGCTCGTTCAGCATGCCCTCGACGTGCCACGCCCCGCCGGGGTACGCGGGCTTCTCGGGCGTGAGGTGGATGCCGGCGAGCTTGACGATCACCTGGACGGTGCGCCCTTTGAGCGAGAGCTCGACGCGCCGGCCCGTCGAGGGCGCGGTGAACGGCGCCGGGTCCGGGATGCGCGGCCACTTGTGCTCGTGCTCCCACTCCTCGTAGCCGGCCGGGGCCTCCGGGTCCCACGTCGGCGACTCGGCGTCGAGGCCCGCGTACCACTCGTACGGAAGCTGGCTTGGCGCCTCCCTCGGAGCGGAGAGCACGTCGGAGAGCACGCGCTCGAACATGGGGATGAAGCGCGCGATGATGGACGTGACCGCGGGGTAGAGCGCGCGGTGCCGCGACGGGTGCGCGTTGTTGATGTACCCGAGTGCGGCGACTTCGCCGGCGGCGGAGACGGCGAAGTCCGTCGGCAACCACTGGTAGGAATCCGAGAAGGTGTTTTTGTCAACGCCCCTGCCAAGGTCGGGGCGTGCTTGACGATACTTGTCGATGTCGAGCAGAGTGAGCACGGGGTCTGCTCCATGGGGGCCCGGGGACGAACGGAAGAGAGTGTGGCCGATACAGATGGGATATAGAGAGGGGTGGACGAGGTCAAGAACCTGGTTGTCGGAACCAGGGTGCCAGTCCTTCTCGTCGTCGGGGACGTTCTCGAAGGCAGAGGCTGCCTTTACGAGCTGGGCTTTGAGCGCGCCGTCGATGAGCGACTGCGACTCGCACGCCTTCTTGATAGCACTCGCCTGAGATGCGCCGTCGTCAGAGAGAGCCTCATAAGCCGGGTTTACATGTCACTCACGAATATCCCGGTGGTTTTTTCGCGCACAGAAGCTTCGTAGACGAGCTCGTCGAAGATGTACTCGATCTGTCCGTCCGAAAGGGGGTCTCGCGGCCACTTCTTCGCCCGTCCTTCTTTGTCGCTTTCGTCGGAGCGGCGCTCGCCTCCCCAGAACCCGTCGTGCGTGGCGCGGTCGTGGTCGATCATCTCCGCCCGCCACTTCGCGGCGACAGCGGAATCGCGGATCTTCTCCCACCACAGGGGCTTGGCGCGGATCTTGCCCGAGTAGTATGCCATTCGGAGCTCGACGAGAGTGAGGGGTTGGATGTAGTCGTAGTCGAAAGGAGTGGGGAAAAGTCTCGATGGTTGAGACATGTCGGTTTGGTGGGGGGAGAGCGTAGTGTCGGCGGCGAGATGAATGGTTCTAAAGATTGTCACGGCGTGTCTCGCGGCGTTGATCAAGTGCCCAGCTGTGGTGGTACGGCGTTTCCCAAACTGGAAAGTGGTATGTGACTTCGCGTCCATGTGGTACGAGTGTTGGAGCACTGTACGAGGTCTATGAGTCAGGACCAAGCGGCGTGCGGGCCGCGCGCTGCACGTCGGTAATCGGCTGATCCCCGAGGACAGTGAAAGCAGCATTGGGATCTCGGTCTGGATCGCGCTGCAGGAGGAGGAGGAGGAGGAGGAGGCGGGTGATTCCCTGTGATTCCTGCTCACGAGCTTGAGTTTCCCCCTGTTTCCCCCTGTTTCCCCGAATGCGGCCAGTTCACTGGAGCTCGAACTGTCACGTGGCGTGGGCGTGCAAATACTGCCAAACTTGGAATGTCCCACGGCATGGGCGCAATCAACCAAGCCTGACTCGATCGCCGATCTCATGGACCTGGTTCGACTCTTACTCCGCCGGAAAGTATTCGCTTCTCAGTTAGTGTGATACGCTGTCCTTGCAGAGGCAAATTCTAGTATCCGACGTCGCACCTACGTCACTAGGACCATCGATGCAACGCACGCAGACCTCGTTGCTGTTGTCGTTCCCAGAATCATAATACTTATATGGCGTCAAGGCGAATAGTGCGGCTGATTGGCCCACGTGGTGTATGCTGCGGCAGTCCGTCCAAGGTTTTGGACAGCCTTCACATCCCGCGGCGAGTCGTCCCCTCATCACCTCGCCCCATTCAAGAACCACATCGTTGAGACAGGCATGCCAGGAACATGGTTGGAGGTAAGCGAATCAGCGTACATGAAGGCTTGTGCCCATTCTCATGCTCAATGGTCTCATAGCCCGACTCGGATAGCGCCATCTCACTCAGCCTTCCCGATACTAGCGCACCTACATTCGCCCACGAGAATGAAGAGAAGATATATTATGATGACGGAAATCTCGATCTCATCGTCGAGGGCGTATGTTTCCGAGTCTACCGAGGAGTACTCGCCCAGCACTCGGAGATCTTCAAGGACATGTTCAACCTATGCGTTTCCTCCACATCACCGACGACATCGCGTCCAGCACAGAGCCTTCCGTCGATAAGATCACGCTACTACAATACCACGGTGAGAGCCAGACTCCGCGCGTGACTGGCACCACGTCCTGTACATGCTTTTCCACAGCCGTGGCCGATCCCTGCTGCTCATGTGCGTATCTTCATGTCTCGCATGTAGGACCTCTCTGACGTACCGCGTACACGCTCAGTCCCGATGCCGCCGAACCCGACGAGCTGTCGCTGTACCCCTCCTTCGACCAGCTTTCTGCCTATATCCGGCTGGGCCACAAGTACCAGATATCCGCTGATGTGCAGGCAACCGGGGGTCGCGCTACGGTGTGGAGTGGGGAGGATCGCCAGTGGGAGCACGAGAAGGGAGAGAGAGGCGGGAGAGAGGGCGTGGACGTGGACAAGACAACGAGAACGAGAACGAGACGAGACACGACTGCAGACGGAACTGGGGTGAGACGACGCTCTCCGGCACCAACCGACGAGAGAAGCTGTATGCGACGACGCTAGCTACGTAGATATACTAGTGCATATGTAAGCAATGTAGCAACAGTAACAGCGGAGGTGGTCGGATGGAATGCGCGGATGAGGACATAACGAGCGCGGACGTACGTATACGCGCTCAGCGGAGCTGGGTGCGTCACGCGATCTACGAGCCCGCAATGGATTACCTCAAACGGCGCTTCGCCTCCACTCCCGACGGATGGAAGAAGTGGACCACCTCCCGCGGCGAGCCGTACACGCTCCCGCGGTGCACCCCCGCTCACGCGATCGGAGTCGTCAACCTCGCGCGCCTGACCGGCGAGCACGCGCTCCTCCCCCTCGCCTTCCTCGGATGCGCACAGCTCGGGTGCAGGCGGCTCACGGACGGGTTCATGTACGGCGACGGCCAGCGGGAGACGCTTTCTGCGGAGGACACCGTGCTCTGCTTGGATTCGGTCCCGCGGATCGCTTCTTATGGGGCTGGACACGTTTTGCACGTCGTTCAGCAGAAGTACCAGTGCCGGAATCGGCTGGACGAATCAACCTCGAACCTCTGCAAAGACACCGCGGCGGCTCTGATCATGAGCATGCAGTCGGACGCGTACCTGCACAAGGTCGCGTATCCCACACCGTTTGTCCTTCCAGATCCGGAGCAAGCGCTGTGCAAGTCGTGTCTTCTGAACCTCGACGATCTGAACTCTCGGGCTCTGAAGAGGCTATCCGACCATATATTTCCGGTTCGTTGACGTCGTCCTCGATCGGGGTACGTGCGGTACGATCTGTATTGGCTCTTATGCTCACATGCGTCTCACAGAAGCTTGTGGTGTATTGTAAGCCCTCATCGTGTCTCACCGTGTGGTTGAATGCTTGGAGTAGACGGGCGCGCGCGAGGATGAAGTGACGATAGTGACGAGTACAGTGACACTTGTGACCTCGTCACCTTATGTGACTTTGTCATCGGAGAAATTTGACATCGGAAGCGTTTGTTTCTGACCGCCATCGAGCTGTATACATTTCACCACAAGACGAAGATGATGTAGAGATCTGGGCACACGTATGACGCCCAACTCGTCTCGTATAGGGTGTAAGTAACGCCCCACTATGCCATTTCGATTTGCAAGTTCACATTCCAGAATCCGCCTCGACGTGGGGCTCGCACACACAGAAAAATGGAGACTTTCTCCGCGCAAGCCGGAGTGACCGTCCTACATGCATTGATCCCGCGAGCTTTTTTCGACCGCGGCAGTCGGATGGCGAGGACCGAGACGGGCACTGGAATCCGAGGTCTCCCGAAAGCGGTGGCCTATTGAACCGCCTTTCTCGCGTGCTTTCTCTCTCCCCACCATAGGCTAGTCCTCTCCGCTGCAGTTTGAACACGCATGTGCTAACTGTATGAGCTGCTAGCGTGCGAATGACGATTCCTCCCGTCTATCCGTGTGCTTCTGCCCCGGACTAGCGCGACATCCTCCGTCGAGTCTACATGCCACGAAGGCACACAAAGTCCGTCCCGCCCGCATACACCCGCTCCACTGCCGCTTACGCGTCCCTCCTATCTCACAGCTTCCTCGACCAGCACCCGCCAATGCTCTCCTTCGAGCAGGTGGCCGCCTACGTCCGCCTGTCCCACAAGTACGACATGCCGGTCCTCTACCGCGCTCGATCGCCCACCTCAAGCGCCACTTCACCGACGACCTCCGCGTCTGGGTCGACCACGGCCTCCGCCCGGCCCCCGGCTTCGCGGACATCCACGCCATCGGCGTCGTCAACCTCGCCCGCCTCACCCACGAGCCCACGCTGCTCCCGACGGCGCTGTGGATGTGCTGCCGGCTCGGGCCGGAGCTGCTGTCCGGGTTCGCGTACTCGGACGGGAGGTGGAGACGCTGGGCGGCGGACGTCGCGCTGTGCTGGGCGGCGCGGCCGCGGCTGGTGCAGGCGACGCTGCAGACGTTCCTGTCGATCTACCCGGCGCCGAGCGCGGAGACGTGTAGCGCGGCGGGGCCGGGCGGGGACGACAGCGGGTGCCGGCGGTTCGCGACGAGCTTCGTGCACAAGATGAGGCACAAGCCGGGGATCTTGTCGCGCCGGACCCGCTGATCGGGTACATCAACATGGACGGGCCGAGCGGGAAGAAGTTGTGCGAGGGTGCGGGAGGGAGTGGTGCAGTGGAGCAGAAGGTGTACTTTGAGCGTGGAAGTCGTTGCCGAGCTGGTCGGGGTGGAGGTCCGGGGTGGACGGAGACGGCGAGTCGAAGTGAGTGTTCTCTCAAGGGAGCGGTGGCTTCCTCGAGTGGATGAGTCTAGTATTGCGCTCCGTAAGAACCGTATAAGCTTTTACGTGTGACATGCCGATCCTACCCGGGCTCCCACGTGGTCTACGCTGCGGTAGCGCGTTGGGCCGGTGACTTGGCCGTGACGATCGATTTCTTGTCACCTTCCCGCTGGCACGCCAGACATTCACGTACGTCGGCACTCATTATTTCGCATCGATGCAACCAAAGGTGAGGCATTGTGTCCTCACATCAGATGAATCTTACCCCCCTCTGCTGCAGGAAGCGACGAGCAACCCAAGATCCAAAAGGATAAGAAGTTCTACTTCGATGACGGCACGATCATCCTGTCCGTCAAGGAGTCCATTTCCGGGTACATACGGGGATACTCGCATGCATTCACCCGTCTTCAAGGACATGACTGCTCTTGGTTCTACCTCCTATCAAGCCAGCGCCATCGAAGGGAAGCTCGACCCATGTCCCATCGTTGAGTTGCAGGACTCCATCTACGACTGGCGTCATGTTCTGCGCGGCATCTATAACATGCACCCATTGATGAGGTGCGCATGCTACTACCATTATTTGCACATAATAACGACCTTTCCTGGAAGTATCGGGGACGAAGCCTACCGTCCCAGCTTCGACGAGCTGTCCGCATACATCCGTCTCGGCCACAAGTACCAGATGAACGCCTTTTACAAACCCGCCATGAATTATCTGGAGCGCTTCTTCTCTCCCACCCTAGACCGCTGGAACGAGTGGAGCTCTCGGGACGAACCGTACACGCTCCCCGAATGCGAGCCAGAAAGCGCCATCGGGATCGTCAATCTTGCTCGCCTAACAGGGAAGAAGTCGCTTCTACCGCTCGCCCTACTCTCCTGCTGTCAGCTCGGGGAGGGGCTCTTCCATGGTTGCCCTCGCCCAGGCAAAAAGCGCGACAAGCTGTCTCTGGACGACATGAAGCGCTGCTTCAGCGCTACACCCAAGTTGACCTCTCACGGGATCAACGCGATGCAAATCCTCGTCAGCACTCGACCTGAAGAGTCGTGTCCAAATGCACAGATGAGAGACGATTGTGAGGCTTGCCTGGGGGGAATCTATGACTTGCTTGCAGACTTTCAAGCGGATTCCAGTCGCGGCGTGCCCATTCCACCCACCCCTTTCCTTCAGCCCGACATGAACATGTTCTGCGAGGAGTGCCGCGACGAGATCCAGAACCAGTGCGACGAGCACAACCAAGACACGCTGTCCCGACTGGCCTCATTCTTCGATCTCTAGAACAGATGGAAGCACGGAGGTAGAGGCACCCTCTTTTGTTCGACTTCGAAGTGAGTGCTCATATCGGGCTAATACTGCTTCCATGACTTATCGTTGTGGCGCGGTAGAAGCGATTGGACAGGAAATTGTCGACGTGCGGCTTGCATCATGTGTCTTTACGCGTATCTTGATGACCGTGGCTGTGGTGTCTCTTCGCATGAGTACTACCGCGGTATTATTTCAATTTATGACGTTGCCGGTGCGTATGAGTCTCCTCTGGCTCACTCGCTCCACATACTGATCATATCATCCTGAAGCTGTAGGACCGTGACCTGTTTCTGACATAAAGTATAAATCATGATAAGTTTGGCAGGCCGGAAGAGAGCGCGAAGCGCGGGAGACGGAGACGGACGCGTGGGCAGGCCGCGGGTAGACGAAGGTGGGGCTCGAGTTGCGCGAAGGAGGGCCCGGCTGAGGGCCCGCGGCTTGATGCATGCGGCCGCGCGCATCTAGACCGTGACGACGCTCTCGAACGCGCTGCTCGCGCTCGTGATTCACCCCGAGGCTTTCGCGCGCGCGCAGGTGGAGATGGACTGTTTCGTAGGGTGCGCACGCGTCCCCGACCGCGGGGGCCTGCCGTACCTCGGCGGCGTCCTCGCCGAGGTGCTCCGGTGAGTGGATGCGTTCTTGGCCCCCGCGCTTCCCCGACACCCGCGGGGCGATCATTCCTCGCAGCTTGTGTCCATGTGCGCACATGTGCGTCCGTGCGCGCGCAGGTGTCCTGTCCCCCTCGGTGCGCTCCCCTCTTGCTGTGGGATTCGCGGTGCTGACCAGAACGCACACAGCCGTCCCGCGCAACGCGCGCACTGCGGGCAGCTGGAACGCCTTCCACGTCTCCAACTGCTGGTCCGTCCTCCACGTTCTCGACCCCGCTTCCCTCCACGCCGCCCTCCTTCTCACGCTCGCGCATCCACGCAGGAACATGACCCAGCCCCGCGCGCCTTCCGCCCCGAGCGCTGGCTCAAGATGGGCCGACGCGCGGCATCCGCGCCAGATAGTCTTCGGCGTCGGGCGCTGGCGGTGCCCCGGGCGCGATTTCGTGGAGGCGATCGAACGGCTGGCTCGCCGCGCGGCTCGTCGCGCTCTTCGACGTGCGCGCCCCACAGGGGGTCGCCGTCGTGGGCGACTAAAGTACCAGTCCGGGTCCGTCTGGTGCGTCGTCGTCCTCTCCGTTGTGCGCGAGGACGAGCGGGTCCTGATCGGTTGTTCGTATGTGGGACAGCCAGCCGAAGCCATTCGCGTACCAGATCCGACCGCGCGGGGCGGACTGTGCGACCTTGATCTCGAATTCGTCTATGCCGTCGCTGTTTCTGAAGTGGGACGGTCAACAACGCACGCAGACGTCGTTGCCGTTGCCGTTGCCAGAATCTAGTAAGACGTCAAGGCGAGTAGTGCTGGTGGCCCACGCGGTGTGTGCTGCGGCAGTCCGTCCAAATTTTTGGACAGCCCGCACATCCTGCGGCGAGTCGTCCCCTCATCGTCTCGCCCCATCCATGAACCACATCGTCGAGGCAGGCATGCCAGGAACTCCGCCGGAGGCATGTGCATCGAGACTTGTGCCCATTCTCATGCATCGTGCTCAATGGTCTCATAGGCCGCCGACTCGGATACCGCCATTTCACCCAGCCGTCCCGACAGCGCACCTACATCCAGCCACGAGGAAGAACGGAAAATCTACTACAATGACGGAAATCTCGACCTCGTCGTCGGGGGCGTATGTTTCCGAGTATACCGAGGAGTGCTCGCCCAGCACTCGCCGATCTTCAAGGATATGTTCGACCTATGCGTTTCCTCGGACATCATCGACGACATCATCGCCTCCAGCACGGAGCCTTCCGTCGATAAGACTACGGTTACTGCAATAGCCACGGTACAGCTACAAGACTCCGCGCGTGACTGGCACCACGTCTTGTGCATGCTTTTCCATGGTTATGGCCGATCCCTGCTGCTCATGTGCGTATCGTAGTCGTTGCGCCTCGCATATAGCACCTCTCTGACATACCGCGTACACCCTCAGTCCCGATGCCGCCGAGCCCGACGAGCTGTCGCTGTACCCCTCCTTCGACCAGCTCTCTGCGTGCGTCCGGCTGGGCCACAAGTACCAGATGTCCGCGATCTACGCCCCCGCGATGGATTACCTCAAACGGCGCTTCGCCCCCACTCTCGACGGATGGAAGAAGTGGACCACCTCCCGCGGCGAGCCGTACACGCTCCCGCGGTGCACCCCCGCGCACGCGATCGGAGTCGCCAACCTCGCGCGCCTGACCGGCGAGCACGCGCTCCTCCCGCTCGCCCTCCTCGGGTGCGCGCAGCTCGGGTGCAAGCAGCTCACGGACGGGTTCGCGTACGGCGACGGCGAGCGGGAGACACTTTCCGCGGAAGACACCGTGCTCTGCTTGGAGTCGGTTTCGCAGATCGCTTCTTACGGGGCGGCGCACACCTTGAACTTGATCCAGCAAAAGTTCCAGAGCAGGAATCTATGCAGGTGCCGGCCGAGCCTGCGAGGCCGGTCCCCAGCGTCCGGCCGAGCTCTGGGCGCCTAGGCCCCAAGCAAATTTCCCGTGCCGTCTGCCCGTCTGTCCGCGCGCCTTCTCTCTCTCCCCTACATCCGGTTCCCCGCCGTACCATCCATCGTCTTCTCGCACCCACCCACCACTCCCTTTCGCTCGCATATTTGTTCGTATTAGCTGCCTATTGAAATATTTCGCACGTGCCATGGGCTCTCGCCGGACATCACCAAATTGCGGCGCGAGCGATCCCGCCCACCCGGCGGCTCGCTCCGCTCCGCGTCCGCGCCCGGCTCTGCCGGGCCCAGGCCCAACCCCCGCTGTCCGGCGTACGCCCACCGATCTCGTAGAGCCGTCACGCCCAGCGACGAGGCTGGACTGGCTGGGAGACTCAAAGGGCCTCTGCAGGGACACCGCGGCGGACCTCATCATCAGCATGCAGTCGGACGCGTACCTGCGCAGGGTCGCGTATCCCACACCGTTCGTCCTACCGGATCCGGAGCAAGTGCTGTGCAAGTCGTGTCTTCTGAACCTCAACAATCTGAATTTTCGGGCTTTGAAGAGGCTATCCGACCATATATTTAAGAGCGGCCGCCGGTTGGTTGACATCAGTGTCCTTGGTATGTGCGGTACAATTGGTCTTTCTTCTCAGTGGGCTTACATGCGTCTCATATAAGAGCCTGTGTTATAAGTTCGTCATATTATTGTGGATTATCAGCACTCACTGTGTCTCAGCATGTGGTTGGATGCTTGGAGGAAGAGGAGGAGGAGGAGGAGACGGGAGAACCGGATGATCGCGCGCCATTGCATGAAGGGACGAGAGTGACGAGTACGGTGACAATTGTGACTTTGTCACCCTACGTGACTTTGTCATCAGAGAAATTTGGCATCAGCAGCGGGCGCCTTTGTGTTTGTTCTCCCCGCTATCTTGTTGTATACATTTCGCCACAGAACGAACATGCTGTGGGTATCTGAGAGCACAAACGACGCTCAAGCGGTCTCGTATAAGGTATATCAAGTAATACCCCACTACGCCATTGATTTGTAAATTTACATTCCAGAATTCGGGCCTCGAAGTGGGGCTCGCACACACAAACGTTGTTCTCCGCTCAAGCCGGAAAAACCCTCCTGGCTGAAGTCGAAGCTATCCCGCGGGCGAGTGTCGACCGTGGTGGTAGGATGGCGAGAAACGAGACGGGCATTGGAATCTGACGTCGCCCGTAAGCGGTCCCACGCGTTCTCCCTCCTCCCACTACAGGCCAGTCCTCTCTGCCGTGAATACACCTGTGCTGACTGTGTGCGCATCTAGCGGGCGAATGACCGCTCCTCCCATCTATGTGTGCGTTTCTGCCGGTCTTGCGGACGTCCACGCGATCTGCGTCGTCAACCTCGCCCGCCTCACCATGCACGAGCCCACGCTGCTCCCGACCGCGCTCTGGATATCTGTGCTGGGCGGCGCGGCCGCGGCTGGTGCAGACGACGCTGCAGACGTTCCTTTCAATCTACCCGGCGCCGAGCGCGGAGACGTGCGGCGCAACGGCGCTCGGTGGGGAAGACAGCGCGTGTAAGTCGTTGCCGAAGCTGGTTGGGGTGGAGCTGTGGGGTGGATCGAGCCGGCGAGTCCGAAGTGAGTGTGTGCTCCTTATCATTGTGCGGAGTGGTAGCTGACCTCAAGATAGAGGAGTCTTATTTTGCGCTCCGTAAGGACCTTTGACACGTTTATACATGTGATGCTCAGTCGATTCCTGCCACGTGGCCTGCGTTGCGGGAGCTCCCGCGCCGAGCCTCCTCTGTTGTGGTATGTTCCGCCGCCGTAAGTTGACAAGCGGCTTGTCACCTTCTGCGCACCCCTGTAACGGACTCCTAAGTACCATACGATCGTGTCCCGCTGCGGGTACTTGGTACACTCCCGCGCCCGGCGTTTCCCCATCTCCTCAGGCGATTGCCTCGACACACTCACCACCCGCTCTCTCTCCCTTCTTGTACCCATCTACCCCGCCTAACCGATTCCCCACTTACCTCCCGCGCGTGTGCGCTCATCCCCATCCAGACTCCGTCTTCGCTCAACCTGGCCCGCGCTCTCGCTCTCGCGACCGTAGCATCCTTGACGATCAATTTCCCGTCCGAAAACTTCGGTCTCCTCTATCCAATCAGATATTCCCATCCAACACTCGTCATTTCGCATCGATGCAATCGAAGGTGAGATGGTGCGTCTTCACGCGAGATGAATCTTACCTCCTCTCCCGCAGGAAACAGATGAGCGACCCAAGATCCGAGACCATGAGAAGTTTTACTTCGATGACGGCACGATTATCTTGTCTGTGCAAGGAGTCCATTTCCGGTTGCATACAGGGATCCTCGCTATGCATTCGCCCGTCTTCACGGACATGACTACTCTTGGTTCTGCCTCCTATCAAGGAGGCGCCATCGGAGGGAACCTCGACCCGTGTCCCATTGTTGAGATGCAAGACTCCATCCACGACTGGCGTCACGTTCTGCGCGTCATCTATAACATCAAACCATTGACGAGGTGCGCATGCTGTCCACCATTCTTTCCCCGTAATAACGAGCCTTTTCTGGAAGTATCGGGGACGAAACCTACCGTCCCACCTTCGACGAATTGTCCGCTTACGTCCGTCTTGGCCACAAGTACCAGATGGACGCCTTTTACGAACCCGCGATGGATTATCTAGAGCGTTTCTTCTCTCCCACCCTCGACCGCTGGAACAAGTGGAGCTCTCGGGACGAACTGTACACGCTCCCCGGATGCGCCCCCGAGAGCGCCATCGGGATCGTCAACCTCGCTCGGCTGACCGGAAAGGAGTCGCTCGTTCCCCTCGCCTTGCTGTCTTGCTGTCAGCTGGGCGGGAAGCTGTTGAAGGGCCTCGCTCGCCCGGACGGGACCTACGAGACGCTGTCCACGGAAGACTTCGAGCGCTGCTTCAACGCCATGCCCAGGCTGACCTCCCACGGGATTGAGTGGATGCAAGTCCTGACCAGCACTCGATTTGAAGGTCCATGCCCAAATGTACGTATGGACGACGGGAGTGTTTGCAGAGGGGCGATCTATGACTTGCTTGAAGAATTTCAGTACGATTCCAGTCTCGGCTTGCCTCTTCCACCCACCCCGTTCGTTCAGCCCGACATGAACATGTTTTGCGAGGAGTGTCGCGACCAGATCAATGATCGGTGCGACGGATATAACGGGGAAACGCTGTCCCAACTGGCGTCATTCTTCGATTGCTAGGACAAATGGAAGCACGGAGGTGGAGGCACGCTCAACTTTTCTTTAACCTCAAAGTGAGTGCTCACGTCGGTCTCTACCCGCTTTGGTAGCTTATCGTTATGTAACAGCGGCAGAAGCGAAGCGATTGGACGGGTGATCACTCACCCTGCGCTCACGTCGTGTGTTTCTGCGTGTATATCTCTGACCATGGCTGTGACGTCTCTTCGCATGCGTACAACTGCGGTATTTATCTGAATCATGACAGATTTCCCACAGTGCTCGGAAGTATGCATTCGTCCGGCGCGTGACAAGGGCTGAGTCTGGCGGGTCGGACAAGAACGCAAAAGGGCGACAGACGGAGACGGACGCGTGGGCATGTCCCGGACAGACGAAGGAGGTGGGGCTCGAGTTGCGCGGAGGAAAAGCGCGGCTGGAGACCCGCCGCGGCGGGATGCGTGCGGCCGCGCGAGAGCGTGAAACACTGAGTAGGAGAAGTCCGGAATTAATGCGACAGGCTGCATGGCAGAGGCCGGTGGTCTCGGGAGCGCGGCGGCCGTGCGCGTAGGGTGCGATGCACAGTAAGTACGCAGCAGATGAGACAGGTCAGAGAACGGAAGGAGAGCGCGACGCGCGCGAGCGTGTGGAGGATGACGTGTGCGTCGGGCGCTATAGATGGGGCGAGCAGCGCGCGCTTCCCACGCCTCTCTCCGTGCCGAGCCGGGAGCCCCAGTCCAGTTCAGATCCGCGACATCGACAAGCCATCTGTAGGCACGTCCTCATGCACTCCGAAGTAAGCTGTAAAGCAAGAGACACGCACACAGGTGCTCACTTTATCCCCATTTCTCTAGATATCTGACCCGCGCCACCTCACTCGCGACGAAAATTTCTACTATCACGACGGGACAATCATTCTTGTCGTGAACAGTGTCGAGTTCCGCGTCCACGCCGGAATCCTGTGTCAGAATTCTCCAGTATTCAAGGACATGCTCTCTTTGGGCGTGTCTTCCACGGCATCATTGGACGGATCCACGAACAGCGAAGATGCTTCGTGCCCCGTCGTCGAGCTACACGACTCTGCGCGCGACTGGAGACATGTTTTGAGCGTTCTCTACGACTCGAGCCCCCTAAATCGGTACGATATCTGCAACCCGGCATGCATACATACTCCAACGGTTCCGCGTATAGATCCCATCAAAACCGCGGCGAGAAAGACTGGCATCGAAACTTCAACGCAGTCTCCGCCTACGTCCGCCTTGGGCACAAGTACCAGATGTCTGGGTTCTACGACCCCGCCATGGAGTACCTCGAGACATGGTACAACCCGAGATTCGCCCACTGGAAGGCCGTCAATTGTATTTTTCTGAACGTCCCCCGTGGCTGGGACGAGACGTGCGCGATCGGGGTGGTCAACATCGCACGGCTGACGGGAAAGGCCTCCATTCTTCCTTACGCGCTTCTAAGCTGCTGCCAGATAGGTTCAGAGCTCCTCAAGGGACTTCGATACGACGACGGGGAGCGCGAAACACTGTCGATGGAGGATTTGGTCATCTGCCTTGCCGCCGGACGCCGCCTGGTTCACCGGGGAGCCGAAGTGCTTCTCAGCCTGATCTATGATCAGCCGGACGAGCCGTGCCAAAGAGGGCAGGCGGAGACCGAAGGAGATCCCTGTATCCGAGGGCTCAGATCGTTGTTGTCCGACCGCATTGACGACGCATCTTTCGGAGACCAAGACGCGCCTAGCCCTTTCGTGCTCCTATGCCTGGACAGTTTTTGCGACGTATGCTCGACGGTGGTAGAGGCGCAGTGCGACGCGTTCAACCTTGAGACGCTCTCGAAACTACCGTCGTTCTTCAAGATCGGGGTCACTGGAGGGTGACAACGGCGAAAATCTAGAGGGCAGGTACGTGGAGTCTCGTTCGGGATCCCGCGCGCCGCGTCCTTTACTGACAGAATGCCTTGATTGCTCCTAGTGGTCTCCTTCTTGCATGTCTGCAGTCCCCGGGTCTCTGAGCACTCTCTACAGTTTTCCAATGCCCTATTTCTCATGCTACTCCCTTAGACGTTCATTCACCTTCCGCTGTTCTTCGGCCCTCCGTCTTCGGCCCTCCGTCTCACCGCCTTCTCGTTCATCCGCTCACGACGCGTCGCTCAACAGCGCCCCGTCTTCTCACTCCTTCGCCAATCCCAGCATCGATACTTTCCACGCCGCCGCGTTCGTGAACATAGTTGTAGTATACGCATCGCTAAATCCGGATACATATCAATGGTATCGCGTCGTGCATTGGCAGCGGCCATCTGACGGAGAGGGAAGCAGGGCGGTTATTACTGATGAAAAACTTTGCAGTGTCCATCGCACGTGCTCGGTACTGCGGTAGTTCCATGAACTCTAGATAGCACCGGTGCGCAAGCGCACGGACGACCGTTGCGTCCCGTTTCTTCACTCGACTCCAGGACGTTTGCTCAATGGACGATACACGCAGCAACCGGTATTCGCTTGTCGACATTGTAACACCATTTTTCATCCTCAGTCTTTTAGTACACTCACATCACTGTTAGCCTTTTCCGGCTTCGCCGCCTAAGAGAGAGGACTCCTCCTCTTGTCTCCGGCGCAAAGACGACGAGATCTACTACAATGATGGAAACGTTGATCTAGTCATTCAAGGCATCGATTTCAGAGTCTATAGAGGTGTACTTGCGCAGTTCTCGCCAATCTTCAAGGACATGTTTGACCTCGGCTCACCTTCTCCTATCGACGACACATCTGGTGATGGATCCTTCGTCATCCAGGGCCCGGGGACGACCGTGTCAACAGTGACGCTGAAAGACTCGGTGCGCGACTGGAGACATGTTCTCCGTGCCCTCTATCAAGGTCGTTACTTGTTGACAATGTGCGTACCTTGACCCACAATGAAGATCTCATGATTGGATATCCCCTAACTTGTTTTATTTTAGGCCCGTCGCTAGCGACGTATTAGCCGCTTCTTCTTGCCCATCTTTCGACATCCTCTCAGCCTATATTCGACTGGGACACAAGTACCAGATTTCGATCATATACGATCCCGCAATGGCGTATCTCAAATGGCATTTCGCCCCAACCTTCTCTAGGTGGAAGACGCGGAGCACCTCCGGAAGCAGGCCGTACACACTGCCCCACTGGGAACCAGAAAACACCATCGGAGTTGTTAACCTCGCGCGGCTCACGGACGAAGATTCGATTCTACCGCTGGCGCTTCTCGGATGTTGTCAACTTGGCGATCGCCTTTCAGTAGGGTTCAGGTATAGCGACGGGATACGAGAGACGCTCTCTGCAAGAGACACTCTACTCTGTCTAGAGTCTGTTGCGGGAGTCGCAGCCTATGGAGTGGGTCACACCCTCGCTGTGGTGGAAAACAAGTTTCTATGCGAAGAGCGGCGCATTTCGGGCTCAAACAGGGTCTGCAAGAACAACGCGATATCGCTCCTCACGGAGATTCGGGAAGGCGCCTTTAGCCGCCGAGTCGCCTACCCTAGTCCATTCGTTCAGCATGGTGCAAAGAAAACTTCTTGTTCGGTCTGTTGCCAGAAGATCGACGACTTGAACAAAAGGGCATTCAATAAACTCGGCAAATTATTCGGTTTCTGAAGCTTGATTCTCTTGGTATGTTCCATCTTTTTTTGGATTCCCACCCTTTCGTCCTCGAAGTAACTAGATTTATGGCTCAGCGGGATATTTGTGGAACAGGGTGGCGATGCCAGAAAAATCTCGGTGCCCACAACTAAGGAGTCATCGCCACCACCGACACTGAAACCGCATGCGGCATATTACCTGCTTCGCGTTCTCCCCACACGACTCATATGCGATCTCTTTTGCCACTCTTCCGTGTCTCCGAATGTTGCATGTATGAATATCACCCACTCTTATGCCGTACGGGATGAATCCGTTTTCTCTTTATACAATCCAATCAGGCTTCATGCCATGTGCACCACAGGTCCACCCGCGTCGACACTCTCAAGGTTCCATCTCACTTGCAACGAGCCGTCGTCGAAGGAAGAGTACCACCGAAAAAAACGTTTTGGAATTTTGAAGTGTGTGAGTGACGAGGGATTCCATTCCGTTAAATATGACAGATGCTACAGGCGAAGCGAGTGAGTACCGTACTGCTCCTTCAAAACTGCGATCGCTACATCTTATGCGCCTCATGTGGCACTCCCCGGCACTCTTCCTCTGTAGGGTAGAGTGCCGCTTTTGCTTAAAGTGGGCAGCGCTTTGCATCAATGCATAACGTCATCGGGGAGCCGTTCGACAGTTGACCCGGTGCCAGGTATATCCGGTTGGTGTGGTCGCAAACTGATGTCGTTTGCGTGTCTGCGCTTCCGGAGAGGACCCGGGCTATACGAAGCGCCGAGTGTTACATATGAGAACGTCAAAACGTTGTTGCATTGCAGCCAAAAAAACGAAGCTGCAGGCTCGACAGGCACGAAGACGAGCCGCTCGCCGAGGTGCCCGAGTGGGTCATTACCAGACGCATTCACGGGGCACGTTGCGCCGCCCATCGAAACTGTCCCTCTAATGGCATTCCTCAGGTCATGGTATTACCAATTTGCATAAACGCACCGACTAAGCCTTACCGACCTTTACTCAAGACGAGAAGTTCGTCTTTTTAAGTCAGTCGCCTGCCTGCTGGAGGCGGAACTTCCGTCCGACCGAACAGTGAACATACATCACGTAATACTTCATTATGATGCTACAGTTCTTCCTCTCATCACATCGAGCATTGCGCGACAGAGTGGTGGAAGCCTCAAGATACAAGGATGCTACTGTCCTGCGCGCCAGCAAGCCTACTTAAGCAGAATTTCCCGGGGTGGGCAGGATGATCGGGGCGGGCTTGTCGGTGAGGACCTCGCTGATCACCTTCACCCGGCGCGGGTCGGCGTTCAGGTTTGGCGTCGGCACGTTGACGACCCTGCGACCCAAACATCAGCACCAGTCACCGCGCTCTGCACAACGACCCGAGTCAGGTTCGGAGGACCACTCACTCGACGTTCAGCGACGAGTTCACGATGTTGAACTGCTCGGAGCCAAGGACCAAGAAGCGGTGGAAGAGGTCCGCGGTGAAGAACGCGCCGACCGAGCCGACCAAGGGGTCCCGATGGCCTCGGTGTGGACGCGGGGCGTGGGTGCGAGCACGGCGACGACGTCCTTGAACGTGACGGTGCCGCCGGCGTCGCCCGCGATCTCGCCTTGGATTGTCTTCTTGTAGTCCTCGCAGGAGAGGTGCTTGCCGTTGAACGTGATCTGGACGTCCTGGGCGACGAACGCCTCGAAGGCGGTGTCAAAGTCCGCGGGGGACTTGGCGGTGTAGAGCGCGCGAACGTGCTGCTGGACCCAGTCGGGGAGGGAGGGGAGGACGGACATGATTGCGTGTGATATGTGAGTGCGTTGGGTGTGGGTCGAGAGTAGTGATGAGGGTTGCTGCAGATGTTGGTGGAGGGCTCCAGTCGATTTATGGGCCCTTTATATGTGATTTGAGCGGCTTCGTCTCCGTCGTATGTCGGACAAGGAACGCCCAAGGACCGACATCTATAGGCACAAGCTGAGGTCCGACTGAGACTCGTGAGCACGCGGTCCGCGGTAGGCGAACTCTGCCCGACATGCCGCTGCGCCTCCGTGCTTGTTTCCTGGCAAGGTTCCTCAAAGCGCTCGCGTGCTATGCAGTCTCCGTCCACTCGGACGATGACGGACCGATGACGAGAGATGGCTTGTTCTGGTGTCGTCCGTGGCTGCTTACAAACGAACGACGGTTAACGGCAGTGCAATACACGAGATCCACTGCATCATTACGCCGGGTCTAGGGCGGTAACCGGACTAAGGTCAACGTTCTTCAGATCATCGTGGGGAACGCTGTGTCACTCACATACTTACCATGACTCGCATCCTGCTGGCGCGCGGCCGTTGCAAGTGCAAGCAAAGTTGGTGAGCAGAAGGCACCATATCAAAAAACCCTGCAGGATGCAGTACGGATCTCAAGAGCCCGGGAGGTAAGTCATGGTGGGGGCGGAAAGACGACGTCGACTTCGTCCGGCACCACCGCACCATCATGAACGGACGCACGTGGCTCCGATCCTCCGGACCGCCCGGCAAAACAAGGACGCCGCCGACCGGACCGGCGCTTTTGCCCCCTCCCGCTTGTCCTCCGACCAACCCATCGCCACCTCAAGCCGTCATGCTTCATGTGGAAGAAGGTATGCACCATCTTCCCGCGCTTGCATCCTCAGCACACGCACTTCGAAGGTCAAGGGAAGACTTGACGAAAACATACCGCAGCGCTGCGACACATCCGAGGCGCCGAGTGTGCCGCAGTGCGCTGCATTCGCTTTTCACTTCGGTAACGGGGTGAGCAATGTCCTCCGTTTGTCGCTGTGGTCTAAATTTTTTTCCCCTCTGTCACAGTACGGCTCTGAGCCTTAGAACGTCCGCGCTTATCGCAGGCGGTAGGAGAGCTTGTGATGAATTTAATGTACGTTCCGATTTCGAGGATTTGAATATAGGTCCCTCGACAATGTGTTCTTGCGGTGAACCTTCCTTTTCGTGTTGTCATCGCGTGCTGCCGCAGCAGCTGAGAACAGATAAAGCATGCGCTCGATTTGAACCCCAAGCCCCATCTCGCTGCTGCTCGTCGAGCCCATCAAGGCATCGGCTCTCTCTACTCTTCCTCCCCTTTATCCGGGCAAGACTAGGTCGATGATTCCGTTTCACAACCTCGCTGCCCCATACGGTGGAAACCAAGCTGATGGTGCACAGGTACGTCGGCTCCCCATCGCACCCGTCGTGATCCCTCATTTTTCCTCCGTTTGCCTAGAACACGGCTGGCAATTCTCATAGGAGAACGTCATCTAGAGTCCGCGATAAGACCTTGTGGCTGGACGACGGAAATCTTATACTTGTCGTCGAAAACATCGAATTCCGCATCTACAAAGGAATCCTGGCTCATCACTCCCCAGTCTTCAGTGACATGCTCTCTCTCCCGCCTCCGGCCTCATCTCCGAATAACTCACTCTCGTCTAAGGGAGCAGCAGTTGATACAGAGGAGGGAATTCCCGTGGTTACCTTGCCGTCGGACGCGGCGCGCGACTGGCGCCACGTTCTCGAGGCACTGATGGGCAGGCGTCCAACAGCATGGTGAGACTGATTCGTAGGGCCGTTTGTGTATCAGAAACCAGGAGCGCTGACACTATGGTCCACAGGGTGGCGACTATCCAAGGGAGTAAGACAAGCAGCGAGGAGCTCTTCGCCTTCATCCGCATCGGGCACAAGTATCAGATCGACGGGCTCTACAAGCCGAGCATGGCCTTTCTCAAGACTCGCTTCCCTCCCAAAAAGCCCGTGAGCAACAGGCACAGGCTGTGGTCGCACGAGACGCACCCTCTCGGGTTCGACGCCGCGCACGCGGTCGGAGTCGTCAACCTCGCGCGCCTTACCGGGGAGACCTCGCTCCTACCCGCGGCCTTTCTACTCTGTTGCCAGAACAGCCTCACCGAGGAAGGCTTTCTGTACAGCGACGGCCACCGTGAGGTGCTCGGCGCAGACGACTTGATACGCTGCCTCAAAGCCAGGGCGACGCTCATGGGGCTCACGGCTTCAGTTTTATCGGAGGTAGTACTTCTCTCGGTCGATCATCCGAAATACCGCGAGAAATGCCTACAAGAGGTCTTACAGTTCGGTGGGAGACGCGTACAGTTCAACATGCGCTCTGGGCCGCGTCTCGCGGCGGATCCATTCTTGAAGGGATTCGAGGGCTGGGAGGATTGGAATCAAGCGAAGAAGTCTCTCTGTTGGATATGCCAGTACAACATCCTGGAGAAGCTGAAGGAGAAGCGGGAGGAGATATGGAAGAGGTTGCCGAAGATTTTGAATATAGAAATTCCGGAGGCACGTAATGGTGAGTGCTCGTTTGACGTTCGAGGGAGTTTTGGCTGACGAGTGCATGTCGTTCTTCGTTAGATCTGTAACTACCCATGTCTCCTATTCCGGGCGCGCGTTCCAGTCCATGACCTCGATCCCGAAAAGCGATGGCAAGATTCCCCACACGTTCTCTCGTGCCTCATCCAGTCTCCGCACGACGCCAGACCAAGCCTCTCCTCCCACTTCCTTCGCGGTGCCTTTCCAGTCTTCCCGAAGTTCGACGCCCTCTAAGAACGGGTCCGCCGCGAGGCGATCAGATGCCATGTAGCAGGACAGGGACTTTTCGGCAAGCTTCGGGGTGTATCGGTCAACGCGAAGTCGACGCGGGTGACGGCATCGTCCTGTACTTACCCATGCGTAACCGCTCTCTTGAAGCAGCGCCTTCGACAGGTACAACTGTCAGCCGACCAACTTCGACTTCGCTTCGCAGCAACGCCTCAGTCGTCCGCGTTCAGCGTCTCGCGCCGGCCGTCGCTGTACAGGAAGCCCTCCCCTCCAGCCAGGAGGTGCTCTGGCGACAGCACAGCAGGAGCGCGACCGGGAGAAGCGCGACCTCTCCGGTGAGGCGCGCGAGGTTGGCGACCCCGAGCGCGTGCGCGGCGTCGAACCCGAGCGCGTGCGCCTCTGCGACCACATGAGGGCCTCCCACCCGCGCGCGCGCGGGGAAGTGGTGCTTGAGGAGGTCCACCCCGGGCTGGTAGAGCGCGTCGATCTGGTACTTGTGCCCGAGCCGGACGAACGCGAACAGCTCCTCGCTCGTCAGCATCGCGGTCTGAGAGTGCCAGACGCTTAAGCGTCGCAGGCCGGGCGTCAGAGTCGCGCGGAGGCGGCGAGAGGAAGGGCCTGCGAGTAGTACGCACCGAGATGCCGGATGCCCGCCCATCAACGCCCCGAGGACGTACCACCAGTCCCGCGCGGAGTCCTCGAGTGCCACGGCTGGGATGCCACCCTCCGTCACCACTGTTGTGTCCGAGAAATCCGGCGGACGTGCGAGAGTCTGGTGGGGGCCGGGGGAGGAGAGCATGTCCTTGAATACTGGGGAATGGCGCGCTAGGATACCGTGATAGACGCGAAATTCGACGTCTTCGACGATGAGTATGAGGGTCCCGTCGTTAAACCACCAGTTCTCGTCGTGGGACCGCGTCGGTCGAGGGCATCGTCGTCGGATTGCACGTTTTCCAGGAAGACAACCATGGTCAGAACCCGTGTGATGGTAGGACGAGTGAGAGTCGCACAGATGCGTGGAGTCAGCGTTTCTGGCGTGAGAGAGCATGTGTGACTACCGCAGCACCCAGCGTGCCGCATGGACAAGGGATGTACGCTGCACCGCCCGGAAACTGGGTCAGTGGACCGCCGTTTTCGATCATCATGTGTGTAAGCAAGCAATACTCGCACATTCGGTCACCGTGTCGTGACAACTTCAACGATCAATTGCATGATCAATCCTGAATCCCTATAAACTAGGTCCTTCCACAGCCGGCGAAGGACTCGGAAATTTTTACGAGCAAAAGAGATTCTCCCTTAAATCAAGGGGGAATGAATGCTATGCTAGAACGAGCGTGGATCACAACAACCCACCTCAGTGATCTTCAGCTTCGGGTTCAAAAAATGACTCCAGCGCGGAGAGGTGCCGCGGTTATATGCGTCGCACTCTGCCGCAATCGAGTCGCGGCAAGAATCGCAAATCATCTCCAAGTCCGGCTGCACGAAGGGGGTAGGCGAGACCGGGTGCCGCCAGTCTGCCTCAAGATGGAAGTCGTTCGTCATTCGCTCTATGGTGGTGGCGCATGGCGCGTCGTGCATTGTGCCACTCCCGTGCACTCGATCCCCGTGCGTGATCTGAGCAGATCGAAGGTGTTCTTGGCTCCCCACAGCACCACACGAGGCACGGCACTGAGGCAGAGCGCAAAGTCCGCCACCGTAAGGTTTCGTGCTCCCCGTCGCGGTACACGAACCCGTCCAGGAGCTTCCGGCCGAGCTGGCTGCAGCAGAGCAGTGCAAGCGGCAGCAGCGAGGTGTTCCCGACAAGCCGGGCGAGGTTCACGATGCCGATCGCGCACTCGGGCGCGCACCCGGGGAGGGTGTAGATATGGTCGCGCCGGTTGACCTCTTTCCAAGTTTCGAAGGTCGGGGAAAAGTAGCCCTCGACATACTCCATGGCCGGATTGTGCAGCTCATCCATCTGGTACTTGTTCCCCAGACGGATGTAGGCGGCGAGGGTGTCGAAGTCGGGGCACCAACTCTCCGGGTTGTTCACGTCGCGAAGTCTGCGAGCCAGGGTCATGGCCCGCCCAGATCATACAAGCTCGAATCGATGATAACACACCTGGATAGGGGATGAGCCTGGTATACGGCGCGGAGAACGTGGCGCCAGTCTCGGGCGGAGTCCTGTAGCTCAACAACCGGAGACGGCGTCTGCATCGTGGCTTCAACACCGGTCGCCATCGAGTTCGTGCCGAAGACGGTCATATCTTTGAATACGGGAGAGTACCTGGAGAGGATACTGATGTGGACCCTAAACTCCACCCCCTGAACGGCGAGTATGAGAGAGCCGTCACCGAAGTCGAACTCCTCGTCTCGAGTTCTGCCAGTCGATGGCGGGTGATTGGGGATCTATAGACGACGGCAAGTCAGTGCGAAGAGAATTTGTGAAAATAGTGCAAGATATTACCTCGCCGTGCATGACAAGATTCGTTGGGCACGTTGATATCTCTGTAAGCCTGAGTGGTCAACGTGAACAGTGGATGGAGTCACGGGAAAATGAAGCGGGCAAACACGTGGCACTCGACCGGGGACCCCGGGCCGGTACCAGCCTTTATCAGTGCCGACTCCTCTCCAGAAGAGCGACGTGTCACGACATACCAGGACATACCTCGGGATTTGCATCGATCACATGCTCCACAACCACACCGAGCACAGGTGATTTCCCTGGTGCATCTGGACGGATCTGGCGATCCGTGATGCGCGCCCGTGGAGACGCGCCTCGGTGGGCGGCAAGGACGCGTGGCGCGCATCGCGTCCCTCCCCTTCACCGTCCTTGCTCTCCTCCGCTACCCTCGCTACGCCCAGCCTCCCCGCTCTGCCCAGGCAGACGATAGCGACCATACGGTCGACTGTCGTCTGTTATTGGACTTTGGTGTCACCAGGTGACTCCTCCTTCCCTCCCTCGACCTCAACCTCAACCTCGATCCCACTCTATACCCACCTTCCCAACCGCACTCACGACAAACACACCGCACGAGGACGTCCGAAGTATGGAGACGAGGATATAGGGGCCGCGGCGACGTGCCGTGTCCCTTGTTTTGGTGAGTCCTTCGCTCTGCCCTCCTGCATTCCCAACACCCACCAATTCCCCCTCCCGCCCGGCGACAACTACCACAGGCCGAGGACGTCCGCCCGGACGTACTCCTCCTCCCGGCTCTCCAAGCCGCCGTCCCCTTCCTCCGCGCCGCTGTCCTCCGCCCGGGTCTCCCGCCTGCACCGCCCTCCTCTGCGTCGCCCTCCTCTACATCGCCCACCTCTGCGTCGCCTTCCTCCTTGCCCTCCTCCGCGTCGCCATCCTCCGCCTGCGTCAACGCCCCTGTCCACACCGCGCTCCTCCGTGTCACCCTCCTCCGCCTCTGCGCTGCCCCGCGTCGCCTGCCTCCCCCGCACTGCCCTTCTTCACGCCGCCCGCCTCCTCCGCGCTGCCCGCCTGCCCGCGTCGCCCTCCTGCCCCGTCCTCCGCCCGCGTGCGCGCACGTCACCCAGCTGCTCTGCGCCTCCTCCGCCTTCGCATCGCGCACCCCCGCCCGCGTCGCCCACCACCTGCTCCGCCTCGTCCCGGCCCACCGCGTCCCCGCGAGCCCTCCGCGTCGCTCTCCTCCGCCTTCGTGTCGCCCTCCTCCACCTTCGCGTCCCTCACCTCCAGCTCACTTACCTTTGCGTCACCCGCCTCCGCGTCTCCCACGTTCACGTCGCCCACGTCGTCGTTGTCCTCCACCTCCGCCTTGTCCCGACCCTTCGCCTCGTGCTGCCCTGCTCTGTATCACCCACCTCTGCCTCTGCCTCCGCATTGTCGTGGGGCGTGGTATTACTTACTAGCGCGCCTATGTAGTAGTTTACTAATAAATATATTTCCATCACTAATCATATGCAAAATATGGTGTGAAACAAAGAGGGAGGTGAGCTCACTGTCGGAGACAGCGAGCTCAGGTGGCAGGGCCTGAGGCGCCGGTGTCCGGACATCTCGGGACAGCGTCGCACCTGGGGGTGCGCGAGCGCGCTTGGGGAAGGCGGTGTCGAGCTCAACCGGGCCGGCCGGCACCAGATGCATCCGCACTTGCCGATAGGCTGTCACAACGGATGCACCTGGCGAATCACTACTGTAGCCACACCGGCGCTGCGCGCGCTCAACGCGTGCTGGTATCATAGCCGTCTGTTATCTTGTCGATCTTTTGGACCTGAACGTGCTGTACCCGGGTCCCGTCATGGAGCTCACGTCGCGCCATCACCTCCCACAAACAAAGGACGGGGTCGAGCCCAACAATGTACAAGTAAGTCTTCTCAGTCGCCCCCATGCCCTCTCTGATAGGTCTGCGATCCGCCCCTAGGGCGCGACTTCTTCTGGGACTTTGACGCCACGATCTGCAGAGGCATATAATAGTCAAAAAAACCGCGATGGAGTCGACACAAATAAGGCTTCCTCTCTGAAACGCGACAGCGAGATCTGGTTCGAAGATGGGACACTCGTGCTGGTCGTCGAAGATACATCGTTTCGCGTCTACAAAGGGCTCCTCACGCTTCATTCGCCCGTTTTTAGGGATATGTTTTCGTTCCCTCCTCCATCCTCAGACAACATCTCTTCCCACACACCTTTGATGGACGGCGATCCGATGCATTGCGCGGTGGTGCATCTCCCGGATTCCGTTCGAGATTGGAGATATGTTCTCCGCTTTCTGTTCAACTGCGGCGACAAATTATCGCGGTAAGGTACCACTATCCTGCCCTCTTTCCCACTGATTCTCATTATTAGCAGCGAGTCATGGGACATAGGCATAGAGGAACTCCTAGCTTACGCTCGTCTGGGACACAAATACCAGATAGAGAGTATGCTCCGACGGGGAATTTCGTCTCTCAAGTTTGACCTTTATCCTTTCTTCATCCCACTCCCGGAATTGGAAGACTGTCGATCCCACATCGATCCGATTTACGGACCAGGCATAGTCAACCTCGCACGCCTAGTGGAAGAGCCATCTCTCCTACCACCCGCAATGCTCCTCTGCTCGAGGACTGTCAACCCCGGCTACACCGGCGTTCTCGTTTACAGCGACGGGCAGCGCGAGCATCTAAACGCAGCCGACGAAGCGCGCTGCGTACGAGCGGGGCAGGGGCTGTTGCTCGCCACGATTTCCGCGTTCAACGCGGTGATATCCACCCCCATGCGGTGCAGTAGGCGACAGCTTCTGCGGACGTCCCCGTGCCAGAAACGGATGGACGAATACATTTCGATGCAGTGTCGTGGAGGCGAGCAGCCGACTTTGATGTCAATGCTGGAACCGTTGATGTGGGGTATTCTCCGCGACCCCGGCATGGAGGCCCTCGAAAAATCGCTATGCACGAGCTGTTGGAAGGAGATCCGGATCCGAGTCAAGCAGCAGCGCCGGGTGGTATGGAATCAACTGCCGAGGATATTTGAGGTCGGAGACGTTCCGAACTGGGAGATACAGTGGGATAAGGTGAGTCTGCGACCAGGGCGCCTTATACCACTGAGACCGACACAGCACCCCAATCTTCTCGTCGAACACAGAGTGAGATGGATAGCTTGTTGCGTTCTGGATGACGTCACTCGACTCTGTCCATATGGTCGCCTCTCGACGTGCTGCGCAGGCGCTAGTTAGATTTTCTCGTCCTCTTCCATGTACTTATCCCTCCGTCCTTCTCCACAACGCCCTTCCGCTTCTCTTTTGCTCGCTCTCACTCCTACACCTGCGCCTCCATGACCCGTTCAGTCTACTTCAAGTAACTCGCCACTATGCGGCACGCCTGGCTACGTCTTCATCTCCCCCCGACCTCGTCACCACCTAGAAGGACCGCACACGATGATCGTGCCTCGCAATTTCACATTTTCGTCTTCAAACGCACCTCTCGCATACAGTCTGACTCAAACGTGACCTCAAGCGCGGCTTAGGCAGCCGACGTCTTACGCAGACTCTTTCGCCGTCGGCTCAAAGGTTACCGGTCCAAAGCTGGTACACTTCCACGGTGTCGTGCCCACTTCTTCTCGTGCGCCATCCCCCTTCAGTTCATCCCGCCCCAACTGTCAAATTCAATGGAGTCATTGTTGGACGGACCCGGATATATGGAGATGGTGGACTGTAGCGCGTCTCCGGACGACGCGCGGGATACACGTAGTGTAGGCCTCGGTGCGTAGTGGATCTCTGTTTTCGGGATCGCGCTCTGACCAGAGTCCAGCCTCAGGGTCTTTCGAGCGGCACACAGTACTCCCTTACTCGTCGATTACCGTCATTCGTCGATCAAGCCGCGCGGGTCACTTCAGGAGTGCGGAGTATGGGACAGCTTGGCGCTGGATGGGCGACGATAGTTTGGGGTACGTCTTTTCATCTCTCCGCCGCTCCACCCCTCCTAAGCCGTACCCAGCTGTGAAGACTCCCTTCTCCTTCCTGCTGTCGAAGAGGTTTTTCGCATACATCCGGCTTGGGAAGGAGGACAGGCTTTATGCCCCTGCGTACATGATGAAGACCGTTCTTCCAAAAACTCTTGTTTGATAGGTGCGATGCGAAGGATCACCATTTTCTTCCGGAGGATCGTCATGCCCTCTACACTTCCTACACGTCTCACCAGCAACCTCTCGCCCCTGCCCGCGGTGTTGCTCACGTGTCACAACCGGCATTCGGTACAGCGACGGGACAGAAGAATGGTTCAGCGCGGACGACCATCAGTTGTTGTCGAGCCGCCCGCGCCTCACGCTAGTGTCCGCCCTCGACGCGATCGTGGCAGACAATATCAAGTGCACTCAAGGCACCAATGCGAACGAAGGAGAGGATCCTGAGAATTGAGACGGAGACGATGAGGAGGCTGACGATGGACGTGATGGTGACGACGACGGAGTCCGGCTCGGTGAGTACTGTCCTTTAGTCGGAGTGTTGCAAGGATTTGACACCCCTCGCGAGTAGACTGGCGCGTGCGCGCGCTGTTTCCACATACGCAGGTGTGATGGATGCCCGGATGGGCTGGCGCTCTTTGGTCTCGCTGTCCGGGCTACCGGACTGGGAGGTCATCACCACTTCGGGTAACGTCTAGCGTCGGTGAGTGAAGCCAGCGAACTAGATGACGTATCGCTGACCGTCTCCACTCACTTTGGTTCGACCCACGACACCTTAGTTTCCGTTACAGCAAAGGCACGGAGGAGTCGCTTGGCCGGCGACGATTTCGTGAGTTGCGCTGAAGTCGACTGTCGCTTCACGCGTCGGATCCTGGACCTGGATGGCTCGATAGGGTCCGTTCTGTCCTCGCAGATATGCTGGTATCCGTTGGGATAGAATACGCGCGTTGCGCTCAGTGGAGGTGGTCACGGGTGCAGGAGGCACGGATCTCGCTCCGGCATTCTTCGGTCTCACCGTTCCAGACTGGGAGATCGCGTGTCCCATTATCTTGTGAGCTCAAGTCGTGGATGTAGTGAGATATCCTTACTTACGATCTCAACCCGCTTTGTAGATTGAGTCGTATAACATGCACGGTTCTCGCAGGCGGTGGAGGCTTGTCCGAATGTAATGCGCATTCCGATTTCCCGGATTGAATATAGATCCTTCGACACCGAGTTCGTGTGGGAAACCTTCCTTGACGGCTGTGCTGCGGCAGCTGAGCACATATAACGCGTGCGCGAGCTTGAGCACCAAGCCCCATCTTGCTGCTGCCTTCGTCGAACCCATCAGCCAGTTTTTCTTTGCTTCCCTCCCCTTGATCGAGCAAGACTAGCGCGATGATTACTTTTCGCGATCCCGCTCCCTCAGACGATGGAAATCCAGCCGACGGTGCACAGGTACGTCAGCTCCGCATCGTACATGTCGTCGTCTCTCATTTTTCCTCTGTTTGTCTAGACCACGGATGGAGGGCTCATGCCGGAATATCGCCCGGCTCTGTTGCAGAACAAGACACCAGCGATTCCGATTCCGAAGGTCGGGTTCGTGCCGCTGCCGCATCAGGAGCCGGACGCCATGCCACCGACACTTGTTCTTCGACGTCCCCTTCGCAACGGAGCGATATTGACACCTCGGACGTTGCTCTCGTCGACTCGCCTCCTTCACCGTTAAGCGAGCGGACGACGACGACGACGCGGAAAACGACGACTTTCCTCCAGATGCGCGACCCCGAGCTGTGGTTCGACGATGGGACGATCGTGCTTGCTGTTGGGAAGACCGCGTTCCGTGTCTACAAGGGCTCCTCACCCTCCACTCTGCCGTGCTCAAGACGGTGCTCGCGGATCCTTCTTCACCGACACCGGAAGGCGTTACTCTCGGGACCGCGAGAGTTGATGGCGAGAAGTGTGTCGTGCTGCGCGCGCCCGGGATTCCGCTCGGGAGTGGCGATATGTGTTGCGAGTGCTGATCTCAGGAGGCACTGAACGAGATCTGCGGTAAGAGCCATTCCCTCGTCTCTGACATTGTGGTAGTGACTGAAATTTTTCAGGTTCCTTTGCCTTTGGGGGGAAGAAAGACACGAGACGGCGACGGAAGAGCTCCTGGCCTATGTTCGTCTCGGACACAAATACAAGATAGAAGGCTTGCGCGAGCAGAGCTTGAAGGCGCTCAGTGATCGCCTGCATCCAACCTTTTCGGGCAATCTGGGATATAGTTTTGACCGCCGCTCTGACATGGATCCAGTTCTTGCGCTGCCGTCGTCAACGTCGCGATCTACACCAAATCCCCACACCTTCTCCCATATGCACTGCTTCTCTGCTCCACCTCCGTCGCTCCACGTTCCACACATTCCAGCCATGCATGTCTACAGCGACGGAGAACACGAGGCTATGGACAAGGACGCCGAATGGCTCTGCGCCAACGCGACTCATCAGCTCGTGCTCACCACCATCGCGGCTGCAAACTCGGTTTTACTCCCCCCGCTCGACTCGTGCGCACGTAAACTCTTACGTCGCCGTCTGTGCCAGAAAACCATGGACGGTCTCGCTCGCACCCTTCTCCCGGCTCTCGCGGGGACCACGTCGCCGCTGGACCCCTGATGTGGACGTTTCTGGAGCACGAGGCCGTGAAGTCGGCCGAAGATAAGCTGTGCCCTGCTTGTTGGAAGGAGATCGAGTGCCGCGTCGGGCGGCAGCGCCGGGTGGTGTGGAACAAATTACCCTCTCTGTTCGGTGTTGGTGAAATTCCGGACTGGGATGTGCAAGAAACGTGAGACGATCAGGTGGGTTCAACGGGGCCGTTTGTGGGGTGCTTTTTGCTGACGATGTTCGTCGTTTGAAGCAACCGGGGAGCAGCGATGCACGAGGCCGGGACGGCACTGTCGGAACCACCCGTCCTCGTGTGCGGAGAAGCTATCCGGTCGGCGGGGTGCAATGATATGAGGCTTGTTATCACCATGGAGTGCCTCGAGATTAGGACGTACCGCCTGAGAGTCGCCGACGTCATGCTACTGCAGCAACAGCCTCCTGGCCAGGCAGCACTGAAGTGTCAAAAGCGATGACGCTCCGAGGACGTACCGTCAATCCCGCGCCGGGTCGTCGAGCGCAGCGGCCGGGATTTCACTCTCCGTCACCGCTTCTTCCTTCCCGAGAGATCGGCGGAAGCGCGACAGTCTGACGGAGGCCGGGGGTGCGAGAGCATGTCCTTGAATTTGCTTGGGGAACGGCGCGCTACATAGGACTCCGCCGCGATAAACGCGAAATTTGACGGCTTCGATGATGATTATGATGGTCATGTCGTCGAACCACCAGTGCTCATCGTGGGGCCGCGTTGGTGGAGGTGTATCTTCGCCCAGTGGCGCGCATCCGCCGGAGTGTTCTCATGGAGTATGTCGAAGCGGGTGGGACCGTGCGCGGGGACCTGCGTGGATGCAACGTCATCAATGTGGGTGAATGGAAGGACGTCATGATAAGATGAGTGAGGATCGTCGGCTTTGACTTTGCGGGCAAGGTGGGCAAGGTGAGATCAAGGAAGAGGTCGCGCATGTTCGGCAGAGTTTTCTTACTCCATCCCGATTCACAGCGGACCACAACGACGAGACGGTGGCTTCGCCGCAAAGCATTACTGGCGTCAGGAGATCGCATGCAATAGATCCGCAAGTAATCGCAAACAGAAATTCTCGTGGGATGTCAGATAGTACTCAAGAATAATATATCACCCTGCGCAACATTCAAATGCTATACTAAAAAACCTTGGGATTTTCATCTCATGACCACCGCAGGGGTCGAACCTGCAATCTCCTGATAACACAATCGTAGTCAGACGCGTTGCCATTACGCCAGGCGGCCCTGATGGGCATCTAATTCTAGTATTATCATCGCCCTATGCACGCTCGCAAGAGGTACAAGGACTTTCAGGCCAGTACTTCCATCTTCTATTGGAGCTCGCTGCCCATGCGAACGATGCTGCACCGGTGCCTTTGCGAAGCGTCGGGACGACAACCCTGTCGTGCAAATTTAGGCCTTGGGTGCTTCCCGACGAGCAGACTCCTGTTATCGCCAACCTCAAGTCCCCGTCCCCGATCTCTCAGTCGCCGCCACCACGCTGGCCAGCATGAGTGAAAGTACGCGCTACTGTGACGGTTCGGTCCTCCTCTACTCCCAGCCAGTCCAAACAGGTGTTCGCCTTCGAGGAACCGGCGCGAGGTGGCAAAACGGTCGTCCTCGGAGATTTTCCCCGCCGCAGACTCGTATCGTCCAGGTAAACGATTTTGCGCGCTGTCCAGTGGAGACCAGTCGGATGTTGCTCCGTGATCTCGCGCCCTCCGTTTGTGGTCGTGGAGGATGCGCACGGGCGACCAGAAGACATCTGATGCGGAACATGAGGTTCATACCATCGACATCTCGCAGCGGGTGAGGTTGCTCGCGCCCGCGTCTGCGTCCGCGATCGTCGTCCAGGAGAGTGTGCTGTTGGTGTGCCGCCCCGTAAGCGCTCAGTCGGCACTCGGCGTGCTTCCCCGCGCGGTGGTACGCGGATGCGGACAGCGCACATCGTGGCGGGTAGGCTGGTTCGAACGACGACGCGTGGTTCAGCGAGAGCGTGGGCAAGGTCCCGGGGTTCGGATGGTCCAGCGCGACGAGCACGATCATCAGCAGTGGGTACACAGCCTGCGACGTAAATCAGGATGAGGAAGCAGCGACGTGAGAGAAGCGTACCACAACGGGGACGAGCGTGGCACCGAGCACGGTGTCGACCATGATCCAGAAGAGAGTCGGGGCTGCCGTGGGATTCGAGGGCGCCGGAACGAGGGGCGGGGGCGGGATCTGACGGAACTTGACGACAAGCAGGAACACGACGTATGAGAGCTACATGTCAGAGTGTGAGTGGGAGCTGCATTTGGAAGCAGATCACGGGCTCGTACCCAGAAGACGCAGTACATCGTGCCGAGGTAAACAAAAAGGCGAAGGATCTTCAGCACATGCGTGTTCTTGGTCCTTCCTTCGCCCAGAAGGCACTTCAAGTCGCGTTTGTGCTCCCTAAGGCTCTCTAGATCAAGATTGGTTCTCGTTGAATGATGGCAGCACAGCGTACCATGCTTTGTACCGAATGAGATATACCGCGCCCACGTTGGTAATAAGGGACAGGGTGGCGGAGGCCATCCCACATGCATTGTTCATAAAGAACATCATCGGATACGCATAGTGCGCATGGTTTTCCTGATTTTCCTGCGCCGTGGCCGCACAGCCTAGCGCTGCGTAACATTAGCGACCCGGGGCATCGCCACGCGAGAGATAGAACGCACCGAAGGTGATTGAAGTGAGCAGCACCCCGGCCCAAATGAGGACCCGGCGAGCTGGGTAGAGTATCGCTGCACGCCAAAGAATGATAGCGTCGCTGATAAGAAGCTGATGAATCGCGTAGTATCAGCTCGAGGCCACAGCCATGCAATGGTCCGTGATAGAAGCGTACGTTGATGGTGAGAGACATGGCGGTGGCTATGACTAGGTCGTGCGCCGCGTTCAAGACGGCTGCTGTTGCGTCCGGTACGTTGTGCGCGATCGGGGCGAGGGTTTCCGGTGTACCAGTACAGTTGATGTAGACACTGCTGACCGCGGCGTCTCGAAATCGCGAGGCGGCCATTGAGTATTGCAGGCGGTAGCCCCAGTAGGCGGTAGTGGTGAGACAGAGAGTGGGTATGACGTAGAACATAACCTTGACGGAATAGCTACGATCTTTTTGCAACTGCCAATGATCGAACTCAGGAGGGCTGGTGAGAGGCTCGGCCGAATTGACACTCACAGAAGGGTGTAAAAGGACATAGAAGGACTGCGCTAAACACTCCTGTTCATGATATATTAGCACGGCGACGCGGGGCGTGCTAGGGCCAAATATACCGAAAGAGACCCCGTCAAGACCCGACGACAAAGTTGAGTGGACCGTCCAGTTGTTTTGATACAGATTCTGGATAGCGCTGAAGCACGGTTGAGGAGCGGGGGCGACATGGTGTGCAGCAGATTCTCGCCATGAGTTGTCGTGACTTGGTCTCTTATATCTGCTCTGCCCCCGAGACTGCGTTGATGCTCAGCGCTATCAACGAGGTCCCAGGAAGGACGCCTACCGAAGCGTTGATGGTAACTTTGATTCTGTGACAACAAACTTCCGCAGTTGGGCTTTCCACCTGGCGCGCTGTAGTCCAAGTTCTGGCGCAGGGGGTTAGGGCGATGGATAGGTGGGTAGGAAGAGGACGAACGCGGTTGTACCAGTCAATGGCGTCGATCGGCATACTCCCCTGCTTGAAGTACGCAAGAAGCTCGTCGGGGAGATGGCCCCTGTCTGTGTTACCATATTGGCCACGCCTTTAGGTGAAGGTGCGGGTGCAGATATTAAGGAGAGTTGGAGGATGATTCCAGGAAAGCCGAATGGGCGGGGCATGCTTTACGACGAGGACTGCGGGGGCTGGTTAGAGGGCGGAGGACGATACACAGCGCGCGCCAAAGGCTGCCTCACGTCTCGTCTCGACCAACCGCCGACCACGCACGCCGAGAAAAACACGTTTGCACAAATCTCCCGCGCAGCCGACTCCTGTCAGCGGCCACTGCTCTGGTCTGCAACAGCAACCGTCGGGTTCCCTCACACCCGCGTCACCCGTCTCATGTCGTGCAATCTTGGTTGCCGAACCTTCGCTGACGGTCTCGTTCGTCTTCTGGGCGGCGTCTTGGACTCGGAGGCTGAGGGCGGTGCCGAGATTCTCGGTATAGGCTGCAGAGCATTGTAAGCACGCGGCAATAGGACCGGGGCGAGGTAAGGTGTTAAAATGTCATGAAGGGCGCGCAGAAGGGGCATATGGACAGCGGTCGCGCAAGAGATATCAACGTCGATCTACTCTTGCAGCGTTCGAAGAAACGGGAAGACAGAAATGAAACACAAAAACGCACCTATCGCGACCTCGCAGCCCCGCGGTTGGACACCCGAAGGCAGCCCTGCGACCTGAGATGTATCAGACCCCTTGAGAAGAAGGCCAACGGGTTTGAAGACATTCGAGTGAGCGTCGTTTGACAACTTCATCTCCCCGTAGGTGCCGTACTTCAGCGCATTCAAGCCGTGGCGATGGACGGCAGATATGCGGGTAGATTCAAGTCGCATGGCGGATTATATGGGTTCACAGGGTAAAACGAGCAAGACAGGTAAAAAGGTGGTGATGGTGGACAACGCTTGAGCGACGACCGGCACAGTGGCCGTCTCAAGGCAATGTCACGCGAGTGACATTTTGTCACGTCTTATTGAACTTCGCTGCATGTATCGAATTCCTTGGGCTCAGAGGAGGAAACATCCTCGAGAATCCGTCTGAGTGCATCACGACGCATCTTTACGTTCCTGTATCATGTGTACGACGTCGCCGCAAACCTGCAAATACAGCTACAGGCACGGTGTAGTATACTTATGATGTGACAGACAAACCCGTTGGATACTGTTTCCCTCCTTCTCTCGTGAAATCAAAGAAAGCCCCACGAGGAGCCCATAACAGCGCACAGCGTGCAGACTTCAATTAATATTAACTACTAGGTATTCCATAAAATCAAAACGTGAGGGTGACACCACGATCGGTGCCTATATATGCGTAAACGATACATGGCAGTAACATATTATTCGTTCATCACTTGTCGCTCCCCCACAACCACGGATGGCAGTCGACGCCGTCCCATATCCGCACCCGGTCCCCGTCGCCAACGATCATGCGCGAGTACTGCATCCACGCGCCGTCGTACACCTGCTCGACGAACCACTTCACGTACTTGCTGCGGAGCACCCACTTGTGCCACACGTAGAACCGCCACCGGTACGCGCTGACCACGCGCGGGTTCGCGAAGATCTTCGTGAGCGCCATCACCCGCCGGAAGTCGTAGGGCATGAGGAAGGACTCGGACGAGAAGCACTCGCCCTCCGCGCTCGCCCGGAACCGCAGCGGCGGCGTCAGCGCGGGGCTCGCCGCGATCTCCTTCGTCCAGGGGTGCGTCTCCGGCGGCATGTGCTCGATGTGCGTCGTCGAGAGCGTCCCGTTCGAGCGGAGCGCGACGGGGAGGAGGGGGTCCGCGCGGAAGGCGACGATGCCGTTCCAACACGAGAAGACGGGCACGGGTCCTCCTTCTTGATGGCCTCGTACGAGCCTGTGTCGAAGAAGTACGGCCAGATGCCCGCGGTGAGCCGCCCGGCGCGGTCGCGGAGGACCCACATGTCGTATGCGCCAAAGTGGCCGAAGTCGAGGCCGCAGGCAAAGTCGTAGTCGCCGTCGCGGGTCTCGAGCAGCTCGAGCACGGTCTCGGGCTCGATGTAGATGTCGTTCGAGAACAGGACGCGGTCGTAGCCGCCGGCAAAGAGGAGGGGCTCCAGGGCCTGGTTGCGTACCGCGGCGAGGAACTCGATGCGCGGGTTCCCGTCCATTTCGGTCGGACGCTTGATGGTATCGTCCTGGATGAGAATCCGGTTCTTGACGCCACGGCGATCGAGCTCGGCCTCGAAGGCGCTGAGGAACTCCGGTGTCCTGTCCGTCGAATAGTTCTCGACCACGGAGACGAAGACGTTGTCGGGCCCGAGCCAGGTGATCGTGTCGAGCATCGTCTTGGTCCAGTACGGGAGCACAAGCTCGGTCTGGTGGAACACGGCGGCGATGAATATTTTCTCCCCGCGGGGCGCGTACCCGGTGCGCTTTGGGTGGGGGTCCTCCAGGGCCTTGCGGAGCGCGGGGCGAAAGCGGATGTCGCCCGGGTGCTCGTAGTTGTGGTACTCGTAGAGGCCGACGAGGACGATGACGGCGTACACGACGATCTGCGCGCTGACAGCACGGCTTGGCCGGAGCGAGCGCGCGCGCCGGTCCTGGTCCCTCTTCTCTCCGCGTTCCGTGAGGAGCGTCGTGTAGCCTTGGCGATCCCGCGCGACGAGCTTCCCATTCCACGCGAGGCGCCGGGAGACGAAGAAGCTCACGAGGAGCCAGGCGAGCTGGAGCGCGGCGAAGGGGGGGAGCGCGATGAGGAACGCTACCCACGCGGTCCAGAGCATGGGGAATGCGGGAATCCAGGTGTCAAAAAATACCTTGAGGATGTACTGGTTGACATAGCGCCAGATGAGGTAGAAAACGAAGAGCTGGGGAACGGCAGGAAGACGGAGGACGAAGCGCGTGCTGCGCTTGAGGAGGACGAGTGTGTGTGCGAGCAGCCGACGGGGCTCGAGGCGGATAGGGGGCCAGCGTGGGGCGGCATGGCTCGTGGCGAGCCGTTGCAGCGGGGAGACAGGGAGACGCGGCCGGAGGCGGCGGTATGAGGGGCGTGCAGAGGTGGTGGAGGAGGGAGAAAGGACAATCTTGCATCCATGGCAGACCAAGGTCAGGTCCACGGCGGCGTGGGGCCGCATCACCCTGAGCCTTTGATGGCGTTGTCCGCCTGGAGATCGCATCTTCCGCGCTGCACACGCGATACCAGGCTCTTTCTGACATGAGGTTTTGCGGCGGGTAGGTATGCCCCGGCGCCGCGCTCTGTGTGCCAGTGCAGTAAATTGACAATGGCCTCGCCGTCACGCAAATGTGGGCGCTGAGAGCTCCAACACTGACACGCCGCTCCAGTGGGCAAGCCCACGCGCGCGAGCTTACCGACGACCCGCACCATGGAGCGCATCCCCATGGCTGGTGTGTCGCTCAGCCGCCTCAGGGACGCGAAGCCACTCGCCTTGCGATCTTAGCCCGTTCCGCGACGAGGCCAGGCGGGAAAAACAGCCGCCTGCAGGTCGCTGCAAATCACGTGGCGCTCACAGCGGCGACAGCGTAGAGCGGGAGCGTGGCGGCAGGGGTGCAGGGGAAGAAACTGAGGAGGCGCGAGCGAGCACAGGCCCTCGTGCTGCCTCGGAGAGATGCCGACGCGGGACGTCGTGGCTCGATCGCGAGCGTAGGAGGATGTGCACAGCGGGGGCATAATAATTGATATAACCCGCCTCGAAAGGGTGGCAGATTTTACATGGGCTTACACGGGCTACTAGTATATAAGCCAATAGTGAAGCGCATAAGAAAGTCCAGTCTTTCCCGTTTACATAAGTCACCGCCTCGGCGCCTCCCCCACAGGTGTCGTCACTCTGGACGCCACGAGCGCAGGTATGTCAACGCTCTCTCTCTCTCTCTCTCACCCTGTCTCCCCATCGTCGGCACTATCATACTTCGCTTGTGCGGGCAAAGGAGCGACGGCGTAGGTAGCGGCGAGGGGGGCTCGACGTAGGCTAGATGATCGCTCGACGCCATCGAGCTGTATCCCATCGAGTTCATGGTCGTCTCCGGGTTTTGGAAGACGACCGTGGTCATCACCGCTGTCATCTCCAGCGTCGAGCCGACGAAGTGCGACTTGTTGAGCGCGACGAGGACGATGATGGCGGTTGGATAAATCCCCTGGAAGAGTGTGAGATGGGCGCGCCGGGTCGTTGGGCGGAGCACCTACTACAAGTGGGATGAGGCAGCCCTTGAGGAAGTAATCGAAGCCGTTGAGAACGGCCGTGTACCTTGAGGGCGCGTGCTTCCATTGTTGCTCCGACGCAACTTGATACGCTACGACAAATCCCTACAACAGCATGCCTTCAGTGAAAAGAAAGAATGCTCACGAGACGCCCTGACGCGCACCCACAATAAACAGTACAGGGCACCAGACTCGATGAAGAGAGTGAGGACGCGCTCGACTCGCCCCTTGCGTTTGAGAGTGGCTGTGGACACGAACTTCCGATGCTCCCTGTCGGAGCGATAAACATACGGACCTCACGCGGCACGCGGCGCACATGCAGATGAATCGTGATGTACTCACCAAGCTTTAATTCCGATAAGCGCTGTAGCGACGACGTTGGTCGCGAGCGAGAGGGCAGAGGCAGCAAGCCCCAGAGGTCGTGCTCAAACAGGACCCGTTCGGGTCAAATTCGAGATTGTAATACTGGAGTGTGCTGAATGCGAGGGAGGACACGAGTCGTTGACGTCGAAGAGACTCGCGGCTGGGATCAAAGTGCGAGATGGGGATATGTGCAAGAGGAAGGGAAGAGAGTACGCACAGAACGTGGTGAAGAGGAGGATAAGACATGTCGCGCGGACCAGGAGGCTGTTTGGCCAGAGGACCCAGACGCGCCACCAGACGATCGCATCTCCCAAGAGCACCTAGTGGACTTGAGCAGATGGGCAGAAGAGCGAGTGAAAGGAACGCACATTCACTGCGAGGATGATAGTCGGGGCGCAGGTCGTGAGGCCTCTGACTGTGCCTGAGAGGCCGTAGTCATTTTGGGTGCACATGCTGTAATCGAGCGGACCGGGGATAGCGTCCACGTTCTGGCAAGAGACGGCGAGACAGTGGGACTGGCTGGCGTAGACTTGAACGACATTGTACATCCCGATGGCGTTGAAGAAGAGGGCAACCCAGTATGCGACGGCAGAGGCATACATGAGGAAAGTGACGACGAAGAGGATGAAGACTGATCGTTTGCGGAGACCTCGGTCACTACATGCGGCGACGTTGAGCTGTAGAATCAAACGGAGGAAGGGGTACGCACGCGAGGACTATAAAGGCGAAGAGGGCAAGCCCGGTGAAGATACCGACGGTTGCGGTGGTGAGGATGAGAACGACGATGGCGGGGTAGAGAGCGTTGGTGAAAAGCGAGAGGTCATAGCCCGTCTTAGCGAACAGTGGTCCGGGGTACGTCTGCAGGAGCAGAGGGCGCCATAGCAGATGGACCATCGATGTCGGTCCGCAGACGGCGCGGCGAGATGCCCGGGGCGGAGGAGTGCGAAGGCGAAGTCGGAGGGGCAGCAAGGGCGAGAAAGAAGCCGGCGAGCTCATAAGCCACGGCGGCCATGGGCGGCCAAGATGCGACATTGACGGCAGCTGCCAGCGAGAGCCAACGGAAGAGCAAGAACAACGATGGACGTGCGGGATCTGTGAGAAGACGTCCCAGCGCGCGCCGCCAGTCCCGGGGCGCGAAGCTCGCCGTGACTTCGGTGGCCGACACGCGTCTGTGGGCGCGCGTGTTGGAAGTCGCTGATGATTGTAACCTCTTGAGCGCGATGGTCCTTGCCTTCTTCTCTCTCTCTCCCAGACGTTTCCTCGTGTATCATAGCCCGCCCTTTGTCTCCCACCCCTTCCGACCGCGATCCGCCACTCGCCCCAGACTCGCAAACATTCGCCTCCAGTTCACGGCGAGCATGTCGCACGACATCACCGTCACCTTCCTCGGCACCACCAGCGGAGGAGGACCGACTCAAACGCGCAACTGCTCAAGTCTGGTCGCGGACTTGGCTGGGGACGGGTCTCTCTGGAGTGCGTATTCACCCTCATACGTCTCCGCTGCACCCTCGAGCAGAGCAGTTGAGGGGGGACTGACCACTGTGTCTACATAACAGTGTTTGACTGCGCGGAGGGAACTGTCCGTCAGTTTGAGAACCAGCCGTACCGCCCCGGCTACCAGAGGGTACGAGTCAACCAGGTCTCCAAGATCTTTATTACCCACATGCACGGTCAGTCTCCTCCCCGTGTCAGTCCCCTTCCTCTGTATCCGTATATATGCGCGCATATAGTCGCCAAACCCGACGGCGAGCGCTTACGCGCTCTTAGCGGACCATACCATGGGCATCCTTACCTTTCTCCGCAACATCCTCGGCATCCCAAAACCTGTAATCGACCCCGACGCCCCGCCAGCAAACAAATCGTCCACCAAAGTCGAGATATTTGGGCCGCGCGGGATCCGCCGCATGATCCGCATGCTCTGGAACGTCACTCACACCCGTAGCTCACAAGCGTATATCGTGCACGAACTTCTCTTCCCAGGTGAGCAGCCGTCCGTTCCCGCTGAGGTGCGCGCAGGGGAGGGCGCGGACGAGACGGACGTGCGGAACGCGAGCGAGAAGGTCGGGCGGGACATCCACTGCGACGAGGCCGGGTACTGGCCGCGGATTGTGAACAGGGAGATCGGCGGCCAGCGCGGGTGCGGGCTGATCGTCGACGCAGGGCCGATCCAACATCGCGGTCAGTGTTCTTTTGTTCTTTCCGGTGATACCGCCCTCACACCCGCCGTCAGACCCATGCATTGGCTATGTGATTCGCGAGGTTCCCCGCGAGCCCCTCACGGCCGAATCCCCGCTCCCTCGGAAGCTCGTCATTCTCGGAGACACGTATGACCCCTCGCCCCTTGCCCCGCTGGTGCACGACGAGCCGCCATTCGCGTCTCCCCTGCCCGAACGCGACCCGTGGGGCCACGACGTACCGGTCAAGATACCAGTATCGTTGCTCGTGCACGAGGCCACAGATGCGCACATCCCCGCACACGTCGACCCGTCGGGACGCACGGGGAAGAACCGTACTCCGGAGAGCGTGCGCGAGAAGGCCATCTCGCGTGGCCACAGCACACCTGGGATGGCCGGTGCGTTCGCACGCACGATCGCGGCGGAGCGGCTCGTCATGAACCACATCGGCGCGAGGTGCGTCACCACGTTTCTCTGCACGCGCCGGAGCTGACGTTTGCCCTGGGGCTCGACAGGTTCCCGGCGCCGGTGGGCGAGCTCACGAACATGAGCAACCCGCAGACGAAGCTGCGGCACGGGATCGTGCGCGAGATGGCGCGGCAGGCCGCGGAGGGCTGGTGCCCGGACGGCTCGCGCCCCGTGCACACCGAAGTCGCGGTCGACTTCCACGTCGTGACGATCCGCCCGAACAGGAACGCCCCGACCGCCCCTGGTCCGCTGCCCTACGCTGCTGTCGCGCGTGAGGAGGAAACCATGGGCGCGGCGCCAGACTGGGCTGCAGGTCTGCCAGCGCGGCCGTCGTGGACTTATGGCGACCAGCATACCAGTAATTGGCATGGGCCCAGCGATGGGGGCGAAAGGAAGCGGCGACATCCCAGCTCAGCAGCAACGATGAGGGCACCGAAGCCACTGGCACGGGCGCGGTCGTGGGCGGGATAACTACCACGACCGGCCTCGCCACAGCGATGTGCAGGGAGATGGGGCCTGGAGAGATGACCGACACGAGCCCAGCAGGTCGAGAGACCACTGGGAGAGACAATGATGGTGCGGTTGTTCTTGACGTCGCGCATCTTGCTTTCCTACTTGTACGTTACTGGGATATGCCGTGTATTGAGTGTCCTTGTACTATACCGTGCCACGAGCTACCATGGCCAATGATAAGCTGGCTGTCTCATCCGCCTATGCCAGATCTCGACGTCGTTCAATAAGCTGTGACGAAACGTCACTCGTGTGACGCAGTCCGAGGTAGCGCTACGCCGTGCGAGCTTGACATTAACATGTCTCCTCCGATCCACACCACCACCAATACATCACCTCTGTTCTCGTGTCTCCGACTTCCGTCTTCACGCCAGCAACACTTTCGTCGTACACCACAACTAGCTGAAAGGCGCGTGCCGAAGGACGCGTGCACGAGGATATGAAGTTCTCGAACCAGACCGCGTTCAAGTCCTTCCGACGCACCCGTAGTATCCCATATCAAGGACGTCGTCGCGGGCTACGACTCCACTACTCGCACGTCATAGTTGCGGCGCAACGTGGACGATGAGGCGTGGGTGGTCCTGACCGTTGCGTCCGCGCCGCCGCTGACGGGAGGAGATCTGGGCAGACGTGGTCTCGTGAGTGCTATCCCTCTCGGCGCGCGGAAGCGGTTTGGTGAAGAAGAGACGCGAGGCGATGGAGATGGATACCGGAGGAAAAAAACGGGGAGGGGGTGCGAGCGGGCGAGTGCTCGACCGCCGTCGTGGGGTGTGCGTTCTCGCCTCTTTTGCGCACTTTTAATATGTGTCGAGTCGTGCGGCGCGCGAACGAGGCGTTGTGTGCGGGCTGCTGGCCAGAGATCGAGACTCGTGTCAAGCAGCAGCGCCGGGTGATGTGGAAGAGGGTGCCGGCGCTGCTTGACCTCGAAACGGTTTCGTTGGAAGTCGAGTAGCTGCTGCGTGAGGTGTGCGCAGACGCGGACGAGACATATCGCTTATCGTCGTCCCGTATCTGCTCACAGTCATCGCTGTCATCTGGCAGGGGTGTGCAAACTCCTGAGCAAAGGGGTTCCATGACATGCTCGATCCGTCGCTATAGATATTTAGACTTGCGTTGAGCCCATCGACCAGCTCCTCATCTTCGCATCCAAACCCCAATCAGAGGCATTGACACTCAAGCGAACATTTGTTTGTACGTTTCCTCGACTGCCCCGCAATGTGCTGCCTCTCATGCATCGCGTTCCCCTTCTAGTCGACCCCCACTACCTCGACATCGTCAAACCCCTTTCCGCTCACATGCTCGGCCACAACGCACCCGGTACCGGCGAAGTTTCCTCCCCCAAGCGCGACAGTGAGCTGTGGTTCGAGGATGGCACGCTCGAGCTGATCGTCGAAGACACCGCGTTCCGCGTGTACAAAGGGCTCCTCGCACACCATTCTGCGGTGTTCAAGGACATGTTCGCGCTCCCTCTTCTCAATTCCCCCGACATCGGCTCTGTGGAGTCACGCTCCGTCGACGGCAACCTGGCTCAGTACGCTGTCGTGCATCTGCCGGACTCGTCGAGGGAGTGGCGATACGTTTTGCGCGTGCTGATCACGGGCAGCGTACGGGAGTTGCGGTAAATTACCCCTCCCAATTCAGAGGGTTACTCTCACTCTGACAAACGATCAGATTATTCAGTGGGGGGCTATCCCTACCCAAGACCGAGGAACTCCTGGCCTATATACGTCTGGGACATAAATACCAGATTGAAGACCTGTGCCAAAGAAGCGTCATAGCACTCAAGCACCATGCCAATCCTGTACTGGCATCGATGTCAAGTTTGTTCGTGTCATTGGTCGACTACCCCTCTTCGTTGGATGCGAAGGAGGCACCGGGCATCATCAACCTCGCGCGCGTAGTGGAGGAGTATTCTCTCCTTCCTTACGCGATGCTCCTCTGTTCGAGGTCCGTTACCCCGGAGTTCACCGGTGTCACCAGCTACAGCGACGGGACTTGCGAGCCTCTGAACAAGGCCGACGAAGAGCGGTGTGTGCAGGGCACCCATGAGCTCGTACTCGCCACCATCTCCGCCGTCCATTCCGTACTTCTACCTCCTATCGGGTGCACGACTCAGCCGTTGCCAGGAAAAGTTCCGTGCCAGCAGACCATGGACGGCCTCGTTCGCACTCTTCTTCCGGCATTGACGTCTCCAACGCGCCCCCTGGACCCTTTGATGTGGGGTTTTCTGAAGCACGAGTCCATGCGGGCCGCACAGACTTCTCTGTGTCTCCGCTGTTGGGAAGAAGTTTCAGGACGAGTCAGACAGCAGCGCCGAGTGATATGGAACAAGTGCCACGATATTCGGCCTTGGGGATATTCCTGGATACACAAGGGACTAGCTTTGAGGGGAGGGAGGTGAGTTTACAGCATTGCGACATGACCCATGAGATATTCAAGGCTAACATGAGTGTAGGGACGTTGCACTGAAGTGCCGATTGTAGTAACGGTGAATCGACAGCGGGCCGATCCGATGACGTCATGAATCTGGTCAGCGTACCGCGTTTTTCATGGCAAGCGTGTGCTCTCCCTCTGAGTATGTATTCGAGTCGTTACGAGATCTATTTATCAAGTTATTAATTGACGGAGCGTCTGATCACTCGCAGCTAGCACTCTCAGTCACTCAGTGACGGTTCGACGGCGTGACACAGGTTCGCAACTCCGGGTTCCGTGTTCTCGCTCGGCCCTGCTTCCCCCCTCGCGGAGCCTCTGCTCTGCGTATCCGTGTACGTGGAACATAACTCAGCATGGAGCCTTGCAATGTGCCCGAGAGGCGCTACATAGCGTTAGCTGATGAAGGGAGGCGCGCGTCCAGTAGCAGCGCCGTGTACAAGCCGCGTATATCAATCAAATCCTCGCTGGATCCAAAACAAGTATCTGGGATGATCCAAAGTTCCTGGTATCGTGCTAGGATCGAAAAAAGACCCAATGTCAACATGGAGACTTGGACGTTCAATCGGACGACAACTGACCTTGATGGCGGTGTCCTATTTCTTTCCCTCTTCTTCGAAGAACGACGCCAATGCCGCTAGTGTCCTCCGATTGTAAATGTCGCACTTTGGCGCGATCTCGTCCAGACAATGGGTGCATAACTGGCTTAGGTCGATCTGAACGAACGGCTAGGCGATGTGGAGAGCCCAGCAAATGCGTCGTCGTAGAGGTCTTCCGTCATGGTTGCAAGGGTGCCTGCACATCGATTGTTCACCCGTGCTTTGGATTTTCGTGAGCATACCGTCCCTTCGCGCGAAAGGAGAAGAACGAAGGTGTTCTTGGCCCCGTGTTGCACCAAGCTAGGCGTAGCACTAAACAGAGTGCGAAGTCCTCCACAGATAATGTCTCCCGTCCCCATCGGAGTACACGAACCCTTGAAGGAGCTTGCGGCCTAGCTGGTTACAAGAGAGGAAGGCGAGTGGGAGAATCGACGTATCCCCGACAAGCCGGGCGATGTTGACGATGCCGATCGCGCACTGGGGGGCGCATCCAGGCAGCGTGTAAGTGTCGCGATTGTGGCGTTCCTTCCATACTCGAAAGTTGGATCGAAGTACCATTTTATATATTTCATGGCGGGGTTCTGTAGTCTATCCATCTGATACTTGTGTCCGAGACGGATGTAAGCCGAGAGTGTGTCGAAATCGGGACGGCTCCGGTCCTCAGGGCTTTGGACAAGTTCTTCCAATCTACGACACGGATCATAGATTAGCTGGTGGAAGTGCGACGGTGACCAATGTTTACATGCCTTGATAGTGGATCGTTCTGGTATATAGCTCGCAGAACGTGTCGCCAATCGCGGGCGGAGTCCTGGAGCTCGACGACAGGACATGGCGGGGACATCTCGTCACTGGATGCTTTTTCGGACCCGAGTGCAGCCATATCCTTGAAGACGGGAGAGTGTCTGGAGAGAACACCGGTGTGTACCCGAAACTCCACTCCTTGAACGGCGAGAATGAGGGAGCCGTCCTCGAAGTCAAATTCCTCGTCTCGGGTCCTGCTGTGATTGGCTTTCTGCGGACTCCGATGAGTCAAGGGAAGCGTGACGCGAGAAAAGCCCTCACCTCGACCTCCATTTTATCAAATTTATAGGGCAAGATTTGGAAGTCAAGCGGGTGATGGATATGGACGAAAGCAACGCGGCGAACGTTGTGCAAGCTGCGCGGGCAGCGGCACCCCGCTTGGCACGAGGTACAGTACACACGTGGCGCGGCGGCTGACCGGACCGTGAAGTCCTCATCCCACCTCCCGCCCTCGCGCACTTCTGTCATATGTACATATGCTCCTGCAAGCCTCTCCTGAGGGTAGCCACCCGACCTTTATGCGCAACTTCCGACGACTTCCCGCCCACACGGTCAGGCTGTCGTCGGCCTTACTGCCTTCAACCTTTCGAAGATGACTCTCCGAGGAAGAAGTGCTTCTCAAGCATCGCTGCGGGGGTTCTGGTTCGACGTTGAGACTGTCGCTTCCGAGGACATTGCGTTCCGCGTCTACAAGGTGTCGTCCATTCCTCCGTGCTCAGGCGCATGCTCTCGCCCTCCCCATTCCCCTACCCGGCCGTGAGAGGACACGTGCGTGGTCTGGCATCTACTAGGCTCTTCGAGGGCGTGGAGGTTTGTGCTGCGAGTGCTTCTCGTGGATGGCGGGAGACCGCTGCGATGTAAGCCACCCACGTATATCTCTTGGTCCAGAGTGCGTTCTGACGGCAGGCCAGGACGAGTCAAACGCAATCGAACATCCGCTCGGCCCCAAGTACCGGCGGCCGCCGACGATCAGCCCAGCGTACGCGCTTTGCGTCGTCAATGCCGCCCGCCTCCCGGGGAACTCTCTCTCCTCCACGATGCGATGATCTTCTGCGCGGGGTCGGTCAAACCCGCATACACAGGCGAGTTATTTTACAGCGACGGCGGCTCAGCGGCGAAGACGAAGCTCGCCCCCTCCGGGCCACACACCAATTTGTCCTCACCACGATGTCCGTCGTCACCGCAGTGCTTCTGCCCCCAGTGCACGGGGTCTGCGACCCCCATCGTGTCAGCAGGCGATGGACGGCCTCGCGCGGACGGTGCTGCCCGCGATGATGGTGTCGAAGGCCCCGCTGGACCCGCTGTGCGAGCGTGCGGACATGCAAGCGGCGAAGGATGCGTTGGGCTCGAGTTGGGAGCGGGCGGGGGTGAGGAAGCAGTGGCGGATGGTGTGGAACAAGCTGCCCGGGTTGTTTGGTCTGGACGTGTCACGATGACGAGTCTGAGTAGATCCCGTTCATGTACGTGTTTCATGGTCGAACTTTCGGACGTTTCCACTTTTCAGTCATGCGATGCTGGATGTTATGTCTGGCATAGGTGCGAAGACGTGCTGTTTTTCCTGCTCCAATTTCGTCATGGGAAAGTGTGCTGCGGTAGCAGAGCACGAGGACGGCTTGCTTTGCCACTGCTTGGATTCAACGTCGAGCTCGAGTCGTGAACCATTTTGCTGCTGTCCTTCTCACCATCATTGAACGCTCACATCTCGCTACCTTTGCTCTCCTCCCCCTCAAATTGTTCTAGTATCAGGGATGGCGATCATCTACCGCGAACCAGCTGGTCCCTCGGATGATGGAATTCAGTCTGATGGCGCATCGGTGAGTCAGTTCGCTGTCGTCCCTGACGTCGCTCATGCGCCCTCCCCATCGCTCAGGCCGTCGTTTCGCCCCTTCCCGGTGGTACCCAATTCCCTGAACCCTCTGCCACACCGCTTGCAACCCCCTCAAGGAGGGACTCATCCGCCTCGGACACAACCCTTGTCGTAGCTCTCCATCTCCGTGCGAGCTGGAGAAGACCACCGCCCCCAAAGACTCAGAAGACTTCCCCATGCAGATGCGCGACCCCGATCTGTGGTTCGAGGACGGAACACTGGTGCTCGTCGTCGAGAACACCGCGTTCCGCGTGTTCAAGGGTATTCTCACCCTCCATTCTCCCGTGTTCAAGGCCATGCTCGCGGGTCCCAATTCCGCCCCAGAAGACGTGACCATCGGATCTACGCTGATCGACGGGAGGGTGTGTGCGGTCGTGCATTTGCCGGACTCTGCGCAGGAGTGGAGATACGTGCTGCGGGTGCTGGTCGCGGGCGGTGGACGGACATTGAGGTACGTGCACCGGCGACGTTTTGAGCGAATGGTGCTGAGGCGAATCTAGCTTCATTGACGCCGCGAACCACGACCAGTCAGTCTCCAGTAAAGACGACAAGGAAACCGAAGAGCTCTTGGCATTCGCTCGTCTTGGATACAAGTACCAACTTGACGGCATGTACGCGCGTAGTATGCGGTCCCTGAGGGACCAACTCGAGCCGAACGGCACATTGTATCATCCCACTCTCCGACCTTCCTTCGCGCCTTGCGTCGTGAACCTCGCGCGGATCACTGGGAACTATCCTTCGTGCCATACGCGATGCTGCTATGTTCCACGTCCATTTCTCCCACTCTAAGGGCGGTTCGTCTACAGCGACGGACGCGAAGAAGATCTCAATCAGGACGACAGCGCATGTTGTGTCCAGGGTACGCAGCAAGTAGTCATGGCCGCCCTAAATGCGGTCAGTAATGTGGTCCTTCCCCTCATTAACTGCAAGAACCGCGGAGATTCGGACGTCCGCCTCTGTGTTCTGTCAGCAGAACATGGACAATCTCGTGCGCAACCTCTTCCCTGCCCTCATGACGTCCAAGCCTCCGCTGGACCCCTTACTGTGGACGTTCGCTGAGCGAGATGACGTGATGACTGTGATGAAGGCTCTATGCAGTTACTGCCGGCCAAAGATAGGCAGTCGGATACAATGTCAGCGTGTGGCAACATGGGCCAAACTCCCCTCACTCTTTGGTCTCGACGTCCCAGGATGGGACTCCTCCCCAGCCAAGGCTGCTCTTGCTGAAAACCCTTGGCCAATGCTCACCAGCCTCGTTGCACCCCCGGCGACGGATCACATTGCTGCGCGGCGCGACCCAGTGTTATGGTTCTCTGACGGGACGTTAGTACTCGCCGTCGAAGACACTTCATTCCGCGTGTACAAAGGCCTCATCACGCACCATTTCCCGGTCCTGAGGGACATCCTCTCGCTTCCCTCAATCCCTACTCCTGAGGGCGTAACTGTCGAGAACACGACGGTCGATGGCGATCATTGCACAGTACTGCATTTGCCGGACTCTTCGAGGGATTGGAGATATGTGTTGCGGATTCTAATTGTCGGTGGTGAGCGGGCGCTGCAGTGAGTCACTACTTTCCACATCTTACTGTGGATCGCGCTCTGACCGTATCGTAGCTTCATCAAGCCCGCGGAGAACTTGGACGAATCAGCGACCTTCGAAGAGCTCCTCGCATCCATTCGACTCGGTCACAAGTACCAAATGAACGACCTGCTCTGGCGAAGTCTTCGCAGCCTGAAGGTCAGATTCGAGCCCCAGTTGGGATCCGACAACTACGACAGCGATAGTTTCCCGGAAACATTCCAGTCAGGTCAGGCGCTCTGCGTGGTCAACGTCGCGCGACTCACCGGCGAGCTCTCTCTTCTCCCGTACGCGATGCTGTTCTGCTCGACCTCCCTCGACGCCACATACACCGGCGAGTTCACGTACAGCGACGGCAAGCGGGGCGGATCAACCCGAAGACGGAGCGCGTTGTCTTCGCGCAACGCACGGGCTCGTGCTGACCACGATGAACGCTGTGGCCGCGGTGGTCCTGCCCCGCATCGACTCCTGCGAGGTCGAGGAGTGCCAAGAGAAAAGGGACGAGCTTGGCCGCACCGTTCTTTTTTCGATGCTGGGGTCGAAGGCGTCGCTGGACCCCCTCATGTGGACTTTCTGGGAACGCGAGGACTTGCGGGAGGCGAAGGCGGCGCTGTGCTCGAGCTGTTGTAGGGAGATGGAGCGTAGGGTTGGACGGAAGCGCCGTGCGGTGTGGAACAAGTTACCTGAGCTGTTCGGTCTTGAAGTTCCAGGATGGGGGGTTGGTGAGCGGTAGATTCTGTTGATCGATATGACCACGGTCGAGCAATCGAAGGTTTCGCCCTTTAGTCTGGATAACCGCGGATTCCGAGCGCCAAGCCGCAGAACGCGCGGGCAACCGGGCCGACGCCGTCCTCGTCACCACAGAGCGACGCTTGGCAGCTCGTCCTTTCTTCAAACCTCTATCACCCTGCGTGGAGGTCGGGGACGGCGTTTCTTCTTATGCCCCTCGACCTCGTCGGCCGGCCTCTCATCCGCACCAGCGTCTTCAAAGAACACCGATTCCCTGAGTAGCCACTGACGTCCGGCCGGTTCTCGCCTATTAAAGGGCTCCGAATCCCGAAGCGTGTTCGTCCTCACCACATGTCTTTTAAACTTTCTGAGCAGTGAACGTTTGAAGACTCGCGTACGTCGCACCAGTCGGCACTATCTGTGTCTCCAAAGCAAGCCCTCGCTGCCCTAAGCAGCCTCCATTCGCCCGCTCCGCCCCCTTCCTTCACCACGCCTCCCACCCGACTTCCAGACCGCACGCTCCCCCGTCTGCAGAGAGTTGGAAGAGCACAATACATAGTGTGTTTCTAAATGAAGTTGTGAGTAGTTGAGACGAGAAATATTGCGCGTCCATTCACCTGAGAGGTTACGTGACTGCTCATAGTCAACCTTCTACCCACGCTGTCATCTGGAAAGGGGTTCCATTGCATGCTCGATCCGTCGATATCGATATGCGAGTCGTCCCTGCGTTGAGCCCGTCGACCAGTACCTTTCGCATCCAGACGCATGTTCACGTTCCGCTATCCTCAACCACAGTCAATCAGAGGCACCGACGCTCAAGCCGAACAAAGTTCGCTTGTATGTTTCCCAGGCTGCCTCGTAATGTATGGCTGCCTCTCTTACATCGCCTTTTCCCTTCTAGTCCACGTCTACTACCTCGGCCTCGTCGAACCCCTTCCCACTCAGTCGTTTCTCCGCTGCGGCGGATAGCTCCCGTCACATGCTTGGCTACAACGCACCCGGTGCCGGCGAAGTTTCCTCCCCCAAGCGCGACAGTGAGCTGTGGTTCGAGGATGGCACGCTCGAACTGATCGTCGAAGACACCGCGTTCCGCGTGTACAAAGGTCTCCTCGCACACCACTCTGCAGTGTTCAAGGACATGTTCACGCTCCCTCCCCTCCCTGCCCCCAACATCGGTTCTGCGGAGTCACGCTCCGTCGACGGAAACCTGGTGCAGTGCGCCGTGGTGCATCTGCCAGACTCGGCGAGAGAATGGCGATATGTTTTGCGTGTGCTGATCATGGGCGGCGCCCGAGGGTTACGGTAACGTATCCCTCCCAGTTCAGACGGTTAGTCTCACTCTGACAAATGATCAGATTCCTCAGTGAGAGGGTTTCCCGACCACTCGACTTGAAGACCGAGGAACTCTTGGCCTATATACGTCTCGGACACAAATACCAGATTGAAGACCTGTGCCAAACAAGCGTCAAAGCACTCGAGCGCCATATCAACCCACTGCTGCTATCATCTTCTCTCTCGCCCTGGGACGATCACCCTCCCTTTTTCGATGCGACGGAGGCACCGGTTGTCGTCAACCTCGCGCGCGTGGTGGGGGAGTGTTCTCTTCTTCCCTACGCGATGCTTCTCTGTTCGAGGTCCGTTTACCCGAAGTTCACCGGCGTATTCAGCTACAGCGACGGGACTCGCGAGCCTCTGAACAAGGCCGACGAAGAACGGTGTGTGCAGGCCACCCATCACCTCGTACTTGCCACCATCTCCGCCGTCCACTCTGTAATTCTACCCCCTGTCGGGTGCACGACTCAACCATTGCCAGGAAAAGTCCCGTGCCAGCAAACGATGGACGGCCTCACCCGCACCCTCCTCTTGGCCGTGACATCTCCGACGCGCCCTCTGGACCCTTTGATGTGGGACCTTCTCAGGCACGATTCGATGCAGGCCGCAAAGAGCTCTCTGTGCCTCCGCTGTTGGGATGAAGTTTCAGGACGAGTCAGACAACAGCGCCGAGTAGTATGGAACACGCTACCAACGATATTTGGCCTTGAGGATATTTCAGGCGCATAGGAGATCGAATAAGGCCACCTTTGAGGAAAGGTTGGTTTATAGCCTTCGCGACCTGACTGCACTGAGATATACAAGGCTGACATGAGTGCAGGGAAGGGATGCGCGCTATACGGCGTACCAGTTGTATGGCAAGGCTGAAGCAGAGTGCGAAGTCCTCCACAGATAACGTTTACCGCTCCACATCGGAGTACACGAGCCATGCGAGGAGCTTGAGGCCTAGCTGGTTACATTAGAGGAAGGCAAAGGGGATAAGTGACGTATTCGGACTCAGCAGTCGAGTAGCTCGAAATCACGTTACCTGATTACATATACCATTCATACGCCTGCCCTGAAGCAGCGCCCACGCGCTTGCAGCCAAGCTTGCGTTTATCGTGGTGAACCCGGGTCCCCGTCCAAACGCTTCCCGCCATGCTATCTTATTTTTCTACATCTCACCACAATACTTTGTTCACAACGCTTGCGTCATACATTGGAGAGCGATTGCTGGAGTACGCGAGTACGAGGAGATGGTGTTCTCGGACCAGCGCGGTAAGTTGGGCGCGGCTGAGCCGGTCGGACTCGGGAGAGATCACGAAAGGTAAGTATTATCGCTCTACCCCTGCGTCTCCTTGGTGCGTTGCCAGAGGGCGGACGGTGCCTCATGCGCGACCCCCCGCCCCTCCACTCGTACCCACCCTTTTCTTGCACATCACCCATTGCTCATCTTGCGCTTTTCTCCTGGCCCCGGCCGTGCTCTGCGTGTGCTAACCGCACCTCCCAGGCGGTATCGCCCAATCCGTCGCGCTCAATAACAACTCCGAGGATCTCGGTGCTTGTCTCGTCCACACCGTCGCCTGGAAGCCGGAAAAAATCGCCGGCAAGGACCCCCAATCGTGACCGGTTGACCAAGCTTGCGCGGAACATCGGCTCCCAGTACATCAAGGACGTCGCCGTGGACCACGACTCGACTACCTGCTCGTCCTAGAACGCAGCACCACGTGGAGGGGGAGGGTGTGGACGGACCTGTCCGTTGCTTCCGTGGATCCAGGTCGCCGCTGACGGGAGTCGGGGTCCACGCTTGGACGCGTGGCATGGTCGAGACGCGATGAAGATGGACACCCCGAGGACAAAGACGGGAAAGCGGCCAGGTGCGGACGGGCAAGTGCTCAACCATCGTCGTGCGGTGTGTTCCCACCTCCGATCGCGCGCCGACTCCCATGCCCGCACCCGCACCTGCTACTATACCCATGGCCGACGCGAAGATACAGAAAAGACCCATCTTCCCCGTCCTCCACGATCGGCTCCACGTATATCTCGAGCAGAAGGGCATGTCCACCGATGTCATCCGCCACCCCAATCCTTCCCGTCAGACTTTGGACTGCCACGTACTCCCAGGTGGCACGCTCAACCGCGGCATATCGTTCTTCCACTCCACGGAGATCCTCAAGGGGCGCCCGCACGCCGATGAATATCTGATGCCACCCTCCTCTCCCGGTGCACTGAGCTCGTGAGTTTTGTCCTCTTCACTCTCTGCGCCCCACGCCGGAGCTTAACAGAGCTCACCTTCAGGCCGTCGTCCTCTTCTCGGGCAAGTTCAGGATTGAGTTGAGCGGTCTCGGCACGATGGAGGTCAAGGGCGGGGGTGCAGCGGACATGGCTCGCGTGGTGGAGAGTATGGAGGTTGCGACGGGCTGCAGCGGGCGGTAAACGGTGCGGACGGTTCGTGATGGAACGCTCGAGGGCGCCATCTACTTCTTCCTCGTCAAGCACTACCACGCCACGCACCTTTCCCGAAGCCTTTCACGATGTACGTCCGCTTTGTTCTGCGCGCATGCGTACAGTGGGGTTGATATGGCTCTTATGGACAGACGACCTTTCAGACGGAGATAGGGCAGTTCATCGATTTCACAACTCTGATTTCAAAACTTCAAGTCAGTCTTCAAGTCCACCTCGCCAAGTGTGCTTCCATCTTTCTCACTCCTTATTCTGCGTCCGAATCACCTTACGTGCAGGACCAGGAGTTCGTCATCTACAAGATCGCGTCCGACGCAGCTCTTCTTCCACCTCGACCCGCGTTGCCGCCGGCCTAATAACTGGAATCTCGGAGACGGCCCAGCAGTGCGGCCGTGGGCGTCATCCCCGTCGACACGAATACAGATACGCCGCCGCGAGGCGACTGCATTCTTGGCAGTCACATTCCAGTACGTTCATCTGTGTATACACTGTCCGGGAGGTGCTCAGATAACACTCAGAATCCTTGCCGAGCGAGGTGGCCACGCGAGGGGTGTCCTCGAGATGAACGGTGGGGCAGGTGACCACGCTGCACTGCACAGTACGTTTCCTCGCCCGTGATCGCGAGCGTAGAGCTGACCGAACGGTGCAGACCCGAAGGTGTCGGAGAGCAAAGGCCGCCCCACGCAAATCCGTCCGGAGTTCGCTATCAGTACCTTCAGTGTATCAGCCGTGTATGCATAGTTCTCCCTTGGGCACAGTTAGATCTGATGCATTCTCGAGGGTCGCGAAGAGGTAGATGCGACCAGGGGACGGGAACGCCCGGTGTGCCGAGAACGAGAATCCAATCTGACCGGTTTGTCCGGACGGAGGGACCGGGGGCACGCGACTTTGTCTTGAAACCAGTATTTCCTTGATGTCACTTCGAAAAGTGCCGTCCTTGCTGCTTCTATTTCGTCGTGGGAAGGAGTGCTGCGGTAGCAGAGCACGAGGATGACGCGCCTTGCTGCCGCGTGCACTGACCGTCGAGCTCCAGTCGTGAGCCCTTGAGCGTCGCTGCTTTCCTCTCGCCACTGTCGCTGAACGCCGTATCTCACTAGTTTGCTTTCTTCCCCTATCTAATTCTAGTATCAGGGATGGCGATCACCTACGCGAACCAGCTCCCTCGGACGATGGAATTCAGTCTGATGGCGCATCGGTGAGTGCATTCGTTGCGCCCCGACTCTCTCATGTGCTCCCCATCGTTAAGCCATTTTTCTACCCTTCCTGGTGGTACCCATCATCTCCCTCCCCTGATCGCGCTGCGACTCCGCTTGCAAGTCTAAGGCGGGACTCGTCCGCATCGGACACAACCTTGCATAGGTCTTCCATCGCCGTGCGAGCTGGAGAAGACCGCGCAACCCAAAGACCCAGAGGATTTCCCTGCCGAGATGCGCTCCCCCGATCTATGGTTCGAGGACGGGACTCTGGTGCTCGTCGTCGAGAACACGCGTTTCGCGTGTTCAAGGGCCTTCTCACACTCCATTCCCCGTGTTCAGAGCCATGCTCGCGAGCCCCGATTCTGCTCCAGAAGAGACGTTGGCATCGTCTATGCTGATCGAAGGAGTGTGCGGTCGTGCATTGCCGGACTCTGCTCGGGAATGGCGGTACGTGCTGCGGGTGCTTGTCGTCGGTGGTGAACGGCGCTGAGGTACGTGTCGACTAATGTCTTCGGGAGGTGCGTGCTCTGAAGAAAATCAGCTTTATCAAAGACAGAGTCGAAGAAGCCGAACACCACGACACCGAGGAGCTTAGCGTTCGTCGTCTGGGTTACAAGTACCGATTCGAGGCCCTGTACACACGTAGCATGCAATCCCTGCGATTCCTTGTCAAACCCCGGCAGATACCAAGGAATCCACCCCCTTCAACCCCCTACGCACTGTGTGTCGTTAACATCGGACGGCTCACTGGACAGCGTTCACTCATACCGTATGCGTTGCTGCTGTGTTCAACGGATGTCGTTCCAGGCTTCGATGGGAGGTTCGTCTACAGTGACGGCAAGAAGAACACCTCAACAGGGAAGACCATGCGCGTGTTACGGGCAACACTTCAGCTCGTTCAAGACACGTTCCAGACGGCGCACGAGGTGGTTCTTCCCCTCATCCATTGTCCACTCGGAAGACATGCCAGCAGCCGATGGACAACCTCGCACGTACCCTTCTCCCCGTGTAACGGCGCCGCTGGATCCTTTGCTGTTGAGATGCACGAACGACATGAATACAATCCGCGAGGAGGCGATGTGTCATCGTTGCTTGGAAAGCTCGACATGCGGATCACCACAGGGAATGAGACGATGTGGAGCAAATTACCGTCGCTGTCGGTCTCGCGACGTGGCTGATACTCCTCTCGATTTCCCCCTCTTCCACGGACAAGCTCAACGAACTCAGATCACTGCATAGCATGGATTTCCTGAACGAGCGACCAGACACGGAGCTGTGGTTTGATGATGGGACGATCATACTTGCCGCCGAAGACACCGTTTCCGCGTGTACAAGGGTATTCTCGCCTCCCATTCCGCCGTGCTCAAGCAAATCTTGTCGATCCCGGCATCCCTCTTCCAGAAGGCGTCACCTTCGAGACGGTGCTCATTGATGGCGAGCAGTGCACGGTGCTGCGTTTTCCTGACTCTGCGAGGGAATGGAAGTATGTGCTGCGAGCACTGACAATCGGCGGGGCGAGGGCATTGCAGTAAGCATGAATTGCTTGTCTGTTACAATTGCGCGCTGACAAGTCACCTTGGTGCCAGGTTCGTCGAGCTTGAGAAGGACGACGAGGCTGCGAGTACCGAAACTTTCCTGGCGTTCATCCGACTAGGTTACAAGTACCAGATGAATGATCTACGCCGCCGCGGTCTTGGTTGTCTGAAAGCCCATCTCGAGCCGAGGACCGAACCTTGGTTTTTCGACTGTGTTCTAGCTCCTCGGCTCAAACCTGCATACGCACCCTGTATAGTGAACGTTGCGCGTCTCACCGGGGAGCTGTCTCTTCTCCCCTACACGATGATGCTATGCTCGAAATCCGTCAATCCCGATTACACAGGTGCATACACGTACAGTGACGGCAAAGTAGAGGAGATCAATGCAGGAGACAGGATTCTTTGTCTTCAAGCGACGCCGAAGCTTGTGCTCACCACGATGTCCGCCGTGGCCGCGGTGGTCCTGCCCCGGTTGGACGTTGCAGGGTGCACGCGCAAGCCTTCCGCCGACCCGACTCCGGGGAAGCACGCCCCGACATGCCAGGAACGGTTGAGGCTCTTGCGCGTACACTTCTTCCCGTTGTTATGGAGCCTCAATCTCTTCTGGACCCCTTGTTGTGGATGTTGCAAGCGCGAGGATATGCAAGAAGCTATGGAGGCCATGTGCGGGAGCTGTAGCTGTGAGATCAACGCCGCATAAGGCAGCAGCGCCGTGTGGTGTGGAATAAACTGCCCTCACTGTTCGGTCTGGAGGTTCCCGAATGGGAGGCCCGCATCTATTTTTAGAGCCTGTGGATGTAGCCTACATATCGAATGCTTTCGCTCTGCAGCGCCGCGGAACAAGGCCGTCGCGATCACGATTCATGAGCTATATGATGATGTCCACATGTGTGCGCGTCTCCCCCCAAGCCCCCCACTGTCGCCCGGGTCCGAGGGGTGTCGGCTCCAACAGCGACCCATCCCCACACTTCAGGCCGGTGCGCCTAAGTGCGACGCCGCACGTGGCGTGAAGGACGAGGAGACCGTCTGGGACGACAGCGCGGCCCCTCGAGGTGCCCCTTGAAGACACGCGCCGGTCCGGTCTACATCGGCGTCGATCGCGTGTGGAAGCGCGAGTAGGCCACTTCGTCTCTCCGTCGATCACACCGTATAGCTTCTCGAAATGCAGAGGCGCGGCGTGCACCTCGACGGCGTCGCGGACGTGACTTGAGCGCGCAACTCGCTGTCGTCGCCGTGTAGCTCGTCGAGGGAGAGCTTCTTGTACTCGGCGCGGGAGAACTGCTTGCCGTTGACTATCGGGCCTGAAGTCTTTCGTTGTGAAACATCCATGTTTGCGATAAGCAGATATCGTCAATATTAGCATACAAAAGTACAGTACAAATCGTACGCTCTCAGTCTCTCCGGCAGACGCGATGCTCACGCGCTCGTCGTGGTGCCGGTCGGGAGCTTGATCGGGTTCTCGACGTTCGTGAGCACGTCGTTGATGAGCGTCGCGCGGCGCGCGTCGAACGCGCCCCCATGACCGATGATGGGCGGCGACAGCGAGGTGTCCTTCTCGACGCTGCTCGGCCACCCGCTCAATAAATACGACATCACGCGGGAGAGCGGCGAGACAGGACGTACGTGACGTTGAAGGACGAGGTGACGGTCTTGGACTCGCGCGAGCCGAGGACGATGATGCGTCCGACGATGTTCGCCCTGAAGAACGCGCCGACGGTGCCGGTCTGCAAACGAGAAGCCACGGTGAGCGCTGGTTCCGAGACGAGCGAGACGCGGCGACGACGGCTACGCACCCCGATCTTGTTCAAGTCCTGGCCCTCCGGGTCCGCGGGCACCGCCACGACGTCGCCAAACGTGACCGTCGCGCTCAGGTCGCCGTTGACCTCGCCGAGGAGGAGCTTCTGGTACGCGGCGCGGGACGTCTTCCTGCCGTTGACGGTGATGTGGGCGTGCTGGCCGACGAACGAGTCGAAGGCCTCCGCGAAGGCCTCCGCGCTGGGCGCGGTGTACAGAGCCGTGATGCGTTGCTGAACGAAGTTCTGGAGGTCGGGGAGGACGATCGCGGAGGACATGGTGCGAGTTGATGAGAGGGTGAGAGGGTAGGTACGAGAGATGGGGCGTTGGTGGAAGGGACGAGGGAGAGAGAGCTGCGAGGGATGGAGACGGACGGCGCGGGGTAGGGCTCTTTTATACGCCGAGAGGAGGGTCATGTCGGGGTCGGAGTCGTGGGTCCCGCGGTCTCCGTGAGAACAGCATTTGTGGGGGCGCACTGAGGGCGCGGCGTCCCTGTCGCTCTACGCGTACAAGGCTAGCCCGAGCGTTCTGTGCAAGTTCCGATCAGCGTTTCGTGGGACCTGCGGACGCGGGAGCGTGACATGTGAGCAATGAAACGCCTGCGCGGACGCAGAAATAGCAGAGCGCGCTGCACACGTCAACTGTCGTAAGTTGCGCAGGGCCACAGGAACAGTCGAGGCGAGTTAGCAGAATTCGGGCCGCGGCGAACATAGTTGCGGAGGAAGTGCCCGTCCGGTCTGAATCGGAACAAACCTAATACAATAGACATGCTCAGAAGGAAGAACGTGAAGCAAGCGGACACGCGATCTCCTCGTGGGCTTTCTGCCGGAGTGATTCACCATGCCGTTGTCGAGACATTTCCCCGTCGGCGGATTTGGCTCGTGAAGCCCGACGCGGTGGAGACTACGTCAAGACAAAACCCCGACTGAACGCTGAGAACAACACCAGGTTGCACAGCCAGGGGATGGTATGACGCAAGAAGCTACGTAACACCGCTCGCTGCCACAACATGACTAGTAGCAGGTGCGATGATGAGCCTCACCCGAGCGCTGACGGGGCCGGTCCCATCGCACTAACATCGGAACAGAACTTGATCATAAACACAGTGGCACCGAGCTGCGTGCATACCCGGTGGCGCAGATGGACTGGACCTAGTGCTCACGATCGCATGAGGACGGGACCTGGGTACGAGCGCACACCGAGCCGAGGTCCAGTGATACAAGGGGCGTTCTTGCATGACCATGAACAGTCAAGAAGCTATCTCGCAGGACGAAGCGCAGAGACTATGTACGTCTCGGACCGAGGACAGCCAGCAAGGCGCAGGCTGCGCTTGGTCCGAGTGGACATGGGAGAGAGGGGGAATCACGTAAACGAAAACGGACCTGAAGCGTTCCCAGCCCCCACAGCGTTTCGACACTCCAGACCCGGATGCGAAAGCCTCGCCTCCTGGAGCGCCATCGCCAGCGTCCCGGACTCCATCGGTCCCGATGTGCATGTCTTCATTGCGGAAAGAGCGCGGCCACCGCCGGCCGTCATGCGTATCTTGAACTGTCGGCCGGGGACGTGGAAATGGGCGACTTCGCGCGCCACAACGAGCCCTCGGAGTTCACCTCGGATAGACTGAGGGATAGGCAAGTAACGCAGAGTAATTACCTAGGATCTTTGGCAAACCGGCACCATGGGGAAGAGTCACAAGTTTGATGAGAAGACATGATCAAAGTATTGTGGTGAGATAGTCGTAGAATCATAGAACAGTGCGAGAAGACATGCGCAAGCTGGACAGGCAATCCCGGCTGCCAGCGGCAGACGCCGCTTTAGGGCAGGCGTGCGAATATAATATATGCAATCAGATGACGTGACCTCTAACTGCATGACCTCCTGAAAAATCGACCAAGACTACATACATACACAAGCGGCGTCATCAATAACGGGAGCCCCCTCCAAAACCTGGATTCCAAACAGCGAGGGCAGCTTGTTCCACACCACCTGACGCTCCTCATAACGCGACCGTCGATACATTGCCGGCATCGCTGCAAAGCGCTGCCTTCGCAGACTTCACGTCATCTCGGTCGAGGAAAGAATAACAAAGGATCTAACAGACTTTGGAGCCGCCATTCAGGAGAAGGGTTCGGGCGAGCTTGTCCATCGCCTGTGGCACGATGTGATAGTCCATTCCCGGCTGGGACGGTGGGGACGACCAAGCAAGTTTCCCCACTGGCCCGCCCTGGACACCCACCACGGAAGAACAACCGCAGTGACGGCGGATATAGTGGTGAGTACAAGTCACGCGTCGCTTGCGCAGCGCTCCTGTCTGCCGGGTTGATTTCCTCCCGTGTGCCGTCGCTGTACACAAAGACGCCTGTGTATTCGGGATTGATGGCGGTCGAGCAAAGCAGCATTGCGTATGGGAGAAGGGTGGAATCTCCGGTGAGCCTAGCGACGTTGACTACGCAAGGCGCATATCGACGATGAGGGGCTTAGGCGACGGTTCAAAAGCCCCAAAAGCCCTTTGGCGGCTGATTTTCGGCTCGAAATGGGACTTGAGGGAACGGAGACTGAGCTGAGACAGGTTGTATTTCACCTGGTACTTGTGGCCTAACCGGATGAACGCCAGGAGCTCTTCAGCGCTCGCAGACGTGTCATTGTTCTCGGGTGGATGAAACTGACGGTTGGTAGTAGACCGCACATAAGGTAAACGCATAACAAGTCAACTTACTGCAGCGTTCGCCCACCACCGATGACAAGGATCCTCAGCAAATATCTCCAGTCTCTCGAGAGTCGGGGAGATGCAAAAGCATGCACTGTGTATCGTCAACTCGCGTTCTCTCGACGGCGACTCCTTCCGTGGCAAGAGATGTAGGGTGGGATAGTAGGGTTTGGAGAACGGACGAATGCTGCGTGAGGATACCCTTGTACACACGGAACGCGATGTCTTCGACAACGAGTACAAGCGTTCCGTCTGAGAACCACAGCCCCTTGTCGCGTCGGAATGGAAGGGAACCCGTCTCCTCGAGCTGACACGTGGGGGAAGGATCCGCAACGAGAGGAGTGTCAGGCACGATGTCTCCCCATCCGGGGATGTCGAGACCGAACAGAGAGGGCAAGCCGCGCCACACCTCTCGACGCCGGCTCTCGACCCGCTTTGTGATCGTATCTTGACAGCCATCGCAGAGCATTTCCATTGCAGACACCACATCATCTCGGTCGAGGAATTTCCACAGCAAGAGATCCATCTTCGAAGACTCTGACGCCATGAGTGAGGGGAGAAGGGTGTGCACAAGGCCGTCCATCGTCTGCTGACAAGGCGGCCTTATGTTTCCTGAACATTGGATGGGGGGAAGTACCACCTCGGTCGCCGCAGCGAGTGTGGCTAGAACGATCTTCTGCGTTGCGCGTACACAGCGCGAGCTGTCCTCTTGATTGAGAAGCTCTAATTTTCCATCACTGTAGACGAATGGCCCTCGGAGTCGGGCCCGACAACAGCTGGGGAACATAGAAGCAGCGCATACGGAAGGAGTGAGAGTTCCCCGGTCAGCCGCGCGAGGTTCACGACATGCGGTGCGTGAGAGGGCTGGAGATACAGATTTGAACCGTTCGGATCGCCGCTTGCAAGGCTGACTCGGCGTTGCATGGACCCCAAGCTCCTCCGGTAAAGGTCTTCGATTTTGTACTTGTACCCCAGACGGACGTAGGCCAAAAGCTCCTCCATGCCCACGTAATACGCCTGCTCGGATCCATCCTCTCCGATAAAACTGAAGCCCCGTCAACGTACGTCCCACACGAGGACATCAAAGAGACACGTACCTCAGCGCTCGTGAGCCGCCTTAGTTAGCACCTGTAGAACGTATCTCCAGTCGCGCGCAGAATCTGGCAGATGTACCACCGCGCACTCCCGCCGTAATCAGCGTAGATCCGACGTCACGCTTCCGAGGAATGGGTCTCTAGCATGGCCTTGAACACGGGAGAGTGGAGTGTGAGAAGGCCCTTGAACACGCGGAACGCGGTGTTCTCGACGACGAGCACCAGCGTCCCGTCCTCGAACCACAGATCGGCGTCGCGCATCTCGGCAGGGGAAGTCCTCTGGTCTTGAGTGCAGCGGTCTCTCAGCCGGCTCGCACGGGGGAGTCTATGAAAGGTTGTGTCCGAGCGTATGAGTCCCCTTGGAGTTGCAGAGGCGTCGCAGCGCTCACTGGGGGAGGGAGGATTGGGTACTCCGGGAAGGGAGGCAAGCGGCCTGAATGTAGAGGGCGCATGAGAGACGTCGGGGACGACAGCAATGACCACCGATGCGCCATCAGACTGAAGTCCATCGTCCGAGGGAGCTGGTTCGTGGTAGGTGATCGCCATCCTGACACTAGAACTAACGAGGGGAAGAGGAAAGCTAGCAAGATCAGGCGTTCAACGATGAAACGATGTTGCAGCAAGAGGGCTCACGACTCGAGCTCTGAAGTGAGTCCGAGCGACGGCAAGGCGGCCATCCTCGTGCTCTGCTACCGCAGCACGCCTTCCCATGATGACGAAAGGGAAGCAGAAAAACGGCCCGCTTCGCACGTATGCCTTGACGCCGGCCGCGCTGGACCCGACGCGCCTCGAAGGTGTTGAAATTGAATTCTGTCTCGAGTAATCTGCTACGAGTCTCAATGTACTCACCTACCATATCGATTGAATATGGAGCTAAACAAGAGCGACAGACGCCCGTGGCACGTGTTAGAGGCGCCTTGCTGAGGGTTGCCAACCGCGCGCTCCTCGAGTCAGGCTTGGACCAAGGGATGCCTCGTCGTTCCATCCTGGGACCTCTGCCTGGAACCCACGTCCCGGTGTGGTTGCGGTGTGGTTCGTTATGTCAGTTCAATAATGCTCAGCAGTCATTCTTGCAGTCTCGCTAGAGTCGAAGCTTTATGCTCGCGTCTGTTCTTCTTGCCACTGCCCGACACGTTTCTAGCAGTCACTGCAATGGTTTCGTTCAGAGACGCAGAAGATGGTACGCTCGTTTCCCCGTCTCTCCGCATCTTAAAAGGTTCACCAAGTCGCAGAGATCACTCAGCAATCAACCACACCACGGTCCTCAGTCCCCTCCGTCTCACTCATCATGAAGTCTTCTTTCGTCGCTCTTGTCCTGTCGGCTCTCGCTCTTTCTGTGCGCGCACTCCCCTCGTACCCGTACTCGAGCAGTGAAGCCCCGTCTTCCGCGTACTGCAACAGCACGCTTCCCTCTTCCACGTACCACACCTACACTAGTACCATCCAACCGTCCACGCATTCAAGCAGCTCGATTCCCTCGTCCACGCATTCCACCACTGCTCCACCAGTCGTGAGTGTATCGCATTTCTCGCCCCTCTCCAACTGCTCCTACTGACACCGCGTCTCATCGTGTCCCCTCCAGACCACTCCTTCCGCCCGCCCAGTGCTGCGACAGCACCGTGCCGCTCCTCCGCGCATACAGCCCCTCCGCCACGGACCACTTCTACACCACCAACGCGCAGGAGCGCGCCAACGCCGTTGCCTCCCTCGGGTACGCCGACGAGGGGACCGCCGCCCAAGTCTTTCCCGCGCCGGGGGTCGCCGGCGCCGTCCCGCTCTACCGCCTCTACAGCGCGGGCGGCACGGACCACTTCTACACGACGAACGCGCAGGAGCGCGACGACGCGCGGCCGCGCTCGGGTACGCGACGAGGGCGTCGCCGCGTACGTCTACCCGAGCGCGCAGTGCGGGAGCGTGCCGCTGTACAGGATGTTCTCGCGTCGGCGTCGGACCACTTCTACACGACGAACGCGGCGGAGAAGGACAACGCGGTCGGAGCTTTGGGATACTCGTACGAGGGAGTTGCTGGGTACGTGAACCCTGTGAGGGGCGCGCACTGTGAGCATGCTGTGGTAAGTGAGGGTTACGCCGACTGCAACCTGGACCACGGCTTGCTAACTTGAATATCACAGGACCTGAATGTCTCTAGCGGCTTTGTCTCGGTGTACTTAGACGCACCCCATCTTCTCAGATTATACCGAGACATATACATCGAATTCTTCTCACCTACTCTTCGTCACTGATTTGTTGTCACCGTATCTAATCCCGTAATACCATATTCCACAGCTCCGTTCGCCTCATATACGCCCCGCTCTCGGCCTCCGTTGTCGTCATCTTCGATGAACTAGTCAATTGCATCTAGTCCAATTGTGAGACCCTTCGCACCGTCTCCAACGCTCGGCGTCGCGAGTGTCGCCGTGCCCGGCTCACGCCACTGCCACTCGTCGCGCGGAACATCCTTCCTGAGCTGCCCCAGCCGCCGCAGCGTAGGGCTGACGAACTCGCTCGGAACCGTCTGTCCCCACAGCCACCGCTCAACGCTTGCCCATCACAGGCTCGGGGGCAGATCTCCACTGCGGGCGCTGGTGTCGAAGGCGGCCGATCCGGGCGGTAATACACGCAGAGAGCGCAACGACGCGGATCGATGAGACGGCCTCGACGGACTGGAGCGTCCGGAACGAGCGGAGGGCCTCGACGCCGCGGGCCCCGGCGTCCGCCGCCAGTAGTCCACGTTGGCGATGCTTGACGCGTGGTGGCGCGGGGCCAGAGGGGGGGAAGTCTAGAGCTCGAGAGATACGAAGGGCTCGGACGTCGACCCGGGTGCGGCGAGCGGGGTTTCCTGGCGTCGGAGAAGGTGGGACAGAGCGGCGGCGAACTTCGAGACGAGGAGCGGACGGACCCCGTATTCACGCACTTCGCACCCACCACGATCTCGAGAGACCAGAGACGAACCGCGGGGGGTGAAAGGGTATCCGAGACACGCCCTGGACCGGTTATGTTTGGACACGTGTGGGGTTTGTGGCCAGCGAGTCGGAGGGCTGCGAGAAGCGGGAGGAAGTTGTGGAAGTCGTCCCGGCCGGAGATCGCACTGGTCAACATGAGCGTTCCGCGGGACGCGCGGGGCGCGGGGTGTGGCCGAAGTCCGGAGAAGGGTGCATAGACGGCGGACGCGTTGTATGAAGGTGCGCGAGTGTAATCTATGCCTGGGCCGGGATCAGGAAGGAAACGATATAGTTGTCTGGTAGCGCTCACATTTCTTCTCCAAGTCGTGATGAAAGACCGCGCGCACGATGTGCGCGATCACACGTCGCGCGGCGGCGCACCGGAGCAGACCTTGAGGCACATACCCCGTCCACATCTCTCTGCAATTCCCCCCACGCGCGTCTCCACTTATGTATTGTGGAGATGTGCAGCCTCGACCATGCACGCTACCGCTCATACCGGCACTTCGCGGAGTAGAATCCTGCAAAGCAAAACCGATCAGCCCCTGCGTGCACGACAGCCCCGTCGCGCGCGACCAATGCTCACCGTCAAGGCTCCTCGCAGCGTCAAAGTCCGCGCGTTCGATCAGCGCGCGCGCCCGCTCCCCGTCCTCCCGCCAGATCTCCACCGGCCCCCGCGCCGCACCCTCGCCCTCGACCCACCACCACCGGTCGTCGCGCGGGACCTCCGCCCGGAGCTCCCGCAGCCTCCGCAGCGCCGGGCGCACGCGCTCGCTCGTCGGGCCCCACCGCCGCTCGACCTCGTCCTCGCGCGCGAGCTCCGCCGCGAACTCGGCGCCCAGGCCCGGCACGCGCTCCGCGCGCGCCTGCGGGCTGTCGAAGTTGCACGACCCGGGGAGGCAGGCGCGCAGCGCGAGGAGGCGGAGCGACGGGGCGGCGGCGACGAGACGCGGGGGGAGCGGGAGGAGCGCCTCGACGCGGCGGACCTCGGTCGCGCGCCGGGTGTCGACCTCGGCCATGTTCTCGGCCGACCATGTGTGCCGGGCGGGCGGGAAGTGGAGGGTGAGGTGGAGGAGCGACGGGGCTTGCAGCGCGGGCAGCAGCGAGTCCTGGTCGGAGGGTTGGCGTGGAGCAAGGGCGCGGAAGTGAAGGACGGGCGGACGTACCACGTAGTCGCGCACCTGGCAGCTGTCGACTATGATCTCGAGGGAGCGTAGATGAGGCACCGCGCTGCACAAGGATCTCCATACGTGCTCCGGTTCGGCCAGAACAGGGTCCGTCTGCAGCTTGAGAGCGAAGGGCCGAGTGGCTTTGAGCAGCGGGAGGAAGTCGAGGACCCCCGGGCTACATAGTGGTGACCAGGCGTCCCCTACCGATAAATAGTTGACGCGTCCCATGCGTCGGGCGGTATCTTCAGTGATGATAATTTGTGATTCGATGCTGAGCTCCTTGAGTTCGGCTGGCCACCGGTCATCCGCCCCAAAAGAGAACATTTGCTCGTCATACAGCCATAGAGACAAGGTGCGGAGATTGGAGCACCGTGGCACAACACTCGCGGCCACCGCTGAGGTGCCCACGAGGGAGAAGTGGCGGATCGAGGGTAGGTTCGCGTCGGGTAATCCGATGGTGTTCGATAGCACGGAGACACAGTCGAAGATGAGGGTAAGAGTTTCCACGCTCGGGATGGAGACAAGGACGGATATGAATGCTGAAAGCTCGAGAGTGAGATCCGGTTTGTTTTCGGAGTCAGCGAACTCGAGCATTAATGAGGCAATGTTCGAGCTCGAAAACATCGCTGGCAGAATAGAAATCATCTCAGAGGCGATGAATACTAAACACGCTTGCTTGAGGTAGGGCATCGCGCGGATGGCCCGGGTGAGCCCTTCCGTGTCTTCGTCGACGAAATGATGAAAGTTCCAGAGCTCGATGGTGCGGAGATTGGAGGCGTGGCTGAGGAGTTCGAGCAGGAGCGGTGCGTCGGCTTGTTGATTGGACACCGTGGCGAAGTGGTGGACATGTCGGACGCGAGGGACCTGAGAGAGCGGCTCTGGTGCGCGCATGTAGTCCCACAGGGCACGGGCCTCGGAGGGATCGCCTGGATCGGGCACAGTCGACCCGTGCATGGCTCTGCTCCAGCGCAATCTGGTAAAGACGTGGGAGATGGCGAGTCGATAGGCGCGTTTGGAGGTGCACGACATCGCGAGTGCCTCGTTGCGATCCAGGAGGGAGAAGATCTCGAACAGAACGTCGTCGTTCAGCGAGAGGAGAGAGGCGGAAACCATGGCCGGGACGGGTACTGGCGCGCGGGTCCGCTGAGCAGCCTGAGTCTACCGGGAAGGAGTGGGGGGAAGGAGAGAGACGCGGCCATCACCTGTGTTTGCGGTCGTTGAGGCTGTGAACAGGTGTCTCGCGGACGTCCGCGTGGAGGTCGAGAACGGCGTCTCGTCTCTTGCCCCTCGACCTCGTCGGCCGGCTTTCTTCCACCTCTCATCCGCACCACGGACTCGGTCTCCCCCCTTGTCAGCCCAGCCTCTTCAAAGAGCTCCGATTCCCTGAGCAGCCAACGTCCCTGGTCTCGCCTATAAAGGGCTCCGAATCCCGAAGCGTGTCTCTCCTCACCCACTTGTCTCCTTGAGCTTCAGGCCTCCAGGTCTGTCTCGTCCCAGCTTTTTTAAATTTTCTGAGCTGTGGAAACTCGCGTACGTCTAACCTGTCGGCACCATCTTTGTTTCCGTAGCAATCCCCTGCTGCCCTGAATTCGCCCTCCACCACACCTCCGGCCCAACTTCCAGACCGTACGCTCACAGCCGCAACGCCTTCCACCCAAGTCGCTCTGTCACCACGCTTCACGTCCTCTCGCTCTTGTCACGCCCTCCCTGCCCTTCTATTGCGGCACCACTGACGGCTTTGCGGGGAGGCACGGCTCTAGACAGTCGGAAGACGAGGCGCGGAAGCGGCGGGAATGCACACTGCTGACGGCGGGGCGGGGGTATTGGGGGTGGTTCGAAGGAGTGTTGGGTATATGAGCCGAGGTCGGGACTCAGGAGAGAGGACGGCTAAAGGGCGGGTTGATCGAGAGCGCGGCCTTCGACCTGGCGATGTTGCCAGATGGTCATTAGTGAGTATCTGAGTCCTTCCTCGCTGCCTCTTGTGCATTCCCGTACATAACGAGCCACTTCAAGGGTGCGCGGCGGGGTGTTGCTGTACGTGACTGCCTGTATATGCTTGGCAGACATTCAAAAGCACTTTCGGGCAATGACCAAACCACGTACACGAAGGGTGCTGTCGACGTCCCACTCGTGCTTTGCGGTTTCAAAAGTCCAGGACTACACGCCAGGGCCCAGCACGCCGGAAGTCCGCTGAAAACTATGTCCATTACACAATTCATTGATGGGAAGGCACGTAGGAAGCATGAGGGTGGACGAGGGTGGACACGTGGACGGACAGAGCATGGATAGTGGACTGGATAGTGGATTTGAAGGAGGAACTGGGGGCGTGCAAGCAAACGTATCCGAACGTACGGGAAAGTATTACGTAATCAGAATATTCGCAGTGGGCAGGCTTGCGTCAGCTGCCAGAAAGCTCTTCATGGACGGCGATACAAACGCTACTCCAAAGGCATAGAGTCTGGAGTCATTATTTCGTCCCATGCATGTGTAGAAGAATGATCACCCACAGATCGCAAGGCCAGAGATTTAGTGATTGGCCTTGTATTCCTCATCGGAGGAGATATCGAATAGGGAGGGGAGCATATTCCACACCTCTTCGCGCTGTTTCCTCACCCGGAAGAATGAGAGCTGGTCCCAGCAGGAAGCGCACAACATCTTCTGTGCGAGCCGGAACTCTTCAGATCTGACGACACTCCACAGCATGGGATCCATGGGGCCCGGGGACATGGGGTTCATGACAGTGGGAAGAAGGGTACGAGCGAGCGTGTCCATCATCTTCTGGCATTTTCGGCCTTCTTTGCAAGTCATCGGTGGAAGAACAACCTCGGTGATGGCGGAGAGAGTGAGCAGTACGAGTTTTCTTGTTGCCTGTATGCAGCGTGTATCGTCTTCCTCATTCAGATCCTCTTTTTTCCCATCGCTATGTACGATGTAGCCCGTGAAAGCGGGAGAAACACCTCTTGAACATAGAAGCATGGCATACGGTAGAAGAGACGGTTCTCCTGTGAGCCGCGCGATGTTGACGACACATAGTGCGTATGAAGGGAGTAGTCTCGGACGAGCTGAGAAAGACCACCTCGGCTTCAGAACCCCTTTCAAGGCTTTCAAGCTACGTCGATACACGTCTTCAATCTTATATTTGTGTCCCAGACGGATATACGCCAAGAGCTCCTCTGTTTGCACGTCCCAACCGTCTTGGCTGTCGTCGTACATATCCGGAGGTGGCGGTTCGTCCGATTCCTCTTCTTCTTCCTTGGCGATGAAGCTGAAACCACCATCAGAAACAAATCACTTCCAGATCGTGAGAGATTCAAGACGCACTTTAGAGTCCGTCCGTCACCCACGACCAGCACCCGCAGCACGTACCTCCACTCTCGCGCCGAATCCGGAAGACGGACGACAGTACACTTCTCCCCATCGACCACGGTCGTCCCGACAGTTACGCCGGCCGGAAGAAGGGACGTTGGGAGCGCCAGCATGTCCTTGAAGACGGGGGAATGGATCTTGAGGAGTCCCTTGTACACTCGGAAGGCGGTGTCTTCGACGGCGAGCACCAGCGTCCCGTCTTCAATCCACAGCTCTGCGTCACGCCGCTCTGGGGGGAACTCGTCTGGAATACATGTGATAGGATCGTCCGGGATCATGCTGAGGGGAGGATGGTGCCCAAGGGGAGCGGCGTTCGACGCGGTAGAGTCCGATCGGGATGGAATCGAGACCGCGTCCGCGACGGGGATGGATGAGGAGGGCGGTCCTTCAAAGGGCTGAGGTGTCTCGATACCGAGTGGGAGAGGCTGGGGTGTGTGTTCTCTGTCGGAAGTCTTCACGAGGTTGGAGTAAGTACACACGAGAGATCTCTTCGTAGCATTTGTGCAGACTCACGTGTGCTTCCTCTCCCGTTGTTGCGTCACCGAAAGGTGGGGGATCGTGGAACGTGATTGGAATCGTGATTGGTGTTTGTTTCGTCTGAAGGGACGAAACAAGAGTGAGAGTGCAGTGCGACACGGGAGGTCGAAGAGATCGATCAGGGCGGCAAGGACCCGACCGCCTGCGGCCGCGTGAGCGACGGGACCTCCACACGTTGAGCTATCGCAGCACCGTGGCCGATGACGATAGGGACGCCGGGGCGCTCGAAGGATACGCTCCCGGAAGACCCGCATTGGTGCCGCGGCGGAATCCTCGTAGACAAGAGCGCGCGATAGTTTCAAGCAGGTCGTGAGTCGACCCATCCGACGGACGCTTGTCGACCACGAGTGTGGAGACGTGCACGCCGCAGTTCTGCCACCGGAGATCCCGGCGAGCGAAACGTTTCGTCGCGCACTACGGTCGAAAGAGGTTGAGTATAGTACTACAACAGGGCAGAATGTCCCAACCCACCTCAGAAAGTAGCAATGTTTCTCATGACAAATAACGCCGGCACCCTGTTCGCCACATTCCCCAGGAAGTACTTCTGCTTGACGCACACCCCAGCTCCCCTCCACGGGCACGATCGTCGAACAAGCGGAAGCGTGAGAGAAAAAGATGAAATCAAACATAAGATCAATACAAACATACACAGAGAGCGCGAGCGCATGATGCCTAGGTGGGGCATGATGTGACGGCAGGGCGAGTGCGAATCTGGAGAGCAGTTGAGGGTGAGGGGAACAGTGCGATGGAAAGCGAGGTTGGAGAATATCGGGACAGGGATGGAGATGGGGATGTGTACACGGGGATGATAGCGCAGAAGGAACCGTCTGGCGGTGAGCCGGTATTGAGGCTCGACTCGATGATGAGAGGTGGGAGGTGTCGGACATGTACAGAACCCGGTCAAAGCGCGATCGCTCCGACCGAAAACGGCCCCGCGCGCGGGAACGCGAGCACGCTCGCGCAGACCAGGCACGCGCCGAGCGACACGAGCGCGAGCGACACGCGCGAGTGCAGCTGGATCGGAAGCACCCCCCGGAGCGGGAAGAACGAGAAGCGGAACGCCCTCTGGAGCGCCGTCGGCTTCGAGACGCTCGACAGAAGACCGGCCTTCGACGAGGGCGCCGACACCGGGGCGGGTGCGGATGTCGGTGCGGGAGCGGGGGAGGCGGGGTCGGTGGGCGCGTCGGGCGCGGGCACCGAGCGCTCGTAGACGGGGACGACGATCTCGGGCTTGTTCGACACGTCCTGGCCGCGGAAGTATCCTGCGCGCGCGGACGCGACGTGCGCGCGAGCGTGGGCAGTCGACGCATGCATGGAGGCGGAAGGAGTGCAGGAGATGACAGAACACGTCAGCGCGCGGAGCTACTTGCGACTGAATGGAGAGCGCGGGCTTACGGGGGCTGTAATAGTACCAGACGACGGTGCCCTGCGTGTACTGCTCAAGCGCGGTGTTGTAGCGCGCGAGCTCGGCGTCGACTGTGGGCCCGAACGAGGGCAGCTGCGCCTTGTAGCGCAAGTAGTCCGCCACGCGCTGCGCGTACATGTCCGTCAGGACGTCGACCGCCTCCTGCAGGCCGCAGTCGCGCTCGATCATGACGCAGAAGACGAGGTTCTGGAAGTCGCTGTCGGCCTGCTCTTTCTGCACGTCGGGGGAGAGGTGGCGGTTAGCGTCGCACGTCACGCGCATCTCGAGAAAGCGCGCTGACGTTGAATGAGCAGAGATCCTGATGCGCGGTGGGGTCAGCGCACGCTCCGAAACCCACGTCGCGAAGAGAAAAGACATACGTTGGGCCACGTCATGATGTCGATGACCGCCTTCGACATTTCCTGCAGGATCGGATGGTCCCATACGTACTCCGGGATCTGGAGGTCGAGCGAATACTCGACCATCGCTGTACGCGCCGGCCCGTGGGAGTGAGCGCCCGGTGAATTATCAGAATAGCGCGCGGAGCCGACGCACCCTCAACGATGGGCCCGCCGATCGTGCGGCGCCGGAGGACGATGAAGTCCTCGACCGCCGGGATCTCGTCTGTAGCCCGGTTTCGGGCCTGCTCCACCTGCGAGTTCATCCAGCTCTCGACTGCACGGAAGAACCTGGCGTGCGGCACGTAAAGTCAATGAATCGTTGAGTCACCGATATCCGGGCCCGCGCTCACACCATAACGACGTCGTACGTACCTGTTGCACGCGCTCGGGCTTGCCGTCGACCTAAACCGCCTCCAGATGCTGCGTGCAATCGGTCGGAGGTCAGCGAGACGTACATGGGAGAGGTCAGGAACAGGCCAGGACGCACTCGTGTAACATAGCCGCGTACGGGAACTTCGGCACGGGCCCGCCCGGGTTCCGGAGGACATCCATAGAGATATCCACGCCGACCTGGACCGCGTCGGGCTTGGACTGGAGCGCGCCTTCGTCGGAGAGGTCGTCGAACTGCGAGCACGGTTAGCACGCAGTACGTATGGGACGTCGCAACCCGCGAAGGGCGGACCGGCGCCTGGGACTCGGGTAACGAGATGCGACGAGACGCGCTTACGGAAAAGGCCCAGAGGAAGAACGCGATGCAGGTCTCCAGGTGGTTGACGTCTGCGTCCGGGAAGCTCATCCCAGCGTACGAGTCGAACCGGTGCGAGAGGAATTTTCTCTTCTTCGGGCCGTTGTAGACCTTCCGGCTGTGGGCGCGTGTGAGCACGGAGTAATGCGCATCACGTCCGATGGGGGCGGCGCAGTATGACCGCACCTATCGAACCAAACATTCGTCGCGCGCGCGGCATCCTCCTGATGCGGGTTGAGCTTGAACTCGAACGCGGCACCCGAGATCGCAGTGAGATCGCGGAGGCGGAAATGGGAGGGGAAGGGGCGGAGCTGCTCGACGCTCATGGCGAAGCAGACGAGGGAGAAGAGGAAGGAGAAGAGGAATGAGAAGGTGCGCAGGTGGGTGAGCGGGTGGGGAGAAAGGTGCGCGACCTGTGCGCCTCCCCTCCAGATGCGTCTGCTATTTGTATGCTGGTGCAGTGTGCTCGTGTACTCACCAATCGTGTGTCAGATCGGGGCGCGGAAAGGGCGCCGGGCTCAGATCCAACGGCCGGGTCGTAAGGATCTGCTGGTCTGGCAATTCAACATTAGCGGGACGCCTCGAGGCGCTCGGAAGACCTCTTACTTATCGGCTGTAGTCCCTTGTTCTCATTTCAACTCCGGTTTGATGGCTGGTATAGAAAGTCGTATACGTGCCGTCCCTGTGGGCCATCTACGCATGCCAACTACTAGGATGCCTGTAGGACCGGCCCACCGGCGATCCCTAACCTGATCCCAAGTCCACGGGACGAACAGACACATTGTGGCTCGCTTAGAGGTTGGAGCTATAGGCGCACTCGTTCTTCAGCTTCATATGTTATGAGTATGTAATCGCTCACCTCTCGTCCAACGCATGTTCACAGAAAAGACCATGTGCTGACACGCAAGCTCAGGGTCCTAACATCTGGCGTGGATGGCTCCAGGACCACCGGCCCCGTGCTACGCGAGCCACACTAGCTGCACTATCTTCTTTGATCCCGGCTGCCCCTCCTGATGACGTCCTGAGATTACGAAGACCATAATACCCGGATAAGCCATAGCTGCCCCACGAGGGTGAACATGAGCAAGTGAGAACAATAGTCTGGAAGGAGCACATACTTCGACAACGGCCACGCTCCATGTGCTGTCCATCGAATCGATCCGAGGTGGTGCACCAGAAGAGGATGCAGCAGTCCGTTTCCGCCGACTCGCGCAGGTTGCCCACGGGCGATCTTTGTGGGTCCACCATCGACGCAGCGGTGGGAGCCTAGATAACACGGCGCACCCACGCTAAGCCAGCGGTCTTTGTCCCGCCCTCGTTGCGGTGATCATTCAGGACGGCGGCCTCCGTTAGGTCCGAGTGGGAGCCCTCGCGCGGCCTCTCGCTCGGACTTCGGAGGCCCAGCGAACACCTACGACGACAGCGAGCCCTCCCGACGCGTGGCGCATCATCCAGCGAGCGAGGGTGCGCTGATGGCTCCCGATCCTGTGATGCGCAACGTGTGTGGCGCGGGAGCGGCTGTCTGAGCCACAATGAGAGAGTTCATCTCGCTTGATCGATAGTCCTGGAGGCTAGGATAGTACGGTCCATGAGCTGCACCGGGCTTCAAGGGCATAGTACGGCACTGGGGCTCACCAGAAGCCTTGAGCCTTGGCATGAGCACCTCTCTACCCACGACAGCCCTTATTTGGTGCATACTCTCCACGACGCCGGTAGGGCACATTGCATGCGCGGGTGTGTACGTCGTGCACCACAAACTCTGCGTCGCGAACATTGGAGCCCGGGTTTGGAGGGCAACGAGGACGAGAAATCTTCGTCGTCCGGTACACGACCCCGTCGTGTTCGGAATGTTTCAGGCTAGAGGACCGAATGCCCCGCACGCACGACGATGCGAGATGCGCAGCACTCCGACGCGCCGCCTCGCCACAAGCGTCCGTGTGCCTGTGAAGAAGACGACTCAAGGTCTTTGCGACCACACGAGGCTCGACAAGCCGCTCGCTTGAGGACACAGCTAGGACGCATATGGGCAAACGGCGGTAAAGTGGGCGTTTGACGCGCGTGCAAGAGCTAACTAGCGCACCAGGGTGCGTCTTCGAGCGACCTTCGCGATGTTATCTGTGTGCGCCGTCAGTCTGCGCGCAGAGGCAAGAGGAGCCCGGGGCCAAGACACGACGCACCGCGCGACCTCGGGTGTGCGGTCTACTTTGCTAAGCGCAATACATTAGATCTCACGTGCCTGTCTGACAACGTCACCGTCGCGCTTGCCGATCCCTGCCCTCCTCTCGCTTGGGGCCCAGGCCAGCACCGTCCAGATCTCGGGGAAACGTCGCCGCGCACCCGGAGTGCAGTCCTGCAGCGCGACGGCCGGTAGGGTATCTGCCAATCGATGTGATCAGCGTTGGAGGTCCACCGCACCTGTCCGAGGTCCGTCCACGAGCTCGAAGGTCCGGTCCAAGGCCAGGTACGCGAAGCGAGCCCACGCAAAGAAGATCCATCGTCGCGCATGCCGGCAACTTCTGGCTCGCCGCACCGCCGAATCCGCCGGTCCGCACGTACGCCTTGCCGTCTCGAGCGTGCTCTCCTTCGCTGCTCCGACGTCGCGCGAACGCTTGCGTGCGCACTTCGCGCCGCATGTCGTGAGCCGACGTGAGAGCAGGCTTGGCGCGCACGGCGATAAGCGTCCAGCATGGTCACTCACCGACAACAGCTAACACCGCACACTACGTAGCAGCCCCACCAGTGCGCCCAGCCGCTCACTCCATATAGCCTCGCTGGGCAGTACTAGTCCGTGCGGCGCGCGCTGACGAGGATCGCGCCTGGTAGCGCTGCCGAGCTCGGCGTTAGCGGCCGTCCTCCCGTCAGTCAGCGCATGGAGCGTTGCCATGGGGCATGCACGCGAGGCCTCGTCCCGCGCGCGACATGCGACAGCATGAGGACCTGAACAGCAGCTAACAAACCAACTCAGCAGTGGTCCACCTGGACATCGCTTCGCCGCGTTGATACAGCGCACGTACCCAAAAGGTTCGTGCCACTAGCATGGGACGCGCGCGCGCAGCCACCAAAGCCCGCCGACGCCACCAAGCAGCCCGCTCGCCGCGCTCCGATGGCAAACCGGGGCAGCCTTTACGTTTTTTTGTGAGGGGGCACACATGTGGTGGACCTTGCGCTTCAACCAAACCCCTAGAAGTTTAAGAAGGCGTAGCGAAGCCGGCGATTGCGCGGTTGAGATTGAACGTTCTTGCGAAGCCGACGTTGCGGAAATGAATAGATGTATTGTCCAGTCCTAGGGCATAGCAGGCAAGACGGCGAGCTCATAGGCATACGTACGAGGAAAGGTTGAACTCTACGAACGTTGAACGTTCAATGAAACCCATCTGGGAGTGCAGGGACGGAGCATAGCTTCCGCGTCGCCGACCCAGAGGTATCATCTCTAATCTAAGGAAGAATCAACTGTCAGGACTACTGAGCAGCCAATGGCTGACCTCACCATTCATAGATACTAACGGCACTAGCTCTATCTTCAAACGGCGCCTAAATACCTTCGCCCCGGCTCCGCGCCTCCGCGAGGCTGAGCTCAATGGCGAACTTCAAATCTTCGTCATCGTCGTCGTCGATACCAGCCACAGGCCGAGTCGCAAGCGCGCCATGGTTGTTGATTGGCAATGGCAACGGCGCCTCGGACGAGTGTAGCGAACGGAGGGGCGTGCTCCACGCGCTACGCACCGAACGGGGGCTGCCAGGCGCGCTGGGCCCAGAGACAGAAGCGGAGGACGGCGTGCGGCTCACGGGCACGCTCGGGAAGTGGACCGCGTCAAAAGCGGGGAGCGCCAGGCCGCCGGCGCCGGCGCTAGAGCCGGCGCTCAGGCTGCGCGACGCTAGGGGACTGGAGCTAACGCGGGCCTCTGTGGGCTCAGGGTGGACGCGAGGTGAAATTTGGATCTTGCGGTTTGACGACGACGGTACGGTTCGCGGGTACGACCGCCCGATGGGGGCCGCGCTGGCCTGCCCGCCGCTTGAGCTAGGCGAGGTTGAGAAGGACGACGTGCGCGATGAGGCGGTCGAGGGCGCCCGGGAGCCAATAGTGCTGCTCGGCTGGGCCATAGGCGTCGACGCTTCTTCAAAATCAGCCATGAAGACGCCCTCATCCTCCCTGAAGACCAGTGATTGGCGCCGGCGGCGCTCTTCCTCCTCGTCGCGACTGAGCATGAGAACGTACTCCAAGGCCTCGACTTCGTTCAAGCCGAGATGGGCGAGGGTTGACAGCTGCTCCTTTTGCCTTCCGATCGAACGTCGGACATGGGTTCGTTCCTCGTCTAGCTCTCGTCGGCTCTCGGCGATGTCGCAATACATCTCCATTTGTTCTGTGGGCGCACCAGATCCGTTAGTGGGGAAAGCTCGACAAGGCGAGACAGAAGAGACCCACGCTGCCACTTGGCGACGCCATGTTGGGCTCTGCTGGAGACGCGGATGCCTTTGCCCTTGCCGTTAGACCGACTGGCGGGACCGGCGGGACCGGCCTTCCATGCGAGGACTCTGTTGCCGACGGAAACGACAAGGGTGTCTGAGTCGATGAGGATCTGGCTGACGCTATCCCATTCGCCTCCGGCAAAGGGTCTCGGAGCCGGAGAGGGAAAGGTTCGGAGGGGGGTGAACATCAGAGCGTCCCAGGTCTTGACTGTGCCTTGAGATGAACCCGTCACAAGCACGATATGGTTCCATGCCAGGGCGGTGACCGCACCATCTTCGTGGGCGACGATGCGATGGAATGGACGCACAGAGGCGGAAATCTGAGCCGTTGAGGTCGGAGCCGTTTCGAAGGGCGTCGGCGCTGCGTCCCAGGCGAATATCGATACGTTTCCTAGCTGATCACCGGCGATGACGAAGTCGCGTTCGCCCGACTTGGCGGCCCACACCGGGTATACGGAACGAATGGGACCAGAAGCCTCATCACCAAACAACACACGATCAAACTCGCCTGATCTCGGGTCGTACGTGAAGCGATGGAACAATGAAGTGGGATGGTACACGGCGAGGAGTGATGTCGTGACCCCTTTGGGGGCGATGCGGACGTCGATAAACTCCAGCGTACCTGGATCTTGAGGCGACGAACCAGGTGTAGCCTGGGATGGTGCGGGAGCTTTGAGGCGGAACTCTTGCGGGTCGGACGTCGCGACGTCCGAATTGTCATCGACCAATGGTGAGAACCCGGTCCATACGAGGGTGGTACCACTTCGAAGGCCAGCGACAACCACACCTTGTTGAACATTGATAGCGACCTGGATGCAGGGATCTGGCACGAGCGAGTTCGACTCGGTGGTCCAGAGACACTTGAGAGGGGTCTTCGCTTCCCATACCTTGACGCGGCCATCGGTACCACCGCTGACAAAGACGCTGCCTTCACCGCCGCGAGCCCATGCGACACACTGGACGGAGCCCTCGTGGCTGTCCCCCGGACGGCAGCGTACTAGCTTGGCAGCCGACGGCCGGTTTTGTTCCATGGCACGCGACGCGGTAGTCACGGCGACTTCTCCGTGGCGGAATCCCCACAGAACCTTTGCAGTGCCGCCTACTGAGGCGAGAGCGACGGCGGAGACATGTGGGGAGAACTCCGCGTTGGGGTTGCCTATGCCCAGGCCGTTCAACGTTCCGGAAGCATCGAGGTAGCCATGCAGAATCTTGCCGGAAAGAGGATCTGAGCGCGACACAACGCCGTACTGAAGCGACGCGGCTAGAATAGTCGTTTGTGGCATCAGATGCAGCGCAGACACGGTCGAATGGTGAGGGATATGAGCAATAGTTGCGTTGCGCGAGAGCTCCCATCGTCTGTAGAGGACGTAGTCAGAACAAATTTCAGCAAGAACGAGGACGAAGCCCGCGGAGAAATCAGGCATGATCAAACAGCAAAGAATCGTGACACACCGCCTACGGAGAGGGCAGTGACAGGAGATCTGCTGTCGATTGTCGGCCTCGGTGGGAACGAGGTCTCCGTGCGAGTGCGGTACTCCGATGCTCGGAATGGGAATGACGTACCGTCGCAGGCCGTACCGAGCGATAAACTCCTTCCTCCAGGACGTCTCCTCCCGTCGGAGCATGAGCACCTTGCCCTCTGCGTCGTCGCCCAGGTCGCTCTCCGGCTTGATCCCGAGGTACCGATAAACGAACGCCCGTCGCCACGTGTTATCGTCCGCTACGTGGGCATTGAGCTGCTTGCAGGTCTTTGCGAGGGCAAGAAGGGCGAGAGGGTTGAGGAATGACGTGATATGAGTGAGTGACTCAGGAGGGATGCTGAGCAAATCGCGATGGGCGTTGCTTGCAGCGGCATGGTGAAGGCTGTGAGGTCCATGTTGGCGGGTGCTGGGGTGTGCGGAGCGAGAGGATTTGTACTTGCTGTCGTTCTTTGGGGAGTTCTCCAGGGGCCTACTGTGCATAAAATAGAGCGAGGGGAACGAAAGGGGTGCGTTCGCAGACGGGGTCTGCGATGGTGGTGGTTGAGGTCAAGTTACGAGGTCGACTGATTTGGTTGCCACGCGATAACGCCCGCGGCTCCATCCTCTCCCACCGAGCTATCGATGGCTTCCTCGCCGTCCACAGTGTCGTCCTCAGCGTCGGCGATGGTCCTGGCGCATACAGGCCGAGTTATGGGTATCAAGTGTCGAAACACACGTGTATTGGGCCAATCACAACAGCTTGGCCTCATGTTCTGTGCGTCTACCGGCTTGCCGTAATCTCTGCAAACGGACCGCGAATGCCGCCCGAGGTCTCGGTGGCGGTCTTGAGCATACATGGAATACGGGCTGCCCAGGGCAGACTAGTCTTAAGTACTCAGAGCGATGAAAAGGTCAGCGTAGCCGACGCGGTACGGTGCTCGTGACCAGCTACATATCCGAATGGGAAGACGATAGAGGAGGAGAGTTGGGGCAAGCGAGTGCTTGCCATGATTGTGCAGTTGTGCCCAAGCGCATGAACAATAGAAATCTTTCCAATATCATACATTCCAGTCGGTAGCACATCATACAATTCTTCTGTCAGTCATCGCCCGCACGATGCAGCCGGTACCCGCAACCTCCGTCAACTAAAGGCACACAATGAGCCGACTTGGCCGCATACAAGAGCTACGCATGACGCACCTTTTCATGCCATCCCAGTAGCACACTCCCGCTTACGTCTCCCCACCCTGGCAGCGCCATACCCTTGTAGAGGTATTTCATGAGCGTGTCTTGCGCGTCCGTGGATAGCGCCTTGACGATGGCGGGGATGTCCGTGGCCTTGGTGCTGTTTAGTATCGACACAAGTGTCTGGAGGTTAAGGTTCTGGCAGATATGAACGAGGAGTCAAGAGAATGTCATCCGCGGCGTAGGATGAGTGGCGGACCTTCGCTTCCTCCACAGTGGGGCCATATGGCGCAGTCTCGAGAACCATGGTCAACGCTCCCGCAAAGTCGTTCCTACATGCATGCAAATGAGACTTCGCATCGCCAACCATGCTCCAACCCACCCACTTCGCGAGAGAACCCCGTACCGCAACCGCGTTCTGCTTCACCTCGTTCAGGGCTTGGCCAGGGTCTCTTGGATCGGTGTCGTAGAGCTCGCCGTCCAGAAGAGCATCCTCCTCGTACTGGTCAATATCAATCTTGCGGAAATTGGTGTCCATGATAATAGCGAGATTGTTGGAAGTTGGACGAAGGAGTAGAGGGAGCGCAGAGTAAGTACTTCGCAGAGCGCAAGCAGAGGGGTGATCGCAGCGTGATACAGGCAGTCAGTTCAATTTCAAAATTTGGTTCATTTCAAAGCTGAACTAATTCGGTCCACTCGGCCCGCCCACATTACTATGCCCCGCTGGTTCGCTTTCTTCCCCCATCACCTTACTTCTGATCCATCATCATCGACGGTGAGAAATCGCGTGGCCCATGTACGCATTACTTGTGAACACATCATGAGCCATCTTTGAGTCGTAAGTATTGTCTTGTGCCAGTCTTCATGGCCACCGGGACGGGCGGCCACGTCGACCGACCATGAGGAGTCACCCTCGTGTCCTCCCACCCTACTCTCGATATTTCAGGGCACACACGCGGTATGCGTGTCACTTGCCGCGCCTCACGCAACCCCTCCGGATGACCTTCACCTGCCCGGACTCCGACCCTCAGCGTTCCGCATCGCACCCTGAACGGAAGTCTCACTCAGGCGTCCGGGGCTGCTTGGGGCCGCCACGCCTGCGGCGGGCGCGCCGCTTTCTAGTCTAGACCTCCAGACCTCCAGACGTTCATATCCCGAGCCGCAGTTTGCAGCTCGAGCACCGCATGGGTGAGGTGAGGCAGTCGCCGTCACCCCGCTTCGGGCTCGGCCATCCAGACGGCCACATAAATACAGGCCAAGCTCGCGAGTGAGACGACCAGATTATCCCATCACTCACCTCTTCGCTCTACCCTACCACTTTTTAGCTCCTTCTTCCTTTCTCCCCTTTCTCCGACATGCTTAACGCGTTCAAGATCAAGACGGTCGACCTCGAGCCCGTCTTCGCCGAGTGGAAGGACGCCCCACACTTCATCGGAAACCCGAAGAAGGACCTTCCGGTCGACGACTGGCTCAAACAGATCAAGGCAGGTTGTGCCGAGCGCAAGATCGCTCGCGACTACTGGCACAAGGTCGCCCAGCACTATTTGGACGGCAAGGCTAAGTCGCGCTTCGAGGAGGTCAAGCTCGTGATGAAGAACATGCACGGCGGCAAGTACCACTGGACATGGAAGAACTTCAAGGTCGCGATGCGTCATCTCGGCGGTGAGTGCCACCGTCGTTTCCTTATTGGGACCGGCCCTGATTGCGCATGCGTTGGGCCTAGGGGACATCGACACGCAGAAGACAGAGACGATCAAGGTGGAGAGCAAGTCTTCTGGGCTCTGGTGGATCGTCGGACGAGGGAGCAGCGACTCCGCCGACGCTGCACTCGTCCAGCCTGTTCCTCCTCGTCCTCCCATGAAGCGGCCTACGCTCGACTCGTTCGCGGCGACCGTCAAGTCGATCCCCACGCCGCGCATGTCCATGCCGCGCCGCTCGTCAACGATGGACAGCGTGTCCTCCACTGCGTCTTCAATCTCCTCTTCCTCAAACTCTACCCCTTCCAACTTTGGTTCCTTCTTCGCCTCCAAGACCCCCTCTCTGTCCTCTTCCCCGGCGTCCTCCGTGGTCGCCACGCCTGCGGGCACCCCTGGTGGCAGTACGTCTTCCCCTTCCTCGTCTCCTACGACCCTGACAATCCTCCACGCAGCCGTGACCACAACGTCGCAGGTGCCCGTCTGGCTCCTCAACGCCTGCACGTCGCTCGAGTTCCTGTCCACCGAGCACCCGAAGGCGATGACCGCGCTCTCCGCCGTGCTCATCACCGTCGGCTCGTTGCCCGCGCTTCCCGCAATCTCCGCCGGGGCTGGGGGCGCGTTCCTCGCGAGCAGCGCCGCGCAGGCGATCGGCTCGATCGCCGTCGGGCTCGGGACGATCCTGCAGGCGCAAGCGGACGGCAAGACGGTCGTTGTGCAGGGCGAGCAGGGCAAGGTGTGGGGATCCCTTCGCGTAGTCTTCAGACCCTGTAGAAATGTTCGCGTTGAACGCGACTAGACTGAGCGCGACGGACGCGCGTTGGCTGATACGACGGATAAACGGAAAGACGGATACGACGGATACGACGGTTACACGGGCACGGATAAGACGGATGCGCAGGGGAGAACGGGCAGCGGACACGACAGAAACCGAGTGAGTGTGGGGGAAAGGAACTGACATTCTTCGTGTGTGCGTGCTACTTTTATACATGTGCAGGTACTACTTCTTCACCAAGTGTGCTCGGTGACTTCTGGCCGCTCGGACGACACGTGACCGTGTTCTGTCGCGCACGCGCGTGCTTCAGAGTGCCCGCGCGCGCGGGACTCCTACAACCGGGGGGCCCTTGAGATCTCGACCCCGAGATCCTGACAACCATCAAGGAGACCCGTCCATCGCGGTAGCCTCGCGAGTGTCGCCATCGGGAGTGAAGCGACCGGAAGTTGCGTCGTAGACAGCACGGACCTGGGGGCGGGGCGCACGTGGCGGCGGAGTCGGCGGTCGAGGGCCGAAGGACGGACCGGCGTAGGGCCACGCGACGAAGGACTTTGCGAGCCGACCCAGAGCGATCAAGTTGGAGGGGGAATTGACAGTGAGCCAGGGCGTCGCGCCGAGAGGGTCGACTGCGGGGTCGAACGTAGTGGTGTAGAGCGTTGGCGGGAAAGACAGGCGCAGGTCGACATTGATGCCCGAACCATCGTCGCTATCAAGGAGGTAAGGTTCCATCTCAGGCGCCGCGAGGCATGCGCCGTCACAGGTTACGGACGCGCGACCGTCGCCGAAGGCATGTTGGACTGGGTTGCAAGAGTAGGTGATGGGCTCGGAACGCGGCGGGCGGTGCAAGCGGTTACTGAGGGAGAGGACTTCGACGGGCGCGGCGAAGGCGCTCACGTAGCTGGAAGCCGCAGTGGAGCGAGGCGCGATAGGGAACGTCGTTTTCACGGCCTGGTAGTCGTCGCGATAGTAGAAGAGCTTCAAGCGCGCACCTGGCGCGGTATGACGCATTGGCGTGCCGCAGATCTCGCGCAGCTTGTAGGAACCCGAGGTGAGGCGTTCATCAACGATGTAGGGGCCGGCCCAGCGGAGAGCACCCTTCATGCCCATCTGAGTATCGAGCCAAGACTCGAGCAGCAGGACCCAGAACCCGGGCTGGAAACCTTCCTTGTTGATGAGGGACTCGTACCGGCGGTGGAAGTCGTCGATCGCCTTCCGGCGGTTCTTGGTCAGCTTTTGTACGGCGTCGTCCAACACGGACTTGTGGCGGGAGATCTGCAATAGACGTGTCGCGAGAAGGGACACGTCGTCGGTAGCTTCAGCCCAGTCGAGCGCGAACCAGGTGGCATCTTCGAGGTCGAAAGGGAACATGCATTCTTGACCGTAGACGAGGTAGTAAGGCGTGTACCCAGTCGCGCGGCTAGTCGTAGTGCGGACGGAGAGCAGGGCGGAGTTCAGAAAGCGGTACCAGCTGAAACGGTCGCGCTTCGTGAGGTCGCAAGCACGCCAGATGGCTTGTTGAAGAGTACGCCCAGAGCGCTCCGCGATCCCGTTGGCCTTCGGGTTGTACGGAGATGTACGGATCACCGTCACACCATGGCGACGTAGAAGGATGGCGCAAGCGCCGTCGAACTCGGGGCCGTTGTCGCAGACGATGACCGGGATGCATCCGAAGCGGCAGATAATATTCTCCCACAAGAAGGCAGCCCAGGCTTCAGCCGTGTTCGCTTTGACAGCCTTCGCCTCTTCCCAGTGGCTAGTGGCGCAGACAGCGTGGAGGAGGTAACGGAAGCTGCCGTTCATGAAGATGGTGTCGATGTGAAAACGCCGGAGGACGCAAGGGGTGATCTTGGTCTTGGACGACAGCGGCGCTAGCTCGCGGTGCTGGGATCGGAACTGGCAGTTGAAACAAGAGCGAACGAACCAGACACAAGCTGCATAAAGATTGGGGAAGAAGTAGCGCTCGCGGAGCAAGGCGAACGTTGCCGCAGCGCCGCGATGGCCAGTGGTGTTGTGCGCCGCAGCTATGATTCGCTTTCGCGCGAGAGTGTCCGTGACCACGAGGAGAGGGTGCCGGTCGGCGCGAACGCGCCAGATGCGCCTATGCCCCACGATGTAGCAGCGACGCATGCGGGCCACCCGCGCCCTCAAGGCGGGGTCGGTGGGCTCGATGTTCTCGACTTCCGCGCGCCAGAAAGCGGCCCATGGAGGTTCGCGGTCGCCAAGATGTGCCTCGTGGAGGGTGTCACCCGGAGAGACAGTTGTCGTGGGAGCGGGAACCGTCTTCGCCTGTAGCGACGTGGGGAACGTCGGGATCTCGTCGCCGAATTGTTGCGGAGCATGGTGGGGGCCGTCCAAGTCCGCTGGCGGGAAGTAGGAGCGCGCGGAGAAGCCAGAGGGCAGAGAGTGTCGCGGCTCGCGGAGCATGGGTCTGTAGATGGTGATTGGGAAGACACACGCTTCGCCACCGAGGTCACATTCGCACTCCGCCGGTTGTGAAGGCACTGCGCGGATGCGCCAGTCGTTGAAGAAGGGCGCCGTCGACGCGGAGGACAACATGGATGACGAGGGGGAAGTGGAGCTCCAGCCGTCGGTGTAAACAGAGAATTGACTCAAGTGAACGGGCGCAGTGTGTGAGAGCCCCCCAAAGGTAAGACCGACGGAAGGGTTGAAGGCGTCGTAGCCCCAGCTGGAGCGTCGGCAGAGAAGGTCGGCGGCCGGTACTTGAGCCATAGTGCGGAGACTCGTGAGGATTGAGTGGACTGTCCCGGATGACACGACTGCGGAGACGACGGCGGGGCGAAGGGAGGGCACTGAGCGGGCAGAGGACGGGCACCGGGGGCGAGGCGCTACAGCCGCCGGCGGGTTTAAGAGGGCAACCGCACGACCGAAGAACTCGTCGAGGTGCTTCTCACCATCTGATTCGTCCGAATCGTCGGGAGCGGGCGGCCGACGGGACAGGGAGTCCTGGGGAATCCCCCTTGTGGCTGGGACATGCTGGAACGCAAAAGTGAAGAGTGCCAGGTAAGCCACCCACCGCGTCATCGGCGCATTCGGCAAGTCCGGTTCCGACAGCATCTGAGATAGGAACTGTGCGTCGCCTCGCAAAAGGAAGTGCAGGCCCCATAGTCGGTGACGTAGCTCCTTGACAGACCGGAAGCAGCCGTAGAGCTCGCACTTGGGCTGGGAGTACCGCGATTCGGCCGCCGAGAACGTGCAGCCGCCATAGAGCGCAGGATGAAGCTGACCATCGTGATACTGGGCGAGGACCCATCCGGCTCCATGGAGTGAGGAATCAACAGAGAGTACGACCAGCCCCTCGATGGCGCCCTTCGCGCTGTCCACTTCTTCGCGGGTGATAGCCAGCGCTGCAGGGTAATCGATGGGCCGCAGCACAGGTGCCGATGACACGAGCTTCTTGAGGGAGTCCACGGCGCCGCGAGCTTCGGGAGACAGCATGAAGCGGTCGGCGGGGTTTGATCGAAGCAGTAGCGTCAGTGGCTTAGCGATGAGCGCGAAATTGGGGATCCATCGCCGTCCGACGCCGGCAACCCCGAGGAAACTGCGCACGTCGGTAAGAGACTCCGGGTACGGCCATTTGAGTACCTTCGACGCGAGGCCATGGCTCAGCTCCCAGCCTGCGTGTGACACGATGCTCCCCACCAGACTAGCCTTTGGCGTCGCAGGGCAGAACTTGTAACCGGAGGCAGTGACGTGTGCGAGTTCGAAGCGGAACAGGACTCGGTCGAGCGTCGTGCAGTACTCGTAGATGAAACGCCGCACAGAGGAGGACGGGTCGATGAGTGCGTTGTCGTAGGTCGTGGGTGGGCCTTTGACTCCGCAGTCGTCGACGAAGATGTCGGCGAACTTGGGGATCTCATCTGCGAGGATGTGGCGGGTGCAACGTACGAAATCCGCGACCGCGTTGGTAGCGCCCTGCGGTAGCACAGTACAACGTCCAGTGACCTCCATGCACTGGAAGGTGGTGAGGTCCCGGGAGCGCACGTCCAGTGTCCGCGCGTCGTAGCCCGAGAAGAGGTCGATGACACCATAGCAAGAGAACCCAGCGAAACTTTCAGCAAAGTCGTCGGGGCGCGGAGGCAGGGCCGCATCGCGGATAGTGACCGCATTAAGGGCTTGAAGATCGTGGACGACACGGAGGGCACCGTTCTTCTTGCTGACGGCGAATACGCGCGAACGGTAAGAGGAACAGGAGCTTTCGTACTTGCCAGAGTTGAAATTCGAGGTCAGAATCGCGCGAACTTCGTCTTCTGCGGCTTTGGGGACCGGGATTGGCTTCTGCGCCCAGGGTGTGTGCTCGATGACCGGTATGACGTAGTCGGGGAAGTATTCCCGGTTGAACGTCCCACGCTCCGCATCCGTGAAGGCGAGTGCTGCGCGGCGACTGCCGATGATGTAGGCGATGAGGTCAAGCTCCGCTGCGTGGAGGAAGCCGTCAGGGATGGTGGACATGATGGTCTCGAGGCGTTCTTGGGTGAGGCGTTCACAGGGGACGAAGGAGCCACGGGGAGGCGGGTGTATGGGGAGAGGTGGTAGATCCGGAACAGGCAGAGGCTTGAACGTTTGTGCGGAGAGGTCTGGCATCGACGTCGGGACTGGGCGGACTTTACGGGCAACGGGTTTGTACCGGCGAACAGGTGCGGCGAAGCGGGTGGTTGATGGGGCCAAAAGCGCACGAGACACGAAAACAGAAGGGACAGGACGCAGCGGGAGATCAAGGCATACTCGACAGTGCGCAGAAGATGATCAAAGGAAGGAGGGGGGTTGAACGATGAGATGTATGAGTCGTTGAAAGAGTCCGTGTGGAAGGAAGGATGTCCGAGGAGAGTACGAAGGGTGCGACCAAAACAAGGTAGCGAGGGCGGTGCCGCACCGGTTGAATCCGCGCCCGCTAGTGAAAAGACGCTGTCGGAACCGTCAGGGAGTCCGACGTGAACACGAGACGATCAGTGTTGCGGGAGTTGTTCGCCGTGCATAGCTGAACCGTCACAGCAACGCCAGAAGTCGATCCAGTGGGGTACGCTGTCATGTGGACACCACCGTCGCGCGAGTACGTGAGGTTGGCCACGTGGGCTGCGAGCCAAGGTTGCCCAAGGATGCCGCCATAGGCACTGCGGTCTGCCGGAGTGACGAAGAAGTGGTGGTCGAAATTGCGGCCCGCAATTTGTACCGGGGCTTCTCGACAGCACCCCAGGAGGGAAACAGGGTCACCTCCGATGCCTTTGAGGGTCCAGCGAGCCCCGTCGCGGTCGATGGAGAGACGAGTCTTCTCCCAGATCCCGCTGTTGATGAGGTTCAGTTCGGATCCACTGTCGACGAGGAATTTGCACTTCTGATCGCCGAAGACGCCGTCGACGAAACCTGCAGCCATGGCGAACAGACGGGCGGACGTAGATGGCGCAGTGCTCACCGCGTCTGCATAGCGAAGGATGACGTCGTCAAGGAGTTCGGAGCCCGCATTGTAGGTAAGAACCGCTGTCGCAGAGGGTTCATCGGAAGAGTTGGACGTGCAGTCATCGTCTGAAGGGACTTCCTCGATGAACGACGCGGGAGTGGTGTCCGTGGCGAAGGCCGAAGCAGTCGCGGGCACGTCAGACCCAGAGAAGTCCCGACGGGGTTTGACAAGCGCGGCAACCTTCTTCTGTAGGCTGGGGCTAGCGCCAGAGCCTCTCGAAGCGTCATGGTAACGGGGGAGTCGAGGAGTCGGTCGTGGACGTCATCGACTACGACGCTCTGCTGAACCTCCGAAGTGAACTTGAACGGCTTTGAGGTCGTGCGTGAGAAGGTATGGTGCCGAGGCGCGTCAGCATCTGGCACTTCCTCGACCGTCGCAGGGTGCTTCTTCAGACGGTACTCCTGCATGAAACCTTCCTCCGTATTACGAAAGTGTGGGGGTGGCGCAGAAGGGGGGAACGCAGGGGTAGCAACAGGGAGAGTGGGAAGTGTCGTAGGCTCGAAACGGACCGTCTTGGAGGGCGAAGTTGCCGCCTTTGCCTTCGAACGGGTGGTGACCGGGAAGGATGACGCGGCAGCGGGGAACGCGTAGGAGCCTGTATACGGAAACGCAGGCTCATCGTCTAGGTAGAGACCGGCGGCGCGCGCGGTAGCTCCGAGGACTTGCGCGTTACCGCTCTGTGACCGCATCCACGCGGCGAGACCCTGGGGCAGTTGGTTGAAGCGTGGGAGGTAGCCCTTGTCCGTCCGCTCCAGCATACCGGTAACAGGGTGGTACTGCAGGACGCGTTCCTGTATGAGCGCAGTCGTCTCCGGACAGTTCCGCATGCCAAGTGGGTGGGTGAGTCCGTTGTTCTCGACACCGCCACACATGTAACACACTCGTTGACCAGGAGGACCGGCGTTGGGGCCATTGGGCTGAGCGGTGTACGCGGTGGGGTACCCTGCAGGTAAGCCGGCGGCGAATGGGTTGGGAGCGTTCCCGGTGCCGTGCACCCCGCATACACGCTAGAAGGGCCTGCGAGAGGCGCGAGAGGGCCCGGGTCTGAGTGCGTCGGCGCGGAAGTCTGCTTCTTGAGTAGCTCGAGCTGAAGACGGAGCGCCTTCACTTCCCTACGCGTGGAATTGTGGCCGCGCCGCGTGGAGCGAACCTCGGAGTCAGAGTGAGATGAGAGCCTGTCACGGCGCGTCTTCTTCTTGCCTTTGCGTTTCGGGGGTGAAGCCACATCGTCTCCAGACGAGTAAGGCGCATCCTCTGAGTCCGAAGAGTCTGTTGTGCTGTCCGAGCTGTCGCTTTCGGAGTCGGACACAGCAGCGCGCTTGCGGCGGCGTCGGTACGCGTCGATCCCGCAAGACTCGTAGTGCTCTGAGACCGCCGCGCAGACCTCAGAGACGGAGGCAGGGTTCGTCCGGGGCTCGAACTTCTGGCCAGAGCGAGTGAGGACGACTGACTTCAGCGTTGACCCGATCGAGCTGCGGAGCGAGTCTGGAAGGCCGATGAAGAACAGGTAGTCGTGCTCTTTCTGCTCGAGGAGACTCTCTTCGACCAACGTCCCGCTGTACTTCATGAACGAGAGGCGGTATTCGCTGAGGGCTTCTTCCGAGTCGACGGTTTGACTCTTCCGGCTCTTGGCTGCGAACGACCGGAGACGTTGAGGTGGGTACCGCGTGGCAGAGTCGCGGAAACGGAAGATAGAGAACAGGAGGGCTTTGGCCGCTGCCCAGTTGGTCCCCTTGAAGGCGCTACAGTAGCTATTGGACTGGTGCATCCATTACCATAGCCTCTCGGCAAGGTGTGGATGCATCCGTCACCCCCGCCGGCCCGGTTGCAATCTACGCCGCTGCCGCTTCCCCAGGCGCGCTCACGCGCCCCCACGGGTGCGACGCTGCCCCGACATGTCTGATCACCGGCGCCTCTGGCGCTCCCACTCGAGCTCACTGTCGGAGACAGTGAGCTCACCTCCCCCTTTGTTTCAGACCGCACTTTTTGTATAGAATTTGCGATTAAAATATATTTGATAGTAAGCTACTATAGTAGGGCTAGCAAGTAGTGCTATAGCCCTGCGACAACGCGGAGGCCGAGGCGGAGGAGGGCGATGTGGAGGGCGACACGTCGAGGAGGGTGACGCGGGTAGACGCGGGCGATGCGCGGGGAAGTGGACGAGGAGGGGGAGGAGGGCGACGCGGGCGGACGCAGGCGACGTGGAGAGCGGTGTGGAGGAGGCGGGATACGGGCGGGCAGGTTGCGCGAAGGAGGCGGCAGGCGCGGGCGGAGCAGGGCGGCGTGGGCGAGCTGCGTGGGCGGGCTGCCAGGGCGAGGAAGAGGAGGGCGACGTCCGGAGGCGGAGGCGCGTGACGGGCAACGCAGGTGGAGGGCAGCGCGCGGGCAGAAGAGGGCAGCGCGCGGGCGGAAGAGGGCAGCGCGCGGGCGGAAGAGGGCAGCGCGCGGGCGGAGGGCAGCGCGCGGACGGAGGAGGGCTGTGTGGAGGAGGGACGAGGGTGCAGGAGGGCGAGGCGGAGAAGGCAGCGCGGAGGCGGAGGAAGGTGATGCGGAGGAGCGCGGCACAGAGGAGCGCGGTGACGCGGTGATGTGGAGGAGGTGGGTGACACAGGTAGAGGAGCGCGGCGCGAAGGAGGCGGCAGGCACGGGCGGAGAAGGGCGAGGAGGAGGAGCGCGGCGTGGGCGAGCTGCGTGGATGGGCGGCGCAGGGCGAGGAGGAGGAGAAGGGCGACACAGAGGCGGATGGCGCGGGCGGGCGACGCAGGCGGAGGAGAGTGCGCGGAGAGCGGCGTGGAGGAGGACGTCAGGGGGGACGTCTTCGGGCTGTCGTAGGCAGGGGGTATGGACATGGGTGGGCATCGGGAGTGCAGGATGGAGCGGAGGACTCACCAAATCGCTGCGGCCCCCTATTCCAGTCTCCATACTGAGAACGTCCTCATGCGGTGGGTTTGTTGTGAATGCAGTCGGGAAGGTGGTATAGGGCGGGATCGAGGTCGAGGGAGTTAGGAGGAGAGAAGGTCGGTGTCACCTGGTGACACCGGAGTCCAATGGCAGACAACAGTCGACCGTATGGTCGCTATTGTCTGCCTGGGCAGAGCGGGGAGGAGGAGGAGGAGAGGACGGACGGACGGCGAAGGGGAGGGACGCCGCCGCGACGCGTGGTGTGCATTACAGCCACGCGACGATGCGCGCCACGCGTCCTTGCCGCCCATCGAGGCGCGTCTCCACGGGCGCGCATCACGGATCACCGGATGCATCCGCACCCTGCCGAAAGGCTGTCGCAACGGATGCTCCCGGCGATTAGCAGCTGCTCGAAGGCGGGCTCGCCGGCAAGACGGTTGCGGATGTCCGACTCACAGTACGAGAGTACACACTTGGGGAGGTCTTCGCGCTTCGCACCGACACTGTCTGCGATGGTTTCCAGCTCGAAAAGGAAGTCCTTGACATTGCGGCCTTTGAACCGGGGGGCGGTTTTGGCGCGGGGCGGGGGCATCTTCGTCGCAGGTGTAGACATGCTTGGTTGCGTGCGTAGCGGAGGTGGCGTACGAGTTCGAGTCGGTGATGGGGAAGTTGGCGAACGGGTTAAGGGCGATAGCGGGGGAGGAGAGAGAGGAGTCGATGCGCGCAACACTCTCTGGCGAGCAGTTGAAGTATCCTCCACGCGTGCTTGATTCGTTCGGTTCTCCGGACGTGTGCTCAATCGCTGTGGTGCGCCTCGGCTGTTCGGCGGTAATGGCAGCGGTGGAGTTGGTTTGGCGGCGAGTCGTGACGATCGTCGGCCCGGGCCGTCGGGATGTTCAAGTTTGGTCTTACCGCGCTCGCCCGTGTTGTGGGCCTGGTATTTGCAGGCGCGAATGTTCCCCGTTCGACTGAAGGGTTGCCGCTTGAGCTCGCCAAAGGCATGTTGACTAAGTGTTGGAGTAGAACGAGTCTGGACGGGGACGAGAGAGACGAGGTTGCCCCCCTGCGGTGGTCACCAATTGTGGGGATTCCTTCGCGTAGTCTTCAGACCTTGTAGAAATGTTCGCGTTGAACGCGACTAGACTGAGCGCGACGGACGCGCGTTGGCTGATACGACGGATAAACGGAAAGACGGATACGACGGATACGACGGTTACACGGGCACGGATAAGTCGGATGCGCGGGGGAGAACGAGCAGCGGACACGACAGAAACCGAGTGAGTGTGGGGGAAAGGAACTGACATTCTTCGTGTGTGCGTGCTACTTTTATACATGTGCAGGTACTACTTCTTCACCAAGTGTGCTCGGTGACTTCTGGCCGCTCGGACGACACGTGACCGTGTTCTGTCGCGCACGCGCGTGCTTCAGAGTGCCCGCGCGCGCGGGACTCCTACAAAGGTGCAGGCGCAGTAAGGCGCTGTGTGTGCCCGGCTGCCTCGTGCTGGACTTCCTCGTGGACGATAAGCCATGCAGAACGAAAGCGCGCGCTCATGTGTACGATAGGGTGGCCATTTGGATATTCATACTCATACTCTAGGTTAGGTCGTTGAACGACCCGGGCTTATTGGCTTCTTTCTATACTGCATTCACATACACACCTGCATTCATCATCGACGCTCATTTGTACATCAGTCATTTATGCGCAATAACTTATGCTCTATGGCTTTAGGCCTACTCCACTGTGTCTGAGCGAGAAGATCCGCCTTGTGACACACGGCCCGAAGAGCTTGGCGGCTTCCTCAATTTCCCCAACGTCGATCATCGCAGGCACACTGGTCCTTCATCTCCGTGTCAGAAGGTTTGAATCATAAAGTCGTTATAGGTGGTCATGAAGACAGGGTCCCAGCCCATGATTACACCGCGTACCACCTGAACTCTACATCTAGCTACATCCCACCCTGCAGAAACTGCGACGATTATACTCATACATACAAGCCGCTTCCACGATCGGCAACCCCAAGTCACCCCGTCGCTGGGCTTCCGCGCACCACCCACTCAATGCCCGCCATGGCGCGAGTTCGCCCGCTCGTGCGCCGTCTTGATCGCCTTCCCCACCACGACCACAACCTCGCCGATCGCCGCGACCGTAGGCCCGCCGCCCGCCGCGACGCTCCCGGCCGCGACGAGCGTGGTCGCAACCGCAGTGAGCACGTCCGGGTTCTCGCCCACCACGAGCGCGACGGCCTCCATCGTCGCGAGCAGCCAGACCGGCACCCGCGCGGATATGCTCGCGGGGAGCTGGTGTGGGGTCGGAGCCGGGCGCAGGAACGGGAGCACGGGGAGGGCGAAGAGCGACCCGGAGCTGTACGCGGGCGGCTTGGGGATGACGGCGGCCTTTGGGGCGGGGGCGGGGGCAGGATTCTTCTCCTTCGAGTCCTTGTCCTTCTCGGAGACGGAGGAGGAGGATGCCTCCCGCGTCTTGGGTCGGAAGAAGGAAGCGGTGGTCGAAGGCGCAGGCATCGTCGCGCTACGCGTAGGCTTCGTAGGGCGTGCGGCGGATGCATTGACGTCGACCCGGTCCGGGTCCGCAGACGCGAAGAAGCTGCCAGTGACCGCCTGGAAGAGCGACGGCGCGGGGCAGGAGGCGCGGTCGCCGCAGCAGCGGTCGGCGTGGCGTCCGACGTGCTTCCTTGACGAGCTTCCACAGCCCGCAGACTTGCGCTCGACCGCAATCTCGCGCGTCTTGCGCTCGTCGATGTTCCCTGATGGATCCCACCACCCGTCAGCATCTACGGAGGTTCGCAACAGTCAAGAAAGGGAGCACTCACAACCCATATTTTTCACCGCGGCCGAGAAGTTCGCCCACGTCCACGCCCAGCCTTCGCCGTGCAGCGCGCGCATGACCTTCTCGACCTCGCCGACGCGCGCGCGGGGCTTTTTCCCCATGAAGTGCAGCGCGACCGCAGGCCAGTGCGCGCGAGGGATCTTGCGGGCGGCGCAGGCGCCTTCGACGAGAGCGAGCCACGCCGCGGCGGAAGGGTCGTCCTTGCGCTTGGGCTTGCCCCGGAACTCAGGCACGAGGTGATCGGGTGCGGAGGCGTCCCAATCTTTGAGGGCGGATTCGAGGTTGAAGGTGGTTGGGCCGAAGATGAGTGAGAACATATTTGAGTGTGAAGAATTGGTGGAGAGTGTAGTCGTGATGGGGAGTGTGAGGGCGTAGTGGGGTCGTGAGGGTGGTCAGAAGGTGGTTGAGTCGTTAAAGCAGTGCTGTGGTGGAGAGCTGTGTGGACAGAATTCAGTCCCGTCCAGTGGAATAGAGTAAGCGACAAATGCTCCCACCTGTTGGAGTGAGGAACGGAGAAAAAGTGAAGTGGTCGTGCAAGTGGTCGAGCAAACGCCGTTGGTAACTGTCCGGACACCAACTGGAGGCTTAGTGGGGGTTCCACGAAAGATGGAAAATGTACCGACCTCGGGCGTGGCCTTTTGTAAGGACTGACCACTGTCCCAATTTCCACGGCCAGTGTCTTTGTTCGACGTTATGGGAGTGGATTAAGGAGAGAAGTGGGAGGAGCAAGCCATTGTCCCGCGTTGCGAAGGCGTAATTAAAACCATGTGCTTTCGCGTATCAGCATTGTAGCCCACGTGATTGGAGGTAAGTATGTCTCGGCGTCTAATGCACCCTTTTCTGAACACCACCTTGAGGCTGAGGTGACCCCGTTCCCAGACCACCCTCATATTCAGGGGTTTTTGAACAAGATTCGAGGTCGTCGATAGCCCCCACGACTTGTGGTCCGGCGTGCATCCACCATATCCTAATGCGGCATTAATAGATGCCGTCGCAGTTTTAACATCGCTTCAGTACATTCAAATTTCCCTTCGTCTAGCGAACAATAGCCCACCCCGTAATCGGCCCCAACCGTCTCCGTATCGCCGGGAATGTGCCACGCCCTCAACCTGCATGTACTGTCCCGACCCAACCAGTTTCTCCCGAGTCATCAGCGCCCCCCGCTCCATCGCTGGACGTCCCCACGCACCTCGTCCTTCTTCAGCGGCGTCCGCATCCCAACGAAGCAGATGATCATCACCGCGACGTACTGCGTCGCGAGCGCGCACGCGACGAACAGCACGAAGTTGCCGGTAGTCGGGTTGAACTTCTGCAGGGGGTCGTCCGGGTGTGGGATTGGGATGAGGTTCCCGTCCGCGTCGAAGCCGAAGGTGGGCTTCGCGAAGCCGCCCACGATCGAGTACACGACGCGCGCGGTCACGAACGGAAGCGAGAGCAGGACTCCCGTGAGGAGCTGCGTGGTGTCGACTGAGCCTGATGGAAGGAGACAAAGGGGGAAGGACACACCTGTCGGCGGTACTTCAGGATCTCCGCACGCCTCATGTACGCACTGAAGACGATCCAGACGAGGGCGATGTAGACGCCAGCGAGGACAGCGTACGCGCCCTGCCGGAAGCTGGTTGCCTGGTCGATGTCGTCCTGATTCTTCGCGTTCGGAAGTGCGGAGGCACTGTAGGCGAGGAGCACGAAGGCGAGCGTGGTGATCGCTTGCAGGACAACCAAGCCACGGTCGAACATGAAGGAGCGTTTGGCGAGGGTAAATTGGCAGCTTTGGAGGAAACTGAATTAGCATCCTCGATGAGCACGGGGGAATGCAACTTACACAATGGAGAGAAATCCCGTAATGGCCCCCATGAGGGGCGAGAGGCCTGCGGATTCAAGAACTGGGTAGACGGCCGCGAGAGTATGATTTGAAATATCCTGGGTGGAAACGATAGCGAGGATGCCAGCGGTGATGACCACTGGCATTTCGGGTGAGGACGGGAGAGAGGGTGACGAAAAGAGTCTCACGGAGAGAAAGAATGCGAGCCCCATCCAGCCCCCATGCTTGTTGAAGCCATAGCGGAAGCAGAACACGAGAGCGACGATCAGGACCGGAATGTAAAGGACAATCTGGACCACGGCCGTGATTGCACGATCGTCGAACTTGACCATGGTGCGGAGCAGAAGGACACCTGGCAGGAGAAAGAGAGTGAAAGCGAGGGGGATAGGAAAGAAAACGAGGACGCTTCGGAAGCTCAATCGCCCGCTGATTTTGTACCCGAAGCGTGCCTCGTCTCGGACCGAAATGGCGCAGCGAGGGACCGCCTTCCTCATTGCTAACGCCGTCAATGGGCGCAGATCAGTCCTCCGGTTGACTCTCGAGCGCAGTTACACACCGCAACAGGAGCCACCTCTTTACGTTATTGTTCAGAAGCCGCTTTCGACGAAGGCGGTGTATTGAATGAAGACAAAAGGCAGCTTTTTAGTGGCAGAACGTGCCAACTCGAGGCAGAGGAAGCTGGGGGAATGCGATCAAACCGCATGAAGATTCCTCGGACCGAGGTGACGGAAGCGCCCACGGACCGAGGGTGAGTCTTCCAAGTCACTTCACACCCTGCCTTCGCTTGCGGTGGAGACGTACCGGGGGAAATATGGTGAGCGTATGAAGATCCAAGATTATAGCGTCTGTACAGTACTGAATTATGGACCGACAGCTGGAAGGTCACCGGAGTCTAAGTATCGCCCCATCCGAATTACTCCTCAACACGAGAGGAAGCTGGCAGGGAAGGGGAGGCGGGAAGCTTGCTGGGCCGCCTCCACCTTGAGTCAGGTTTTGCTTTATTCTTTTTCTGGAATTGCGTATACTGTGTCGGGCCGTACCACTTGCCGCCGATGGAGAGCAGCTTCGCAGCAGGCGAGTCTTTCGAGAAGTCGCCCTTCTGCCAATGGGGGATTGAAGTGGAACCCGCGACCTGCTCGTCGTCTATCCAGACCCCCCGGAGATCACCTTCCGAGGCAGTGACATCCCTACGCGAGCGTGGGCCAGGACGTTGAGGAAGTGGACAGGGAGCGGCGCGCGAATGGTGAGCTCGAAGGGCGACGGGCTGTACCGCTGCAAGAAACTCGTGAGCGACGGCATAGGGACTGGGCGAAGGGGAAGGACGCACAGTGACTGTCAGCTCCCATGAATGAAGAAATACAGTCTTGGGTATCGTCATGGCAGACCTGAGATCGCGCATCATTTTGCTCTTACTCGAGAGGCGGTATGTGGAGTCGCCAAGAATCGGAGCTGGGAGCTGGGTTAGAATGGGTGCACAGCTGATAAAGATCACTTACTGCGGAGGGATTGCGCTGCATGCGCTCGAAGCTGGCGCTTCAGGCCGGTATGTGGGGAGAGTTTGACGAGGATAAGAGGCAGATCTTTCTGGCGGACAGTGAGCAGGGGAATGCGACCACAAAGTATAACACTCACAGCACGAGCCACGACTTCATAGTCCGTACGAGCATTCTTTTCCAGTTCTCGCCTCGGGAGTCGGCACTACGTTGTACGGCCGGCTTTATAAAGCGCGGCCGGTTGTCATCAAAGAAGACATCCACGTGGCCGTTGGTGGCCACCAAGGGATCTGTAATGACGCCTTCACTGTTCGGGAACATGTCGGGTCCTCCGACGACAAGTGCAAGATACGACTTCTTCACCTCCCTTGAGGCAAACTGCTGCGAAAATAGCCTGGCGTTCCTCTTGTCAGTCGCCAACGCCAGAGCCCCCGTAGTATACTAAAAAAACATGTGTAAGCTGCGACAAAAGAGGAGACGAGCGAATATACCTTGTCTAAACGGTGCAATGGTAGCAACGGCTCATTGAGAAGTTGATAGTTCTCGATATCTGCCCTTCAGTCAGTCGCAGCAGAACAGCGATCTACACGGTAACTTACTGCGTAGCAACGTCTGGAACCTCTCGGCTGATCATCCTGTACAGAAGTCATGAGTACAAGTCGTGGATAAGACGGCGACAACCGTACCTGAGAGAAGTTCTCTTGTGATATGCCCTGTGTAACAAGACCGGCGGGCTTGTTGACAATGACAAGGGAGGGGTCAGCGTAGAGGAGAGCGCGTTCTGCGGTAAGCTTCTCTAGACTAATCAGCTGCGGTGCCCTAGGCTTGTTGTCCTCGGTTTTGACTGCTGCCTTATCGCGCTTCGCCTCCCCTCGTTGCACCGCTGGCGGCGCCGTATGCATACACCTGCAAGTCGAGCAAGCGGGGCGTCGAACCGACCTAGCGACAGAGCGAGCCGCGAACATCTGCGTAAATGGGTCTTTCAGCGCTCCTTCCTTCGGCCAGACAATCCGGGCTACCTTCTGTGTCTTGGGGTTTGGCTCTGGCTTGCAGGAACGAACGCGAAACGAGAGCGGAGAAAGTCTCGTGACACGCGTTGCGTGGCGTGTTCGGCGCTTGCGCCCATTTTTGCTCGCCGCCCAAAAGACACACAGATCTAGGCGCGCTCTGGCTTATCTGATAACGATGTCTTCCTCCCTCCCTTCACCACCCCCAACCCCATTAGCGAGCTCTCATCGCGCCAACGGCCAGCACGACGTCGAACGTACCCTCACCTTCTATACGCGACGGAGACGGGACTGCGCAAGATGTTGCCGACCGACTGGCTCGTCTGTGCCGGTGTCTGCACATCACCGCACATGTGCGAAGCATGGACGTCTATCCACCGGTACGTCCCCATCACCATCAGTCCAGAGTGGCGCTAAGATCGCTTTAGGAAAACCTCATAAATGAGTGTTTTGTGCTCTTTGTGGTCTCCACCACAGGTTCAGGACGCGAACCGCGAGCCATGACGCCTCTCTGGCACTTCTCCTCCGCGCCGACCTGCCACAAGACCTGTTCGAGATCTCACGTTCGCGGTGTTCGCTTTGGGGACAGCTCATACGAGAAGTTCTGCTGGCCGGGAAAGCTCCTGCAAGGAGGTTGCAACAGCTCGGGGCGCATGAACACTGTGGGAGAGGCGAAGGAGACGAGCAGCACCACCTGGGGTGAGTCATTTTGCTTCTCTGCATTGCCCCTGCCGACGTCGCCAACCCAGGATTGAAGGTGCCCTAGGTCCTGGATACTTACCTTGACCGAAGTGTTCTCCAAGTCCTCCCCATTCCAGCCATCAGACGGTCGATTCTCTTGACGATCTCCCGCCCGCACGCGTCTCTGTTACGGACGCGCCGGGCTGTGGTGGACGCCAAACGAGATCCGCTGGTAGCTGATAGGCAGTACCATACCGCTACATTGTTTTCAACAAGCGCATCACGTCCAGTGACTGGAATCAAGATGTTCGGCACTTCGAGTTCCAGCTTGATGAGGATATCCAGTAAGTGCTCCTCCGAATCTCCCCGTTTAGCTACTAACAATCCAGCACACAGATACGGCCGGGGATGTTGCCGTCATACATTCTGAGGCGGCACACGCAGACGTCGAGTCGTTCTTGTCATGCATAGGTTTTGCGAATACTTCGGATAATCCAATATTGGTGCAGCATATATTGAAAGGTGAGTATACAATCTTGGTCAGCGTCCTACACCACAGAGCTCTCCAGACCAACATCTGCCTGATCATCTCCGAGCACCACCACCATTCGGGAGATTTTTACGCGATACCTTGACATCAATGCGGTACCTCGGCGGTCGTTCTTTGCCTTGCTCCGTATTTTACTCCAGACGAGACAGAACGAGAAAAGCTCGACGAGTTCCTCAGCGAGGAAGGCGCGGTATGTGCATGCATTCGAGACATCATTCTTTAACTGATGGTACGTAGGACGAGCTATACGAGTACTGCCAAGACCACGCAGAACGATCCGCGAGTACTCGAAGAGTTCCGCTCAGCCAAGATCCCAAGGGAGTACATTTCGACCTTTTCCGCCCCTACGTCCTCGACAGTTCTCCATCGCGAGCTCCATCAAGGTACGGACCTCCTCCCTACTTCTTTCTCCTCGCTCTGACCACATCCCGTCAGGCACACCCGCGCAACATACACCTCTGCATCGCGATCGTCACCTACCGCACCATGCTCAAGATCCCCCGCAGTGGCACCTGCACGACCTGGCTTGCCGGCCTCGCGCCTGGCACCAGCTCCGCGTCGGCCTCCAGAAAGGTTTCATCGCCCTCCCTCACGACCGAGCACGCCCGTCATCTGCATCGGGCCCGGCACAGGCGTCGCCCCCATGCGCGCCGTCATCCAAGAGCGCGTCCACCTCTCCACCTCTGGCCCCAGTCCTCCATCCCTCCCCTTCTCCCGACCCCACTTTGAACACGCTCTACTTCGGCTGCCGCTCCGAGAGCAAAGACCACCACTACGGATCGGAGTGGACGGCGCTCGCCGCCGCGGCTCGCTCACCTACCGCCCGCGTTCTCGCGCGACGGTCCCGCGGGCGCGGCGCGGCGGTACGTGCAGGACCTGCTGCGGCAGGACGCGGCGCGCGTGTGGGCGCTCGTTGGGGAGCGCGGCGCGCGCGTGTATGTGTCCGGGTCGGCGAACAAGATGCCCGCGGGGGTGCGCGCCGCGCTCGTGTTCGCGGCGGAGAGCGCGGGGGGGTTGGCAGAGGCGGATGCGAGGGAGTACGTGGCGGGGATGGAGCGCGAGGGGAGGTTGGTCGAAGAGTGTTGGAGCTGAGTGGACTAGTGTTGAGTCTGAGTGCTGTGTACATATTAAAAGTTATACAGGCGTGCGTCCGTTCCACGGGTGGGATATGCATACACATCCAGGTTGTCCATTATACACAGGTATCGTCGAATCGTCTATAAACCAAACCAGAAAACGAACGATGTCCGTGTCCGTGTCCGTGTCCGTCACCAGAGTCCATATAAAGTAACCGGGCTGCCTTCACGTACTCGAGTGCGAGAGCGTGAGCTGCTCCAAGTGCACGCTCCGGATCCCGAACGTGTAGCTGTTGCTGCGCTGCACCGCCGGCGAGCGTGCACTCGCGACCGTGCCCAGCCGGACCTCGAGCGCGCGCGCGCCGCGGACGAGAACGAACTGCGAGAACCCAATGCATCAGCACTCCTGCCGTCCGCGCCCCCGCCATCGAACTCGAGCAAACGGAACTCACCCCGTCCTTGTGCAGCGGAACTGCGAGCGCGGCGCCGAGGAGCACGAGCGCGACGACGAGCGCCGGCGCGAGGTCCAGCGCGGCGTAGAGCGCGACGCTGCCCGTCGTCGGGCTGAACCGCTGTGCGCTGCCGTGCGCGATGCGGTGCGGCCGTCGCTCGGCGCGAAGGTGATCGGGGAAGGAGAAAATGCTCCGAGGAGCGCGTAGAGGACGCGGAGGAGGAGGAAGGGAGCGTGGTGGTGATTGCGTAGAGGAGCTAGCGTGCGCCGCGAAGAGTGTGCGTTAGCTGGAGCCGCAAAAAATGAATCGAGCAGAGAGACAGGGGAATGACCGAACCGAGAACGGGACGCACCAAGCGACGGTTGCGCATGACGTGCGCGCGGTGGAAGAGAAGATAGACAACGGCGGCGGCGAGCGCGGCGAGCACGCACGCGATGACGACGAAGCCGGCGCGGCGAAGGGCGGTGCCGGTGTAGACGTCATGCTGGCTCCGTGCTGAGACGATGTCGGCCCACCCAACGAGGAAGAGGAGCACGGCGACGTAGGGGAAGAACTGCAGCAAAGGGAGGGCGGTGCGCATCAAGAACTCGTGCTCCAGCACGCCAACTGTCCACTAGTGCTCCTTTGTCAGTTCCCCAGAAATGTAAGGAAGGGAAGCGTCCTTACACGATCTCAGTGAACCCTGAGACGGCGTTCACCAGCGGAGCAAGGCTCACCGCGTCGAGAGACGTTGCGGCCACGCCTAAGGGAACGCTCGTCGGGAACTGTGATAACAGCAGGCGCAGCACGCTCATCGCCACTTGCACTGTTCCTCGCGTTAGCACGCATATTCTTCGATGTGGGGACTGTGCAGCTGCGGAGCACAGGCGCACACACCCACACAAAGTAGGACGAGCATGACCCATCCCGTCCGCCGCTTCGCCACCCTGCGCGCGAGGCACACGCAGCACGCCACCGCGACGAGGAGGTAGACGAAACCCTGGATGATGGCCGCGATTGCATGAGCGTCGAGAAATTGCATCCGGCGGCCCGGCGTGCGCCTGCGAGGAGAGAGCGGTCGGGGAAGCGGCCGGTTTGAGGGTGGCGGTCAGCGTGAGGAAAGATGTGGGGGAGCGGAACCAGGCTCCGTGTGTGAGGCCGTGCCTAAAAGTACCCCTCGAGGGCGTCCCGCAGTCTTTCGAGACGACGAGGCTATTGGGGAGGGCTGCCGGCGCCCCGAAGGGCGGCCTCTCAGGGCATGAGGAAGGGCGTGGGTGGTCTAGATCATGACCCCAGTCGCACGTCCGTAGCGGGTCGCGAAATTGAGTTCGAGAGCAAAGGACACCGCGAGTCGACTCTGTGACGGAGAACGACAGCGACGTGCGTGCCGTCTCACCGTGAGCCTACGACATTAGGTTAGCAGGATCATCTTGGGGACATCGACAGGAAGCGTTGTCCGCATGTGTTGGAACTCACCTGTTATCGGGCGCGGTGTGGGCGGGTGGGAGGGCAGCGGCGGTGAATCGCCGAGAGCTGAATTGACGGCTTTGAACACCGCGTATACTTACGGGATGCTCGAGTGCTCATGAAGCGTCACCGTGGATTAGTTGAATTAGCGATGATTCCAGCAGATGGCAGGTGAGGAAGGTTGGTAGACCAGTGGTGGATGCAATAATTTGACAGTTGCTGTGATCGGGGTGCCTTCCCAGTTTTGGTGGTCTCGCGCGACACCATGGCAGTTACTGGCAACACTGAAGCTTGAAGCTGAAGTTTGACAGCGTGGGGCTCCACTTTATGTATGCAGTACTGGTTGTTGACAAGAAGCTCAAATATTTGACCGCGTGGGCCTCAAGCCGAAAAGCGCCCGTGCAGCGCAGAAGTCGAGCCTCGAGTCCTCCTCCCGGCGTACGAACCTTGCCGTCATCCATCGACTGTCCTTGTACGCACCCGCCATGCTGCTTCCACCTTGTCTTCCACCTTTCTTCTCGCACCTCTCCCCCAGTAGCGATGGGGTGGCTCCAGTGGCCTGCACCGTCTACTCCGCCTCCGAAGCATGCTAGAAGTCGTTCTGAAGAAACCCTGGATCGAGCTATCGATATCCTCGTGCCAGCCGCCGTCTGGAGCATACGTGCAGTGAAGGATGTCAGCGCTCTTGCCGCCAATTCATACACCCCTCTCGAACACCTATCCCCCGCTGCTATCATCATCGGGACTTGGGCTGCGAGCAGCGCCTTTAGACGATCCAAGCGCAAAGCACGATCACTGTCCACGCGACTTCAACGATTCATGGGGAGCTCACCGTCCACCAGACCTGTAACCAAGTGCGTCCATCATGCTTTTATTTCGCGTGCGTCTTGACGCTAATCGCTCGTTGGTGTTCAGAGCCTCTGGCGGCGCACGCAGGACGAAGCCCCAGAACATGGGATATGACGCGCGCGAAACCTGAGCCTCGGATTCAAGGACACCACTGGGAGATAGTAAAAAGGGGGAGATTCGGACGGATCGTGAGCGTGTTTCTTCCTCTCACGACGTGCGCGATCGAACGAGAGGTTGGTCCCCCAGGTGGCCAGGGATGTTTCGGAAACCATCCGATCGAGAAGGAAACACAGTGCGTACATATCCCGTTGTTCTACCCGGGGCACGAACGGACGCCGGTCTGATGGTCTGCGTTCACAGGGACGCCAGAGGATGCGGAATGAGGGGCGACTTACTGTTCCGCGTCACATCCGGGATCGACGCCAGCTGACGAGGGGGCGGGCGCGACGCGAAAGCGGCATCGGATCGTGAGCAAAGATAGCCCATTGTACTGTTTGTATTTTCTAGGATACGTGAATCAACCTCTCACTGAAGATATTTGGAGCCGACTGCGAGTGCACAGGCGTACACATGCACTGAGCCTCTTCGGCCCAGCGCGGAAGGAGTGAGCCCGGGACACGATCCGACAATTTCGAGTCCGAATTGATCCACATGCGGCAGATCGTGAGTATTCACCGCTCCCAAAGTGTGTCCGTACTAATATGCCGCATCTCAGCTGCCCCGTCTCGGCCCGCGGATGTTGCAAGCTCATGTCTAGGATCATCATAGGTACTCTACTGCAGCTTGGGCAACCGGGGAGACCCCACTTGTTCCCGCTCGGATACGAACGGCGCGAACCTCGTCGTAGTCTCGCCTCCCGGTACGCTCGGGGGCATTGCGCATGGCGGGCTGTTTTCGATCCCGCCGTCATAGCTAAGAAGATGCTGGAGGTCTTCCCGGGATGGGGACGGCGGCTGATATCAAGTTTCAACGTCGTACTTACCTGGGCCTCTTTGACCGCAACCAAATCGTATGGTTTAGATTTGCTATTGCAGTTGATCATCCGTTTGATTCGAAACTGTGCTGGTGAACCGAACAAGCGCCAATAACTATGACAATGTACTTATCAGACACGCTGTGGGAGAATGGGGCCACCTGGCACCGGAGCGGTGTTAGAACGATTGTGGGTTGATCGTGGGTTCATTGTGGGTTCATTGTGGCCGCATAAGAGACAATGTGACCTTGGAAGTTGAAAGGTGCTGCGAAGCCTCTGCGTCGAGCGAGGCCACTGTGGACCCCGATGTCAACGAATGTGGGAGACGGGCGCTAGATCCGCTGCGTTAGCCGTTTAAGGTTTCCCGTCGCGTGGGCAGCGAAAAGTCGCGACGCGTCGCGCCTGCTTATGACTCTTATCCCCTCCTCATTCCCCTCCCGCTTACCTTTCCCCCCATTTCGACCCGCCATGGAGGATCCACCGAAGCCCGCTCCTACCCCTTCAAATCAGCGGAAGTCGCGAGTCCTAGCCGCGCTTGACAACCCCGCCTTCTTCTCCCAAGCGGGACCTTCCAGCTTTACGTACAGCACGCACCTCTCGACCCCGCAACCGGACCCCGCGAAGATGCGCATGTCCACGCCTTCTTCGCCGCCTTCGCGCGTCTTCTCAGGGCGGAAAAGGAAGGCTTCGGGCCCCGCGCTCGGCGTTCACCTCGACGACCTGCTCGACCACGACGATACCGAAGTCGAGAACTCCTCCCCAATTCGACCGATCCGGAACCCCGGTACCTTCTCCCTCAACTACGACCAGGAAGGCGCCGTACGACCAATTGACCAGGGCGGAGATGATCAAGCAGCCAGGTGCGTGGATATCTTGTCGCGCACTCCACTCACGCCGACAAAGAGCCTCCTCAGGATGGCGGACTTTGTTTCGCAGGCGCTCGACAATTCTGCGCACGGGTTGACGACCACGAAGGCCGCTGAGAAACTAGGTCTATCACAGTGCGTTACCAATCCCGCCCATCTCTATCTTCGTCCTCGCGCGCATTCCGTGGGTGGATATATGCGGTCACAGTGGCTCAGGTCCAACTTATCGCTCACACACGTGTAGTGTCCAAGAACTTGTCTCTGGAATGGAAGTGAAGCTGCTGGAGCATCAGCTTGTCGGTGTTGCATGGATGATTGATCAGGAGAGGGACTCTCCCCACAAGGGCGGCATCCTAGCCGACGACATGGGTCTCGGAAAGACCGTCCAGATGATCGCGACCATGGTCATCAACCAGCCTTTGCCCGAAGACAAGCATAGGGCGACCCTCATTGTTGTCCCTGCCGCACTGCTCCAGCAGTGGAAGGAGGAGCTGGAGACCAAGACGAACTGCGCGTTCGACATCCACATCCAACATGGGAAAGATAAGATCAAAGACCCTCGCCAACTGGCCGAGTGGGATGTGAGTGCATGCGCACTGTGTTCCCGCTGTGACTGACTATATGCTACTCCTACTTAGGTCGTCATAACTACATACCAGACACTCACTGGAGACTTCAACATCCCTGCTGGCATCGAAGAAGGCGGCGAGGTCGATTGGGTGAAACAGCACGGAGGCCCAATGTCGCAGGTCAAGTGGTACCGCGTCGTCTGCGACGAAGCCCAATTCATCCGCAATCGGTCCACACGCTCTAGTATGATTGTCGCGATGCTGCGTGCCAACTACCGCTGGTGTCTCACCGGAACTCCAGTCACCAACACCCTGTTCGTATCTTCACCTGCGCGCTGCTATGCGTAAGCTCACTGGCGTCCTCCCAGGGCCGACATCTACGGCTACCTACGTTTCGGTCGTTTCCGCCCCTGGAAGTCTGTGTCTGATTCTTTATACTCATGAGATACATACTCATCGTATATGCAGCGATTGGCAGGACTTCAACGAGTACGTCGCCAAGATGCAGCTTGAAGACGCTCCTCTTGCTGGTGAGTCCAGTTAAGCGCCTTTTTCCTAGCATGACGTCATTGACAGTGTGTGTTAGGTATGCGGGCGCAACAAATCCTGAGGCCTCTCTTACTTCGTCGCACCAAAGAAGGGAAAAAGGTGCGTGTGTTGTTTCCTTTTCTCTATGCCGAGGCACTCACATATCTAACAGGAGGATGGTTCGCCGCTCCTAGACCTCCCACCCAAGCAAGTCGATCTGGAATACCTGCAGTTTTCTGACGACGAACGCGCTGTGGGTATTCATCACTAGCCGATCTTACTGCTGTTTACACGTACGATCCTCCGTAGCTGTACGACCAATTCGAGAAGCAAGCACAAGTCCAAATTAACCGGTTCATCCGGAACAATACGCTTTTGAAGAAGTGCGTCGTAAAGCTTGTCTTGCCCAGTCGCAAACTCACGGGCTCGTCCAGTTCCCACCATGTGCTGGTGCTTATCCTCCGACTTCGCCAGCTTTGCGCCCATCCGCATCTCATTCTCGTGCGTCTTTGCTTGTCTGCGCGCGCCGGTGACTGAGTAACCTGTTGGCTTACAGGAAAGCGCGCAAGGGTTCGATGACCCGACAATGATCATGGGGTCAGAAATGGAGAAAGAGGTGTCACGCGCTACAGCCACCATGGGAGCGCCATGGGTGCGAAATGTGCGTGTCCTAATCCTGTCCGCGGGTATCACGGGTGCTTGTGAGCTTGCCGAGGGAGCCTCCGACAACCCATTTCCGAGGCGGACGCTCGCTGTCGCGGTTATGGGTTGCGAGAGCTTATATGACGGGATCACGTTCGAGGGGCTCGGGATCAGTCAACGTGTGAGAATTTGTTCGAGAACGTGAGAGCGGCACAGGCTGGGTCCTGAAACGTGGGCCGAGGAAGAGCAGAAGAACATTGCGCTCCCACTTTAGCCGACGAGCAGAACGGATGTCGGGGCGGGCGGCGCGGGAATCCAGGTTCAGGGCGCGCGGGTGCACCCGACGCACCTCTCTTTCGTGCGCAGCTGACCCTTTCGTGGTTTCGCAGATCAAGGATCGTTACCTGCAGCGAGCTTGCGCGCTCGACTTTGACTGGGACGACGACGAGTCGGACGCGGCCATGTGTTGCAAGTGCGGAGACTGTGCGTCGTTTTCTCCCTCGATGCACCTGTCTCCGTCCGCTTATCACATGCACAGTGCTCGTTGAGAGCACGGGCCGCATCATGGGATGTGGCGACGAAATCTGTGTCGACTGCGTCGACGACCTCCGGACGGGCAACATCGAGCACAACGGCGAGTTGTACGTGGCCGGGCCTCCTCGTTGGCCTCCGTTATTGACCCCCTGCTGCAGTGGCGGGCACGATGAGAAGACGAACGCGCGGCTCGAGAAGCAGTTCGAGACCGCGGCCGCCAAGGGTCTCCGGCCGTGCCCCAAGTGCAAGAAGATGCAGGACCTCCGTCCGAACAACATCTTCCGTGCCGCCGCGTTCGCGCCCTCGCAAGAGGACATCAACCGCGCCCGTCGCAACCGTCGCTCCCGGCCTGTCAAACGTCGCAAGGTCGTGTCCGAATCCGAATCCGAGTCGGAAGAAGACGTGAAGCCGCAGCGGAAGTCGTCCGGGAAGCCTGTGAAGAAGGAGATCGACATCATCAACCTGTCGGACAGCGACTCGGACGACAGCATGCCTGACATCTCGACCCTGCTGAAGAGCTCGCCGAAGAGCCAAGGGAAGGACAAGAAGAAGGCGAAGGTCGAGGACACGGACGAGAACATGTCGGGCTCCGACGTGGACGCCCCGAAACGGAACGGCAAGGGAAAGGCCAAGGCCAAGCGCAAGCCCTCCTCCACCCCTCGCCCCAGCCAGCAAGCCGGCAGCCGCAAGCCCTCCGGGACCCCCGCACCCCCCAAGCCTCCCTCGGACGAGATGGTGGCGATCTGGCGGCGCGGAGGCTCGAACGTCGAGCCGTCGACGAAGATGCTCGCGCTCGTCGAGTACCTGAAGACATGGGCGGCGGACCGCCCAGACGACAAGGTGATCGTGTTCAGCCAGTGGACGTCGATGCTGGACCTGTGCGAGCAGCTGTTCGCACGGTATGGAATCCGGAACCTGCGCTACGACGGGCAGATGGGCAGGGAGGCGCGCGAGTACACGCTCTCGCAATTCAAGCGCAGGGGCGGACCGAAGGTGATCCTCGTCAGGTGCGTGTCGCTCGGGGGACCCACGCAGGAGGCGCCGCGTGGGACGACGGGGGCGTGCTGACCGTGTGCGCGCGCAGCATCCGTTGTGGTGGTGTGGGCCTCAACCTCGTCGCGGCGAACCGCGTTATCAAGTGCGTCCCAGCCCACTGCATCGCGCGGCTCGCGTCCCATCACGCGTGTGCTGACGTCCCGCGCCCAGCCTGGACCTCTCGTGGAACTACGCGGCGGAGTCGCAGGCGTACGACCGCGTCCACCGCCTCGGGCAGGACAAGGAGGTGGTCGTGAAGCGGCTCGTCGTGCACGGCACGATCGAGGAGCGGATGCTGACCCTGCAGGACACGAAGCTCGGGCTGGCCGAGGCCGCGCTGGGCGAGGGCTCCGGCACGCGCCTGCAGAAGCTGAGCGTGAAGCAGATCAAGGATGTGCGTCCCGTCCCCGTTTTCGTCCGCCCTTGTTCTCGCTCGCGCGGCGTGCAGCCCGCGCCCTGTGCCGCTCACGCCGCCGGGATTCTCCCCTCGTTCCTGTTCTCGTCGTGCCACTCTGTTGTCGAGCGCGCCGCTGACGCTTACGTCCCTCGGCAGCTGTTTGGGATGTCGAGCATCAACAAGAACCCTCAGGACCCGAATCAGACGCAGCTCGACCTCTGACAGTCACACACGGACGGGCCGCTTGGAGGTGCGGGGTGAGGTCATCATGCTTAGGCGCTCGGGTCGGCTCGAGGGCCATCACGGTATTGAGGGCCGCGGATTATTTAGACGACCAGCCTCGGTCGGACACGCTATCTTATCCACTTTGTAGTATCGCGTGCTGTTTGGATGGGGGACGGTAGCGTACTGTATTCTTTTGCTGTGTTCGGTAGAGTACTGTATTCGTTAAAGAGGTACGCGTAGACGGATGCTGTTTCGGCTAGTATATATCTTTATTCTGCTCGAGTCGTGAGACGGCACTGGTGCGTGCGCTCGCTGCGAGATGGTTGAAGAAAGCGTGGAACCTGGAGATTTCAATCGTCGACGGAGGACAAACGAGGGGAGAATTTGTCGGGCTCGTCGATCGCGACGACTGTTTCCAGCCCTCCAGGATTCCGTCGCGGCATGGCAACCTCTGGGCGATTTCAAACCTAAAGCCGCACCTCCGGGGCAAACTCTCCTCGTCGTCGTCGCGCGGGCGGGACGGCCAGGAGAGGACAAATTGCCCGCCACGGCCGTCCTAACCCATCATCGTCATCATCGAATCATCGCGCACGTACGGGCCGACGAGGAAGCGCAGCGCCATGATCCATCCGGTGGCGGCCCTGCAGCACCCTCGAACCAGCGGTGCGGAGTGCGGACGTCGAGCGGGCGACAGGGCGGGGGGCGGTCCGCGGCGGCTCGGAAGGCGGCCGGCCGGGAGCCGAGCGTTGAGTACATCTGGCGTCCGAACGGGATAGATTGCGCGGGTTCGGTCGCATGTGGCCCGCCGCCGCACTGCATGTGCAGGCTCATGTACAGCTGCCAATCTGCCGCCAGCGCCCGATGGACGGACGGGACGTGTGCCACTGCTCGACCCACTACTTCGAGTCTCGACCGAGCCCCAGCTCCGCGAGGGTGCGGGCGGCGCCCGAGTGAGCCGGAGCGCGAAGCTTGAGGGATTTTGCGGGTGGGAGAACTCGGCGGGGATCGCGCCCCGCGGGGTACGTGCTCATGTATGTGCTTGTGTGCATATGCCCATGTTTGAAAGTTTCGGCCGCTGCTCGGCCCTCGCCGCTGCTAAGTGCTGGCCTGGGCAGGATTCCGACGGCGTTTGGAAAATTTGTCTGGTTGACTCGTGCTGCGAAGGCGGTGGGTGCACGCGACCATTTTCGTGTCGGACGTCGTTCAACGTTCAGGCTTCCACTGTCTCCCCGGCGCGTGCGCACGTGGCGTGGCGGCGGGCACGGAAAGGAAGGGGCGCTCTCCTCGCTCCGAGGCTCGATCGTGATCGCGGCTCGACGGAACGCGTGGGGATGCTGAGAAGGCCGAAGGGAAAAAAACGGACGCGTGAGCTGTAAACGCGGCACGTCGCTGGCCGCCGCTCGCGCACGGGGGTGAGGCCTCGAGGTTGGCGTACGTACGAGCCTGCGTGTGTGTGTGTTTTTTGTTTCTCTCGCGCCGCCCACAGCGGTCGGCCGGGCGCCGTGCGTGCGTGGGGCGCCCGAGAGGCGCTTATGGCCGACTTCGACTTTACATACATACATACGCCGATCTGGCGAGGCGGTGCACGGTTCGAACGGACGGACGTCAGCGACGACTCCGGGGCGGCCACCGCGCTCGGGCGTTGGACGACGTACGTACCGCGGCGACGGTCGAGAAGAAGCAGCCGCCGGGGCGCGGGTCCTCTGACGACTGCCTCCGCGCCGACTTTACGTTTGTGCGCGAGGGTCGACGGGCCACCCGCTCCCACGGGGCGGGGCCCACAGCCCGCGCACCTAAAAGCGCCGAGGAGGTTGGGACTTGGCGAGACCGTTGGACGAGCGGGATCAGGCGAGGCACGCGCGGGTTCGGGGCCGTGCGAACACCGGGCCGGCGGGTGCCCAGGGCGCGCCGGCGGAAAAGGGGATCAGATCGCGCGCCGCGGGTTCGGGCCTCGGCGCTCGGGCGAGGGCTCCGTCGGGCGTCTGCGGGAGTTGCCGGGCGAGCGGCGACGGCCGAGGGGTGCTGCGGCGGGTGGCGAGAGTGGGCGCGGGGGCGCGGAAAGGGCGGCACGCGTCCTGCGCACCGGGAACGAACGAGCGCGAGGAAGAAGCACAACTGAGTCGCTCGGCGCGCGTGGAAGGGGGCGCGCAATAAGATGGAAGCGTCGGCCGGGGCCGGGCGGTGGGCGCGCGAGATGGGGTCTCGTCTGGTGACGGCGCGTCGGGGGGAGTGCGCGGCGTGCGCACGGCGCGGGGCGAGGAGGGTGTACGTACTTGCTTGGCGCGAGGAGCCCGCCGGGAGGGGGGGCAGAACGGTGAAGCGATCTCGCGTTCGTCGCGGCAACTTGGGCGCGGTGGAGGAGTGCCTGGGGAGCGGGCGCCCGGGGAAGGCCGGGGACGGGGGATGCCGCGAAAGCCGCGATCGAGTCTGGCGGGCGGTCTGGGTGAGCACGGCTCCTGTGAGGGCGGGAGGCCTGCCACTCGCCCACCGCCTGCTCGCCCTCCCCCGCTAAATACGCCCGCTCTCATGCCCCGTCCCCACTCCCGCTCCCGCTCCCTCTCCCCCGCGCCCATTCCCCATGACGCTCCTCTCCGGCCCGGATGTCTTCGTCAGTCCACCCCCGCTTCTCCCCCTCCACGCTCGCTCACCCCCTCCCAGTTCGACATCGAGATCAAAGGCCGCTACGTCGGCCGCATCGTCTGCCGCCTCTACGACGCCGACTGCCCGCTCACCGCACGCAACTTCCGCGAGCTCGCCACCGGCCAGAACGGCTTTGGCTACGCTCGCTCCCTCATCCACCGCATCAACCCCAACGTGCGTCCTTTCTTTCCATTCATCCTCACAGCCCCCTCTCATCTCCGCCCCCTTCCATCGCCCATCCCCGTGCGCGCTCCCGTCTCGCGCCGTCGCCCTCGCTCCCGCCCTGCAGTTCATGATCCAAGGCGGTGACATCGTCTCGGGAAACGGTCCCACTGGCCGGTCCATCTACGGACCCACCTTTCCAGGTACGTCCCTTCTTCCCGTCTTCGCGCCCTCGCAGATCGTCCACTTGCATTCCTTGCCGCATTGCCGGATGCTCGCCTTGCCTATACTCTGCCCCATCTTCTCTCTCCCGTCCCTTCGCTGCCGCCCGTCCCCGCCCCGACATCCTCCCACACTTGTTCCCCATCCTCGGCCTCAGTCCCGCATCTCGCCCGTCTCCTCGCCCTCCGTCCCTCTTCTAACCGGTCGCTCTGCAGACGAGAACTTCATCTACTCGCACGACGGTCCCGGCGTGCTCTCGATGGCGAACCGCGGGCCCAACACGAACTCGTCCCAGGTGCGTCCGCTCTCTCCCAGGCCTTGCGCCCGCTCTGTCCAAGCAGATTGCCCTGAACCGATCCCTTTACGTCTTCGGCTTCTGCCATCCTGCGCTCCCCTTCTCTCGCCTGCGGCATCTCGCGACCTCGCCCGCCCCGCCCGCGGCCATTCAAATCCTCTCCGTTTCCTCCATCCGCACCCGGCCTCGTGGTGCGCTATACCCCATCCCTCCACCGGCTACCGCTACCCACCGATCGGTGCACGCCGCCCGCCGCTCAACGTCCGAACACACCCTCGCGTCCAACCCAACCCGCGCCGCGATCCTCCAACGGCATCGCCCACCACGCCGGCATCCCCGCACCTGCGCGCGCCCCCGTCGCCGCTCCCCCGCGCGCAGTTCTTCATCACGACCACCGCGGCGTCGTGGTGCGACGAGCGGAACGTCGTCTTCGGCAAGGTCGTGCACGGCATGGACGTCGTCCTCCACATCCAGAAGTACGCCTCCGACCACATCCTCTACCGGCCCTCGGAGAACGTCCTGATCTCGGCGTGTGGGACGCTCTGACCGCGCCCGCGTGCCCGCCCGCTCTCCGTGGCCCTGGGGCCCTCCGGGGCCGGCGGACACTGGCTTGGGCCTCGTGGTGCTCGCCGCTCGGCTCGCCTGCTGTTGGGCTCCTCCCCAATCTCTCGCCCATCCTTCCATTCTGCAGTCACCGCACGTACGCTCCCTCTCACGCACACTCTCGCCTCCGGTCGTGTGACGCTGCCTGCGGCCGTGCCGCGTCGGACGTCCCGCTCGAGGCGTGCGGTGCTCCTCGTCGTCTGCCCCACACGAAAAACCCTCGCCGGCGGCGCGACGGGGGCGCGGGACGCGTGCGGTGCCCTTCGCTCGTCGTCGTTGTCTCCCTCGCTCTCTCGATCCCTTCGCCCCTCCACATCCTCCCCCCCCCCTGCCCCCTTCTCCTAACCCCATACCGTCTGCTCCCGTCAGTCATGTACGTCTCCCCGCTATCGATACGCTGTGCGCCCCCCTCCCCACGTACTTACCCCCCGGTGCGAGCTAATGCCGTCCACTGTACCATACCACTCGCTGTACTCGCCGCCCCCGCCCGGTGCATATGCATAACTTATTGCGACCCGTCTTCTTCCGTCCCCTGCGAGCTGCAACCGCACGTGCCTCGCGATGCGGCGCGGGGTCCGCGCGGTCGTACGTGCCTGCGCCAACATACCCGCGCAAACCGCCGGACGGACGGAAGGGAGTGGCTCCGATCGGGGGCAGGCGCGCGCCGCGCCGAGTGCTAAGTACACATGCAGCTGGAACCTGGAGGCGTGGACCCGTGGAGCGTGGACAGTGGGGAAACAGCCGAGGGTCGAGCGCGACCCTGAGCGCGCTGCTGCGCGTCTGCCGCCCGGCGTTCTGTGCGCTGGCCATGGAGGCCGTGGTGCAGTACGCACGCACGCGCGCAAACCCTATGGCCGGATTTACATACACACGCACACACATGCGTAGCACCGCACGTCCCGCCGGGGGGGAGGACGTTGCGAGGGACGGATGGACGTGCGGAAGGGACTCGGGCGACGCGCGCGTTCTCGGCGAATGCCGTACGGGCGTGCGTGCGTACGTACATACGGGTGACTGAGGTCGCCCTCGGGCTTCGGGCACGAATTCGCAATCTTAATTTGAATGCGCTCCGCCTTTGCCGTGAGCTCGAGCTTGGATACTTGAGTTCTATGGCCGTACTTACTTGTATTTACTCGCTGCTCGCGCCGGCCGGGGGTTCCCGAGGACGCTGCGTGGCACGCCGGGGCGACCATCTTTCTAGTGCCACATTACATGAGGCCGAGAGAAAGACAAGTGAGGATTTTTCTCGCTCATAGAAACCCATAGAAATGCCTTTTCTGACTGCACGTGGATTTAAACCTTACAAACGGCTCCCAGAAAAATGGTGGCCCCGGCGTGTGCGTCACGAGCCGAGTCGGAGGCCTCCGTGCGCGTAACGTGCGTAGGTGGAGTCGGTCCCTCCTCGCCGGGGGACTTCGAAGGCTCGCGTACTTACGAAGGCACGAAGGCACGAAGGCACGAAGGCACGAAGGCACGCGCTAGCCCGGGCTCCGATCCCCGCGCCACTCCGAGCTTGAGCCTCGAGGGCCGAGGGGGCGCGGGTCTGCTTCCGCGCGCAGCAGGAGCGATCGGTCGAGTCCTTGCGCCACCAGCTGATGTCGATGAGCCGGAGCGTGGAGCGTGGACGGACGTGCGTCGTGCGCGGGTGTGTTACCGTTCACGGGCTGTGTGTGACGTACACGCTCTGGACTCCAGGCGGCGGAACTGCGCGAGCGTGACGCGGTCCGGGGACTTGGGCATGGACCTAGTCGCGGGCGCGCGGGCGACTCGGGCTCGGGGCGGGCGGTCGATCAAGCTAGTACGCGCGTACGGTGTGCATGATGCGCGGGGTTTAGGACGGGCGGCGCGGGGGACGTGTTGCTTGGTGCTTTGGAGTTTGGTGCGACAGATGGTCACGTCGACGGAGCGACTCGCGCCGGGGACTAGTGCTCAGGCTCGGCCGCACGAGGTGTGGTTGACACCCGGTTCTGGTGCCGGGCGCGAGCTGTTCGTGTCTGTACCCGGTCCGGCGACAGCGAGGTGCTTGCTCTCGAGTCTCGGTATTGCTGTTGGACGTTGCGGGCGTGATCCTCGTGCGCGCCTTGAACCGCGGGGCGGCGTCCCATGTAATTAAGTTAGCACGCCGTCCGCGTGGCGCGCGCGCCGCGCAGGGCGCGCTGGCGGGTGTTTGGTGCAGTCCGTGCTTGATGCATGATGCGTGGTGGAAACCCAGAGCTCAGACTAGGAGAGGGTGCAGGACGACGTCGGGCTGCGTGGGCCCCACCGCGCCGACGGGGTCCGGCCGGCGCGGAAACGGCGGTCGGGGCGCAGGGGCGCAGCCGTCCCGAGGACGGCCATTTGTTGCCAGCGCGACGACAGGCTCGGAGTCCGAGGATGTCGACGAGCGTCGGGGGAGCCGAACAGCGGATGGGCTCGGCCTCGCGTGCGGTTTGGGTTGATAGACATTAATGGGCGGGGCGGGGGCTAGCCGGTGCCACGGCCGCACGCGAGGGCGGGGTGATGTCGACCGTCGGTCAGGGCTGCGGCGAAGACGCTTCCGCGGCGATCTTGGGCGTCGACGACGTTCGTAATCGTTCAGGGAGGCTGCGGCCGGCGGGCGGCAAGTGCCTGGCCCTGGTGGGCGAGAGGCTGCGAAGGAAGGTAGATTGGAGGGGTGGGCAACATATTGCGCGCGCGTAGGAAGCCTGGTCGGGGATTGCGGCGTCAGGAAAGTCCGCTGCCATTGTCCCCACCTGGTTAGAACGAGTCCGAGCCGGTGCGCAGAAGTTAGCGGCCCTGTGTTTCCTCCGATGCGGTCCGAAAATCCATTGCTGCGCACCGATTTTTTGCCAACCGCCAGTCCAAAGAACAAATTGCACCTCATTTGTGTTTTGCCCGGACCCCGGCTCGGGTTCGATCAAGTTTCAACTGATACGTCTGTCCAGCGAAGTGGCTGTTGGACAGTCTGGGTCGAACTTCAACCTCGAAGAGGGTGGTTGCATCAACGGGACGGATAACATTCGAACCGGATGGGTTTCAGGAAAACGAGGTGCACATATGATCGTCGTGGCCGCCAAGGGAGGTGATGAGCAAGAACACGAGATGCTGGTAGTAGCAAACCAGAGTTCAAGTAATCTAAGATTCAATTGGTTTTACTAGTGATCTAGCATTTTAGCGCCTATGCTCTTACACACTTCTATTACAAACACTAGGCAGCGCCTAATGAGCCGTACTCCGCTTCTAGTGTGGATTAGATCGCCCGTGTAGCCTCCCCGACGTCCACCATCTCCGTTCACGACTCTCGTCCACGTTCTTCCGACCCTCGCTCTTCTTTGGCTTCTGGACCCTCCTTGATTCTCTCGTCTTGATTGCCGCTTCCAGGTCCAAGAGCTTCACCCACTTTTCTCGCCGTAGATGTCTGGCTTCCGTGCCGGCCCCCGGAAGGGCGAGAACTTCGAGCTCGCGGCCGACCTGAACAGCGAGTACAAGGACAAGCGGAAGGATGCCATCAAGCGCGTCATCGCGAACATGACCGTCCAAAAGGGTGAGCCCGCCCTCTCTCTCTCCCTTCATCCCTCCCCCACCACCACCCACCATGCTCACCGCATACACCCACCCCCGGCCGCAGACGTGAGCGGGCTGTTCCCAGACGTGCTGAAGAACATGCAGACGGACGACCTCGAGCAGAAGAAGCTCGTCTACCTCTACCTGATGAACTACGCCAAGACGCAGCCGGAGCTCGTCATCCTCGCCGTGAACACGTTCGTGAAGGACACGGACGACCCGAACCCGCTCGTGCGCGCGCTCGCGATCCGCACGATGGGCTGCCTCCGCGCGGAGAAGATCATCGACTACCTCTGCGACCCGCTCCAGAAGTGCCTGAAGGACGACAACCCGTACGTGCGCAAGACCGCCGTGCTCTGCGTCGCGAAGCTCTACGACCTCAAGCCCGAGCTCGTGCTCGAGAACGGCTTCCTCGACCAGCTCCGCGAGCTCATCTCGGACAGCAACCCGATGGTGCGTCCCCCCTCCCGCTCTCTCTTTCTGCGTTCCCGAGCGCTCTGAGGCGAGCTGGCTGCGCACACAGGTCGTCGCGAACACCGTCGCGGCGCTGTCCGACATCCACGTCGCCGCCGCCGCGTCCGGCGCGCCGGGGGACACGTTCCCGATCACGAACGAGATCGTGAACAAGCTGCTCATCGCGCTCAACGAGGCCTCGGAGTGGGGCCGCGTCGCGATCCTCACCGCGCTCGCGCGGTACACCGCCGAGGACGCGGGCGAGGCGGAGCACATCTGCGAGCGCGTCGTGCCGCAGCTGCAGCACGCCAACGCGTCGGTCGTGCTTTCCGCGACGAAGGTGTGTGTCCTTACTTTTTGCGTCTGCGTCTGTGTCCCCCTCGCGCTCAAGACGCTTTCCCCCTTCCCCGCTCTCTCCTTCCCGCGCTCTCCTCACACGTCCCTCGACGGTACCGAGAGCACAGGTGATCATGATCCACATCCGGGCGATCAGCTCGGACGGGCTCGCGAAGACGCTCGCGCGCAAGATGGCGCCGCCGCTCGTCACCCTGCTCTCGAACCCGCCCGAGGTGCAGTGGGTCGCGCTCCGGAACATCAACCTCCTCCTCCAGAAGCGCTCGGACGTGCTGACGAACGAGATGCGCGTCTTCTTCTGCAAGTACAACGACCCGCTCTACGTCAAGGTCGAGAAGCTGGACATCATGGTCCGGCTCGCGACGGAGAGCAACGTGGACCCGCTCCTGAGCGAGCTCAAGGAGTGCGTCGAGACGGGAGAGTGTGTGAGAGAGTGCTGGGAGCTGACGGGCTGCGTGCGCACTGTGCAGGTACTCGCAGGAGGTCGACGTCGACTTCGTGCGCCGGAGCATCAAGGCGATTGGCCAGACGGCGATCAAGATCGACGAGGCCGCGGAGCGGTGCGTCAACGTCCTCCTGGAGCTCATCGGCACCCGGGTGAGCTACGTCGTGCAGGAGGCCGTCGTCGTGATGAAGGTGCGCCCCGTCTCTCGTCTCCCGTCCCGCGATCGCGCTCGCGGCCCGAACGCTGAACGTCGGCGCCGCCGCAGGACATCTTCCGGAAGTACCCGTCGACGTACGAGGGCGTGATCCCGGTGCTGTGCGGGAACCTGGACGAGCTGGACGAGCCGGAGGCGAAGGCGTCGCTGATCTGGATCATCGGCGAGTACGCGAAGAAGATCGACAACGCGGACGAGCTCCTCGGCATCTTCGTCGACACCTTCACGGAGGAGTCGTATCCCGTGAGTCGTCCCCCTCCCCGTCCCCAATGTCCGGCTGCCAGCTGACGCCATCACAGGTGCAACTGCAGACGTTGACCGCGGTGGTGAAGCTGTACCTGCAAAAACCGGAGAGCTCGCAGGGTCTGGTGCAGAAGGTGCTGAACACCGCGACCAAGGACTGCGACTCGCCCGACGTGCGAGATCGCGCGTACATCTACTGGCGGCTGCTCTCGACGGACCCCGGGGCTGCGAAGGTGAGCGCCAGCACATATCGCGCGGCACTCCTGCTTTGGTGTTGATGTCGGCCGTCAGACGGTCGTGCTTGCCATCCGCCCACCGATCACGCTGCCACGGACGACCGTGTCTGCCGCGCTGCTCGACGAGCTCCTGGGAGACATCCCGCTGCTCGCCAGCGTGTACCACAAACCCGAGGAGACGTTCATCGGCCGGGGACGCGTGGGCGTGGACTCGATGCAGCGGAAAGGCTCCGAGTACGTCGTTCCGTCCTCCTCCCTCTCCCTTTCCCTCTCCCTCTCCCGCAAAAAAGATCAAAAGCTAACCATCGCCCCCCCTCCCCAGACCGAGCGACGACCGCTCGTCGACCCAAAAGGCGCTCCAGACCGTCGCCGCCGGGCAGCAGGCCGAGAACCTGCTCGACTTCGACGACGACGACGGCGCGGCGAACGGGCAGCCGTCGGGCCTCGCCGCGACGACCGTGCTCGCGCAGACGCCCGCGGCCGCGAGCCTGCTCGCGGGCACGTCGAGCAACCCGCTCGACGACCTCGTCTCCATCTTTGGCGCGACGAGCTTCAGCCCGTCGCCCGCGCCGCCGCAGGGTGGGATGGGAGGCATGGGTGGTATGGGCGGTATGGGTATGGGCATGGGTATGGGAGGCATGGGAATGGGCATGGGCATGGGCGCGACCCCGGCCCCGCTCGGGCTGAACGGCGCGCAGAACGGGGCGGCCGGGTTCGGGTTCGGAGCGGCGCCGATGACGCCGGCGCAGCCCGCGGCGCAGACGCAAGCACAGGCGCAGTCGGGGCAGGACGACCTTCTGGGGCTGTTCTAGTCCGCGTTGGGGGGCGAAGGCGAGGTTGAGTGTGTACGTTGTGCTAGCTCTGTTTGTAATCGTTTGTCTTTCTTTTCTGGATTCTCTGCCTCTTTTCTGATCGTCGTCTGTCGTTGGGTCTGTGGGGCGGACCGTCTGCTTCCTCGATCGAGGGTGGTCGTTTCACTAGTCGTCAGCAGCCGCGGACAAGGAGACCGTCGCATGGGCGAGGCCCATTCTTGCGCAGAAGACACCTGTTCATGAAGAGAACGGATCTTCTCCCACCAACCCAACGTTCTAGAAAATACAAGTAGAATTGAGAACTTCAATTGACTAGTACTACATCAAGAGGCGATGTATGCGCTACCGAGCCCAACCGAGCTTCATTTGGCGACTAAGGTCTGCGAACCGGCCCCTGGCCTTCCTCCGCCTCGTCCGCGTCCGGCTCGCCCTCCTCCCCAGCCTTCTGGCGCAAACGGCTCTTGTACACCGACGGACGGTCGGCGTTCTCCACCCCGTCCGCCCACATCCCTCTCCTCGCGTCTCTAGATGTGCGCACGATGGCAGCATCAGACCAACATCTCCAGACTCCAAGTGCCGAGAGGCGGTGACGTACTGCGCTTCCTTCTTGAGCATCCGGACGTAGACGAAGCGGCCCTCGAGCCGGGACGCGAGCCAGTTGTGGGCCTCGTCCGCGCACCTCTGCTTCTGCTGCTCCGTCTTGCTGACCTGGACGATCTGGGGTGTTCGACGTGAGCACCCGGAGTCGGCCAGCGCGAGCCTCGAAGGGGAAGAGTGTGTTTGACGTACCTCCGGCGCATCGGCGGCGATCAGGCGGATCGAGAGGGTGTCGCCCGCGAGCTCTTCCACTGCAGCGAACGGAAGTCAACAATCAGCGACTCTGGGGTCAGTGGACGTGCGCACCGTCTGGGACCTTGAGCAGCTTGAAGGGCCACCTCCAGCCGAGCCCGGGAGTGTGGTAGAGCCTGAAGCCATCCCCGTCCGAGACTCTGGGGAGGCCGCAGCGTGACTGAGCGACGACCACTAGTGCCGCGCGCCGGCGTGCACTGCACGAAGGACGCACCGGGTCACGAAGCCTTTGATCCGCCTTCGGGGGGACAGCATGTCGGGCGTGACCCACTTGTTGTTCGGGATGCGTTTGAGGTGTCGTCTGTAGATGCGCCCGGACGCGCACGTCAGAGCACTGGCGAGCAGTATCACTTGGTAGGTCGGAAGCTCCGAGACGCGGGCGTATAGCGCCGCAGCTCTATCGCGTCCGGCGCGAATGAACCTGGTCGCAAGGGACAGAGGTGGGGGAGGAGGCGCAGGTTTCAACCACGCCGCGGGCCATAGCATGTCTGCAGTGAGCTGGGAGAGAGAGAGGTAGCCAAACGCGCTGGAAGCAGCATGGCCGGGGGCTGGTCGACGGACTGCGGTAGTTGCTTAGAGTTGGCGTCCACGAAGCCGCATGTTCATGGGCGCTCACGCACTTGAGCCTTCAGAGATTCGGCGCTTCAGCTTCGGCACTCTTCTGACTTGCATACATCGCCATTTTTAAGCAAACCACAAGACATGGAATTGAAGTGCGTGTAGTTTCTGTTGAAGAGAGTTACAAATCGTGACATCGACCTTCCCTTGACCCGTTTGTTCCCAGCCTGCCCAATCGTTCCTACCAAATCCTCCAACCCCGTGCATAGCCGCAACAGCCTCTTTTCCTCAAGCGGTCGCCTGGGGGTGTACGACGAGCTTCACCCCGCTGACCTGCTTCATCTTCACGCGCTCGAGCCCGCCCGGAACCCCAGCGAGGCCGCCCTCGAGGACCTCAACCGGGTTCGGCTACCACGCCCACGCCATCAGCCCTCCTTCTCCTCCAAAGCCGAGAGAGACGCGTCGACGCACCTTAACGTCCCCCGCCGCAAGCATCCCCGGCAGCGCCCCCAGCAGCTCCTCCACGACCGCCGCGTTCGTCGGGATCGCCAACAGGCCCCGCGCCATGTGCACCTTGACCGTCTTGCGCTCGCCCTCCCCGAGCGTGCCCGGGGGCGAGACGACGACGAGGTCCGCGCCGTCCGCGGCGAGCGCGTACCCGAGCGGGAGCGTCTCCGGGAGCGAGACCGCGTCGAAGGCGAGCGCGAAGCCCGCGGCGGGCGCGAGCGCGCGCGCGGCGGCCTCGAGGTCCGCGGCGGGGAGGGCGCGGTCGAGGACGTGCGTCGCGCCGAGCGCGGTGAGGTGCGCGGCGTGCGCGGGCGAGGCGGTCGCGACGATGGGGCTGAAGCCGGAGAGGCGGGCGAACTGGATGGCTGTGTGTGCGCGGGGGGAGGGGGGACTTGTTGAGCGACAGGTGCGGGGGAAAGAGCACAAGGGGGCGTACCGTATTGCCCGACCGAGGACGAGCCCCCGAGGACGACCGCGGCCTTGCCCGCGTACTTGCCGCGCCCGCCGGGGGTCCAGGGCGCGTCGAGCCTCGGCCCGGTGACGTTTTCGTCCTTGTTGTAGAGCACGAGCGCGGCGGTGGGGAGCGTGCACGGCATCGTGGCGCCGGCGTCGAACGAGACGCTGTCGGGGAGCTGCGCGCGGGCGTCGTCAGCGACTGGCGAGCTGAGGGAAAAGCGCGCGACTCGCTCACCTTGATGAGGAACTTGGCGGGCGTCGCGACGTACTGCGCGTAGGTCCCGTGGATCTCTTTCTTCATCATGTCAATAGTGCCCTGGACGGCGCTGAATGCTCGAAGTCAGCCAGGCGCCTCCCGTGCTCGGGGAGAATCTGAGCTCACACGCGGTCCCCGGCGCTGAACCCTTCGACGCCCTCGCCGATGGCGACAATCTCGCCAGCACCGTCGCACCCGATGACAGCGGGGAAGACTTCGATGAAGAGCCCGAACATCTGCATGGCGACGTCGATAGGGTTGAGCGCGGCCGCGGCGAGGCGCACGAGCACTTCCCCAGAGCCCAAGGTGGGGACTGGGAAGGGTTCGATGGAAAGGGCGCCGCCCTTGGAGGGGAGGAGGAGAGCCTTCTGGGTGGTGGGGATGGTGGTGGAGGACATTGTGTTGAGCGAGAGGGTGGTGTTTATCGAAGACGTTGGAAGTTGGCAGCGAAAGGAGGGATGAGTAGAGGATGGAGGTGTAGATCGGTATTTATGCACGGGGTGCGCGGCGAGAGGCGACCGGTGTGCAAGTGGTGGTTCAAGGTTGTGTGTCCCTGTTGGACGCAGCTCCGTGCGCCGCTGATTTGCCCCTCTCCCGGCAGTGGTTAGCGAACGCTTGTGCCGCAGTGGGCGACGGCGACCACAACCTTCCCCCAGACATACCCCGGGTTCGGGCTTACGAGGCGCCCTCGGATTGGAGGCAAGCCGAAAGGCCGACGTCGGGGACATCAGCATGTCCCGGCTGAATGAGCGAGATGTCAACTGCGGATGCCTCGGGACCTTTGGTGTTGTCGAGTCATTAACCGCTGAAGCAATGGAAGGTGCGCGTGCGTTGGCGTTGGGGCGGCCACCACCGATGGTTGAACCACCACCGACGGAATAACCACGAACGGCGATCCGCACTGGCGATGGGCGCCCTGAGCTTGTAGGGAAGGTGGAAGTTCTAGCGCAGACCACAGGGGTCTTGGCGGTTCGCTGCTCGGGGCCGCGCTGCAAATCGACTCACGACGAGTCATTGTGGGTCCAGGGCTGAGAACTCGACGTAGCCATGAGGCGAATAAGATCAATCTGAGACCGAAAACATGAGCTACCGCCGCGTTTGATGAGAGAGTAACCACTCACTGTGTGCCACATGCGGGGCCCAGCCACCCACGATCATCCCCGAGACCGGTTCCACCGACGTCGGGGTTAACCCCCTCGCGCACAACGGCCAATGTGCGCGCGCCCATTTCATTGACAGCCGTGTGAGGAGTGAAAGACCATTGCGTTGAGAGATCGCGAGCATTGTGAAACAAAGTCGTGGCTTGGGGAACGAATGAGGGACTGATGCAGTATGAATACAAATGGCGAAATATGTTGTACAACCCGAGGTTCCGTAAGATGGCGCATTACGCAGTCTTGCGTCAGGACTTGAGCCCGAATAACTTCTTGAAACGACTGCCTAATGTCGGGGTGGGAGAAACGATGGACTCAGGATCAAGCTTGTCCTTGTCTGCTTCAGCATCTTGACGGTGGCGACGCTTGTAATCCGAGGGTCGCTCAACGCCCTGCACCCCCTCTGCCCACATTCCTCGCCTTGCGTCCCTGCACGCGCATGGAGTCAGCGCGATCTCTATGAGCATGGACACAACGACGTACTGTGCTTCCTTCTCTGCGCGCTTGAACTTCTCGATCCCAGCTTCGCCGTACACCGCGCCGTGCTGCTCATACACTTCTGCCCAGCCAAGCCTGACCATCTCCAGTGAGAGCGACTTGCCGCTGCTGAGCCACGCGGGGACGAACGCGGACTTCACGAGGGGAACCGCAACCTAATCGCGGATTCTTTCGTCCATCGATGCACGATGCGGCACAAAACAAGACACTCACGATCCTCCCGTACTGGTCCTTCGCCAACAGCTCGCAGTAGATGAACTGCTTGTCGATCCTGGACTTCAGCCACTCCTGGGCCTCGGTGGCGTACTTCTGCGGTTGTTTGCCGAAGTGACCGAGCTAGGGTGTTGTTCCCGAAGGTGAGTGGACTGCATACACCGATCGAGACACACGCACCTCTGGCGCATCCGCCCCCGCCATGCGGACCGAGATGGTCTCCCCCGTCTTGAGCTCTGCACCAAACGGCCTCGGGTCACCCCACATCACTGCGTGCGCCGTCCCTCACACAAACGTACGGTCTGGGATGCGGCGGAACTTGAACGGCCACCTCCAGCCGATGCCGGGCGTGTGGTAGAGCCTGAAGCCGTCGGCGTCACCAACGCTGAGGGTAGCGGGGCGGGCAATATTAGTACCACCGACGCACACCTAGCCATAGTCACGGACGGACGCACCTGGTGACATACCCCTTGATCCTCAGCTTCCTCTTCACCATGTCCGGGGTGACCCATCCCGCGTTCCGTAGGCGGCGGAAGAATCGGGCGTGGATGTACCGTCCGCCCAGCGCCGACGCTCCGCCCAACGCAAACGAGCTTGCGATCAAGAGGGAGGGCGGGAGTTGCGAAGCTCGGGCGTAGAGACTGGTAGCGAGTGCGTTTGCTTCTTGTCGCCCCTTGCGCAGGGAATCGCTATCCCAAGGAAGAGTAGATGAGGCGGGAGGAGGGGACGGTGGTTTTGAGCCAGGAGTCCACGGAAGCCAAGGCATGGCGAAGGAGAGAGAAACGAGAGTAGCGTGGGGCACGATGTAGTAGACCAAAGACAAGCCGCATGTCCGTCCGCGAGGCGGCGCGTACCCCGGGCTGAGCCGCGCGACTTCGTCCATGGCGTCGGCAATTTCCTATTTGACTCTATACCTCCGTACATACTCCAGTGCGCTTACTCGTACAAGAACAACCCCGCTAGTCTACACGTTTACTGCTCGTACTTCTTCAAGAACCTCTCGATCTGCCCGACAACCTCCTCAGGCCGCTCCTGCTGCACCCAATGCCCCGCCCCGTCGACCAGCACCACGTCGTCCTCCTCCATCCGCGCGCACACCTCCCTCCGCATCCGCTCCAGCGCGCCCGGGCTCTGGTACGTCCCCCAGTCCCTCCGCCCCGCGACGAACATCGCCGGCATCTCCACCCGCGTCCCCCCGAACATCCGCAGCCCCCAGTCCTCGCCCCCGACCTCCGCGCCCATCGTCCGGTACCAGTTCAGCCCGCCCTGGAAGCCCGTCCGCCCGAACTCGCGCACGTACACGCCCAGCGCCGCCTCGTCGAGCCACCGCGCGCTCGCCACTTCCCCTGCCGTCGCCGGCGCGACGACCGCGGGCATGCCCACCCCGCGCGGCATCACGTAGTACGGCGGGAGCGCGGCGGCCGCCTCGAGGGTCAGCGGGAGCGGGCGCGGGTCGTCGCCCGCGTGGTCCGCGCTCTTCGCGTGGAAGTACGCGCGGAGGAACGCGCGGAGGCCCGCGGGGTCCCCGCGAACGTGCCGTGCATGTCCGCGTTCGCGCGGGGGGACGCGAAGTAGTGCGTGTAGTGCTCGCGGTCGATGCGTGCGAGCGCGGCGACGAGCGCCGCCGCGGGGGACGGGGACGGCGCGGCGGAGGCGAGGGGGAGGGCGGGGGCGCCCGGGAACGGCGCGCTCATGAAGACGGCGGTGCGGACGAGGTCCGGGCGGGCGAGGGCGACGACCCCAGCGACGACCGAGCCGAAGTCGTGGCCGACGACGCCGGCGGCGGCGGTGTGCCCGAGGGCGTAGGCGAGCGCGATGGCGTCGTGCGCGAGGTTGAGCAGGCGGTACGGGGTGAGGTCGTCGTCGTACTGGACCAGGACCGGTGCCGCCGGGTCTTGCAAGGCGCGGGGGAGGGTGCGGCCGTAGCCGCGCTGGTCGGGCGCGACGACGTGGTAGCCGAGGCGTGCGAGGGGCGCGAGGACGGCGCGCCAGGAGTAGGCGAGTTCGGGGAAGCCGTGGAGGAGGAGGAGGAGCGGGGCGGTCGGGTCCCCGGCTTCGAGGATGTGCATGTTCAGGTCGCGCACGGGGATGAGGCGCGAGGTTATGCCTTCTGCGAGCCCCGGCCAGTCGTCTTGGGAGGTCATGGTGGGTGTTCGAGGGCAAGTTGCAGAGCTGACCACCATCGGGCACAAGCTAGGGCGTGCGCCACGGGCTGTGCTGTGGGACGTTCCTGGGCTAGTACTTTGCTGGAATGGGGCGGCTTGGGATCATCGAGGTTTGTCCCGTGATTCACGTGTTTATTAGTACACCATATCCCACTCAAGTATTGAATAGATTTAAAATCATCTAGACGGTCGCTAAAATCTACATCGGCGTGCTTTAGAGCCTAGTAGTCAAATATAACACGTATGGATGAATGCTCCCATCGAGCGTGCACAGCGAGGCGCGCTCAATGCTCATCGTCCTCCCTCCGAGCGAAACTCGACCGTTGTCCACCCCACCTTGACTTCCTTGAACTGCAATACGTGAGACGGATGAAGGACTTTGAAGGAACTTCAAAGCATCTTGACACGGCCCTGGGGGGTGCACCACCACCACCTGTCGTCTTGTCCTTGCACACTCCAGTCGTCTGGAGGCTACGAAGCCCCGTTACCCTCGCGGCGTCCACAGCCGGATGGAGCGGCGGCGACAGAACCGGGAAAGGGGAGATCCACTTGTGGGATCTATGGGTTCGTCCACAGCTCTGTAGCATTCAAGTCTCGGGAGCGGACGCGGCGTGCAGCGGGCCCTTAGACGGCGGTGGGAGAAATGGATTGAATCTCCGTACCGACGGGTCTTGCAGGGTGGTCGCCGAGCCGCGACGGGGCGCGCCCCCCGCCCTGTGTCCAAGGAGCGCACCCCGAGATGAAGCAGCGGGGCGGGCGTTGGAGGGACGCATGGCCTCCCGGTACTGCGACGTTTGCGGAGGAGAGCGCGGGGGCCCCGCGGAGGGTGTCAAACCTTGCAAAAGTGGGTCAGCACACGGTCGTGGTGGTGGCGGAGCGCATGGGGGAGGTGCTCACCAGTCCGCCGGATGGCCCCACTGGAGGAGCGGCCGTATCTTCTTCGGCCCTGGCTGTAATTGTATGTCAAACGACCAACGGGTGGCCTGGCGCGGCGACGGTCAGACTAAAGAGAAGCAGTACGATAATGCTCGTATCACGCACCTCGACGGGATGTAGAGAGGGAGTGAGCAGTTTGTCTATCAGAGCACTCCGAGGGGAGTGCCGTCGTCGAACGCGATCATGCACCATGGTGGGATGATGGTCCCGAGAGTGTGGGCGGGGATGCGAGAAAGTTGTGGATGTGCGCCTGAGAGGTGTGCGTGTGCTGTGAGTGAGGCATCCCGGCTCTGCTTGTGCGTTTTATATACCTCGCGAGACCGTGCCACTGAAGTGCTGAAGCTGGCGTTCAGAGCGTGCGGCGCTGGCTTCGAGCTCTGTTCTCTTTGTTCAAACGCTGGGGTCAAGCCCCGATGCACCCCTGCAACTTGTCTGCATCAGTGGGCATGGCCGGCGTGGACGGGTGGCCTACGGCGTGGCCTACGTCGTGGCCGTGTTTTTGCTCTGACAACCCGTCGTGTGGACACCAAAGAGGTTCTGTGGCCGCCAGCAAAAACGCGCTCACGGGGTCGTAGCGCCGTCGCTCGGACTCTGTCGACGAAACTCGAGTCGTTGCACGCATTTGTGCTTCCGAGACTGGTTCCGCGAGACGGCCGACGACGGATTGTACCCATGGCATCGCGTGAAGATGAGTCCAGAGCGAGGGGACGCAGTGGGCGCGACTTCTGGAGCCCGGACAAAGCGCTCGCTTTAGGGCACGCTTACCCGGATTCAAGCGCCTCTCATCTAGGTCTGCGGCGCCCGGGCGCCGGCCCCTTCTTCAGTTTCACTGGGTCGGTGTTCAGTCAACGTCAACGTTCACGTTCGCCGCTTCCACCTCAGCACTCCAGCCGATGTTGCGCGCAGGTCGGGGCTCTCAATCCTGGCGGCCCACTTCAAGTACGAAATATGTACTGGTGCCACTCGCTCGAGCATCACGGAACCTGCAGTAGGAATGAATCGCCAGAAAACGCTCGCGCCGGCACCAACCTCATCATGAGCGGAAACTGGGCCTGGACTCCTCGGCGGTAGTAGAATAGCGGTTCACATTGAATGGAACGCCGAACGTACATAGCGCAAGGCACAAAGTGGATCGCGAGAACCGCTAGCCTGCTCCACCTTGTGCCGGCAGCACGCCTCGCGGTTCGCGCGCGCACTACACATCGCGTCACAGGCACGATCGTCCACCGCTGTGTGCTCGAGCGCTCACGTCCAGGGCGGACCCGGTCGACTTGGGAAATTTGAACGTTCTACGAGCTTCGGCTCGATTCGAATTCGATTCCGTGTTACTCTACGTAACGCTACCTGGTATGAACGACGATGCGGCAGAACGGGTCAGGTATCTGCAGACGCGATGGAGCAGCGTCTCTTCCAGAAGGCGCACGACCGAAAGACCTAACATTGTACTTAACTAGAGCAGTGGTTGGAATCCAGGTCTCAAAAAAAAGGGGTCAAAGTGTCTAGGTCTTGCAGCGCTGGCGCGGTTGACGCGCTCAGCTGGCGAACTTGGGCCGGAAGCGGTCCTTCCACGAGTACGTCGTCGCGCCGTCGTCGCGGCCGCGGCGCCGGCCGAAGCAGACGGTGCAGCCGCGAAGCAGAGCAGGAGGAAGGCGACGAACGTGAGCCAGAACCCTGCGTGCATGGCCAAACGAACGTCAGCGATCGGAAACGCAACAGAGCCGGACAGGAGGAATGGTCGCGGGTGGACATGAGAATGGAGTGATGGAAATTCGGCAGTGGAAGGGAGCACGCGAAATTGACGGGAGGGACGTACCGGCCGCGGTGTCGGTGTTGGCTGCGACCCGTCGAGCTTGCCCATCTCGTGCTTGACGAACACGAAGAGGCGATGTCGACCGCGAAGGCGATGAGCGTGAGCGTCGCGGCGAGGAAGGAGGTGAGAGACGCGAGGAGCGTCATCTTGACGTGCGCGGAGAGCGAGAGCAGGAACGCGATGAAGGTCACGCCCGTCGCTGAGGAAGTCGTCAGTCGTCAGTCGCGCGGTGTGAAACGAGAACGACACGCACCGACGGGGTGGATGGCGAGCCCCGCGTCCAGGACGGGGCAATAGTGATGAAGTCCTTCTTGTTGTTGTTGGCGAAGATGACGGTGTTGTATGCGTTGCTGGCGGAGCTGCAGACGGCGTTGCCGGTGTTCTCATACCAGCAGCCGGCCCTATGTGACTTGTCAGTGGGGGAGAGTGTATGCAATCGTAAACACTACCAAGTACCAAACTGGAGTACAGAGCGCGGCGGGACCCCTTTGTGAGCAAGCACCGTCGCGGTATGCATATGGTCCACTCACGCGTATCTCGTTCACCGCATTATCGTCGGCACCGACAACAGGGCTGCCGTCGGTGATATGGACCGAACAAAGTCGAGGGCGTTGATGAAGGGGAGGGAGACGGAGACGAGGAAGAGGAGGACGAAGGCGACGAAGAGGAATATGATGCCGGGGATATGGAACATTCGTGCAGAGAGCGCCATGGTGGTCGTGTGCTGGGGCGTAGGGGTCGTCTCGTCGCGTGAGCTATGGCGGGGGGAGGGCGGGTAGATCAGCTCGCGCCCGCGTCGGGCGAGAGATATGGGGGGAGGAGGAGGGGAGGAGGGGGCGTGGCGGAGGGGGCGCGAGGGCGAGGCGGCGGCGCGCTGGCCGTTTATGAGCGTGGCGGTCGAGCGAGCGTGGGGGCGGGGGGGACGTCGAGGATGCACGCACGCTCCACCCGCGACGTCCGTGCGCTCGCGCCTATGTATCGAATCGAACGAGCGAGGCGATCAAATTCCAAACTTGCGCTGATCCCGCCCCCGTCATCGCGCGTCCATCGGAAGCTTCGCGTGACGCAATGCCCCTGCCCCGCACGTGACACACGCGTCCTCGGCGATTCTTGTTGATTCCGGCCTTTGCCACGCCCGACACGCGTGCGCGCCAGCCAATCGCGGCGCGCCCCTCTTGCCCCCCGACCACGACCTCCGCCCACGCGCCTTCTCCACCCAGCCACTCTCCCCGTCCCGGTCTCGCGGAGAGTGTCCACAGAGCCGTCCGTCGCATCCCCGCACCATCCGAACGCGCTCCCCCTCAGCCGGTGCGTCCGCCCCTGGCCCGTGCACTCTGCCGGTCTGACCTCCTTTTTCTTCCTCGCTCGCTCGACCTTGTCCTTCTGCTGCGCATATCGCTGCTCTGACCCCCTGTCTCCCTCCCTCGGCCGCCATGCTCGCCTCTCAGACCTCGACGCCCGCCCCTTCGTCCCAGCCCGAGATGCCGCCCCAAAAGAAGACCGGTGGGAAGAGCAAGGGCAAGGCTGCCGCCGCTCCCCGCCCCCGCCGCGGCCCCGCAGCAGCGCACGCTCCAGACGCGCAGCGCCAAAGCCGGTCTCCAGGTGCGTTCTCCCTTGCACCCCCACACCCTCTCCTCGGGAGCTCAACGGCGCTGACGCGTCGCCGCGTCCCGTCCAGTTCCCCGTCGGCCGTATCCACCGCTACCTCAAGCAGCGCACGCAGAACAACGTCCGCATCGGCGCCAAGGCCGCGGTGTACACCTCCGCGATCCTCGAGTACTTGACCGCCGAGGTCCTCGAGCTTGCCGGTGCGTGTCGTCTTCGCTTTGCGCGGGACCCCTTTCTCTTTTCCCTCCTTGTCGTCAACTCCTTTCGTTGTCGCGCTCTGTGACTCGAACCTGACCGCGGTTGTCCCCGCACGCAGGCAACGCGTCCAAGGACCTCAAGGTGAAGCGCATCACCCCGCGCCATCTCCAGCTCGCCATCCGCGGCGACGAGGAGCTCGACACCCTCGTGCGCGCCACGATCGCCGGAGGAGGTACGTCCTGTCCCGCATGCACGACCCTTTACGCGTGACTCATGTGTTGCTCGTAGGTGTCCTGCCTTTCATCCACAAGACCCTTGTCGCGGGCAAAAAGAAGGGTGCCCAGCCGGAGCAGGTCTGAAGGCTGCTTGGTCCTGGCTGTCTGCGCGTTGCGCTATCTCATTGCGACAGTCCAGCTGTGCTTGCTTGGAGATCCGATAGATACTATGGGTTTGGCCGGTCGGTTTTATGTGCTTTTCGTGTGCTTCTGTACATTACGTTGTGTGTATGCAATACTGCTGACCGGTGATTATGCGCCTGCAAGAGGGTTTTGGACGATGAGGTGGACCAGCATCATTACAGCACGAAAGCACCACTGGCAAGCACAAATTTCCTTTCACTAGTCGAAAATATGATACACGGGGGCACTACACTGGTGATACAGGTATGGTCTTCTCGCCTCAGATTCAGTCATGCGCGGCGCGAGCCTGACCCTGAACCGCGCCTTCCCCCCAGTTTCGCGGAGCTCGCCGCGCTCGTGCATCTCCGGGTTCTTCGTCATTTTACCGGCGACCTGCATCAAGCGAATCAGCGTCCCGTCTCCGCAGAGTAGAACGCGCGCACGACGCACCTTCTCGGTCTTCCGACAATCTTGTCCATCATCCCCGCGCGGCCCATCGGGAGGTCCGACTCCCACCGACAGCGACGCCGCCTAGATGCACAAACATAAGCCTCGCGCCAACTCTCACCCAAAACGCGACTCACCAGCCTCGGTCGGGCGCACGCCCAACGGCCGCTCCTCGTCGTACGCCGAGTGCGTGTGCGCGTGCGCGTGCACGCTCTGCTGCTGCTGCTGCGCGTGCGGCTGGTACGGCTGTCGAGGTGGTGCGCGCCCGACGCCCCCGCCCCCGTCATCGCCGGCTGCCCCGGCGGCGGCGCGCGCGTGTAGTCGTCGTCCCCGAGCGTCGTCCCGCGCGTGCCCATGTACTCCTGGTCGCGAAAGTCCGTCCCGCCGAGCTGCGGCTGCTGCGCGCGGAAGCCGCCCGCGCCGAGCTGGTGCGGCTCCGCGTCGCCCGCGTGGTGCGGCTGGTGGGTGGAGGGGACGCGCGCGCCGGGGAGGGCGTCGGCGTCGTGGTGGAGGCGGTGGCCGCCGGTGGGCGCGGCGGCGAAGTCGGCGCCGCCGAGGTTGGCGCCGGACGAGGGCGGGTATGAGGTCGGGTGCTGGGACATGGTGTTGCGTCTGGTTGTGGGGTTGTGTGAGGGTGTGGGTGTAGGTGAATCCAGGGAGGGATGCGAGAGCGTGGGTGGGGGTGCAGGCGAAGGGCAGCCCCGCGCGGTCTTATACCCATCGGGGGGCGCACGGGGGACGGAGTGACGTCGGGGCGCGTCATGGGGAGCGCAGCGGACTGGGTCTGCGGACGTGCGCACGCGGGACAGAGTTGGAGACGCGGTGGCGGCGCCCAGCCGGGGCACGCGTCATAGCGGGGGCTCTGCGCCTCTGGGTCCGCAGAGGCTCCAGTGCATGTGCTCGATTTACTTGGGTTCCGAGCCGTGCCTAGAGGCGGACGAGTCCGACGAGACGCGGGTGTGCTTGATCTGAAGCCACTGTAAAAACGTCCGGTACGCCGTGGACAGCCGTCGCGGCAGAACGTCAATCTGCGCCGACAACCGCACTCAGATCTCGGTACTGCTTTCACAAAACCAAGCACAAAGTGATTGCAGATCTGACGTCTACGTACGCACAGCACACTTCAGGGGCGTAAGACAGTAGAGACCGCAGGTGCAGCACACAGCTCAAATACCGTCCACGCCCGCACACACCACCGCCAACACGCCTAGGGGGGCGTGCTCCGCACCCTGCGCGCGTCCGGAAACACCAAACGACGCTTCGCCGGGTTCCCCTCCTCCGCCTCGGGCGCCGTCGCGCGGCGCGTCCGCGGCCGCCCGACCGTCTGAGGGACGCCCCGAGCGGCTTCGTGGAGCAGAACTTCTCCGGGAGCTGGTCCGCCGCCGGCCGGTTGCAGCCGCCCAGTGCCGCGGCGGCGTGCGCACGCAGCGCTGGAGGACGTCCTGGAACCGGGCCGGGTCCTCGAACGCGCGCGCGGAGTGCTCTTGCTCGGGCGAGGGCGCGGGGACGCGGCCGCCGCGGCGCGTCGGGGCGGCGGGGGCGGCGGGGCGGTCGGCGGGGAGGTTCGCTCTGTTGGTCGAGAAGATCTCCTCGAGCTCGTCCGGGGGAGGGGACGAGTCGAGGCTGGACGGGCCCGCGGGGCTCGCGTCGAGCGCGGAGCTGAAGGAGCCTTCGAGGTCGTGCATCTTCCGTTGCTGCTCGTTCCAGCGCTTGACGTGGTAGAAGTCGCAGAGCGCGATGTGCAGCGCGCTGACGAGCCTGTCGAGGGGAGCGCCGAAGCCGAAGGAGTCCTTCTTGCTGAGGACTGTCCGGCCGAGTACGAGGCGTTCTTCTTGGCGGCGCCGCATGTGTACATCCCTCCCTCGACGGCATAGCAGTCGAAGAAGTCTCCAGCCAGTGGAAGACGTCCTCTGCCGTACCAAGGTTCGACTTGACGAAGCGAACCAGGTAGTAGAGGATGACGTAGAAGAACGACTCCAGGTCGTCTGAGAGCTCCGCGACTTTCCCGCTCTCTTCCAGCATGGCAATCGACATGAACTGCATAGTTCCCTAGAGAGTTCGTCAGTGAGAGGCGATACTAACCATCAGAAAAGAAATCACCGTTCGACCTGGCTGCGTCCACAATTTCATACCATCCGTTCTCTTCGCAAGCTCCCAGTCGGTGAGGAGTCCCACCCAGACCAAGAAACGGGATGTCACACCTCCACGCGAGGGTATATGATGATGTTGCCAGCGCTGATATCTCGATGCATGTGTTTCCGTTCTTGTGAGCGTCGTGATGCGCTATAGAGTGGTGAGGACGACGAACGATATGCGCAAGCGCATCGCACTCACCTGTGCTGGCGTCGAGCATGATCCTCACAAACTGGCGCGGACTCGTGAACGAATCCAGAGAAAAGCCGACCTCCTTGACCAAAGACGGTAGTGCCTGTGGCGCCGTAACGGGCAAGCGCTGTCGAAGTCAGGACCCAAGTCACGATCGGCGTCGAGGGGAGCGCCACGAGACTTGAAATCGCTAAGCTTCCTCTTGCTGGAGGCGACGTGATCGGAATCCTTGAGCAGAGAGGAAACCCCGCTCGCCGCAGAACCGCGGCCACGCAAGGGAGAAGAGGCGCAGGCCTCCGCGGCGTCCTCGAAGAGATCGTCGAGCTCCTCCTCGTGGCCCTTGGCCCAGAAGTCGTGAGTCCGGGTGCTTGGCCGTCGATGTCGCCGTGGCAGACCAGCGTCGGGATGTTCTTGACCTTCGCTGCGCGGAGTCCCTCGAGCGTGTCGCCCTCCTTCGCCAGCCCCTTGTAGTCCGGGCGCCACGTGTCCTTGAGCCACACGAAGAGGCCCGTCTTCGTGTCGTACCCAACGTAACCGCGAGTGAACCGCCCCGTAGCGCCACCAGCCGCGAACTCGGCTCGCCCGACGAGGATGGTCCTCTGGCCGCCATGCTCGTCGGAGACCGACAGCGCGTACCGCGGTCCCGTCCGGATTGACTCGCGAAACCGATCGCGGACGTAGGTGAAGGTGATGTCCCCTTCGAGGAGTTCGTCGTCCTTCAGCTTGCGCTCGGTGTGGTCAACGTCGGTGGCTTCGGTTGGCGACCTCGGTCATCTTGGTGAAGAGATCGTGACCCTCCCGGAGTCGTTCGGCGGTGGGGTCGAATCCGACGCCCTCGCCCCGCCCGTGACAGGCGAGGAAGGCGATACGCCGGAGTATGTTGCACGTCGTTTCCCACTGTTGGTAGTAGTCGAAGAGGGGGGTAATGACGACGCCAGAGTAGTCCCAGCGGGTGAACCGGATCTTGCGGCCGAGGACGAAGATGAAGAAGAGGAAGGTGCGATGCTGACGAGGAGCACCGACTCGACGTAATGGGCGATTTGCCCGCGGACCGTCTTGCGGGACCGCGCCTTGGCGTCGCCACCGCGCTCCCTATCGTCGAAGGGGTCCAAGAAGGCTTTGCCCTGCTTGAACTCGATGGGCACGACCTGGTCCGCCCAATGAGGTCGACTGTCGGTCGGAGTGTGGTCGGAGGGGTAGAGAGCGCCATCGATCTTCTGCCTGTTGTCTTCCCGGACGATCTTCGCCACGTTTGCGTCGTAATCGGGATCGTTCTCATCGGGGGGATCCGCCTCGTCCGCTTTCTTCTCGCTTGTCGCCATCGTCAGTCCCGGAACAAGTTCGGCGTCGTTGACCGCAGAAGCCTGGGAACACCCGGTGAGAAGATGCGCCGGCACACAGGTTGCGAGGTGAACGCTCACAAAACTCGCCACTATCCTGTCTTCTCGCTGGGATCCTGCGTCCGCGAGCTCCGCGAACGGGTTCGTGAGGGGCAAGGGTTGAAGGGCAGGGACGTCTGAGTCGGCAACGCCCAAGAATTCTGGATGAACTTTTCGGTCGACATGCTGATCGACTTGTTGGCCATGTCGCTGGAGAGCTTTTGCCGGTACTGCTTTGTGTCGTGTCTACCGGTATCGGCGGCGGAGGTGGAGGCGTGATGAGGGAGGATCGGGGTGCCTACTGAGAGGAGAGGGAGGCTGTTGTAAGATGCGCCATCTCGAGGGACGCTTTTTTTCATCGTGAACGGGGAGAGAACGGCACGTACCAGCGGGGCGACCTGCCAGAGGGATCTTATACCAATGGCGAGGCGGTCTGGGTGATCAGGTGGCTCAAAACGTGGCTGGAATGAAGGAAGCCAGGTATCACAAGGTGCGCTTGAGCGCGTCCCACACGAACAGCACCTGCACGAGTGCGTGTGGACAATGGCGACGATGTCGAACGTGGATCTGCAAGGGTGGTGAGCGCCAGGCGCCCGACCATGTTCGTCTTTTCGGCCATCACCGGGAGCCGCGGGGCGCCCACTGCACGCTGCAACCACGGGCTCGCGAGTCATCCTCCCCTTCTGTGTTTCACTGCGCACATACGGTCCGTGTTACTGCAGACAGGAAAGACCACATGAACGTCACAGCAGTGGCAGAGATGCCCTGGTCCTTTGTGGCGTAAAGGCTGTCAGATGCGGTGAACGCAAGAAGCCGTGGGCAACAGCTGCGCTTCAGCTTATCTATAATCCCATCCATCGACTCATTCCGTCCGCCTGCAGGAACTCTCGTTAACGCTGCAGGTAGCGCGTTCACAGCAAAGCAAGACACGACTGCATCCAGAACAGCGGGGGTGTTTATTGCAAGATTCCTGCTTATCTACGCTAGATTGTGCGGGGGTTTAGTGTCGACTATACAGTGCATAAGATACATGAGTGCGTGCATGACGTGCGTGTGTGTAAGTGAGGTCTAAGGTCAGGCGCGCGGCGCGCCCGCGGTAAGAGAGGCGATTAAAGCGGTGAGTGCGGCGAAAGCGTAGGATGCGACGATGGACAGTGAGGTGTGAAGATCCCATGAGCAAGCAGACGGACAGATGTAGCATGAACGACGGAGAGAGAGGGAGAAAGCAAGAACAGAAGAGGAGGAGGAGCGTGCGCGGGCAAGTAGGAGTCGATCGGGCTCACGAGAAGAAGTACTGGGACTCCTTGATCGAGCCGACGTCGAACTGGCCCTTTTCCGGGAGCGGGGGGATCAAGTCATTGAGGTCGATGAACGCGTTGTTGAACTTGTCGCTCTCAACGCCGGCGAGATCGCTGAGGTTGGGGCTGTTCTTCCGCCTTGGCTTCCTCTTCTTAGGCTTCTCCACCTCGGCGTCGATATTTGCGTCCTCGGCTCCGGCGTCCTCGTCCCCTGCGTCATTTGCGGCCGCAGCCTCCTCGACCGCAGTACGACGCTCAAGATCCACGGCTTCCAGACCGTACCGTTGGCGCAGTTCGGGGGACATCGACTTGATGTAGGACACGGGGAGCGAGGAGATCGGCACCTTGTGAGTCGCGTAGCGTGACTTCCACTGCAGTGCGATAGTCAACGGATGGTTGCTACTACAGACGAAAAGACGCGCTTACCTCCTCCGCGAGCCGCTCGAGGATGCCGGACGAGTGCAGCGAGATGAACGTGTCTCGGATAAGGGCCGACATATTGTCAATGTCGCACGCGTGCGTCCAATATGAGTCGTGCACGGACGCGAATTCGATGCCCTTCTCCGCGCACGCGAGCGCGGTGAGCATCATGTGTGTCGCGTCGAGCGAGTGGATGAAGTTGGGTGGGAACGCTGCCGCCTGCTTCGTCGAGTTCACGACCGAGCTCATGTTCGGGTCCGCGATGTACACCGTCTGCATTTTGGTGAGCACCTGCCGCTTGCGGAGCGCACGGTACGGCTGCACGATTGGCAGCCCGAGCGCAGTCGTCCATGCCACGCAGGTCATCTGGTCTTGTTTCCACTCGGCGGTCTTGTCCGTCTTCAGTTTCTCGAGACGGTCCTCGGGGATCGACTTCGCGATCATACGCGCACTCATCGTCAACCAACTCTGGATGTCTTTAGCGCCCTTGAACAAGTTGCCGATGGACCCGAGCACGAGCTTCGCCAGGTACGACGACGCGTCCCAAACGAGCTCGGCGGGAATGTCTCCACGGGCCTCGAGCTGACGCTCGATCTGCTCGCGTGCACCGACAAACGTGACGCCGTAAACGGTAGTCATGACCTGCCCATCACTCGTCAGCTTCGTATGCTCACATGAGGAGCGGGAGCCAACACACCGTCTGTTTGACGACTTTCCTGGTGATCTTCCCCTGCAGGAGCTTCGCGATCTCGGAACCCCGTTCGATATCCTTGTCCATCTGGTCCTCCACCATACGCGCGACGTACGTGTACACGTCCGACGGGCGGTCTCCGGCGGCTAGGTTCACCTGCGCAGCACCCTCTGGGTCGCCGCCAAGCGCGGCATAGTGCTGTAGCCCGTTGCAAGTCCCGTCCTGATGCACAGGAAGCGCGCAGACGTAGTCTTCGGGCACGGGCGACCGCATCGCTTTGGCGACCTCCATACACGTCGAGAGGCACTGCCACGGGTCGTCCGCTTTCCTCCACCACTGCTTGCCGTCGAGTGGATGGTCTGCGCTGTCGAAGACGTCTTCCAAGTGCTCGTGGACGAACGCGACACGCTCGTCGAAGCTGGCCTTGTCGTATCCGAAAACGTTGGCGAGATGGACCTTGAGCCACCGAAGACCACGCTCGCCGAGCCGCTTCCCCTTCTCGAACAGAAGCAGACCACGGCAGAGATCGTCTCCGAGGTGGTTCAGGTGCGGAGGCATGGGATATGCGCGGCCACGGAAGTCGAGATTGTGAGGCTGGTAGAAGGTGTCGCCCAGAAACTGCCCACGAAGGTCAGCACGTCACACTAGCTCAGCGTATACCAAGCACACTCACTGCTCGCGCGATCTCGACCTTGTAGTTGATACTACACCGATCGGAGTGGTTCTCTGCCACATTCTGCTGCCATCTCTTCATACGTCTCTGATGGACGGTCCTGGCAGACTGGTCGACCTCGTAATTTGCAGGGGGCTCCGGCATGGGCTCGTCCGGGATGGCAGGAGGGATTTTTTCGAACCGTTCGCCTGAGTTCCATACCTGGAGCACGATGTTGAAGACGTCCTTGTTGATCCGCCAAGGAGTGCCGCCTAGTGCGTCCAGTGCGATGTATATGTACTCCATCCGACCGTCCTCAGCCGCGGCTTGCACATAGTTGGCTTGTTCGCGGGAGTCCTTGAAGCGCATGATGTACGAGCGACTTTCGAGGTAACCGCCAACATTGGGAGCCGTCCAAGGCTTAGGTTTGGTCACCATGGGCAAGTATCGAGGATGAAGCGAATCCGCGACAGGTTCAGTCGCCATACGGGCGGCCACGGCGGGATTGAACTTCAATATCCCAAGTTTCTGACCTCGAACGTACTCGTACGTGTGGTAGAACGCAGGGTGTTCCTCGGTGCTGTCCGATACTGCTCAGCCCACGACCCACAAGAAAATGTGATGACACTCACCAAGTCTCTCCTGTCCTGGAATCCTTGGCGGTCCTCTGGACGGTAGCGACATCCATGAGCGAGTCTAGAAGGAAGCTGCCGAGCTTGATGCGGACTATCGCTGTCCATTCCGACGACCAGTCCTCCGACTCCTCGTTGTACTGACGCACTTGCATCCGGCGCGTGTAGAGGTCCTGGTAACCCTGGGTTGAAAACAAGTTTCCCCTCACTGGGCTCGCACTCGCAACAACGACCGGGATAGCGCTCTTCTTCGCGATCTCAGCCTTGTACTCCATCTCAATGGCGCGCCCAATATGAAGCAGCGCGCGCGCGGTTTTCATGCCGTCTTGTACGCCACCCGTGTTGTACAGTTGCATGATCTCGAGGATCGTGATGAGCGACAGCTTTTCCGCAGAGATAAGCCTCAGAAACGGGGAGAGTGACCCCTCTTCCGCCTTGTGCGACCGCTTTGTCTTCGCTCTCATCTTCGCTGCGGTGAATGTCAACGGCATGAGACACGGCAGAGGATGCGCCTACACTCACCAAGGACGCGCTCCTCTACGACGAGATTGTCGATTTCGCCCTTGAGACGTTCCCGGAGTTTCTGGTGCCACTCCCACATCCATGTCCGAAGGTCGTTACGATTGAGACCCTGCTGCAAGCCCAGACCCCCCAACGTTTCCGCCTGGTGCTTCATGCGCTCCGCAGCGATGCTGTACGTAGACTGTTCCAGCATGCGCTGTCGAGTCGCGGCGTCGGTGGCCAAGACTCGTCGGGCGAGTATAGTCTGACTGAGGTGGCGACGGAGGATGTTGATATTGAACGGCACTTCGCTTTGAGGCAATGGTTCTTCGGACACGACCTGTGATATCGACCCGTCCGGATTGCGCGCCACCTTGATCTTCGAAGGCACCTGTTATAGCCCGCTGTCAGTTCACGGCCGCAATATCCTTGCAGGAAGACATGCAAGAACTGGATGCGCGCACGAACGCAGGGTGACGCTCACCTTTCTTGTAACGGGAATGACGTCCGGCACATTCTCCCGAGGGTCTTCATACTGCTTGCCCAACTCCTGCGCCAGACCCAGCTCCGAGATCACGGCGGAATGGCCCTTCTCCACGGCCGCCCTCGACAAGGCCGTGATCGCCTCCTGCGCCTCCTCGTTGTCCACGAACACGCGGTCCGACACCACCAGCGTCGGCGCGATCCGACGCGCGAGGAAAGCGTCCATCAGACTGCCTGGGTCTGGGAGTTCGTCTTCAGAACGCCGTCGCCGCGGCCCTGCGCGCTGGTCGCAGACCCATGCCCGGAGCATGGTGGCGTACGTGTGCGGAGTGGGGACGATCTTGCTCGCACCGCTTTTCTCCATCTCCAGGTAGAGGGCGCGGGCGTCCGCGAGCCAGTTTTCGACATTGAACTGGTCGCGCTTGATCGCCATCTCGACGTACGCGCCGAGAAGGCGGTTGTACACCGCGGAATTGAGGATCGCGGCACCGGTGGTGCTCGACTGGAGGCGTTCGAAGATGGCTTTCGCGCGGGGGACGTCGGTATACTCGCTCAGACAGGCGTCGATGATCGCGACCGAGTGCTGAGTATCACCGTCCGGATAGAGTTCTGGGTGGACACCTGGCTCGACAGACGGGTTTGGAAGGACGGTGTAGGATGGGCGGGTTTTGAGGAATGCATCGAGGTCGCGATGTAGGTCCGCCGAGGAAGCAGTGGAGGGAACAGCAGAGGGAGAAGGGAGGTAGGCAGGATACTCGGGTGGGGGAGTAGACGAGGCCGAAAACACTTCCGCGGGAGCATTGAGCCTTTGACTGGGGGTCGAGTAGAGACGAGCCGGTCGAGGAAGGCTCTGTCGAGTGTACGAGGCCGCCCTGGTGGCTACGTTTCGACGGGAAAGCGGAATCATCTCCTAGACAGAAGAATGAGAACCAGAGAACAGCGAGGTGCTTGTGAGACAGAGGTGAACCAATGAAGATCCCCTCGTCGCCGGCGTTAGAAAGGGAGGGGGGAGGAAGGCAAGAGGTAGTGAGCACGCATACAACGACAGCGAAAAAGCCAGCGTCATTCAGTATTTGCTCGAAACAAATACATCCACGTGGTTTTTCTCACGTGATCTAAGGACGGGCGCAGGATGCAGACTTCACAAATGGAGTGCATATGAGTTCTCAATTCCATCGAATCCTAGCTTAGATCCCACATCGAGAAAGGGACAAGGTATATTTTGTGAGTTAACTAAGACGGGACAAGATGGGTGTGTAGAGGGACGTAAACGGCACGACGAGGCAGATGCTGCGGTCGAGACATGCATATATCATGTACTTATCATGGGCGAGAGTGCGAGTTCCACGGGATGGGTCGGCAGGATATACGGACACAGGAACGAACCAGACACAGTATACAACTCGACGAACGGGCGTGCGCAGGGACCAACCAGGGGAATACGCGAATCGTCGAACCAAAACTTGTAAAGAGGATTGGGGTGGAGCAGCAGAGCGAGGGCGGGAAAAGGTCAGGAATGGACGAGGCGACTATTCGGGAAGTGGTAGATTAAGGAATAGCCCAGGGTAGTACGCAACGCGACCAGGACCGAGGAAAGCAGGTGATGGCGAGGATTGAAAACGTCGATGTCATGTCGTGCCGCGCCTAGGTACGTGGCAGGCGGTGTCGTGCATTCGGGAAGTTTGTCGTAGCAGTGTGCTCATCGTGGGAGATCGGCACGCCTAGAACGCAGTCAGCATGAAGTCACAGAACAACTTAAGACGAACGTACTGTCTAAGGTTGTCATACAAGAACTTGTAGCTCCGGAGGTTGCCCTTCAAGCGGCGGATATCCAAGCTATACGTGTCGTCTAGACGATCAAGGCGCGTGAGCTCCACGGAGAAGCGAACTTCGTCGCCAGCATCTTGGGTAGTCTCGCCGTAGATAGCTTCCATCGCGATAGGGGAGGCAACTTCGCCTGGAGTAACGGCACCAACGAGCACTGCGTCGGAACCCGGCTCGGACTCGGTCGAGGGAGATGCCTGGTGGATTGGGCTGGTCGAAACTTGCGACGACTGGCGGCGCATAAGCAGGCCGCGAAGCATGCCACCCGTCGACGACCCGAAGGACGACTGCGACGGCAACGGTAGTCCGCGCTTGTCCACCTTTGGACACATGTTAGCTATCACCCGATGTATTACTCAAACAGACTCACCCCGTTCGATGCTGCAGAGCCCACGATCGTGAACGCGGCAAGGCTGCCGGGACCACTGCTGAGCCCCAGGCCCGCACGTTTCCTCTTGGGTCGCACGCAGCGGTACTTGTACTCCGTCTCCGTGCTGATGTCGATGCCCATACCCTCGAGCACGATCCGCACCTTCTTCATGACCTCCGGAGGTGACCCGTTCGTGATCGTCGTTTGATCCACCGCACCGTGGTGGATACGCAAGTTCACACGCCCGCCGCCGATCTGCTTGAGCACCCGGTCGGTGAAGCTGTTGTGCTGGGCAAACGATGCGTCCGACGGCGTCGCGGTGAGTGGGAGGGGTGAGCGGGTCTTCTCCGAGGCAGCTCCGGGGGTCGACAGGAACTGCGCCACATTGGTATTGATGGCTGCTGGAGCGGGACCTGCGGTGGGCACGACGGGAGCGTCGGCCGCTGGTTCTTCTGACTTGTCCATCTCGACGTCGGATATGTCCCCACCGCGGCCCTTGCTCTTGGAGCGGAACCATTGCATGACCTTGCTGGCCTTGACGGTCGAAGCCGGGATTGGGACGCGTTTGCTGCTCCAGGTGTTCGATGCGTAACCCTCCTCGCCGGAGCGCAGGGGCTGCGGAGTGGCTGGGGGCGCCATTTCGCCCTTGGGAGGCACCGTCGGTCCTGCGAGTGACACGTCCGGCTTCTCCTTCATCGGCGTCTCTGAGCCCTTGTTCTTGGGGCGCACCTTGATGGAGCTGCGGATCGGGGCGACCATGACCGTGAGGGTGTTGCGGCGCGAGGACTTCTTTCCATTGACAGTGCCACCAGGACTGAGCAACGAACCATCCGCAGACGTGTCGGCGGTCGACGCTGTGCCGACCTGTACGCTTGAGGGTCGCTTCGACAGTGTCGACGACGAATCCTTGACAGATTTGTGACTTGAAGGTGAGCGCGACACAATGCCGTGCGTCGAGCCATCTCCAGACCCAGTGCTGAACATCTTAACGATGCCGATCTTGTCAATAGAAAGCCCTTTGCGGTGCCGGCCTTTGGAAGACCCTGACCCTGTTGATCCAGCAGGGCTGCCGTTCTGTGCGGTCGCCATCTTGTCCTCCTGCGCGACCGCGGGCGTGACAGGTGGCGCAGTAACCTCAATTGCGACCGGCGGTACGTTGACGATATGAGCGGGGGACGCGTAGGGAGCTTCCGAGGGCACACGGGTGGATCCGGTGGGCGTACCCGGGAGGGGTTTCTGGGTCACCCGTGGGTCGAGGTCGAGCGACTGCTTCTTCTTGTGAGACGTGCCGCCATTCACCTGTGGTCGTTCTCGGGGAGGCTCCGGCTTCGACTCCGATTCACCATACTCAACCTGGATGGTATGGCGGTTCGGTACCTTGGAGCGAGACTTTGTCGACTCCGGAGAGGTTGTCTTGACGGGAGCGTAAGACGTCGGTGGAGGGACCGAGGACTTGACTGGCTCTGCAAGCCTCTCGCCGTTCATGGCCGATGCCTCCGCTGGAAGGGAGATCGAGGGTACCTCTGCGGAGGGCGAAGGGGCGAAGGGGTCGTCCTCCAGCCCAATCGGGTTGGATGTGGGTAGAACGATCGCCGAGTTGACCCCGCGTCTTGCGCTCGCGGGGGCTGACGTCTCATATAGGAACTCCGGTTGGGCGGAAGGCTGAGCGTACCTCTGATCACGGTGACCTCTCGAGCTCGACGGAGACGTAGGAGACGTGTATCCTTCCACCCGGGCGCTCTGGCTGCGAGCCATCTTGTTTGAAGATGGAGACTCCGACGGGGCCGTTGTTTTCATCTGGCGCTGGTATGCGAGCCTCTTCTGGTGATGCTGTTCGATAGCGGTACGCTCCAACTCCGAGACGGTCTTGTTGAATGTATGTGCGTAAGGAGAAAGCCATTTGTGGGCCATGATGCTGGGGAGATCTGCACGACGGCCTGGATCGGGGACAAGCATGATGGAGAGGAGGTCACGAGCATCTTCAGAGATGTAGTCTGGGAAGGATAGCGGAGTGTTGACGATATACTTGTACAGCAGGTTGATGTTGTCGCCATCGGGGTTGGCCGGGTCGTCATCGAAGGGTAGGTATCCCGCGAGCATGGCGTAGAGAATGACACCGCACGACCAGATATCGACAGCCGAACCAACGTAGAGGCCATCGGAGATGACCAGTTCTGGGGCGGCGTAGCATGGGGAACCACAGCTGGTCTGCATGAGGTCGTCAGAGCGGTGCTCGAACCGGTTGGCAAAGCCGAAGTCGGTGATAATGACATTGCGGTGGCGGTCGAGAAGCAGGTTCTCGAGCTTGAGATCGCGGTGGACAATTTTCTTTTGATGAATGTACCAGACGCCGGAAATGAGCTGTGAGAATAGCTTGCATGCGTCGCGTTCTCGGAGGTACCGGTGGGCGAGGATGTGGTCGAAAAGCTCGCCGCCAGACGCATATTCAAGGATGATACCGATGTACTTGTCGGTCTCGATCACATCGTACAACCGTACGATGTTCGGGTGCTTGAGGGACTGTCGTGCACAGTTACACGACGGACAAGAATGAACTGAGTATGAGACGCACTCGAAGGACCTCGATCTCCCGTTCAACCTTCGACATTCGCACCGATGAGTCGATGTTGCCACGACGGATGAGCTTCACCGCGACCTCTTCGCCCCATTGCATGTGTAAACCAAGCTTGACCTTCCCGAACTCTCCTTCACCTAGCGTCTGGAGAAGCAGGTAGGGACCGAACTTGGGAATCGTCCTTCGAGGGTGCGCGGTGGCATATTCAAGAGCGGCGGGGTGGGAGTAGATATCTCTGTATCCCTGTTGTTGGGGCTCTTCCTGTGGCTGGGACGTGACGACGCTGTGGGAGGCCCGTTTTCGGCTGGCGGACTGCGACACCGACGTGCTGGTGGGTTGTACCGAGACTGGACGCGCACCGTGTTGCCGTGAGGGACCCGGTTGCAGTCCCTCGGCAGGGACTTGTAGACTGGAGAAGGGATCCATGGAGGGCGGGAAGGCGGGTGTATGCGGTCTGCAGGACACGAGCAGCCAAGTTGAACGGGCGATGTGGGGAAAAGGGAGAGCGCTGACAGACGTACTATTAAGCGGCCTGATCCTCCTGCCGGCGGCAATCCAGGCGATGGGGAGAGTGGGTGGGGAAGGGCAAGAGGGAGATGAGGGTCGGAATCAAATGGCGGCGCGCGTGTTGAAGCTGGAACGTGTCCTGACTAAGCAAGCGAGAAGAGCAATGTGCCTCTAGCGGGCCTCCAGAGTGCTGATGTCGAGTGCGGTGCCCACGAACGTGTTGTTTTGTAGCAGATGGCGGAAGGGACGAAAGCAAGGTCGACGCCGACCACGACGACCACAACCGTGTTATTACCACGTGGCAAATATTGCGGCCTTAGAACCGGCCCTCGGGCGCTCGATCCTACTTAACTTACGTAGTTGTGAGCAGCACTGGCGAGACCGTCAACAGTTCATTGTTTTTTCTCTTTGCCTTCGCTACATACATGTATTGCAAGGGCAGTCGGCCACACAACAGCACCTGTGCATCCGTCATACGGTGCGGCCACCAATCATATCAAGGAGTGCGTGCTAGCAACCGATCGACTTGACACCATGAAACACCAAGCCCCTCCCTTGACTCTGCTCACAAACCCAGCTCTTGTCGACTGTTCAGCAAGCGACCTTCCATGCCACCCTCGACCATGACTACAGTCCCGGACACATGTCCGGAGACAGTGGAAGAGGACAGAATGGCGATCTGGTTGGCCACGTCCTCTGGTTCCGCCACCTTCTTCAACGGCATCCTGTACAATCCCGCCATCAGCCCATGGCCACAGATCGCGAGGCGTTTTGGGCAGCTCCACGCGCCACACGGAGGACTCACGTCGCGAGTGCCTGATACACTATATCCGGGTTTTTGAGCGACTCCTCCGCCATCGGCGTCCTGACCCACCCTGCCGGCGCCGATGGCCACCATGAGTCCGCTGAACCATTGGACAGAGCGTGCACGAACCTGGGGCCACGACGTTCACGCGTCCTTTCGGGGCGATCTTGACGATCTCATTCTTCAGGCTAAGGCACAGGCCATACATCATCGCTGCCCGCACATACGATCAGCGAACGAGCTCACACATGATACCAGAGAACTCACCGCTCTTGGTCGCCGCATAATCCGCATGGCCGGCTTCCCCATATTTCCCGCCGTGCTCCCGATGAGCACGACCGCCGCCCGCTCGCGCGCGCCTCCGACGCGCCCTTTAGCCCGCGGAGGTACGCGCGGACGACGAGGAACGACGAGGTCAGGTTGGTCGGAACGTGCTCTCCCACTGTGCGAGTGGCATTTCCGCGAGCGGAACGTTCCGCGCCTCATACACCGCGTGGTTCACGACGACGACCTGCACAGGCCCGAACGCCGATGGAGCGTCCGCGAAGAGCCGGCCGGCGTCGGCTTCGAGCGCAAGGTTCGCCTGCGCGGCGCGCACGCGCTCGCCGCCGAACTCGGCGAGGAGGGGCTCGAGCGGGGCGCGTTTGGAGTGGTAGTGCGCCGTCACGCGGGCGCCGAGCTCTGCGGGGAGATAGGATGATCGGTCGTGGTGCTCCGGAAGAATGAAGAACAAACACCCACTCAAGAACGTGCGGACAGTCGCGAGACCGATTCCTCCGCTGGCTCCTATCGTGGCGGGTGGATCAGCCTTGATTAAGGCGCATCCGAATGCGCTTTACCTGTGACTAAAACATGAACATTGTCGAGCCCCAGATCCATAGTAGATGTGGTGTCGATGGTCGTGGAAGAGCCTTGAGCACAATGTGCGCCTGGCAGTGCCACCGACCCTGGTACATAGCTAGTGGGAATCGCGATTCCATATATAACCCGGGACGTATATAGTACATAGCTACAGAGAAGTTGTTCGGTTGGTGTGAGATGTAGGATAACACAGACGATGAGTCCCGGTGAATGCGGTCATTCTAAGTAAGGCGTTGCGCAGAGGATGTGTGAATACGGCCGTCAGCCCCAGGTATCACGATGATCAGCTATCAAATCTGTAATACGGGGACAGAATAAGACTATGTAGTGCGTGGATGATGTGCATCGATCCCGATGCGGAGAGAACCATGCGAAGCTGTGTGTAGAGAACATTACGGATGCAGGATTGGGACGAGGTGAGATCTTCGTTAGGGTCGTGAAGAGGTAACGCAAACCGGAAACTAGACGACGGAGATGAATGCAGCAGGGGCAGAGCGGTCCAAAGAGATGCTGTTGATACAAGAGAATCCGAGCGGATAGCGAAAACTGGACAATGCGTGGACTGGACGATGGAGGACTTGCGTTGCAGGTGGATATCGGAACATGATGCAGGAGGAGGCGAAGTGCAGGGTGTAGAGTGGTGACAGAGAATATTGAGGACCAATCAAGATGTGCGCGAAGTCCAAATATGCAAGTGAGATGCGAGATGCGATTGAGATGGAAGTGTCCGGCACGGACGCCGCGCGCTGCGCCTCGCGTTAGATCTTCAACTCCCTGAATCCTCGAACGTCCAAGCGCCCTGTGCCATTCTTGCGCCATTCCGCATCAGCGTCGTCCTCCGACCCATCTGCAGCCGTTGCCGCCGCCTTGTTGGTCTTGAAACGGCCTCCAGGAATGACGATCTTGCCGGCGCTCCGGGTGCGTGGACCAGCACGCCCGACCAATGCCGCACGAGGTTTGGGCAGCCCCAATGATTTGCGTTGGCGGTGTGTAAGGGGTTTCGGGGCTGGAGGGTCCGGAGGGGGAGGGGTCCCTGCTGGGGAAGGGACAGAAGACAACGAGCTGAGAGAGTCCGCCGAGGAACTGGAGGCAGAAAGATCGGGGGTGTCTGGATCGTCGACATCTGCGCTCACGACCTTGCTAAGAGCGAGCGGCGTCGACTGGGCGTCGACTGTTCTTGTCGAGGATGTTGCACGACTCTTGGCTCGCTTTGTAGCACCTCGAGACCTCTCAGAATGCGATGAGGCCGAAGATTCATCGAAGGTACGTTTGGGGGAATGACAAGCGTGGGTTCTAGAGGTTGGAGGGATGCAAAAGCTGATGACTGGGATGATGGGGTTGAAGAGGGAGGCGGAGACGGTGATGTAGATCTAGGCAATGGAATTTCCGCCGGAGTCAACGGAGGAGCCTGATCTGGAGCGGACGCGATGATAGTGGTGGCAGATGACCGAATCCTCGGGGTCTTGGAGGGATTGACTTTGCCCTTCGCTTTCGACGTCGGCTTCTTAGGTGGGGGAGAAGGAAGCTCCTCATTGTCGGAAACGTGCGATTCCTCGACGTTAGGGAAACCGGCATGCGGACCCCTTAGGTTCCTAATAGAGGAGAAGTGCTCCCAGTCGTGATAGCTGTACAACGTCAACCGCCTTGAATTGCGGGGCTCGCGGAGGATACGTACGCGACATAAGCGGTCCCCACTGCAGTCTCCAGTTCTGCGTCTTCCGATGCCGTCTTGTCTGCCTCGCGGCATTTGTTGCGCTTCGAGCGGCGTCTGTCGCGGTCGGTCGCAACGTCTTCCGTTTGGGACTCTCCCGGATCTCCGCCGGCATCCCACTCAATGACGTACACTAGTCCAGGCTGGATAACCTTGACGTTGCGTCTCGTCACATGGGCAAAGGCAGAGAGCTCGAGATGTCCGCCGTATGTAGCTGCGCCACGTGAAGGTGAGGGGAGGGGAGGGGCAATGAAGTGCTTCCACTCACCTTGCTGGCGCATACAAGCGAGATGATGGTCAAGACCACGGCCATCCTCAACGAAAGGTGCATAACGATCCTTGTGCTCTTCGATCCAGTCGCAAATATCTTGTCTGAGCTTCAGGTGATGGGCGGGAGTGCCATATAGTTGGTCAGACAACGCCCTGAATAGGCAGTTGCCATCGCCGATGGTGTGAGCAGCATACAGCCCGAGCCCACGGAGCTGTGCGTTGAGGAGCTGACTGTTTTCTTCAGGATTAGACAAGATAGGCTAACAGTATGTGTTGGTCAACATGCGGTGCGGCACATGACATCGATGTTCAAGCTAAAGGCTTACCTTCCCCTTGCTTCTGGTGATGCGCGACCGCACTGCTGTCCGGTCAACACACGGGGTAAGGGTACAACAAGACAATGAACTGACTTTGCGGTGCCTGCCGCACGTTCCTCCTCTTGGTGTGGCCCATTCAATCGGCAGGGGGAATGTGGTGGGCGGGCGTGTGTGGGGAGGGTCGTACTGGTTGAGAACCAAGAGAGAGAGGGGTGTTCCGGGGTCTTGGCTGCGGCGGACTTCGGACACCGACTAAAGGGGATCGTTGAAACACGTTGCCCAGTCAACGGGATGAGAGAAGACCAGCAATGCTGTCGAAGGGAGAGGTGATGGCACAGTGAGCAGATTGTTGTAGCAGCACAATATAGAGGCGAAGACGGCTGGCAGGGAGAGGGCGAGAATGAGAAGCAAGTGGGGAAAACAGTCTGAGTAGCAGTGCGAGATCAGTGATCTGCCCGTCTGCGCGCTAAAGGACCTGGCGCCGGGTGGCTCGGCGCTCAAATGTTGAAACTTTGGGGCTCCGATTGGACCTGGAACGGGCCGTTCCGCGTGCATTCCAGGCGCCTGACCGAGCCCAGTGTCGGAGCTCGGCACACTCGTTGGCCGTCCTAGCGCCGCTAGGACGTAGTAGCGGGCACTGCACCGCAGCAAACGCAATCCTCGAACTCAGTTCTGCGTCTCTTGCTATGACCCGAGGGATACCGACGGGCCGGATGGTCGACCTTTCGCACCTCCTTCCACACCATACACACCGTCGTCATCATTTCACACGGCGCCCCCCAGAGCCACCGAGAACCTGGTGAAGACTCGGCTACTCTTGGCATCGTACTCTCTTCCACCTTGCCTCTCGACTCGACGGTGGTCTTGTGCTACATCGTCTATTCTTCTCTCCGACACCCCGCAGCGGCTTCTGTAACCCACCCGGGCTGCGCAGCGCCAGAACCGACACAGTCTCTTTCCCTAGCACCTCGCGGACGCTGCGAGAAGTACCGCTCGTTGGCAGTACATCAGCACCATGGTTATCCTCGACGAGAAAGCTTTGATGCTCCCACCGCCTCCCCCGTATGGCGAGGACGGCCTCGTTGGTCCCCCGCCTTTCCCTGCGCTCAACGGGGCCCCTCCCAGTCTCGTAACCCTGCCCCCACACCTCTTGCTGCGCATTGTGTATGAGACATTTGCCGAAGGACGAGTGGAGAAGCAGAGGAAGGTCCTTTACTGGCTTACTTTGAGCCTCCGGCTTGTCAACCGTGCGATCTACATCGGTGAGCATCTGCTCCAGCGATCGCCGTGTCCACTGTCGGCCATCCCCGCATTCCAAACCCTTTTGTGCATCCGAGTACCCTGGTGCTCATCCGTGCCATCTGCACCCTGTCCTGTGGATCATATGATGTATGCTTGTACGAATGCGCACCAGGAGCGCGTATACTCGGCTCAGAAGTGGTTTTTATAACCTACACTCCATTGACACTGAAATCTCACTGATTACCTTGGCAGCATGCATGCATGTTCTGCGCTCGTCCTACCTTCCCGCGTACGCCGCCCTCGTTCGGTCGCCCTACACTTCGGACCCATTCCCGCATGCCGCTTCAGCAACCACACCCGCACAGCGCGAGACACGCGTGCTCGACCTCTTCATCGCACTCAAAGTCCGCGAAGACGTCTGGACGGACGAATCCGAGCTCCACCTCGAGCGCGAAGAGAGCTTCAAGGATCTTTTCGACCTCATGCAGCCCCGCGCTCGCCTCGAAGATCTCGTTCGTCTCTATGGCGTTCGCGACGGCGCCGTGGCCGTGCCACTCCCCTCGGGAGCGACGCCAGTCGCAACATCGTCTCCAACCACTCCGTCATTCTCGTCGACATTCAAGAACCCTCCGCATTCAAGTGGAGGTGGGGGTGGTAGTGGGCAAGGGTCGAAGGAACCAGCGTGGTATCAGTTTTCACCACTTCCCTTCGCTGCGCTCACGTTTCCTTCTCGCCGCGCGTGGTGGGGCTCGTGATGACGACGCGCGAGCGCAAGCGAAGCTTGTGGAGGTGCCGAGGACAAGGGAGGACACCTTGAAGTCTCTGCAAGAAGCTCGTTAAGGAGCTTCGGTCCTGGATCGCCTTGAACCCCTCACAGCGTAGTCGTTAAGGATGTACGTAATGCATATGCACCGTGTCGTTGTAGGAGTACATAGCTTCTGGACTCATCTGTCGCATATATCTACATGTCCTGTTATACTAGGCTCTGGCGTTCTTCGATGTACACTATCTTTCAATGCAGGCTTATTTATGTATGTCTGGTCTTATGTTCTCTCTCCGATGCATAAAATCGAAGTAGTTCGTTGGTATGTATGTATATGTACATAACAGACACAAAAGTCAGCGCTCTGTATGTACCTGGACTTGACTCTCATCCACCATTGCCTCCTACACGTCTATGTCTCCCCTCTCATCGCCAGTGCCGGCTCGCAGCACCTTGAAAGCTTCTTTTCCACGGCAATTGAGACCGCGGACCACGCATTGGCTGCGCCTCTGATGGCGAGTCAATACATGCGTACGTATTGCTTGAAACCTTGGGTCCACCCACGCAGGCGATCAAGACATGGACCACACAACGCGCCGCTGAGCCTCATCGTCCACCATGAAGACCCTCCGCGCTTCGCTCCTCGTCGCGGTATTTCCTGCGCTCGGACTCAACGCGCAACTACCATCCAGAGAGGCACAGGCGCAGTTCTCCGTCGCGCATACACCCTCTTCCAATGCTGTCCTCAACGCAGCGCCGCAACAAGCCGTCACACCCGAGGTGTCCTCGTACGCCGAACGCTTGCTGAAGGACCACGGCATCCCTGGCATCACGCTGGGCTTCGTGCGCGTCGGGGAGGATGGCTCGGTGGCGACAGAGCTCGCTGGTTGGGGCAACATGACGGAGGACGGAATGCCGGTGACTCCCGAAGTGCGTATCCGTTCTCGTCGTACGATTCATGCCCATTGAACGCCTGCGCTGGGGTAGACGATGTTCAGCATCGGCTCATGCTCGAAGGCGTTCATGTCTGCCGCGATGGGGCTCTTGATCGACGACTTCGCGCACGGGAGGAATGTTACGCAGCTGCCCGTTGGGGTGAAGAGTCTCACCTGGCAGACGAAAGTGCAGGATCTGCTCCCCGCGGAAGACTGGGAACTTGCGGACGAGTGGGCGACGGAGAAGCTGAGTTTGATTGATGCTATGAGCCATGTTTCGGGACTCCCTCGGTGCGTACATATTGCCCTCCGCGATGGCATTAGCGTTGACCTTTGGAACAGTCATGATATGGCGTATAGCCGTCAAGATACACCCAAGAGCGTCATCAAACGAATGAAGCATATGAGACCTTATTATGAGCTGCGCGAGCGATACTCGTACAACAATCAGGTGAGGGATTACAGGGCCTCTGTATATGCGGGACTCACGAGCTCTGGTAGATGTTTATGCTGGTGCAACACGTCCACGAGATATACGCCGGGAAGCCGCTGCCGGAGTTCGTCGAGGAGAGGATCTTCTCTCCTCTCAACATGACGACTGCCACCTATTCGGGACGCGAAGCTGAAGACAGTGGTCATCTGAGCCAGGGGTTTGCAGCTGGTCGGCGCATCCCTTACTGGTTCGGCGATGACCTTCCATCCCGCATGATTGCTGGAGCGGGCGGTGTCATTGCTACCCCGCTCGACATGGTGTGTGGTCATTGCTTCATCTCAACTCCTATACTCCTCACTAAGTGCAACCCATTCGCAGACGAAATGGTTGGCGACTCTGCTCAATGAAGGTGTCAATCCGACAACCGGCGAAACTGTGATCCCAGAAGACATCTTTCGCCAACTCACCACCATGTACACCATCGCCTCCGGAAAGCCCAACAAGCCGAGGAACTCTATCTCAGGATACGGCACCGCTTGGGCGCGGATGTCCATCCAAGGTCACGACGTGCGTTCCTGTCCTCACCTTCGGTGTGAACGACCAGCAGACCATATGCGTATAGGTTGTATGGCACAGTGGCGGTTTACCGGGCTTCTACAGTGAGGCCTGGTTCTTCCCAGAGGACCACATCGGAGTCTTCACAAGCGAGAACTCGGATGGCCCAGCGAGCTATGCGCTCGCTCTCCGCGTAGCTGAAGCTTACCTGAACCTGGAGCTCACCCCCGCCCCGGACGTTCCCTCTCCCAATCAAGAAAGTAGCGACTCGTCCCCTACTCCCCCAACCGACTTCGAAGTTGACGTCCTCCATTCGTACACGGGCACCTACACCAACCCCGGCTACGGCAAGTTCACCCTCTGCACAACAACGGCTTCCGACATCCAAGGCTGCGCCACCATCCTCGATACGTACGCATCCACTGCGGACGGTCCCCTCGACGCAGCAGTGCTGTACGGCGAGTTCATGCCTGCGCGGATCTGGGCAACGCAGTTCCGCATGCGCCCGACTGCGGCTGCGGAGTTCGTCCTGGAGGCCGAGCAAATCTTCCCCCGTGGCTATGGACGTAACGAGACGCCATTTTCTCTCGCCATGTCCCCGTCCGGGACCCCCGTGCGTTGCGTTAGGAAAGGTTCCGCTGTCGTGGGCTGCGGGCTCATGGACATTGGGCTTGCCGGAGAAGGGGATATGACGTGGAAGAGACGCGAGGGCGGTGTGGAGGATATAGCGGACGCCTGGTTCGTCAAATTGTAGGATTGATGTCCACGTCGTCGAATCCGGCATCATGATGCACAGCGGTGGGCTCACAGTCTCGTAAATATCATGCTGTTGTTCATACGGTTATTTCTCCTGGTGCGAACATCGTTCCTCAAAATCCTCACAATCGGCTCACGTTCCTTCTCTGACATGAGGTCGTTGCCAAGAGGCGTCCTCGTCAGAGTTACCAGCACTTCTCTTAGAGCTTTCAAACATTCTATCTGTGCATTGGTATGCTCAAACGAGTGGGGGACTGCGCGGAGAAGTCGACACTGCAATCGTTGTACACAGCCGGCATCGCCTCCAAAGCACTGCGCCACTGGGCTGGATTTTGATGGATCGACATGTCGCTTTTGATCGAGTTTGGCCCCCGGGATCCCCGTTGGTACATACATGGCGCTGGTTTGTTTTCGCAACAAGGCAAGGACTCGTTCTTGTCAATGCGCCTGCAGACGTTGCTCAAACATCCACTCTTTCCAGCAGATTCCATACCGGTCGAGGACTTTGCATTCACCAAAGTGACGTTAATATTCTTATTGCTGCCGGTGACGACCCCTAGCTGAGTCACTGCGCGTTTCACTGCACTACGCCGCATTCAAATTCACCGTCAGTCCCGCCGCCACTCTGCCTTGCCGATACAGCTTCCGCTCGGGCATGTACGTGTCCGATGGCGCCTTAAGATGGCGCTAGCCTCGGGGTTGAACAATGTCATAAATACTGCCAGTGCGTCGAGACCATGCGTCACTACTTACTTTTCTCACCCACAGCGATGAAGGGCCTCCACAACTCGCTCCTTGCCCTCGCCACCCTCCGAACGCATGCCCTCGACGTTGCAAGCCAAGCGGTCACGGCCGACATCTCGTCGTACGCCGAGGCCCTCCTGCAAGGCACTGTCACTCCCGGAATGACGCTCGGCTTCGTGCGCGTCGGAGAGAACGGGTCGGTTTCGACCGAGGTCGCCAACTGGGGCAACATGACGGAGGATGGGGCACCCGTCACGTCAGAGGTGCGCAGCTCCTCGGCGTACGCATCTACGTCTCTGATCTAGCCACTTTGATGAGCAGACGACGTTCAACATCGGGTCTTGCTCAAAAGCGTTCACGGCGGCTGCGATGGGCATCTTGATCGACGATTTTGCGACCGGCAAGAACGTGACCGCGCTGCCGGCCGGAGTGAAAGGCTTCACCTGGCAGACGAAGGTGAAGGACCTGCTCGCGTCGGAAGGTTGGAGCCTCGAAGACGAGTGGGCAACGCAGAAGCTCAGCCTCTTGGACGCGTTCACGCACGTTTCGGGCATCCCTCGGTGAGTGTTGTCGTTTCCTTTGATTGGGTGCTCACTAACCCGTCCATCAGCCACGACGTCTCGTTTAGCGTGGAGGACACAGTCGCCACCGTAGCGAAGCGGATGAAGTATATGCGGCCGTTCTATGAGCTGCGCGAGCAGTGGTCTTACAACAACCAGGCAAGTCGTCGTGCCATCTGCTTGTCATGTCCAGCGCACTGAAACTCGTTCCATAGATGTATATGCTCATGCAGTTCGTGCTGGAGAAGTATTCTGGGAAATCCCTACACGAGTTCGCCAAGGAGCGGATATTCACTCCGCTCAACATGACTTCCGCGACGTACTCCGGACGGGATGCGATCGACAGTGGCCTCATGAGTCAAGCGTTCAACGCTGGCCGGCGTATCCCCTACTGGATGGTCGACCAGCTTCCGGCCAACTTGGTCTCTTCCGCAGGGGGTCTCATTGCTTCTGCTTCCGACATGGTGAGTCAGAAATTTCTGTCGTCTCTGCTCAGCCTCTAATTTCGCGCTTTCTACAGACGAAGTGGTTGGCTATGCATGCCAACGGAGGCGTCAATCCGGAGAACGGACAGGTCGTGATCCCGGCGTCGATCTTCAAGCGACTCACCACCATGTACTCGATCGAAAACGGCGATCCCACGAACCCAGAGGACTCTGTCGCTGGACAGAGCCCAGGCTGGGTTCGCATGTCGATCCAAGGTCATGATGTACGTCTTCACCGTCCGTCCTCTGTGGTGCTCGCTGACAGGTTTAAACTCTAGGTCATCTATCACGAAGGAGGCATTCCCGGCTTCTACAGCGAGGCATGGTTCTTCCCGTCAGACCGGATCGGCATCTTCACCAGTGCGAACGCAGCAAGCGCCGCGCCCTACCTGCTCGCCCTCCGCGTCGCCGAAACCTACCTCGGCCTCGACATCACCCCCGCGCCATCCTCCAGCTCGTCGAGCACCGGCACCGCGATCGACGCGCCCAATAACGTCTCCACCTCCGTGCTCGCCGCGCTCCCGTCCTACCCCGGCACGTACTCCAACCCCGGCTACGGCAACTTCACGCTCTGCGCCGCGACGTCGAGCGCGGTCCCCGGCTGTGGCGCGATCCTCGCCGCCTACGCGCCCGTCTCCGCGAACGGCACGCTCGACGCGGACCTGCTCTACGGCGACTTCGCGCCCGAGCGCGTGTGGGCGTCGCAGTTCCGGATGCGGCCGACCGGCGCGGGCGCGTTCGTGGTGCAGATGGAGTCGGCGTTCCCGCAGGGGTACGGGCGCGACGAGACGCCGTTCACGCTCGCGCCGTACACGCACCCGGTGGCGGTGCAGTGCGAGGAGAAGCACGGCAAGGTCGTCGGCTGCGGGCTCATGAACGTTGCGCTTGCTGGGTCGGGGGATACGACGTGGGAGGCGCGCGAGGGCAGCGTGGAGGAGATGGCGGACGCGTGGTTCGTCAAGGTGTAGGTTGGAGGAGAGGACGGGTTTTGGAAGGCCAGGCGTTCAGGCTTAGCGTATGCGTCGATCTAATTATTATAATGGCAGTCTCTACGGAATATGATATACCCCAGTACTACGTCGATGTTCGAAGCCCTCTTTGACAGATATGGTCCGTGTTATTCGCTCGCGTTCTGTCTCGAACAAGGACATCTTGTCGTGTGTCTTTCAACGGAACAAGAGAAAACCGTGGATTTTGAAGCGCATAAAATGGCTCTTTGTAGTAGTAGGAGCCGATAGAGAAACCATGCAACGCACTTACGGCCTCGGAAAGGATCAGCAACCCTCTCCTCAGGTTCCTCTTCGATTGTGAGAGACGCATGGACGTCCTCAGCGTATATGCAGCCCACTCCTCCACTTCCATGCGCCAGGCGAGCTCAAGGCCGCTGTAGTCGGTCGTTCTTGACCGTGTGAACTAACGGCGTACAATCCACCACGTCTTCGTGCGGCGTCCTGCGGACTCGGCAGTCATCCTCGTTCCGAGTGCCGATAAAACCGCGCACGACCTTGTCTTTGGAGTCTGGCCGCCGTGGACAATTGCCGAGGCGTTGGGCTGCTACCGTACAGCAAAGTTGCGGAAGACCTTCATCGGTAGAACGAGACGGCCTGCTGGATTTGCTTCGCAGTGCAGAAAGCGAGACCGAGATGTCATCAGCAAGACGCCTCTTTCCGCCATGGGCCCATGGCCCGGCGTCATCAGGGCATCTCAGCACAGCGCGATCACATTCCCACGGCTTCTTTCCGCGTCCCCCACTCGCGAGACTTGGCAGACGGCGGCCGCGACGCAAAAGACATGGTGCAAAAATACACCACCATCTGAATGCTATGGCACTCTAGTAAGCACACAGCCCAGGTGGTCGGGGTCTCGATTGGAACTTGCTGAGTAATGAACAGTACTTGTGAAAACGTTGCCGGATGGAATCTGACAGTCTTTGTAGTAGAACGCCATGGCCGCCCTGCCACTACTGTGGTGGTCCAAACTCAGGCGCAGTCAGACAATGAAGCAGCGTGCAGTGGGCGCTCCAAGCCTGCCGCTGAAAGCCGAAAAGACGAACATGAGCGGAGCACATATATACTTGGCGCTCTGGCTCTGGCCCTAGCACATTCGTCTCCGGCCCCCATTGTTGTCTAAATCTGGGTTCTTCAAACAGAGGCACTTGAACAGCGCTTGAGCCCAACTTGCGGTGCTTGACTTCCTTCATTCCAACCACCATTTGAGCCACCCGACCACCCAGCCTGACCACCTCGCCATTACTACACGATCCCTGCAGGTCGCTCCACTGGTACGTGCCGCTCTATCCACAAAAACATACCTCGGGATTGCGCATCTTATAGAAGCCTCCCCCAGTCGGAAATTCGATCCTCCCTGCACACGCCTACACCTCCGCGGCCAACACCGGGAAACGCGACGCAAAGCAGCATCGTTAGAAGCTCTCTCGCGACATGACCAACATATCGATCAGCATGTCCACCGAAAGTTTCATCCAGGCCTTTCTGAATGATCCAAACTTCCCTGCCCACCACCGGGTGCCTCCAGCCATGAACCCATTCATGGGTCTCATGCGTGCAACCTCCATGCGAGAAGACAATATAGGCGCGAAATTTGTAAGTGTTCAGTATGCAATCTGTATGCGATAAAGGTGACTTTATTTCGTATCCTAGACCTCCGCCATCAACAGTGCCAACCTCGTTCTGGGATTGACGATGGCGACAAGCGAGAAGAAGGTGGATGAAGCCAATCTCCCCGACGTGAATGATCCCAACAAGCAGAAAATCGATGGCGCTCTCTACCCCTCCGACCACACTCCGACCGACAGCCGACCTCATTGGGCGGACCAAGTCGTGCCCATCGAGTTCAAGAAGGGAAAAGCATTCTTGGACCCTTTTGACGACAGGGAGTGTGATGGCGACGCCAGCTCCTCGCAAGAAGATTCTCGGACAGATCGCCCATCACGTCGATTCGGTCCTCCTCGATCAGCATCGCACCTTCCTCTTCTTCATCTTCGTCTTCGGCCGCAAGATCCGGTTCACCCGCTGGGACTACTCTGGCGTCGTCATCACCCCCCTCTTCGACTACTACCAACAGTGGGAAACAACGTGCAACATACTCCGGCGTATCGCCTTCCTCGCCTGTCACGGGCGCGGCGAAGGCGTCGGATTCGACCCCACCGCCGAACGACTCCGGGAGGGTCACGATCTCTTCACCAAGATGACCGAGGTCGCCACACCGAAGCCGACCGACGTTGACCACACCGAGCGCAAGCTGAAGGACGACGAACTCCTCGAAGGGGACATCACCTTCACCTACGTCCGCGATCGGTTTCGCGAGTCAATCCGGACGGGACCGCGGTACGCGTTGTCGGTCCCCGACGAGAACGGCGGCCACAGGATCATCCTCGTCGGGCGAGCCGAGTTCGCGGCTGGTGGAGCTACGGGGCGGTTCACCCGCGGCTACATTGGGTACGACACGAAGACGGGCCTCTTCGTGTGGCTCAAGGACACGTGGCGCCCGGACTACATCATAGGGCTGGCGAAGGAAGGTGACACGCTCAAGGCGCTTCACGCAGCGAACGTCACGAACATTCCGACGCTGGTTTGCCATGGCGATATCGGCGAGCAAGTCACCCGGACTCATGACTTCTGGACTAAGCGACGCGATGAGGAGCTCAACGATATCGTCGACGGTGTTCCGGAGGCCCAGTGCGCTTCCTCCTCTTTACGTGGCCAGGGTCCGGTGGTGAGCGGGTCCTCTTCTCCGTCCAGGAAGTCAGGTCCCAGAAATGCCGGCAAAAGGAAGCTCGAAGACTTGAACACCTCGCAAGGTGTACCGCCTGATGCTGATGGTGATCCCGACTTCAAGAGTAGTTGCCTGTTACGGCGCCACCGACACTACCGCCTTTGCGTCAAAGAGGTCGGACTTCCTCTGGAGTCTTTCACGAGTCCGCGCCAATTCGTGAGGATCGTGCTCGACGCTGGAGCAGGTAGGTGTCATGCTATTTGATCGTTCGTTTTTCATCCTCATCGTTATATCACAGCGCATCGCGACGCGTATCACAAGGGGGACACGTTGCATCGAGATATCAGCGGTGGCAACATCATCATATACCCTCGCGTGAGAATCGTGAAATCCCATTTCTTGGCCTGGGTGGGGCTTCTCACCGACTGGGAGCTTGCAAAGACAACGGATGCTCTGAAATTGTGGACGCGACCCGGTCGAACGGTGGGTCTGGTTCTTGTTCTGATGTCTAGTATTGCATCTCACTAACGAAATTCTATAGGGCACTGCGCAGTTCATGTCGGTCGCCATGTTGGAGGGGAACGGCAAAGTCTCTGAGCTCTCAGACGACTTGGAGTCGTTCTTCTACGTCATCCTCTACTACCTAGTTCGCTTCGTCGAATCGGACCTTGGTACGGCAGAGAACGTCTTCCTCTGGCTAGAGCACTTCTTCGACTGCTATGCCGTCGAGGGAGGGATGCATACATGTGGCGCGGCCAAGAAGAACGCTTCATTCCGTGCTGGACGGCTCAGCAGGAGAAATTCCTTCGGTTTCGGCACCCCTCTGGACATGCTCATCGATGATCTTCACACTTCCCTACGCGACTTCTACTACGTCAAACGATGGAACGAGCAACAGCGCAAGGCCAACGAGCCCGTCTCGGGCCCCATGGTGGCGGAGCCTGTGGTCCCCTCCAGCCGTGCGTCGTCGCCTCCCCCTGACGACTTGGAAGAGGCATTCCACGTCAACCGCGCCGGTCTCCCCGCCGACCTCTGGAGGTCTGCCGGCGAGACGCTGCAGAGTTGTGACGACGACGCCTTGGGGCCCACTTCCGAGCAAGAGGACTCCGCGCTCGTGTTCCAGAACTCGGACAGGTTCTTGGCGGTCCTGCAGACGTGCGTGCGGCTGCCCGCGAAGCACTGGGCGCGCTGCAACGAGCCCGCGACGGACCAGCTCCTGGAGCAGTTCGACTCGACTCAGCCGGTCGAGGCGTCGCTCAAGGTGGCCGCTCGGCCCCGAACGCGCCGCGCGACGCCGCCTGTCGGCGACGGCGAATCTCCCCTGTCTCGCCCGACGAAGAAGGCGAGGACGAGCCTTTTGGACACGCCGAAGGCGAGGAGCGCTCCGGATATGTAGGCTTGATGTGGGGGTTTGACCGCGCGTCCCGGGGTTGCGCGCGTTTGCGGGTCTGGATGTCACATTGTGTTCTACTGCTTGATTTTCTGCTATATAGCACCTCTTCCACTGTAAATTGGCATGATATTTTTATATGTGTAATGTTTCCGTGCTCGGTCGAACTCATTCCGTATTGAGATTTGAAGTGCTTTGAGGCGGCCCCGAGTCGATCTTCGCGAGCGCGGTGAATTACCGCTCGACGGTCAACAGCTTTAGCCTGGAGCATCCTGCGTTGCTAGTACTGTGAAGCGAACTCTTTCGGGTTTCAAGAAAGCTAAAATCGTGAGTCTGCACATTGATTTCAGATTTCTTCCGTATTTTACCTTGTCATAAATGGCCTGCGACGGCGCGGAATCGAACCCGGCGCATGGAAAAAATGGGCGCTACGTACTGGTGATCGCCGGAAAACCGAACACATTCACCTCCCGCTCCCATTGTCTTGGACCACGCACCCATCAATGCATCATGCCTCAACCCATACTTATATCACTAGACTCCCTCACTCCAACCACCACTGGAGCCACCTGGACTCTCACGTCTTTGGAGTCCCCGACGGTATGTGCTCATTGGCCCCTGCCATGAAAAGTGTAAACATCCCTAGAGATGGCATCTCTTACAAATTCGTTCTCTTTCCCTCCTAGGAGGTCGGATTTTACCCCATTTGCACATCCGCACATAATCCGCCGATAGCGGTAAACACAAGTATCGTCAGGGGCTCTCAAGCGACATGGCCGACACGTTCATCCTCGTGCCACATGAGAAGTTCCTCCGGAGCTTCTTGCACGTTGGTGCAGAAGAATTCCGACTTGAGCCGTTACCGGTGGAAAATCCTTTCTTCGACCTCAAGGACGCAAACGCCGCCGAGGAACGACCAGTGGTTAAGGCATTCGTGAGTGTTGAGCCCATATGTGCGCGACCACGTTCACATATTATCCCGTGCCAGACTTCTGCGATAAACCTGTGTGGACTCACTCCGGGCCTGAAGATGCAGACAAGTGTCGAAGCGGGGCCCGGAAAGACTTGCCGACCCGAAGGTGAGGACGACGCGGACCAGCAAGCGAACATCAAATTTTTAGAGGACAGAAGATCCGAGAAGATCGAAGGCGCTCTCTACTACACCGTCAACGCTCCGACAGACCATCTGCCCCACTTGGCAGACCAGGTCGTACCCATCGAGTTCAAGCAGGGCAAATCGTACTTGGACCCGTTCGACGACAGGGACGAGAACGGCACTGCGCGCTCTCGCAAGAAGGTCCGCGAACAGCTCGCGCACCACACCGAGACGGTGCTCGTTGAGCAGCACCGCACCTTCCTGTTCTTCATCTTTGTCCTCGGCTGGCAAATTCGCTTCACCCGTTGGGACCAGTCGGGCGTCATTGTCACCCCCTTGGTCGACTACTACGACGCCTGGGAGACGACATGCGACTTCCTCCGGCGTATCGCATTCCTTGCCTGTCACAATCCCAGCGGCGAGGACGTCGGATATGACAACACAGCCGTCCGCATCGAACCCGGGAGCCCTCGATGGACCCTCATGACCAACGTCTCCGAGAAGCGGCCGACCGACGTGGATCACGAAGAGCGCGATCTCAGGGATGACGAGCTCACCGACTCGGAGGACTTCACCTTCGCCTACATCCGGACGCGGTTCCGCAACTCCATCCAGACCGGACCACGGTACGCGCTTCAGGTCCCCGACGAAAGCGGCATGCACACGCTCCTCGTCGGCCGCCCCGAGTTCACCGCTGGTGGGGTCGTCGGGCGTTTCACGCGTGGTTACATCGGGTACGACGAGAAGACGGGTCAGTTCTACTGGCTCAAGGATACGTGGCGCGCGGACTACAAGAGGCTCGCAAAAGAAGGCGACACTCTGAAGCGGCTTCAAGAGGCTGGCGTTAAGAACATCCCGACGCTTGTCTGCCACGGCGATATTGACAAGCAGGTCACGCGGACCCACGATTTCTGGTCGGCGCAGCAAGCGCAGCGCATGGATGTCCTCTTCGACGCCCCTCCACCAGCTAACGACGCCTCTCCCTTACGCGGCCATCACGCCAGCGGCCTTTGCTCCCCGCTGCTTCGGAAGTCTGCGGACAGCACGGCCTGCAAGCGGAAGCTCCACGAGTTCAAGGCGTCTCAAGGCGTCGCTCACAACGATGGTGATGACGCAATGGACCCCGACTTTGATAGTGCCTGCCCTCTGCGGCGCCACAGACACTATCGCCTTTGCGTCAAAGAGATCGGGCGTCCCCTTGAGTCGTTCACCAGTCCGCGTCAGTTCGTGAGGATTATGCACGACGCGGGATCAGGTGAGTCTCATTCGACGGAGTATTTCTGTGTCGACTTTCCTCACCGTCGCTGTGCAGCGCATGGCACCGCCTTTGAGCTTGCAAATACTTTGCACCGAGACATTAGTGGTGGTAACATCATCATCTACCCTCGTGTGGTGGTTGACAAGATATCGATGACGCGGTTGCTTTTATGGATTGGCCTTCTGATCGATTGGGAGCTCGCGAAGAGGACGGACGCACTCAAGATATGGACCCAACCAGGGCGAACGGCGAGTAGCGGTATTCACCATTCCACCCGCCTCTCGTAAAACCGACCGACTCTTGCAGGGCACCAGGCAATTCATGTCGATCGCGATGTTGCTCGAAAGCGGCAAGGCGTCTGAACTCTCGGACGATCTGGAGGCGCTCTTCTACGTCACCCTCTACTACTTGGTTCGCTATGTGCCGTCGAACATCAGGACCTCGGAAGACGTCTTCCGCTGGCTGGAAGACTTTTTCGAGTGCTACGCCGTCAAGGGGGGCACGTATACCTGCGGTTTAGCGAAGAAGAATGCCTCGTATAAGTTGGGCGGAGAGCTCGCCATCGACGACGACACCTCGCTGCGCTTCAAATCTCCCCTTGATAAACTAATCAAGATTCTGCACACCTCACTCAAGAACTTCTACCAGCTCAGGCGGTGGGAAAAACAACAGCACCTGCTGAAGACCGTCGATACATCGCTCGAATCGGCTCTTGCGGTGAAGCGCCTCGGCCCTCCCAGCCCATCTTCCTCTCCAGTCTCCGCAGCCGCCTCTCGTGAGGCTCACTACACCGTCCACACATATAAGGCCACTACTACCGCCTCAGACGACGACGTCGTCGACGTCGACGTTGACGTCCAGGGCGACTTCATCCCGGAACCCGGCAAGAAGGAGCGCAGGTTCGCCTCCGTGTTCCAGGACCACTCGATGTTCCTGAAGGTGTTCGAGACCTGCATGGAGACGAGGGGCTCGCTGTGGACGAAGCGGAACAAACCTGCGGCCGATCGCCTGCTCGAGGACTTCTATTCGACGAGGCTGCTCGGTCCGAAGCCGCGGCGCCACGCGACGGCGCACGGCTTCGAGGACGGCAAGCCCCCGAAGCGTCGGATGACTGACGGCGATATCCAGTGAATCAAGGAGCACTGCTCACGGATGGCGTGGAGCTCTAGGCACGAAGTTGTGGATGAATGGCACGTTGTATACCTCCTCGGTTCCAATCATCTCAAGCTTCTTCTACTGTATAATGACGCGGAAGTTGCACTCGTCGTGGTGTGTTTTAGTCTACTCTCAGTCGGTCGAACCCCTTTACCGCGTAATCGAGAGATGGCAAGGCGGCCCATCGTGGCACGGGAATTTATCAACGATCTCGCGCCTCGTCGTCCTCAGATTGAGGGCTCGACGTTCATGAGCCAAGCGTTCAACTGGCACTGCCGTCGGATCAGGTGGTCGACGAGTCAGTTCCTTCCGCAGGGGGTCTCGCTGCTGCCGCTTCGGATATGGTGAGTCTGTCACTGTCTCTGCTCAGTCTCTAATCGCGCGCATTCTATGGCGGACACTGAAGGTTGGTGAACTTCGGATTGCTCGTAGTTTTTATCACGCCCAGATGACACAAAAGGTAGCTCGATTCACAACAAATCATCCAGGTGGGCGTTGTTTCCGGCTCGGAAGACTCCTAGTCGCACTTATCCATGCAGTGCGTTGTATTCAAATTCAATACACAATAGCCTTGTACTACTACTCACAATTCAGTGGCCATCCAATACCTAGCGCCGTATTCAGGTGACCGTTGTTCAGCTCCCCGTCTCTGCCAGATAGGCTTGTGGCAGTAGTTTGCTGCGTACGACTCGACACCCTTCCACGCCTCGTCGAGCAACGACCGCCTATGGAAAAGTCAGCGTAAAGCTTCCTCCCACAGGCGGCGCCCCCAAAAGACTCACAGAGCGGGCCCTTTTCGAGGCTCGGCGTCGGCGAGGTTCTGCTCGATGTGCTTCAGGCTGGATGCCCCGATGAGGATCGCGCTTCATCAGCGAGTGGTGCGACACTCAGCGGAGCGCGACCTCGGCGAGCGTGAACCCGTGCTTCTGCGCCGCGGCCTCGATCTCCGCAAGCGCAGAGAAGTACGGCTCGTCCCAACAATACGCGCGACACGCCGGTGGAGTGTTAAGGTCCAGGGGCGGGTGCAGAGTGAGAGATGCACCGGGGTTGAATATTGAATCTGCAGAAGGACATGCCGAACTTGCGGAGGCATATTATCATCCCCTTCGGTGTCTTTCGTGGTATGCAATGCCGATATCGAGCTTGCTAGGGGGGATTCGGGAAAGTATTCCGGTCGGGAGGTTGATGGTGGCGAAAATGCTGGAAGCGTACGAATAGGTCGGTGGTTGGGACAAAATTACAACGTCCCCGGGCACGAGCCTGAGAAGTGGTGTCAGACGCATGTCGGGGTCGGTTGGAATTGGATACTGACTTGTCATGTTTTGAACTCTCAATGATGATAGCACAAGCCCCAATAACGTATTCCATACCCAATTTTGCAGATTCCCGAAACGTTAGCATGCACATTATGGTGCCTTACCAGGCCTCGCCGAGTGGCTCGGCGTGACAGAGAAAAGAGCACTGGCCGCGTTCCCAGCTTCCAGTGGAAGAAAGGCGCGGGATGAACAACGCACCCAAAGCTCAGGGCGTGAGGGCTTGTAGATGGCTAGCGAGTTGATGGACCTTGCGCTTGCGCGACTTTGGAGGTGGGATTCAAGGAGACTTCGATCAGGGAGCACTGGGACGTGCGAGTATAATAGAAACGGCACCCTGTACAGTTGCAGGTTCGAACAAGACGGAGACGAAAGCAGGGATGCATTGCACTGACGGCTCGCAGCGACATGCATGCACCCGTCCGAATACATTTTCGCACCTTCACCCTGCTCTATCCCAATCTATCATGCACCCTCACGCTCCCTACTCAGTGGTGCTCCTTGTGCGCGACCGGCTCGTCCGCCTCGAGGAACGAAAGGAACTGGTCCGCGCCGGTGGGGGCGGCGTCGGCGTCAGCTGAGGGCGCGGCCTTGACCTCCGCGACGGTGGGCTCCGTGGCGTCGTACGCGGAAAGCTCGGCGGCAAGGTCGGAGGGGAGGGCGGGCACTTGGGGCGCGGGAGGGAGGGAGTACGCCTTCACAACACCGACGTGGGCGTCCTTGGCCTGCGGGCGGTTTGAGGTGGTGCGTGGTTTGGTGGAAAGGAAGGCAATGGTGTGCGGAGGTGACGGAACGACACAGGAAAGGGGATGGGGGATAGCGGAGGTAAGAAGAGGTCGGTCAGAACGCGTATTTTGCACAAGGCATGCTGGGACATGCACGGCGCGACGTACCATTACGGGAGCCTTGTACGCCTTGATCTGCTGAACATAAATGTCCTGGATGAGGTCTGTCCCGTCCGCACATCGCAGCGCACGCCCAGTCGTCAGCTACACCTGCCACCACACACCGCGCGCACACGCACCCTTCCGTGCGACCGCGGAGGTTGAGAAAGCGCACTTGCGCGAAGCCGAGCGAGCCTGCACGCCCAGCGACAACCTGGTCAGAGCCCGCGCAACGCAGTAGACACGCAAATGACACGTACGGCGAGGGAAGCCTGCCTGAGGACAGCGGAGGACATGGTCGATGTGGAAGAGGGAGAGAGCGTGACGTGACCGCGCGTTACCAGCAGCGAGCTCGGCAGGTCTCGGGAATGCCACCCGACGCGAGGCGCTCACGTGCACGGTGCAGGCCGAGGCGCGTTTACGTCGGCGAGGCGGGCCCACCGCCGCCCCTCAAATTCCTGCTGTTTCCCTTGCGGACGTCCTCTCTTCCACACACACCTCATCCCCACACACGTCCACCATGCTTGCCCGCGTTGCCGCCCGCTCTACCGTTCGCGCGCCCCGCGCTGTCCTCACCCCCGTCGCGGCGCGCTTCTACTCCGAGAACGCTTTCAAGTAAGTGTCGTGAGGCATAGAAGGTGCTGCTGCTGGGTGTATGCGTGTAGCTGACTTGCCGCTCGCTTTGCAGCAAGAAGGAGAAGGCCCACGAAGGTCGGGCCCTGCAGTTTCCACCGTGAATGATGGTGCTCATCGAGCTTCGGATGGATGCAGACCAGTACGCTCGCGAGCACGAGAAGGCTGCGCTCGAGAAGCTGAGGAAGCAGGTACGTGCCGGCTTGTGCTGCAATTTTGTCGTCCTGACCCACTCGCGACGCGTCTAGATCGCGGATAAGCAGGCCGAACTCGTACGTACTCATCCCGATTCGTTCCAAGTTGGCCTGGTTGCCCAACGCATGTTTTCAGGAGAAGCTGCAGAAGGAGCACGACTCGCTCGACAAGAAGCAGTAAATTCTCGTCTGCAATGGACTGCATGCTCACGGACGGAACGGAGTCTCGGTGAGTATCTCGCCAGTCCCCCTTGGTTTCCCTTGTGGCTCATGTTTACTCCTTGTGTTGTCTCCGTCCGCGCGTAGGCTCCTTGTAACAACAGCGTCGCGTTAGCACCTTCCAATACATCTGTCTTGTTCTGTGGACACGCTTTTTGCTCATTTGGCGCGAACGCGAGAGATGCACAGGCACGTGTCATGACGTGGGTAGCATCTTATATGTACCCACTCTGCATTTTCATATCTTCCGGCCGCTCATATCTCCATACTCCGCATGATGGGTCCATGTCCATGAGCCTACAACGGTCCCAAGCCAGTACAACAGATGAGCTTTCTAAGAAGAATTTGTCGCTCAAACGGCATGACCGCTGCTCGCAATTCCGGTGGCGGAAGCAAGTTTGAAGCTTTCCACTTGTCGGCGTTGGTAGATCACAAGGTCATACCCGAGGTGTTGCTGACACAGCTCTAGAAGTACATGCAGATACCCACAGGTCCCGGTCATCCGTCTCGCGCCACCCCTATAAATACTCACTGCCAGTGTGCGGTCACGATAGCTCTCATCCTCGTCTTTCACTCCCACTCCCACTCAACTCATTTTATCGCCGCAGTAAAGCCCACTTTAACAATGTCTGGAACCACGCAGAAGAGCCCACTGAACATCGTCATGGTACGTCGTTCATCTTACAACACGATCAGCAACCGATCGTCCTCGATCAATAGGGGGCTATGACCTTTGGAGAGGTTGGGAAAGAAGGTGCGCACAATTGTCGGTACTCAACGATATGCTAGCGTTGAGCTTGTTCTCAAAGGCGCCCGCGTCCACGACTTGAAGGACGTCGAAGAGATCCTGGACGTCTTCCAGGCTCATGGCCACTATGAGGTGCGCAGCTCGCAATACGACCGTGAGCTATCAAACCCATACGCCTTCTAGATCGACAGTGCGAGGACGTACACCGGAGGCACGAGCGAAGAGTACCTTGGGAAGATCAACTGGAAGAAGCGTGGGCTTGTTATGGACACGAAGCTTTACCCCAATGTTGTGAGTACGACACGGTGGCACACCCATTCATTCCCCTAATGGGTACGATATCCTCCAGTCCAACGCTCGCTTGGCAGCAGGTGCCGCGAATCTGATCTCTCATTCGCCAGAGGTGGGCTGTCATCTGTTTAACATTCTACGGACAAAACTCACTCAAAGTGTACTCTGTAGGACTTACGCAAGTATCTCGATGTGTCCCTTAAGGCTCTCCAGACCGAGTAAGTATAATACGATGTCCCGAAGCCTTTTAAACTGGTACTGACTTGTCGAATGGTTAGTTCTATCGAAATGTGGTACCTCCACGGCCCGGACCGGACCACTCCATACGAGGTCACCATGAAGGCAATCAACGACCTCTACAAGGAGGGCAAATTCAAGCGCTTCGGCATCTCTAACTACATGAGCTGGGAGGTGGCAGAGATGGTCGGCATCTGCAGGGCAAACGGCTACATCCAGCCTACCGCCTATCAGGGCATCTACAACGCCATCCACCGCAAGGTCGAGCCCGAGCTCTTCCCATGCCTCCGCAAGTTCGGAATCGCGTTCTACGAGTTCAACCCCCGTATGTATCCGTTTCATGCGACACCCCAGGAAGGTGTGGCACTAACCGTTTCTCATTGGTCTGTGACAGTGGGTGGCGGCTTCTTCACTGGTCGCTACCGTTCGATCCAGGACACTGTCGACCCCGGCTCCCGCTTTGACCCTGAGAAGGGTCAGGGCAAGGTGCGTACTGCCCGCCTCTCTTCCCCGACTCCCGCTTATCTTCCGCTTTGCTGCAGAACTACCGCACCCGGTACTGGAATGAAGCCTACTTCGCCGCGCTTGCGAAGATCGAGGCCACGGCGCAGAAGCACGGGCTGACGCTGGCCGAGGTCGCGCTGCGCTGGATTTCGCACCACAGCTTGATGAAACGCGAGTTCGGAGACGCGGTGCTCATCGGCGCGTCGAGCAAGGCGCACATCGAGCAGAACCTCGTCGATCTCGAGAAAGGGCCCCTGCGTGAGTGGCTCTTGTCCTCGTGTCGTCGCGGACCCGGGACTGATCTCTGTGTACATTTGGGCCGGGGTGTGCAGCGGAGGAGATGGTGCAGGTTTTGGATGAGGCCTGGCTCGACGTCTCGCCGTACGCTTCGAACTACTTCCACTGAGTAGGGCGGAGGTACCGCCAGGCACCCGGACCAATAAGCACACAATGCACCGGCACACCTGAACTTCTTTCAGCACGGGGCTGAGCGGTGAGAGAGTATTTGCGGTGATATGACACGTCGGAGGGCGAGTGGGTACCTCAGGCTCTAGTGACTCATCTTGTACAGTATTTCCGGCGGAAGCATCGGAGCCGTCGTCTTGCCAAGTTGCCCTGCCTCACCGCGCGCGACAGTCGAGTTCAAGAGCACGCAAACGGACACGAGTGGGGCCGGTGAGCCTCAGGTCCGTTCCCGCTCGGACAGATTACCGGCAGGCCGTGGGCCAGGGTCGCGAAAGCGCGATTGGGGACAGAGGCGTTCGGAGCGCCCGCACGCTGATGAGCTGCTCGATCGTGGGAGGTCCACGGAGGGCGGCGCCGTGGTTTAGTGCGCGCCTTGCTTTGGCGCAGCAGAGAGTGCAGACGGGCAGCAAGTATTTAAGGCGACCATGGCCTCCCCGCAGGTCATTCACAAGCCCCCTGCAAACTCACAGTGACCAGCTCTAAACCAGCAGCAAGCACGCGATGTCAACCACGCAGAAGTCCGCTCTCAACGTCGTCATGGTATGCTGGGCTGCTCACCACTCCATCTTTCTAAGCTGACAAGTTTTTCAGGGCGCCATGACTTTCGGAAAGGAAGGCATGGATGGTAAGCGTTTGTGCTCCCTCATCGACACGAGCCGTCCTCGCCGACCAGCGCCCACAGGTGTCCGTATCAGCAACGTGGACGACATCACCGCCATCCTCGACGTGTTCCGCGCCCACGGCCACACCGATGTGCGCATCCACTCCATCTCACCGAGCATGTGGGGGTGGAGCTGACTGCACACGCTCCATCACAGGTCGATACCTCCCGTATGTACGGGCTGGGCACGAGCGAGGAATGGCTCGCGAAGGCGGACTGGAAGAGTCGCGGGCTGAAAATCCACTCCAAGATCTACCCTATTCCGGTGAGCACTTCGAAATTTCCTTGAGTATCTAACGCATCGAGTACTGACCTTTGTTGTGTCTTTACTCTGTTAGTTCGTGCCGCCCAGCATTCCCTACCTCAAGGTCATCAAGCACACCCCGGAGGATCTCCGCCTCAACCTTGACCTTTCCTTGAAGGCTCTTGACACTGAGTGAGTGTTGCACGCGATTTCTTTTGTTCTTCTCCACTAATTCGTTTCCCCAGTTCACTCGACATCTTCTACCTCCACGGCCCTGACCGCACGACTCCGTACGAGGTGACCCTCAAGGTCGTTGATGAGCTCTACAAAGAGGGCAAGTTCAAGCGCTTCGGCATCTCCAACTACATGTCGTGCGTTTGCCTCGCTCTCTCTGTCACTCCCCGGGGTCCGCTCACGCCCCCACGCACTCAGGTGGGAAGTCGCGGAGATGGTCGGGATCTGCAAGGCGAACGGGTACATCCAGCCGATGGTCTACCAGGGCATCTACAACGCCATCCACCGCAGGGTCGAGCCCGAGCTCTTCCCATGCCTCCGCAAGTTCGGCATCTCCTTCTACGAATTCAACCCCCGTGCGTCATCCTCCCAGTTCCCTTCGCGCGCGGCAGATGCTGACGGTACGAGTGGCGCAGTCGGCGGCGGGTTCTTCACCGGCCGGTACCGCTCCATGGAGGACAACGTCGAGCCCGGCTCGCGCTTCGACAACAGCAAGGGTTACCAGGGCCCGGTGCGTCCCTGCCTTCCTCTCGTCCTCCACCCACCCCTGACCCTGGCACCCGGGGCCACAGGCGTACCGCGCGCGCTACTGGAACGAGCCGTACTTCGCTGCGCTCGCCAAGATCGAGGCCGCGGCGCAGAAGCACGGGCTGACGCTCGCCGAGGTCGCGCTCCGCTGGGTGTCACACCACTCGCTGATGAAGCGCGAGCGCGGGGACGCGATCCTCATCGGGGCCTCCAGCCTGAAGCACATCGAGCAGAACCTCGTCGACCTCGAGAAGGGCCCGCTCCGTGAGTCTTTTAAAGGCGCCACCTGATAAGAAGTTGTGCGCTGACTTTCCCGTGGACGGTCGTTGCAGCGGAGGACGTCGTCGCGGTGCTCGACGAGGCATGGAAGGGTGTCGAGCCGTACGCGGCCAAGTACTGGCACTAGTAGACGAGGTGCTGAACGGCAGTCACCTGAATAAGTACGGCGCTAGGTGCTAGATGCCCACTGAATTGCGAGTAGTAGTACAAGGCTATCGTGTATTGGATCTGAATACAACGCACTGCATGCCTAAGTGCGACTAGGAGTTTTCCGAGCCAGAAACAACGCCCGCCTGGATGGTTCGTTCAAGTAAATCGAGCTGCCTTTTGCGTCATCTGGGCGTGCGAGGCGCCCGGCAATCAACGCCCCAGGCGTTCATCATTGAAAAGTGACGACCAGTATCACCACTGATGCCATTTCCAAGCGATTTGCCTGATGTTCAACAGGAAGCCTCTCCACCCACCGCAAGTGCGCTGGGTGAACCTCTTTCTGCGCCGCTGCACCATTCGCCACACACCGCAGGAGGGGACGGAGAACAACCAATTGATGTTGTTGCATCGTCAGACGGTGTGAAACCGCTGTGTTGCGCAGTCACTGGTGTTCCGAGCAGTATGGCCGAGCTGCAACGCATCTATCTGGTCTCCCCTGCCACGTCTTGCAAACTTGTATGCCCATTCAGTTACACTCCGCCGCTCTTGTCTGACCTGTTGCAGCTCAACAGGCTTGAGTACTCGTGGGGACTTCCGCACAACTCATTCGACATCAACGACACCAACAATAGCATCATACGTGAGTGATGGTTCTGCACCGCGACTTCCGTGCGCTTAGTTCCATCCCAGTCCAGGCGACTCTCCGTGCTTCGTTTGATATATACGACAGCCAGTCTGCCGGGTGGTTCTTGTTGCCAGCCACCAGAAAGCTAAGAACGGCTTTGCTTAGGCATTCCCCGGCAGATGGCGACATCAACAAGGTGAGTTTATTCCCCAGCGACTCCGTTCATGGTGCTCAACACAGTATCAGTGCTACGAGGGCACCACCGAGTTCGAGTATCAAGTGATGGCGTTTCAATCCATGCGCGATTCTACATCGTTTGTGAGATACACAGGCGATCCGTCGTCTGGTTTCTTCCAACCCGAGGACATCAAGCCCTTCTCCTACCCGTTCATTGATTTTGGCCCCATCCACCTGCCGATCCCCTATCACTACGTCATCGCCAACAGCGGTGCGAAGTATTGGCACCTATTTCAAGGAGCAGTGAGCTTTGAATTATCCGACACATACCCCCTCGTAGATATTTTCGCCCTGATCGATCTCAACGCCATTTATGAACATTGGAAAGACGTCAAGCTCCCAGCCGACTGGACACAGTCAGGTTCCGACGAGACTGCCCACAATCGAGACGAGAATGGCGGGTCAAGAAACGGCAGCAGAAACCTCAAGTGATTGGCCTGTCCCGTGCCCTCCAACCGGCGCAGACTGGGTTTATGGCGAACTGGAATTTCTCTGGCGTATGGAAGTGGAGGAGTGGGCGGCGGACGTTTATGAGGAGTCTCTTGAAGCGAGAGAAAACGGAGAGTGGGACGGGCCCGTTCATACGGAATCCCTTGGGACGGGAGGGGAGGATTGGGACGCGACCGTTCAAGTGGAATCCCTCGAGGCGACTCGAAATTGAACACGCGTGTCAAAAATCGGTCCTGGGTTAGGGTCATCACTATACTGTCGATGCCCTGTAAGCGGTCGGCATAGAGGATGGACGGTGAAGACGTACATCATGGTCTTGGATCGACATGCGAACCCAACCAGGGCTCTGGCCAGCGACAGACTCCTGTGGGTTCGTGAGTTCGCCGTTCTCGATCGAGTACATGGTTGTGAGTCGCTTGAAGATCGATGCCGGAATCACGACCTGCCCGTTCTCCGGATCGACGCCTCCTGTAGCATGCATAGCAAACCACTTCGTCCGTAGATTGCGCGAAATTAGAGACTGGACAGTGACAACAGGAAGTTCCGACTCACCACGTCGGAAGCGGAAGCAATAAGGGCCCCCGCCTAAGAGACCAAGCAGTGGCAAGTTGGCCAGAAGCTCGACACCCATCCGATCTGACGGGCGCCATTGAACGCGCGACCCATGAGATCTTGAGACCGCGTCACGACCCGGCTCGTCGCGGAAGCCATATTGAGGGGTGCAAAGACCCGGTCCTTGGCGGAACCGTGCGGCATCTTTGCACTCGAGAACAGATTGCATGAGCATGCAGATCTGGAGCCAGCTTGAGTGTGTGGAGCATACAGAGGAAACGACGTGGTCACTTGCCTAGTTGCCACAAGGCCATGGTCGGTTCATAATACGGCCCCAAATGCTTCATCCGCTTCACGGCCCTCCACCACGGTTGCGACTGTACCAGTTGCATGAGACGTTGTGCCTGGTCGGCCGGTAAGTGAGGAGCCAATAAAGAAAAAAAAGACACATACCGGGGAATACCCGAAACGTACGAGAACACGTCCAACAGGTTCAGTCTCTGCGTCGCTCACTTTCTCTCCATCGCGCACGAAGCCGAAGGCCATCGCGGAAGCGTCCGTGCCGTGGAAGAGGCCCTCTTCGTACGACAAGAGGCAGCAACCAGCTCCGCCATGCGTTGCTCGCGTCGAGCGTGGAAGGAGAGAGGGTAGAACGCGTTCCCGTTGCTCGCGGTCGAGCTGAGGTCGTGCGGAGTGGAGTGCGAGAAGGAGGAGACGAAGACGGTGCTCGCGCGGTCTTGGATCATGGGTGAGAGCGTGTTGGAGCGTTGGACATGACGGTTGGTGAGGCTGTTAAGTGTGAGGAACTCGACATGGGCTGGCTGAGGGCGGGGTCAGAGGGTCCGTTAGAACCCCGGGGCGGTTGCACTCACGTGTGGTCACTTGTCGAATAGGACGACATAGAGCGCCTTCCATACGCTCACACTCCGCTTTAATGGGTCGTTCTTCCGGTAGAGGATACCAGCATGAATGACTTCTTGCCCCGGGTTCGCAAGAGCCAGGTCCTGCAGCCACCGTCAACGTCTCGCCTTGGCACGTCCTGGTTGCGCGTATCATGAGAGACTGGATGGGTACTCACCACAACCTGTCCAGGCTCGAAGACGAGACTCTCGCTATACGATTGCACCCTCGCCTGCCGCCCAAGCCCGTCCTCGGGCGCGTCCATGGTGCGGAGGTAGATACTGCGGAAGTGGCAGGTCGATCTGGGGCAGTTGCGGTGCCCAGGGCGGTCGGTCTTCAAAGGGTCCTCAAAGCGGACGCTCGTCAGAAAAGCGTCGTGAGTGGAGATTAGGTCCGGAGCCGCACGACTGGGACAGAAAGATGGGGTGGGGTGCAGAGAGCGTGGGCCGCATCAGACATACAGAGCCCGCGGACGACTGGGAAGTGGAGGAGATGGAAAGGGAGGAGGATGAGGGTCGCACGCGCCGCTCTGCAGCCACAAATGCCGCGGGAAAACCCAAGAGAGACGCGCGATGGCCATGCGATCGTTCAAGGTTCAACAACTTCGTCTGAACCCACAACAGCTTCCATCTATCACAGTATTTATGTCTTTCTCCTCAATGCCCTCCCAACAGCTTTCCTACCAGCTTGTCACCGTTAGAGCAGAGCCCTACACTACGCAAGTCTATCATTGGACACTCGGCTCGACGATGGATCTGGCGTCTGCTGAGCCGACATCATCCGACGCTTCCCCCAGGCGCCACTGCAGCCTCCTTTTGCTGATGTTCACACCTTATGATAGCGGTGAAAAAGTAAGGACTCCCGGTCGACGCACATAAACAGGTGCTGAAACATGTGTCTGATCTCAGCTCTGAATCAGAACGAAGAAGTCCCAGCAATGCTGTATCACCGGCACCGGACGATGGGCAATCGTTGTGTTGCGCAGTCACTGGCCTTCGAGATATGGACCAGCTGAAACGTACCTGGCTTGTCCCTCTTACGACTTCCCGCGAGAAGGTGAGCACATCGACCAGCTCTGCGGAGGTCTCGTTTAACGTGGCACAGCTTGACACGCTCGAGGACGCGTGGGGGCTTCCACGCCACGCATTCGATGTCCGCGACCCCAAGAACGCCATTCTACGTATGAAACGTCATGCGCACTTCTGGAGATCACATGCTCACAACAAGCTTTAGTTGAGGCCACGCTGTGTAGTTCTTTTGATGCAGAATGGTTCCTGTTACCCGCGGACCTCACGCTAATCATGCGTCTGCTTGGCTACGATTCACGGGACGGCGACATCAATGAGGTGTGTCTCTGTCTTGACCATTGCGCTAGTATTTATCAAATTTGGCTATAGTGTTACAATGGAACCACCATGTTTCAGTATCGGATTGTGACATTCCCCTCGATGCGCGACTGTTCGTTGTTCGTCAGAGACGCAGGTCACACATCGTCTGGCAGCTCTCGGCCCGAAGATGCCAAAGATTCCCATCGCCCATCCACCGAATTTCCCTTCATTGACCTCCCGGTTCCGTACCACTACGCCATGGTCAACACCGGTGCGAAACTGAGGCGCGTGTTTCCATACGGAAAAGTGGACAGTACGATTTTCGACTGCCCCCCTACAACCAGATGGAACATAAACGACGTCGAACTCATCTACGATAGCTGGACTCACGGCCCGTCCCCCGCCCTGTGGCCGCGGTGGCTGGGACCTGATGGTGTCCCGTGCAAGTGGGGCAATCACGAATCGGATGACGCCTCCGACGACTCCTTTTCTTCGACCCGGGCCGAGTCGAACCCCGCCGATCCCGCCGATCCAAGCCACACCGTCGATGCGGGTGACGAAGATGATGACTCTCCCTGGCATATGTGGATCAAGACCTGGATTGCGAATGTCCACGACGCAGTTCAAGCAGGGAGTGCTGTTCCCGACCCGGAAGCGGCGGATGGCGGTGTTGACCCAGAAGTGGCGGATGACGATGCTGACCTAGAAGTGGCGGATGACGATGCCGACTCGGAGATGGAGGATGACCTGAGCGTTGACGAGTAGGCGGATTGCTCTCCTGTCCTTTCCCCTGGCATGTCTACCCTTCGAACCGCGGAATTCATTTTTACAAACATCCGGCCGGAATTGTTGTGAAGGTCAGCCCGGTCGCGGCCAAGGAGACCCACGAGACCTTTCGCGCTGGTGTTAAAGTGTAGCGCGATTGTTGTTGTCAGGAAGGGCTCAGGGGTTGCCTTTGGGTCTGGCGACATGGTCGTACATCGTGCGGCTCGAACGTCCGCGGAGTCATCTCGTAGAACGTTCAATCGGTGATGCGACGAGAGGTCGTACATTCTGCCGTTCTCACAGTTGCATATGTGCGCAAGCTACTCGCCATCGAACCTGTTCCATGCCCGATATGTCCAATGACGGCGCTCTGCGATTCGTGCTTCTGGCTCCGGATCGTGAAGTGTTTGTGGGGTTGCCGCTGCGCGCAAACTGTAAGTTCGACCATGGATGATGAGTCACTGCTAGCTCCAACTTGCCTCAATGTGACGTTCAATGCAGCCCTCTTCGCCCGCTTTGAGCTATCCCTGTTAGCTGTGCACATGCTACGTCTGGGCGCGTGGATGCGGTGGGCGGGGAAAAACTCGCGATAAAGTCCGAGAAGAGCGATGAGGATGTAGTCGAGACTTCGAAGTAGACAAAGGGCGCGGTGAATATGTGGAACTGCGGGCGGCGTCGAGCTAGAATTGCATTCTTCATGCCAAGTGCTATGCCTTCGATGAGAGCATCGGCCGTGGGCTTCGTCGCGACGACGTCTACCCGGATGCCGAGTTCTTCTCTCAGACATGTCGCTGTCGTAGGGCCGATGACAGCCGTCCGGCTGCGCGGCTTCGTCGAGTCCACATCCTTCCCGACCTCGAAGAACTTGTCCAAGGTTGGCGAAACATGCCGCGCGGAGCTGGGCGCGAAATGCACCAGCCACCAAATGTCGTCTGTAGCAGAATACGCATGGAGTCAGCTCGTAGATTCGCCACGTTCCCGAGCATTATGCACCTGTCCAGTCGCCCATCCCAGCCAGCGCCGCTCTCAGGTCCGCTTCGAACGTTTGTGACCCTTGCGTCGCATACACCTGCAAGCTCTCCAGGCCGATCCCCGCCTCCTCCAAGATATCGGGGACGTGTCCCGATTCTTATCCCCGGTGAGGTACAGAAGCCTCTGCGCCTTCGGGGAGTCCGACGGCGAGTGAGGTCGTCGACAATAAACCGCGCGAGCTTCTCGCTCGTGCCCGCCTCGGCACCACCGCGCACATCGCGCGGCGCGTGCGGCGAGTCGGGACACGCCGTGCGGATCCACCGCAGCGACGCGGCGGTCGTCGCGCCACGGCGTAGAAGGGCACTTCCGACCACCCTGCGATGGAGTCTATGCACGACGTTGGCCGGGGACGGGGGATGTGCGAAAGGTCGGTGCTCACCTCGACTGCCCTCTTCGTCCTCCTCCGCGATCTGCTGCACGACGGCGCGCCATGCCTCGCATGCCCGACCGCTCGTCACAATCACCCCTGAGAAGCCCGTTTCGTCCCCGGCGGAGGAGATGGGTCTTGGCCCGGGGCGCATGGTGGTAGCGAGCTGCACGGCGTTGGTGAGACCGTCTGGAGGACCGGGACCGAGAGCGCGTGGAGGCATGGGCGGCGCATGCGTCTGCGTACTTGTCTGGGCTGCCATCTTCAGGTGGGGTGCGAAGGAGAAGGACGCGTGTGTGCATGAGACTAGCAAGCTTGGCTGGATGGAGAGGGATGTTGTGAGACGTGCTGTGTAGGCTTGAGGGGTGGTGGGTAGCAGATGCAACGATGAGGGCGAGCGAGGGAAAGAGAGGACATCGTGGGCGCAAGATGAGAGTCGGACCAGTGAGCTCATCGGCCTCCGGCCCCAGTCCGAGATCCCGAAACAAGCGGGGGCGTCTCCATCAGTCTTCCCCGCTGTGCTCGCGCTCAGTCCAACGCTCGTCCTCTTCCCTTCCCTGCTGGTCGTCGAGGTCCCCAAGGGTGCTACTCGTGCTTGCCTGCTTTTTCATCGCATAGCAGACTGACGTCGCGACCATGTCCAAGAAGGAGAACCGTTGCACTCCCTCATGGCTGGGACGACTGCAGGTGCGGTCGAGGCGTACGTTCACCATCTGCATATCGTGCGTCATGGACACGGTTGACGATACGGACGGTGTCGCACACGCAGTTTCATCACCTACCCGACCGAGTTTGTGAAGACACGGTCCCAGTTCAGCGGGAAGGTGTGTCTGGCTCATTCCACCTCTCCAATTTTCCGCTCAGGTCGCCCCGTTCAGAAAGAAAGCCCAATAGCGATCATTCGCAGCACTCTTCAGACCAAAGGGGTATCAGGGCTCTACTCAGGATGCATGGCCTTGGTCATTGGTACGTCTTCCTCACCTGTCTCTTGCGCCGCATGCCAATCCCTCGGCGCATACAGGCAACTCCGTCAAGGCGGGCGTTCGCTTCGTCTCGTATGACCACTTCAAGCACATGCTGGCCGACCCTGAGGTGAGTTTATCTCTCCGAGAGCTTCCACCGCTGCTGACGTGCGCGTGTGGGTGAGGGCAAAGTGACACCAGCGCGCAGTCTGCTCGCAGGTCTCGGGGCGGGTATGATGGAGGCCCTTTTGGCGGTGACGCCTTCTGAGACGATCAAGTGAGCACGACCCTTTTCTCCTTCCCCGCGCGGTCGGCTGAGCACACGTCCCGCTCGAAGAACGAAGCTCATCGACGACGCGAAGAGCCCAAATCCCCGATTCCGCGGCCTCATCCATGGTACGGGTGTCATCGTGCGAGAAGAAGGCATCCGGGGCATATACCGCGGTCTCTTCCCTGTGGTGCGCACCCTCCCTCTCTCATCCCCCGTTCCTTTCTCACCCGCATACATCTACCTGTCCCCAGATGATGCGCCAAGGCGCCAACTCGCCGTCCGCTTCACCACCTACACAACCCTCAAGCAGTTCGTGCAAGGCATGAAGGGCGGCGCCGGTGCCGGCCAGACGCTCTCGAGCGCGGTGACGTTCGGGATCGGCGCTGTCGCCGGGCTCGTCACCGTCTACATAACAATGCCGCTCGACGTGATTAAAACGCGGATGCAGAGCCTCGAGGCCCGCAAGGCGTACCGCAACTCCTTCCACTGCGCCTACCGGATCTTTACCGAGGAGGGCGTGTTCCGGTTCTGGACGGGTACGACCCCGCGGCTAGCGCGCTTGGTGGTGAGTCTGCTCTCAGCTGGTCTATGAGAGATGGAGGGGGGCTGACATGCGCTTTGTGCCAGCTGAGTGGAGGCATCGTGTTCACGGTTTACGAGAACGTGATCAAAATAATAGGGGGAGGGAAGTAGCGTCGTGCGCACGATTAGAGTTCTATCGATTTTATTCCCTCCGTCCAGCCGAATGGTCTCGCCCACAAGCCGCCCAATGTCAAAACAAAACACTAGCCTGACAAAATGCTCCCCATTCTCGTCTCATTAATCACGCCACTTCATACTAACGCACACGTACCCCGCTCGGGCAGGCTCGGGCGTGGCTAGGCGTGGTTGTGGTCTGTCCAGCGCCACTTGGCGGGTGACGTTTGAGGGCAGTGTGGGGTCCAAAAGTTGCAAGTTGCCGTCCGCCAAGCATTCCTGCATCCGGGCCTGCAGATCGCTTTCGGTGTTCGCAGACGGGGCGGTGATCCGTCAGGCACGGAGAAGGTTTGGTTGGTGTGTTTATTATGTGTTCGACGTCTGCTGTATGCTGACCAGTGACCTCCACCTTGTTCAAGTAACGCAGCCTGCGTGTGGGACCACGTAGAACTCATGCATGTCGTGCTCAGATTCGAAGTTTGAGCAAGTTTCGACTCATCAGTACTCCCGTATAACACTGCGAGAACCCCGGGCAGGCGCTGTGGTCTGCACGATCGATAATGGACACCGGCGCCTCGGTTACTTCGGAAAGTGGCCACAACGTCACACACATCTGCCAGCCGTTGATCACTTGCAACCATCCAGCGTCGGATGCAGAGCGAAGGCGCGCTTTGTGTGACGTCGAAGGTCAGCCGATACTCATTACTACTACAGCAGCGTCTAACCTCGACCCCCTCCAGGGCTTTGCACAATGATTTCTTCAGGCCCGACTGCCTATGGGCGTGCGGCGCGCGATCACTTCCGAAACGCGATATTCGAGACTGGGATCGATGGCCAGGCATCACATCGGGTTGAAGCAAAAATTCAACCAACTACACCTTTCGGGCCTCGCTTGACCTGACTCGATTCGACTCTCCCGAACCTGATTGACATCCCGTCCCGTACATTCAACACATGGCTACCACCACGGCGTTGACAGATGGCGCTGGCCGCCATTTCGCCGACGGAGCCGCCTCGACGGGCACGCGCGTATTGGGTAAAACCATGTCAACGCAACTGTACGAGAGAGTATAAAGCTCTACGCCCACGCCTAGAGCTGCCAGGCCTTCAGCTTCGTCGACCTAGGAAATCCTCCCTTCTCCTCCCCCGCATTCCCAAGAACCTCCCACATACCTCACTCCAGGCACGATGATGTTCGCCTCGCCCGCCTTCTCCCTCTCCACCCTCCTCCTCGCGTCCGCCGCGCTCCTCGCGCGCGCCGCGGCCCCGCCGTACGGCGGCGAGCTCTCCGCGCCGTCGACCTTCCCGCGCGACGCAAACGTCACCCTGCACAACCTCGCCGCGCACGGCACCTCGGACGGCTGCCCCGTCGGCTGGGCCGAGTGCTCCGCGCTCACCTGCTACCCGCTCGACGGCTCCGAGTGCTGCTCCGGTCAGTCCCTCGCGCTCCCTCTCCTCCCTCTTGCTTTGACCCACCGCTCACACCTCTCCGACAGACGGAACTTCTGCCTCGCGGGCCAATACTGCACGGATGACGGCTGCTGCGACATGGCTTCATCTGCTCCGGCTCCGCCCCGCCCGTGTCGACGATAGACTTCCCGGATCGACCACCACCACCTTCGACTTCCCGTCCACGACCACGACCACGCGCGCGCGCACGAGCACGAGCACCTCCCAGACGGTCACGTTCGAGGACCCCTCACCACGGCGGAGACGACGAAGGCCGCGGCCGCGACCACGACCCCGATCGGCGCGACGGGGCGCGCGACGACGTCGAGCACGTCCCCGGCGTCGGGGGTCACCGGCAACCCGTTGGTGGGCAACGGCGCGGCGCGCGTGGGCGTAGGCGCAGCGTGGGGCGCGGTGGCCGTTGCGGGTGCGATGATGGTGCTCGGTACGTCTTTTCCGGTCTTGGGCGGGTTTGGAAGGGCTGACGGAGTTCTACAGCTTAATGTCGGAAAACGTGGGCTGGTACGGACGGACGGACGGAAAGTCTCTGGGACTAGCACGCCTATGTATGACGAATCACGATTTTTGCCTACGCTACTTTACGGTCCGATAATACGAGCTGCCATTATCTTTCCGAGCGAGAGTGCGCAACAAATGCGTCGAATACAGGTGCAAGGCCTCTTGTCCTGGGATATCATGCGACGAGACCCTGGTATATACATCGACGAGTCGACGATCGCATCTCGTCCATCGGCCACATGCAAGCTATCGATATCTACCCCGTTTCCGCTCCTCCCACGCCATCACGCCCTACATAGCCCCCGCACACCGGTCCAGCTCGTCCATCGCCTGCGAGAACTCCGCCGCCAACGCCAACATGTGCACCCCGTTGTGCGCCAGCTCCAGCCTCGCCGCCGGCGTCCGCGCGCGCACCTCGGCGTCCTCCCGGAGCAGCGCCGGGTCGATCGCGGGCGCGAAAGCGTCCCCGAACGGCGGCGGGAGCAGGCCGAACTCGCCGTCTGCCGGCAGATGCTCTCTGGGGAACGACGCGGACGCGAATGAGCCTGGGCTGGCGAGCGGCTGGAGCGGCTGGCAGTCGGCGTCGAGGGGGGCGACGGGGGACCGGGACCGGCCAGCCAGTTCCAGTCGGGGATCACGTGCGAGAGCGGGGGCAGGGTGACTCTTGCGGGGTCGTCGGAGCCAAGACGGAGGCTTGGGAGGTGAGAGAAATGTTGGATGCAGGCGTCGGAGGCGGGGATCGAAGTGCTTGATGGTCCAAAAGAAGGGGGGCAGAAACGGTAGAGGTCGGGCAAAGGCACTACGGGCCAGCCCGGATGGAGTCCGCCGTGGGGGAGAATGGGGTGCTGCCAGCGGAGGTTCAGAGGAGGCTCGGGAATTCCAGTGGGGACGATGCTTCCCGAAGGCCCGCACAGGGGGTACTCGGGCAGTACAACTGTCCACGGTGCTGGGTCGGTTGGGTACATCTCGTAGTCGTTGGAGTGGTTTGGCAGATTGTTGGCGGAAACCAATGGCAGAGCACTTGCAGCGACAGCCTGAGAGTCGACATCTACGTCCATTGGCACGTCCACTTCTTCGATTTTCGGCTGCAGAAGGGTTTTAGGGCGCGCCTTCCGAGCGACCGGTTTTACGATCTTACGGGTCCTCTTCGCCATACACGTAGGGCAGTACTTGACGAAGAGCGCAATGAGGTCCTTGGGAACCCAGGTGTACCGCCTCTTGACCTCTGCCATGGTCTTGTCCCGGCCCCCGTGCTCCGCACGCGCGTGCGCGACACACAGGACGTCGTAGATCTGTTCGCGGACCGCCAATCGTTTCCCGTCGTGCGCGACGACCGGGAGCGTCTGGCGCGATGTGTCTGGCGCCTCCAACGGCACCATCGCAGGGACGAGGGAGCCAGGATCCGTAGGTCTCCGACCGCGGTTGTATGCACCGGAATGGGTTGGCCATGTGCGGCTCCTGGGTTGCCGGGCGGTGTTGACGTTTCTTCGTCGAGGTCATTCGGCAAGGCGAGGATGAACATCTTGCGGACCCACCAGCGGAACTGCGGGGAGCCGACGCACTGCGCGCCGGGCGCGTGGAGGACGAGCCAGATGTCGTCGAAGAGCTGCTGCGAGATGAGCGCCTTGGCGCGCTTGCGTGGGTCGAGCCCTTCGAGGTACTCTTCCTCGAACTGCGCGTAGTCCGCGGGCGAGGGCATCCCGAGGTCGTCGGGCGAGGATCCCAGTCGGATGAGCAGCTTGCGGGTCTCTTCTTCGGGAACTTCAAGGTGCGCGTGACTGTGAGGGACGCGGGGGCGGTAGCCGGCGGCAGTGGGGCTCGAGTTCGAGCTGGTATCTCGGCAGTGTTGGGGAGGGTGTATGCGTTTGCTCGAGTGGAGGGTTGTAGAGGCTGGCGCAGGAGGTGGACTTCCTTCTTCCCAGAACTCACTCGTGCCTTCGTCTTGACTGTCCCCTTCGCCTTCGCTTTGACTGTGTCCTTCGCCTTCGCGATGGCCTCTTTCCCCTTGGTCTTCACCTTCCTGCTTTTGCTCTCTCTTGTCGACACATCCTTGGTGAGTTGGGTTGCAGCCGAAGTCGATGAGCGTGTCTTGGGTCTCGTCATTTCTGGGTCGTCTGTTTCTGAATGAGGCTGGAATGTAGGCTGTGGCTGACCAGTGTGGCGCATGTCAGTATCGCTTGGCCCGCATATATGCGGCAAGTTTTCACTCACCGAGGGTAGGAAGTGTTCGTTAGTGTGCTTAGATCCGTACAAAGGGGTAGGATGTGGTGGTTGAGAAGAGAAAGACGTCGAGCGACGCTGGGCGAGGAGCGAAAGAGAAGCGGCGCGTCACATGATGAGACGGAGGCGAACAAGCTGTGGCTGGAGGAAAGCAATAGATGCGTGGTGGAAAGCAGGAATAAGTTACATGGGTACATAGCACTAGGTTCGTGCGGGGGATAGTGTGTGCAGGTAAACCTATGAAGATACATCACAATAAGTAGCGTCGGGTCCAGGTCAAGGCACATAAACAGGCAGGGTCTCCGCCACGCTGAGGAGTGACGGCGAATAGCGCGTTCCCGGCACCACCAGCCTCTCTGTGGGCACAAGCACCACCACGCGCTGTTTCTTTGGTGGGCTGTGAGGCCGAGGTCGACCAATGTGCAGGTGCGGGTGCGGGTGGGCAAAGAGCGACATCTCGGAGTCGTCGAGCACCGCGTGAACACGGGGTGCCCTCGGGTCGTCAAAAAGCTCCTCGAGCCCCTCTCGATGAAGGACGCCGCGACCGTCCCATAGGCATTGGGCGTCGCGTCCAGGTATGATCTGTGCGAGACGACCCGACTCCACATGGCGGACCTCGATGAAGAAGTGGGAGAAGAGCAGGACGTAGGGCGCGTGCCAAGCGGCATGAATTGCGACGCACTCCCACTCAATTGTAGGGGGCGAACGAGAGGGCACGCCGCGCTTGTCCACGTAAAGTCCGAACTCTAAGTTTATTGATCAGTTGGGTGAACCACGTGAGACTACAGATGTAGGCTCACCATCATAGCACAGAAGGAATTCGTCTTCACGGATCCGAAACATGGCGATAGCTCGTGGAGCAGCTCTTTTGCCCAAGACTCTCCGCATATCCGCTTCTTGAGGGATCGTGACGCTCGATAAACTGAAGGGAGTCAGTAATGGCTGGGTGTGGACTGAAGAAGTGGCACATACTCTCGCAGATCCATGAGCTCAAACCCCTTTGAGCATAGGATGCACAGCTTGGTCTTCAAGAAGAGAATATCGTGCGTCTCGCAAGGCAGGAAGAACTCCTGCGGGGCGTTAGACCTTTATTTAACCTCCACAGGGGCCAAGACGTACCTTCCATACTGTGCCAAAGGCTTGCTTGTACCCAGGAGGGGATACATGCAGAGCGACGAACACGCTGTCAAGCTGTACCGATAGTCAGCACAACGGAATGAGACACTAATGCGCACGCATATACTCGCCCCCTTCTTCCTCTTGAAGATGACCATGGTCTTCCCATGTTGCCGTCCTACGCCGAAGAAGTGTACAGGCTTGTCGTAGGCACTGATCGCCCGAAGTCCGAACGCCGTATGCGGAGGCTGCTGGTCGCCCGACGGCACGACACACTGGATATCGACGGCGTAGAGGACCTTGTCGGCGAGGATGACCATGAGCCCGTGCTCTGCGAGGTATGCAAGTTGCGTAACATGTTTGAGTGACATGACCCGCCGGAGCGCTATCAAGGAGTCATAAGGGAGCCTTCCGCTTCGGTAGACTGGGCACTTACATTCCGGGTTACCCTCTCCCCAAACCAGATACCGTCCTCCGTTCCGACAGCGACCAACTCCTGCCCGTCATTGCTGGCTTCGAAGTGCAGACGTCAGCGCGGCTCCTTTCGTACTGCATCGATGGACTCACCAAACGGAACGAGCACGTTATCCTCCCGTAACCAGGCCCGGAGCCGCCGCTGGCGCGTCTTGGCTCACCGCCATGTCCGCCGCGATGGCTTGAGGTGTGAACACCGCCCTCGCCTCCTGGGCCGCCCGCCGCGCAGCGATCGCGTCTCGTAATCGGCGACGCCATGCGTTGCGCGCGTCGAGCGTGGGGGCGAAGAGGGTGTACGCGCAGTTGTGCTTGCCGTGCACGTGGAAGGAGAGGGGGTAGTACGTGTTCCCGTTGCTTGTGGTGGAGCTGAGGTCGTGCGCGTCGTCGTGCGGGGTGGAGAATGGGAAGGAGGAGAGGGAGTCGGTGCTCGCACGGCCCTGGATCATGCGCGAGAGTGTGTTGGAGCGTTGGACAGGGCGGTTGGTGAGGCTGTCAAGCGCGAGGAACTCGACCCGGACTGGCTGAGGGTGGGGTCAGAGAGTCCGCATGAGCCTCGGGGTAGCTGCACTCACATTCTTCCAGACTAGTCGTCTCGAGCCCTTGAGCTTCGCCATGACCACTACATTGGATCGAGGCCGCATATCAGGACGGTGGTCAATCGTATGTGTAGACGTAGTACGCACAGTAGTTGTCGAACAGGACGACATAAAGCTCCTTCCATACGTTCACGCTCCGTTTCAGTGGGTCGTTCTGCCGGTAGAGGGCACCAGCATGAATGACCTCTCGCTCTGGATTCGCGAGGTCCAGGTCCTGCCACCACCGTCAACGTCTCGCCTTGGCACGTCCCGGTTGCGCGCATTATGAGAGACTGGATGGGTGCTCACCATAACCTGCCCAGGCTCGAAGACGAGACTCTCGCTATACGATTGCACCCTCGCCTGCCGTCCAAGCTCGTCCTCGGGCGCGTCCATGATGCGGAGGTAGATATTGCGGGTGGCAGGTCGATCTGGGTGCCTGAGGCGGGAGGTCTTCAAAGGGTCTTCAGCTTGAAAGCGGACGCTCGTCAGAAAAGCGTCGTGAGTGGGTGATTAAGGCCGGCGTGACACGACCGGGACAGAATGATGGGGTGGGGTGAGCGCAACCGCGGCGGGACGGGCGGCGTGGCTGCATCCGACATCTTGCGCAGTGCGGGCCCGGAACGTCGACCTTGACGGGGCGCCAGTCGGGGCGCTGCTTAGGCTGTCCAGCCTCGTGCCTATCGCGCTCCACTGGCTTTCAGGGACCCGAACACGCGCACGAGTGCGGCGTGGAGGGGAGGGAGGAAGGGAGGAGGAAGTCGGAGTGCATTCCGCTTCGCGGTAGAGCAGAGTGTCGGAGGAGAAAGCTAACTAGTAAAGGTCCTGATCGACGTTAACGTCAAGTGTTCTAAGCGCGTCTATGTCCTCGAATCGGAAGAGTGGTAGACTCTCCGTTGAAGGCATTTCATGGCTGTTGGTGTTTGCTGCACTGAGAGGTATAGATATGTCTGCATTTCATGTTGCGGCGGGCCACGTCTTTAAAGTACTGACTCGTGCTGGCCCCAGGACTAAATCGAGCACAGATGGATCAGAATTGGATGGTAGATGTAATGGACTGGTGTTCGAGAGCAGAGTATCAAAGTACTGTGGAACATGTCGCCGTTGCGGACCCAGCGGGCCCCGAGAGTGACCCTGAGGGCGCGATAGACCGATACATGCGGAGAGGCATCACTGCCAGCCGGCGTGCCTAAGAGCCCGGTACCTGGGGGCCCCAGAGTGTACAGTGTAGAGTGGGGGATAGAGAGAGAGAAGATACCCGAAACGTATGTAGTAAGAGTAAAGTAAGGCCTAGGTAGAGTGGCAGTAGAGGTCCCGGACGCGATAGTAGGCGCCCAGTGCTCGGCCGGCACGACCGCAACGCTTCGACAAGGTCAGCTCCGCCTGGGACCTCATCCCACGCTCGACCACTCCGTACCCGCCCCAGCGAGGGAAACTCCACTTAGATACGGTGTTTTTAAATGCCCAATCTGACGAGACATCGTTTGTGTCCGTGGGGGCAGTGTCCCATCCGACTTCTCGTGGCCACTGGCCACCTGTCCTCCAACGAGCGGCGCCCGTGGAGTGTGTTCGACATTTCCTTGTGACTCGGTAAAGACTCCAGGCTGGCACCCCCCGTCTCATTCTGGCTTCTGACCCACTTCTCTGCCATGTCTGACCCGACAGCAAGCACGATGGCCTCTACGGATTCAGGTGCAATTCCCTCCCTCGACAGCAGCATTGGTGCATTCATCATCGGGACATTCATCGGCTTGATGTGAGCAGCTTTCCGTTTCCCTCATCCCTGTTTTCTGCCTGCGCTCATCCTTGGGACTCACTACCGCAGACAGTACGGATGGACAGTCCACCAATGTTACCACTACTTCCGAGCGTACCCAGAGGACAAGCGGCTGTTGAGAATTCTTGTGCGATTTCACGATTCATGTTTCCTTGAAGCAAGTGCTGATATCGCATCTTAGGTTATCCTCGTTCTGTAGGACCCGACCATGAGCGCGGGTCTGTTCGCGACTGATGCTCACCTCTGCAGGATATTAGAGACGTTACATAGCATCATGTGCGCCCACGCATGGTGCGCATCCAGATCTTGGAAGCGCGGAGCTACGCTGATGTCGGATCCCCAGCTATTGGAGTCTCGTCATCAACTACTTCAAACCTGCAGCACTCCTGAGTCTGGACACGTGGTATGTACAGCCGTTTATCTAACGCAGTTGAGGCTTACTGGAGGACAGGTCCGCGCAGGTAGGGATGTCAAAATTGCATCCAGATCACCAGCTTCCCTCATCGCGTCCTTCAGGCCTTTGGCCTCATCTCAGGGACGACCATCTTTTTCACTGATGTGTACGTTTCGTTTCCGCTCCTATTTCATCCTGCGCCAACGGGGATCCGCATAGATTCTTCATACATCGGGCGTACATAAGTGGGCGTCTTTAACCCCTACCACGTTTCATTCGCTGAAATTGCTGTTGCAGTCGGCGGCCAGCGGCTACGGCCTCTTGTATTCATTGCGGTACGTTTCTTCGCGCAATTGTTCGCGGCGCGAACTAAATGCATGTCGTACGAAACTATCTCCCGTCGAAAAGGCTGCTATGGCTGTGATCATGCTTGGTTCGTCCCCATCTTGCCCGTCGTGTATATCAAACTCATAAGCCAGCTATTCAGGATTCTCCTATGGTAAGCACACCGCATACGGTACAGGTGTTTCACCACGTTAGACGTTGCACGCGGTCATAGGATCGAGCATCGTCCCGTAAGTTCGGCGGTCAAAGCCATATGCAGGGTCGATGACCTCACTGACGCGCTACGACAGCATCGTGATTAACGCAAGACACGAGAGAGGCGGACTTCAGGGAACGTTCCTTTCGGTACGTTGATCGTAATCATACTTTAGCACTGGAATATATGTTCACGTTCTCGCTTGCAGTGGCTAAACTCCGCGACGACTGGTGCCTGCACCGCGGCCGATATCTTGCTCGCGTTTGTTCTGACGGTCTCGCTGTACAGATCTCGATCCGGGATCAAAAAGTGAGTGTGATTGGCTGCGTTTCAGCGGCAGGGGGCTTGACCCGCTGACACTCGACCCAGTACGGACTCGGTGATCGACACATTGGTTATGTACACGATAACGACAGGTATGCGTCTCGACGGTCGGTCTTTGACCACAACTCGAGCCCGCACTCACTGGTCCTGCAGGCTCATTGACATGGTAGGTGGCGCCACCAGACTTACATAAAGGTAATAATCGCGTGCGTCGCGCGTGTCGCTAACGCTATGTTCCCAGCATTGTCAATCTTTGTTCGTTTGTCATGGTATGTTCTCGCTCTTCCACTGCATCTCCCCATCGCGCTCATATGCGCTCCAGGCAATCGTCCGCCCAAGAGACCTCATCTTCGCCTCAATCGACATAGTGGGGACCAAACGTACGTGCACACCCGTACTGCTACCTCGTGCCTGCTGCTCATCTATCCTATTCTCGCTCCGTACCACACCTGTGCAGTGTACGCAACCTCAATGATGACCGCGTACGTGCCCACCGCCGTGTCTCCACCAAGCGCTCCCTCTGACTCCGTCCGAACGCCGCTCCGCTCCCTCGCCGCGCACGCCCCCTCGCAGCCTGAACTCCCGCCACACGCTCGCCCGCCGTCTGCGAACGCCGTCGACCTCAACGTGCTCGAGCTGTCCGACGTGGGCGCGTGGACGACTTCGGGCGGCGGCGCGGGCGACACGCGCTGCACCATGACCTTCGCGCCGCAGAAGACGGCGACTCGGTGCGTGACCGCGCTTCGTGTGCTCCGCGGCATGGTCGCTGAACGACCGCACGCCGCCAGGCGTCTCCTCCGGTGGGCGCAGCTCGCGCCCGGACTGCACGCTCGGCGGACGCTTCGACGGCTGTGCGATGGAGCCACCCTCCTGGGACGGCGTGGGCAGGACGACAAGGTCGTACCGATCGCGGTCTTCTGAGACGCCGTCGTGGGCTGTTTCTCGACGCGCCGTTCCGATGCGGCTGCACCCTGTCTCCTCCCGGTGCCGAGGCGGCGCGACACAATCAATATATATATGAGAGTCGTGTGCTGACAGATACGCGGGACGGTCGAAGCTGTGGCCTTCGTGTCTGGGTCGAGGGGATACGGGAGAACGATACGGGGGAACGGGTGCCATCGCCTTCCATCACTCATCCGTCTCCGGGGCCGCGGACTCGACCTGGGTGTGTTGTGTCCCGGTGATGCGCGAGCGATGAGAGGTGGCTGCGGCAGCGAACACGAGCGAGCCCTCGGGGGCGGTCGAGAGCGACTGCATGCCCGTGCGCCATTGCGCCTGTTGCAGGTACAGGAGGAAGCGCGAGATGAGGACGGATATCAGGCTGAGTGAAGGGTCAGCTGGTGGGCAGTAATCCACACTGAGGGCTGTTCGATCACGCACCTCGGCTCCACGTTAGATTCTACGACACCGAAAAACGCAGCACGAGGGTATTCGGTCGCAAGCGTGAACTAGGCGACGCAGCTTCAGCGAGACGATGGAGAAGGCTGATCGTGCGACCTACTCCCGTGAAATAACCGAGGACCGTATCAATGATGGAAATCGTGATAATGACGCTGCAATAAACCGACGTCAGCACGGCTCGTCCCGGGTTTGAGCAACGGAACAGACCCGAAGCAGAACGTCCCTAGAGAAATATACATCAAAATGGGCAGGGACACCGTATAACATAACAGTATAATTACCTTCGAACAACATCGTTCCCAGGAGATTGTTCCGCCCCAGTACGGATACGGTCTTCCTCTCTCGCCACAACGCAAGCCAAATGAATAGAATGACCAGAGTTGAAGCGACGATCCTGCTGATTCCAGTCACCATAGTCACTGCAACAAATTGTGAGAATCTTTGGGGGTGGAGGGTTTTTAACAGTATTACAGCTATGGCGGAGTATCAGCAAGGCCCGCTCGCACAGCGGGATGGCAAAGGCATCAGTTTCGACTTACTCAATGGTCGCTTGGTTGCTTAACCAGTTATCTTCGTCAACATGCTGACAGCCCACAAAGGGTATTACACCACCGGTCGACTTGACTAAAAGTAGAAGCTGTAGTGCATCCGTTTGAGAAGTAAGCAATCACTCAGGCTCGTTACCGCGCAGGATCAGACTCACACTGATGACGAAGTCCACGATCGACATACCGAAGACTGTCGACGCAGCAATCCAGCTTTGACTAAGGTGTATGTGACGAGTGTGTTGAACGCTATGATCGCGAACATATTCATGAGCACCAAAGTTCTGAAGAACTGCACATCACGCAGTGAAGTAGGTTCACCTGCAATCGTCAGAGTCTGCAACAAGGCGAATGCCGTCACCGCGTTGATGTATCTCGCGCAGCTGTAAGGCAGGGATCATTCTAAACTGAAAACTCGCGCGTGAAAGCCGCGAGAGCCTGACATCTAGAGGGATGTAATGAGTGAGTGAACGGGGCACACCGCATCTGCCTGTGGTCGTGACGTACTGGGTCATTCTTTACTGCCTGAGGGCTAGCCAGAAAATCCATGCCGGCATTGGCAAAAGTGATCAAGCGATTGAACACGAGCAACGCAAAAGCTGCATTGAACCGTCTAGGGATCCAGAACAGCGTTATCTCGTCAGGGAGGGTCAGGATATACTCCATAAAGAGGATAGCTGGGGAAGAGAGAGACATAATAGATCAGCACAGGACGTCAAGACAGCCTGAAATATGGCATTCAGCGCGAATCGCGATTGACCAGATTGCTCACCTAGCGCGGCATAGCCGCCTGCATTGTCATAGATCCTGTAACGAAAGCCGGGCGTGAGCAGATCTCGGTCGGAAACATACGAAACGCATACACACGCACTCAAACTTGCAAGCACCGATAGGATCTGGTACTTCGGTGAGCAGCTCACCCGCACTTTTCGTCAAGGGGCAGGACATGATCTGACGCAGGAGAGAGGGCAGCGCAGAATGGCGAAGAAAGACAGTGGGGAAGTTATAAGCATCCTGCGGTGCTAAGCGGGACCGGCCTTTTTGGAGGTAAACCCAATTGCGCCGTGCTGCGTATGGTGCCATTGTATTGTTCCACAATGCTGCGAACAAACTTTGAAGAGCCACGCACGCCGCCCCGGCGTGAAGGCGTGAAGTTCCGATCACTGATCCGACACGTCCTCCCCAACTTCCTTGCCATCATCTTCTTTCACCGCCCTTTCAGTGCAGTTCGCTCGTCCGCATACGCGGCGAGTGATGGGGCACTAAAACGCTGCCGAGCATGCCGACGCAAAGACGCACACGGTCGGCCCGACCGTCTTGTGCTCGTCTCGAGTTGGCAATGACGATCCGGACCAACCGATAAGCTCAGCGTCGAGCGGGGTGTATTACGCACCGGATCGCTCAGTCGGAGGACTTCTACTCACTTTCGTAGAGCTACTGCAGGCAACTTCGTGGGGGTCTTAACCCCACGACCCGGCTGGGAATGAGGAAAATACTCGGCCTCAGGGAAGTCAACGACAGTTATATACGGCGTACCTGACCATGGACCCACTCGGTGGCAGTGAAGTTCAATACACACATGCCGCTCATCTGTTCGATACTGGGAGCGCAGAGCCGAGCGTGCAAACTTGTCCGGATATCAAAACCTGTGACTCAGTCAGGATTTGCACACCCGCGAGCGACCTGTTGACGACGCTGACCTCACCGGAGTGCGCTCCTCGCTCGCGGGGGGAAGATGTGAATGGTGTCGGCGTCCCGGGTCAGAATGCAGACCTTTCTTTTGCTCTCTTGCCATGTCGATATCTTCATTGTGGTGGAGAGTCAAGTCGATGAACATGTACAGCCTTCGCCGCTGCCCGGCTCAAGGACTCCGGACTCCGGAGCCTGGACTCTGGAGGCCAGAAATTTCAGGCGCCTATCATATGTACGGAGTCTTCTCTCTCTCCCTCTCTCTCCCTCTCTCTTTCCCTCTCTCTCCCTCTACCGACTCTAGATCTCCTGGCGACTTCCAGTCTCTCTCGAGCTTCTACGCAGCCTGTGCTATATTAAATTCTGGTCTCCCTTTCTCGACGCACCCTACAATGGACTTGGCAACGTGCAAGCTGTTAGGTCGACGGCACAGGAGCGGCCGTGCTGGAGAAGTCGAGAAACGCGGACGCGGGGTGCATTGCCGAGTGGGGCATAGAGGGACAGCTCGTCCTTATGGAGGACGGTCGAAGGCAATGGAAGGGGCTTGAGGGACACACGCAAGGAGCGGAAGACGTACTGTGAAAGTACTTTTGGGTGCGGACTAGCTAGACTCCAGTTATTTATTTGTAAGTTGCCAATCCTTCACCCGGATTTCCCGCCCTCCTCTCGTGCTGGCACGTCGCACGAGGGCATGTTCGTCTCCCATCACCTACACGCACTTCGCCTTCGGGACTCTGTCAGTCCGCTTGACGGGCCGACAGTAGATCCCAGGCATGATCCTGGCACCTTTGAGACGAAATTCGCGACGCCCATGTGCCGAATCGAGGAGGCAGGGTGTGCATGGCGCAGAAGACACACCGGTGGCGATTTCGCGAGGCATGCTCGACCGTGACTGCCACTGTACGTTCTCTTCGTGATCACACGTCTATTCTTTTGTCGCGTCCCTTAAAGAACTTCGCACTGACATTCCCATTGAAGGTTTCCGACGATGGGTTGCCACTCGCGAACATCACATACGACCTGTGCCCCGTACGTCGACTCCCCAACCTGTCTCGCTATCAACTGACATGTGCCCGCATCCGATCCTGCCAGAGTTCGTGCGAGCTCGGGCATAAGCTCTTTCGTTCACCAACCACCCCGTGCGGCGCGACGCTCATCCCAGATCACGCCCTCGCCGACGCCTACCATGCGCCCCAACCGGCCGACTGGGGATCCTCTCCCCCCCGCCGCGGACCTGGCGACCCCAGGGCGTCGACTCGTTCAACCCGCTCGCCGGTCGCGTCTCGCTCGTCTCCTGCGGCGCGCGCTCGTGGGCCGTGACGATCTGGGGCCTGCACAGTGCGCGCAGGACGCCGCAAGAGCATGCCCGACGTCGCGCCCGGCGCGGCGTGCTCCAAGACGACGATCGCGCAGTCCTGGCACTCTCCGACAGATATCAAGCTGAAGGGGCCGTTCCCGCGGTGCTGCAAGTCGCGCTCACCACCTCATCTACTCCGTGATCAAGCCGCTGCGAGCGTCCTGCAATCCATTGCTTCTGGTCGGCGAGCTGGAAGCACTCGTCAAGCACACCTCACCGATCGCACTCGCGCTAGAGGTCAGCGTCGCGCTTCTAATGTCGGCATCGATCTGGAACAGGTGTTTTACGTACCTCGAGCCACCCTGGTTTGTTCATACCCTCTAGAACGCCCTACCACCTCCCGTGCAACTGCGGATCCGCTCCTTCCACATCACCTCGGACTACTACAAGCACATGGACGTGGTGAGGTCCCGTCTGCGCGCCGGAATGTGCCTCGCTCAACCGTCGATGCCTGCCAGATACGCCGCCTCTCCCGCGCGCTCGCCGCGCTCCCGAACCTCGCCCACGTCAGCATCACTTTGCCCGCGTACCCTACAGCCAGCGCGTGGAAGGTGACGCGCTCCCACACCCGAAGGGAGGTCACCATCATTGCGACCTTCAATGAGCTGCGCCGCGGAGCGTCCCTGACGTGCTCCCGCGCCTACGTCACCGTGTGCTCATGATGCACGAGCGTGCCGCGGCGCTGTTCGGTGGTGCGGGCGGGTCGATGCGCGAGTGGAAGTGGGGGTGGATCAAGCGGGTGACGAAGGGCGGTCAGGTAGGCGCGGTGGAGATCTAAGAAGATCGTGGGAGGCGGGCGAGAAGCTTGACGGTGAGTCTTGGAGTCTTGATTCCGACGAGTGGATGCGGCAGCTCATATATGTTTACAGCTTTCTTTGCGGAAACGATGTGTCAGTGAATGGGGGCGAGTGGCTAGGATGGACGTTTTGGTCGAGTACCCTCACTTGCAGTATCCATGTACATACATAAGAGGAACAGACATGTGTGCATCTCATGTTGCGGCGGGGAGTCGTAGTATCAACTACGCTGACTGAGTACTGAATCGAGCACAGGTAGATTATAATTTGGATTAGAATACACTACATCGGGTACAACTACAGTGTGGACGAGCAGGTGAAAACGTGGGAGATTGATTGTAGGAAAGACTATTCAAATTTCAGACCTGCAATCAGCGAAGTCCCGACGCCGCGTGACTAACAAGCCCAGAGACCCGGGCCTCCGGGTCCTCGTCTATTGCCCTTGAGGCCAAGTTGAGGGCGAAGAGACGCAACCCCCGAGAGTGACCCCAAGGACTCGATAAGCCGAAACGTGCCGGTAGAGTAGCAGCATGAAGGCATGACAGCGGCAGCGACGGGGGTAGCGGTGCGATAGGACGCGGAAAGGTGCGGGTGCGGCCTTGCAGGCCGGTCAACCGTAGTTTCGCGGCTGCGCGGGTGACCACGGATTCCTACGATGGATGTCTTCGCGTGGCTTCTCGAAATACCTGGGGTACTCCGTGCATTCCGTGGCTGTTTCATGTCGTGTTTAGTTGGACGAGGCTTCGGGTATTTGCCATCTTTGAAGCCGTGCCCTGTCGCGCGAGGCCGTGGCGGAAGCGACCGTGTAGCCTCGGTGGAGATTCTAGCGCAGGCGGTCGGTCCCAGGCCAGTTACGGCTCTTCCACGAAATATTGTCGTTCTCCATGCAGGCTGTGTAGGTGTCGTAGTCAGATGGTCGTCGCTAAGTAGATGAGGAAGAGGAACTGGCAGCTGCAGGTCCGACCATCGGCCCACCGCGAGAGCGGCTCCCTCAAGCAACGATGCCACCATGCGCCGTTTCTTCTCCCACCGCCTGACCTTGTAGAAGTTTTTGGGCGGCGAGTGCAAGGTAGGTTTCCGGCGAGAAGCGTGCGCATGCCGTTTCCGGCAGGGACCTGAAGCATGTAGCGCAGCCCCGTCTGGATGGAGTTGCGGAACGGCGCCCGGATGTAGACCAAGGGGAGTTCAGGTAGCGTAAATAGTGTTGGAATAAAGAATGGCGGCACGTTTACACGAAAATCACCTTTGTTTGGGACGAGGGTTGTTGTATTGGTTATCGTATGTATCGCCTGACTTGAATGACGGTCACGCCGAGAGCCGGTGGACATGGTGGTGGATGGTGGAGGGAATGTGATCGTGCCTGCAGGAGTGCCGTTTGATGAGCTTGCGCCCCCGCGTCGGACTTGATTCTGAATTCGGCGACCCTTCGATCCAAACACCTCTGTCGACTATCGGGTGACTGTCACTCAGACGGCAAGAATACCCTGGTATATACGTGGTGAAATCAAGTTCGATCTTCACTTCATTGGTAGACCACATCAATAATCTGTCCTGTGGCGGCCAAAATCATCAAGTGCCAACGTCTATGGTGGAAAGAAACATATCGCCGTGATGAGCCACAAAAGCCCTCCGGTATCATCATAACTTCTTCTCTATATGCAGCCCAGAACAACGCCGGCACGACTGTCCCGTCACAGTCGGCCGATAGGCGTCCGCAATGTTGCGCAGTCACTGGTGTTCCGAGCAGTATGGCCGAGCTGCAGCGTGTCTATCTGTCTCCCCTGCCACATCTCGCAAACTTATACGCCATTTAGCTACACTCCGCCGCTCTTGTCTGACTTGTTGCAGCTCAACAGGCTCGAGTACTCGTGGGGACTTCCGCGCAACTCATTCGACATCAATGACATCAACAATAGCATAATACGTGAGTGATGGTTCTGACCACGACTTCATGCGCTTAGTTCCATCTCAGTCCAGGCGACTCTCCGTGCTTCGTTTGATATATACGACAGCCAGTCTGCCGGGTGGTTCCTGTTGCCAACCACCAGAAAGCTAAGAATGGCTTTGTTTAGGCATAACCTGGCAGATGGCGACGTCTACAAGGTGAGTTTCTTCCCCAGCGACTCCGCTCACAGTACTCAACGCAGTATCAGTGCTACGAGGGCGCCACCATGTTCGAGTATCAAGTGATGGCGTTTCAATCCATGCGCGACTCTTCGTCGTTTGTCAGATACACAGGCGATCCGTCGTCTGGTTCCTTCCGACCCGAGGATGTCAAGCAATTCTCCTACCCGTTCACTGATTTTGGTCCCATCCACCTGCCGATCCCGTATCACTATGTCATCGCCAACAGCGGTGCGAAGTATTGGCGCCTCTTTCAAGGAGCAGTGAGCGTTGAATTATCCGACACATACCCCCTCGTAGATGTTTTCGCCTTGATCGAACTCATGGCTATCTATGACCGTTGGAAAGACGTCAAGCTCCCAGCCGACTGGACACAGTCAGATTCCGACGAGACTGCCCACAATCGAGACGAGAAAGGCGGGTCAAGAAACGGCAGCAACATCTCGGACGACGGCACGGAAACCTCGAGTGGTTGGCCTGTCCCGTGCCCTCCAGTCGGGCGGACTGGGTGTATGGCGAACTGGAATTTCTCTGGCGTATGGAAGTGGAGGAGTGGGCGGCGGACGTTTATGCGGGTCTCTTGAGGCGAGAGAAAATGAGAGTAGGACGGGCCACTTGAAACGGGAGAGGAGGAGTGCGACGCGAGCATTCATGCGGAATCCCTTGAGGCGAGAGTCTAGTGTAGGGCCTTCAGGAATCGGTACTCGGTCCCGGGTTAGTGCCACCACTGCTAAGTATGTGTATGTAGGCACGGGTCTCTGGCGTACTTATGATACGCAAGTCTCACCATCGTCGCCACCCTTCGTGTTAGATAAGTACATGTTATCTTCTCAATCACGCACACGCCATCTCCGCAGTTCCCGTGAGATCATGAGTCAGAATTGCTCTCAACTGGGGCTTCTACCTTTTATCCTCCACCGAGTCCATCTCATGGTTATGGCGTAGAGCCTATCTCTGAGCCTTTATAAACCTCCCGAGGTAGATAACGCAGAGACATGATGGCACTCACCCTCTTTCTGCTTGCCGTCGTAGCGGGAGCGGCGGCAACACAGGTTCCTCTTCAACCACCATCACCGCACCGTCCTTCACTGTTTTCCTCCGACCTCCTCTCTTTCATCGAAGAAATCCGTCAAAATGCGTCTATTCCAGGGGTCTCTGTTGGCGTAGTGCGTCTGGGTGAAGACAAGCAGCCAGTGCACCAGTTGGCGGCCTCAGGGCGGAAGCTGGAGGAGGGCAACGGATATGATCTCACCCCCGAGGTATGTCGCCAGCTTATGCTCTCCAGAGAGACAAAAATGGATATATGCCGGCTTTCAGACACTCTTTGGGATGGCATCATGCTCGAAGGCGTTTCTGGCCACTTCGGTCGGCATCCTGATGGACGACTTCGCTCGCGGCAAGAACTCCACCACACTCCCGCCTTCAGTCTCTGCCTTCACCTGGGACACCAAAGTCCGCGACCTTCTTCCCGAAGAGCTCGGATGGTCGCTGCAAGAACCCGACGGGACGCTGGACGGATGGACGACGCGCAAGGCCAGTATCCGCGATGTGCTCGGGCACGTCTCGGGTCTCCCGCGGCACGACTTCGCCTACGGACCGGGCGACACAGCGGCAGACATAGTTAGGCGGATGCGTGTGCTCAGGTCGGCGTATGAGCTGCGCGAGAAGTGGTCGTACAACAACCAGGTACGTTTCTTCGGTCTCCCCATCTGCGCGCCCCTCCCCCATCGTTCTGAACCAGTGGCCTGACACCGCCGGCGCAGATGTACATGCTCGGCGCGCACCTCGTCGCGCAGTACTCCGGCATGTCGTACGCCGACTTTCTCTCCACGCGCATCTTTGGCCGGCTCCACATGAACGACACGACCATCTGGCTGTCCGTCGCCCAGCGGTCCGGCAAGCTCGCGCACTCGTGGAACAAGGACGGCCGCCGGATCCCTTTCTGGTTCAACGACGGGTCCGTCATCTTCGGGGCCGGCGCGGGAGGCGTCATCTCGAGCGCGGAGGACATGGTCAAGTGGCTGGCGGTGTGGCTGAACAAGGGCGTCGACCCCGTCTCGAACCAGATGCTCTTCCCGGAGAGCGTGTACGAGGCGACGACAACTGCGCGCTGGGTCGCGAAAGGACAGCCAAGTGCGCCCCTTGGTGCGAGCATCCTCGGATACGGCATGGGCTGGGAGAGGTGGTCGTATGGCAGCGTTGATGTGAGTGTGGACCTCATGCGTTCACGCGAGGGGGTGTTCACGGTATGAATACAGGTCGTTGAGCATGGCGGTGGTATCCCTGGGTTCTCCCTCCTCACTGCGTTCTCTCCTGACAACAACATCGGCGTCACTGTCCTGTGCAACGCGGACGAGAAAGCACTCGCTGCGCGCATGATCTTGAAACGGACGTTTGACGATGTCCTCGGGCTGCCTCCGACGAAGCTGATCTATCCTAGGTACGCTTTGCGTTCATATGGTCACCATAGGACTGGCTGACATGACAGCATTTAGCGACAAGCCCGTCGCCTTGTCCGACTCCTATGCCGCGAAGAATACGTCCACCGCCCCTCCGTCGCTCAGCATCGCGCGCTACGCTGGCTTGTACACCTCCCCCGGCTACGCGCCCATCGCACTCTGCCACGCCGAGTCCACCTCTACCTACTGCAAGGACGTCCTCTCGGCCTTCTTTTCGCTCGGAAAGCCGCCTTCCTTCGCGAGCGGTCTTTACGCCGCCTTCCGGAGCGTGTGGGCGACGCACGTGCGGATGGAGCACGCAGGCGGCGACGCCTTCGACGCGACGTTCACCGCCATCTTCCCGACGGGCTACGGGCGCAACACCAGCGCGTTCGGGTTCTCCGAGACGGGCGAGTCCGGTGGGCCGGTGGAGTTCGACGTGCGGGGTGGAGAGGTGTTCGGGTTCTCGCTCGTCACGGACCAAGCGGCGGTGGACGCACGGAGGAGGCGATTTGGCGAGGGGGCGAGCGCGAGGGAGGTGGCGGATGCGTGGTTTGAGAAGGTTGGCTAGTATTTGGTAGGTGTTAAGATGACACATGCGTATGTGGCACGACAATTGAATGAATATCAGCAGTTGCAGGCAGTGCCTAATGCCCATGCATGATCGCGCAGACGTCCCTTACATATGGCTTCATCTTCGCAAAGGAAGCTATCGACTTGAATGAGCGCCCGTGTCCACCCAGCGCGGGGAGGAGCGCACTTGGGTTTCCGTTCGCGACCCGGCTGTGAAGATGACAACCCCATCGTTGAACCAAAGGGACTCCGTCTTTGTCCCACGAGCGTGCCAGCTTGCCGGACCGCTGAGTGGCGAAGTCGTATCGTTCAGCAGTGGGAGATGTGCGTGGAGGTGAAGTCGGCGTGCGACACGCGGGAGCACTTCTACCGGTGTCGTGGGGTACGGGGGCAGGGTATTGCTGGCATGAACGAGGCTTGGGAGCGCGGCGAGCGTGCTGGGGGAGGCGGCGTATCTGGCGGGCATAGATGGTCCAGCATACCGGTGCGCAGATGGGAACTCACCACGTCCATGTGCTGAGTGGCTCTGTACCATTTTTTATCGAAGCAAGAAACCTAGGAGCCGTTGGTGGCGGGATGGCGAGCGATAAGCAGTAGGAGATAACTGTGGGAACGTGATCGCACTTGCCAGGCTTTCCGGTAGACTATCTTCGTGTAATTAGCACCGCGAAGCGTAGTGCATCGCTGCCAGAACGGTCAGCCTTGGCCAACCGGAGGATCGCGTGCCTCAAGCGTTGGCGAAGTCGACAAGCTACGCGCATACATGGCAAAAACAGATCCAGACCTGATACATGGGTCCCAAGTGGCCGCGCGACCTCGACACCTGCCCAGAGCCGCGACTCCGTCGCACCTCGCGTCTCAAAGCCTTCTTCCGCTTCTCGCCTGTCGCGTTTCTTGTAACTGCAGCACGCTTGACCGCCTTCGTGCCTCTTGGCAGAGCCGCGCCCGCGCCCTCGCTCTTCGCCCCATAGCCCGCGGCGTGCCTGCGTCCGGCGCCGCTCGCGACCGCGGTCGCGAGCGGCGACGGGGAGACGTGTCGTTCCTTCACGAGTCGTGAACGCGTTTTCGCCGGATGGGTGGTGTGTTCCTTGATTCGTCACTCATCCGACGCTTCGGAGACTTGCCGTCCTCGAAGCCGTGCGCCGTCGCGCGGTGCGGACCGGACGGTCTCAGCGAGGGCACGAGCGGCCTCGTCGAGTAGGAGTCCTGGGGCAGGCGGTCGGCCGCAAGCTTGTTGCGTTTTCCCCACAGCGAGCCGCTCGTTCCCATGCAGGTCTTGTATACCTGCAGAAACACGGAGTGGTCCTGGAACACGGAGGCGGACGTGCGCTCCCTCACGTCGGGTTCCGGAATGGGGCCGCTTGCGCCTGCGAAGGCGACGGTGGGAGCGGCCGCGTCGTCCTCGTCCTCGTCGACATCGTAGTAATCTTCGCCAGGGCCGTCATCGGCGACGGGGGATGAGGAGGGGACGTCGGGACCGAGGCGTCTCGCCGCAAGAGCGGATTCGAGAGACGTATCGACGGGTTTCAGCAAGCGCTGTTGCTTCTCCCATCGTTTGAGTTGGTAGAAGTTCTTGAGCGCGAGGTGCAGAGTGTTGATGAGTTTATCAAGGGGGGACTGGAAGCACAAGGAGGTGTCGTCATCGATGGCGAGCTCCCCACCCAGCTTGTACGAGGCATTCTTCTTCGCCGAGCCACAGGTGTACATATTCCCGTTGACAGCATAGCAGTCGAAAATGTCTTCCAGCCAGCGGAAGATGTCCTCCGAGGTCCTGATGTTCGACGGAACATAGCGAACCAGGTAGTAGAGGGTGACGTAGAAGAGTGACTCTAGATCGTCCGAGACTTCGGACACCTTGCCGCTTCCGAGCAACATCGTGATCGACATGAATTGCCTGGTACCCTGCAAGAGTCCGTAAAGTTAGCAAAAAGCGAGTTGGTCAGAGAATACCGATACTCGCCGTTCGCCCTAGTTGGGTGCATATCTGGAGCGCGTCCGTCCTCTTCGCGAGCTCCCAATCGATCAGAAGCCCAGTCGACAGGAGTCTCCGCGTCTTCAAATTCTTGCCCACCCTGACACGAGGGAAAATGATGATGTTACCACCACTGATGTCTCGGTGCAAAGTATTTGCTAGGTTAAAGGCGGTGCGATGTGCTGTTCAGCGACGGTGAGGAAAGCTGACACAGGAGTACTCGGTCGAAGGTGACTCACCCGATCCCGCGTCGTGCATGATCCTCACGAACTGACGCGGACTAGTGAACGACTCAAGAGGACGACCAATCTCTTTGACGCAAAGGCGATAGTGTCTGTGGCGCCGTAGAGGGCAGGCACCATCGAAGTCGGGGTTGATTTCGTCGTCGTGAGCGACCCCTTGAGACGCCTTGAACTCGCGGAGCTTCCGCTTGCAGGCCGTGCTGTCCGTAGACTTCCGAAGCAGCGAGGAGGAGCAAAGGCCGCTATCGTGATGGCCGTGTAAGGGAGAGGCGTCGTTGGCTGCTGGAGGGGCGTTGAAGGGACGTCCATGCACAACGCTTGCTGCACCGACCAGAAATCGTGGGTCCGCGTGACCTGCTTGTTGATATCGCCATGGCAGACCAGCGTCGGAATGTTCTTGACACCTGCCTCTTGAAGCCGCTTCAGAGTGTCGCCTTCTTTAGCGAGCCTTTTGTAGTCCGCGCGCCACGTATCCTTGAGCCAGTAGAACTGATCCGTCTTCTCGTCGTACCCGATGTAACCACGCGTGAAACGCCCGACGACCCACCAGCGGTGAACTCGGGGCGTCCGACGAGGAGCGTGCGCATGCCGCTTCCGTCGGGGACCTGGAGCGCGTACCGCGGTCCCGTCTGGATAGAGTTGCGGAACCGCGTCCGGACGTAGGCGAACGTGAAGTCTCCGAGTCGGTGACCTCGTCATCCCGGAGATCGCGCTCTTCATGATCCACGTCGGTCGATCGCTTCTCAGAGACGTCGGTCATGAGATCCATCGAGGGCTGCCCGGTTCGATGCGGACGGCGGTGTTGTCGTATCCGACTCCTCGCCGTGGGATTGCGACAGACGAGGAATGCGATACGCCGAAGGAAGTCGGCATGTCGTCTCCCAGTCGTCGTAGTAGTCGACCAAGGGGGTGACGATGACGCCCGACTGGTCCCACGGGTGAAGCGGATTTGCGCCGAGAACGAAGATGAAGAACAGGAAGGTGCGGTGCTGCTCAACGAGCACCGTCTCGGCGTAGTGTGCGAGCTGTTCGCGGACCTTCTTGCGAGAGCGCACAGTGCCGTTCTCATCCCTGTCGTCGAACGGGTCCAAGTACGATTTGTCTTGCTTGAATTCGATGGGTACGACCTGGTCTGCCCAAGTGAGGCAGATGGTCTGTCGGGAGTGTTGGCGGTGTAGTAGAGAGCACCTTCGATCTTCTCGGATTCTGTCCTCTCGGAATTTGATGTTCACTTGCTCGTCCGCGTCGTCCTCGTCCTCGGGTCGGCATGCCTCGCCGGCGCCCACTTCGACACTTGTCTGCATCTTCAGACCTGGAGTGAGTCCGCGCAGGTTATCGCAGTAGTCTAGCACGGTATGATATGTGAACGTGGTCGCGCACATATGGCTCAACACTCACGAATGCCTCACCACCTGTCGTCCTCGGCGGTATTTGCGTCCTTGAGGTCGACGAAAGGGTTTTTCATCGGCAATGGCTCAAGCCGGACTTCTCTGCACTAACGTGCAAGAAGTTCTGGAGGAACTTCTCATGCAGCACGAGGATGAACTTGTAGGTCATGTCGCCGAGAGCCTCTGACGATAATCGTGGTCTACCGGTATCGGCGGATTATGTGCGGGTGTGAAAGTAGGATAAAATGCGACCTCCTGGGGGGAAAAGAGAATGAATTTGTAAGAGATGACATCTCTAGGCATGTTTACACTTCTTATGAAAGGGGCTAGTGAGCACATACCGTCGGAGACTGCAAAGCCTTGAGATTCAAGGTAGCTCCAGTGGCGGTTGGAGTGAAGGAGTCTAGCGATATAAGTATGGGTTGAGGCATGATACATGATGGGTGCGTGATCCGAGAAGACAATGGGAGCGGGAGGTGAATGTGTTCGGTTTTCCGGCAATCACCAGTACAGAGCGCCCATTTGGTCCTTGCGCTTGGTTCGATTCCGCGCCGTCGCAGGCCATTTATGACAAGCCAATGTCCAGACTCACAATATTAGCCTTCGTGGAACTGAAATAACTCGCTGATCAGTGCCGGCGGTTTCGGGATACTCCAGACTGCGGCTGTTTATAACTGGGCTTCAGGAGGTATCAATATTCGTAACCGTCGAGCCGAACTTCGCCGCGCTCGCGAACTCGATCGAGGGGGCCACCTCATAGCAAGACTTCGAATCTGAATGCGGAATGAGTTCGAATGGGCACGGCCACATTACATACACTACAGCGAATACAACCATTATGCCAATTTACAGTAGAAGAGGTGTCATATAGTGGCAGACATCCAAGCGGCAAAACACAATGTGACATCCAGACCTGCCAACGCAACCCCGACACGCGGCCAAACACAAGCCTAAATGTCCGGAGTGCTCCTGGCCTTCCGTGCGTCCAAAATGCTCATCCTCGCCTTCTTCGTCAGGCGAGCCATGGGAGTTTCTGCGTTGCCAACAGGCGCCGTCGCGCGGCGCGTCCTGGGCCGGCCGACCATCTTGAGCGACGCCCCGACCGGCTTCGTCGAGTAGAACTGCTCCGGGAGCTGGTCAGTGGCGGGCATGTCGCAGCCCCGCCAGTTCTTCGCGGGCAAGCTCATGCACGCCTGCAGGACCCGGATGAATCTGTCCGAGTTCTGGAATACGAGCGCGGAGTCCTTTTGCTCAGACGTGGGCTCCAAGACGTCGTCGTCGTTCCCACTCTGCAGGGTTTCGCTGGCAGACGGGCCGTCTTCGGGGAGGCCTCCTAAGTTGGCGTGGTATCGCTCCTCGAGGTCGTCGGGGGGAGGGGATGAGTCAAGGCTGGACGGACCCACGGGGTTCGCCTCAAGTGCGGAGCTGAACGAGCCTTCGGGATCGAGCATCTTCCGCTGCTGTTCATTCCATCGCTTGACGTGGTAGAAGTTGCGGATAGCAATGTGAAACGTCTTGATGAGTGAGTCAAGAGGAGCACCGAAACCAAAAGAACCCTTCTTGCTGAGGGATGGCCGGTCAGAGTACGCGGTGTTCATCTTGGCGGCGCCGCAGGTGTACATCCCGCCCTCGACGACGTAGCTGTCGAAAAACTCTTCAAGCCAGTGAAAGATGTCCTCCGGTGTCCCCAAGGCTGACTTGACGAAGCGGACCAGGTAGTAGAGGATGACGTAGAAGAACGACTCTAAGTCGTCTGAGAGCTCCGCGACTTTGCCGCTCTCTTCCAACATGGCAATCGACATAAACTGCATAGTTCCCTAGAGAATTTCGTCAGTGAGAGGCAATACTAGATATCATAACAAGAACCACACTCACTGTTCGACCTGGTTGCGTCCATATTTTCGGCGAGTTCGTTTTCTTCGCGAGCTCCCAGTCGGTGAGAAGTCCTATCCACAGTAGCAGACGAGATTTCACGACCTGGACACGAGGGTAGACGATGATGTTGCCGCCGCTGATATCTCGATGCAATGTTTCCCCCGCCTTGAAGGCGTCGCGGTGCGCTGTAAAGTAACAGTGAAAACGAGTGATACAATATTCAGTCGCGTTACTCACCTACTGCCGCATGTGCCATTATTGTCACGAATTGGCGCGGACTCGTAAAAGAATCCAGAGGAAGTCCGACCTCTTTGACACAAAGACGGTAGTGCCGGTGGCGCCGCAACGGGCAAGCACTGTCGAAGTCAGGATCGACGTCGCCATCAGCATCAGGCGGTACATCTTGCGAGCTGTTGAAGTCGTCGAGCTTCCTTTTGCTGGCATTGCTGTGATCGGACTTCTTGGGCAGAGAAGAGGACCCAGTCGCCCCAGAACCGCGGCCACGCAGAGGAGAAGAGGCGCAGGCATCCGAAGCATCGTCGAACATATCGTCGAGCTCTTCGTCGTGACGCTTCGTCCAGAAGTCATGAGTCCGGGTGACTTGCTCGCCGATGTCGCCGTGGCAAACCAGCGTCGGAATGTTCGTGACGTTCGCTGCGTAGAGCTCCTTGAGCGTGTCGCCTTCCTTCGCCAGCCCCTTGTAGTCCGGGCGCCACGTATCCTTGAGCCACACGAAGAGGCCCGTCTTCGTGTCGTACCCGACGTAGCCGCGGGTGAACCGCCCCGTAGCGCCACCAGCCGCGAACTCGGCTCGCCCGACGAGGATGATCCTCTGGCCGCCGTCCTCGTCGGGAACCGACAGCGCGTACCGCGGCCCCTTCCGGATCGACTCGCGAAACCGATCGCGGACGTAGGTGAAGGTGATGTCCCCTTCGACTTCGAGGAGCTCGTCGTCCTTCAGTTTGCGCTCGGTGTGGTCAACGTCGGTCGGCTTCGATTTGGCGACCTCGGTCATCTTGGTGAAGAGATCATGACCCTCCCGGAGTCGTTCGGCGGTGGGGTCGAATCCGACGCCCTCGCCGCGCCCGTGACAGGCGAGGAAGGCGATACGTTGGAGTATGTCGCAAGTTGTTTCCCACTGTTGGTAGTAGTCGATGAGGGGGGTGATGACGACGCCAGAGTAGTCCCAGCGAGTGAAGCGAATCTTGCGGCCGAGGACGAAGATGAAGAAGAGGAAGGTGCGGTGCTGATCGAGGAGCACCGACTCGACGTAATGGGCGATCTGGCCGCGCACCTTCTTGCGGGAGGCGGCGCTGGCGTCGCCATCGCGCTCCCTGTCGTCGAAGGGGTCCAGGAAGGCTTTGCCCTGTTTGAACTCGATGGGCACGACCTGGTCCGCCCAATGGGGTCGATCGTCGGTCGGCGTGTGGTCGGAGGCGTAGAGAGCGCCATCGATCTTCTGCTTGTTATGTTCCCGGACGATCTTCGCCACGTTTGCATCATAGTCGGGATCCTTCGCGTCGGGGAGATTCGCTTCGTCCGCTTTCTTCTCGCTGGTCGCCATCGTCAATCCCGGAACGAGGTTGGCACTGTTGATCGCAGAAGTCTAAGGTACGATACTAAGTCGATTTTATCGCATAGAGATCGCATAGATCACACTCACGAACTTCGCGACAACCTTGTCTTCTCGCATGGAGGTTGCACGCATGAGACCCGCGAATGGGTTCCTGGCCGGGGGCACCCCGTGTAGCGCAGGGAGGTTTGGATCGTTCAGAAAGGTTTCGATGAAACTTTCAATGGGCATGCTGATCGACTTGTTGGCCATGTCGCTGGAGAGCTTTTGACGGTACTGCTTTGCGTCGTGTTTACCGGTATCGGCAGCGGAGGTGGAGGCGTGATGAGGGATAATCGGGGTGCCGACTGAGAGGAAGGGAAGACTTTTATGAGAATGCCCATCCCGAGGGATGCTTTCGCTCATGGTGAGTGGGAAGAGAACGGCACGTACCAGCGGAGTGACCTGGAGAGATCTTATAGCAATGGCGAGATGGTCTGGGTGGTCGGGTGGCTCAAATAGTGGTTGGAATGAGAAAAGCGAAACACCACGAGTTGCGCCCAAGCCCTGTTCACACGATAAGTGCCTTTGTTTTACCAACGCGGGTGCAGACGACAATGGGAGTCGGAGATGAATGTGGTGCTAGAGCAAGAGCGGTGAGCGCCAAGTGCATCGACCATGTTCGTCTTTTCGGCCATCACCGGCAGGCGCGGAGCGCCCATTGCACGCTGCAACCACGGGCTGGCGAGCCGCGAGTCATATTGCCCCTTCATTGTTTGACTGAGCGGTCTCCAGTTTGGACCACCGTGTACAGTAGTGGCAGGGTGGCCATGGTCCTCTGTGGAATTCTACAAAGACTGTCAGATTCCATCGGGCAACGTTTTCGCACTGTTCATTACTCAGGAAGATCTAATTGAGGCCCCGAGGCTCGACTGCCTGGGCTGTGTGTTCACTGAAGATTCCAAGTGCCATGGAGTTTGAAGTTCAGCTGGTAGTGTGGTTGTGCACCGTGCCTTGTTTCGCGTTGCAGCCGCCATCCGAGTCTTGCCGGTTGTGGGTGGCGGATGCGGAAAGAAGCCGTGGGAAGGTGCGCCGGGGTGTGCCATTTGCTGAATAGGCGCACATGGCCATTCTGAGTCGGATTTCTGACACCACATATTCTTCGTAATAGCAACGTCCCTTTGGAACGAGAGCCAACAAACAGAGGATGGATTTTTGCTTGGCTTGGCACCCGACGAGCGTGAGCATGTGTACAGAGAACCGCATAGTTATAAGAAGCTTTTGAGCCTGTCTGAGGAATTGAGATGATGATGGATCGTCGTTTCGATCGAGGAGTTTGACCCTTGGGCTAGGTACACGGAAAAAAACAACGACTTCCATGAGGATTCTTCGCATCTTGGGCCACATGCGCGCATCCTTCAACGCAACCTCACTTGGGTTGCATCTTTGCAAAGAAAGCTGCACATGCAGATGAGTACCAGCGTCCCCACCTCATCACCACACAACCCGCTCAACCACTCACCGTCCAGAGCCGCGCCCGTCCCAAACTCCTCGCCCCTCACGATCTCCCGCGCCCACTCCCCGTAGTCCTCCCAAATCTCCTCCAAGACCGGCGCGTTCCTGTCTCCCGCCGTCCGCTCGACCCGCCACCACCGCCGCTCCGCCGCCCACCCATCAGTGAGGGCGAACAGCCGCTTGAGCAGCACCTCCGACGTCCAGCTCTCCCCGGTGCCGCCCGTGGTCCGGCCGACGACGGGCGCGGCGTGCGCGAGCATCAGCACGCGCAGGCGCGGGAGCGCCTCCGGGAGGCGCCGCCGCAGCTGCTGCAGCACGTCGATGCGGCAGACCTCCCGCTCGAGCGCGCTCTCGAGCGGGAGCGGCGCCGCGTGGAGGTGGATGGGGTGGTCGCCGAAGTAGTGTTCGGTGCGCGCGTGCGGGGGCAGGGTGATCCCGACGTGGACGAGGTTGGGGAGCGCGGCGAGCGCGCGGGGGACGTCGCGCTCCTGCCGCACGCGTGCGTGCCGGGCGAGGTGGGACGCGGGTGAGCGGGGTGGGGGCGCGAGGGGGGCGTGTCGGCGACTCACCAATGAGGCGATGTCGGCCGTGTCGACGCAGTTCAGGGTGAGCTCGAGCGAGCGGATGCCTGACGCCGACTCCGGCGGCAGCGCGCGCCAGAGCGCGGGGACGAGCCAAGTGGGCGGCTCTGGGGGCGCGAAGAACTCCAACAGCGAGCTCGGCAGCAGCGTTCCGACGGCGACCTCGAGCGTGAGCGCGACCGGACGCGCGTTTCCGACGAGCGTGAAGAACTCGGTGCGCTCGGCTTCGTCTAATGGGTGGAAGACATATACGGAAGAGGGGTCGAGACCCCGCCGGGGTTTGGTGGCGTAGTAAGTGATGTGAAGAACGCGGCTCAAGCACCGAGCGATGTGGAAGGGAGGGCAGCCTTGCATGACGTATGTCAGGGAACGGAGCGGTGGCAGTGGACGGATTTGAGGCACAATTGCGATGTCGTTGCGAGGCTGGCGAATCAGGCGAATATGCAGATGATCGAGTTTGGGGAAGGCTGGGAGGATCAAGGGGACGGCAGCGTTCTCGACCTCCAAAGAAAGTGAACGGACGGAAGATAGACTTATGTTTGTCGAAAGGTCACCAGAGGCCGCCGCAAAAGGGTGCTCCAATTCTCTCCACGTGACTGCAAGGGTATGAAGGTTGGGGAACTGGGGAGTGCCGCAAAGAAGGCTTTCGGCGTCGAGCACTTGTCAACGATACACCAGCGGCGGCGGAGATTCAACGTCAATTTCTGTATGGTTCTAGCTGGAAAGGTCGAGGGGAAGGTGATCGAGTGCGGTTTGCATTCGTCGAGGGTGAGGTTTAGGTCTGTAAGATTCTCCAGAGCGCCGAAAGCCTGTAGGAAACTGGGTTCAAGTGTGACGAGGGAATCAAACTGGGGAAGAGTGATGGAGCGTATTCTTGGCGCGCCATCTAGGAGTCCAGCAACGATACGGAATTGTCCACTGGATAGTCCGTTCTCAATCTCCAACGATCGTATGCTTGCAACACGAAGCTGTACGCCAGGCAACCGGGGATCTGTGGATAGCAAGGCTTCGCGGAGCCGCGGAAGCCTACACAAAGGCCATCCGATGGTAAGTGGACAGGCGAGAACGCGTGAGATGGCAATGGGGTACACGCTCTTGCAAGTGATGGCAAAGTCCAATGCCGCTTTGCGATCCAGACGTGCGCATATCTCCAGGAGAACGTCGCCATCGAGCGACGTGAAGGCGCGCAGACTTCTTGTGGTCCGTTCGGCAGAGGGGAAGACATAGAAGACGGATAGAACGATGGAGAAGGCGGAGGGAAAGAGGGAGAATGCAGAGGGAAAGAGGGAGATCATAAATCGGCGCAGGAGCTCCATGGGTTCGGAATATATGCATGTTGCCATGGGATCTCTGCGGTTTCCGATGGTGTTAATGCTATGGTTGCTACCGAATGCCAGAGGATCTTACCTGTGGTTTGAAACCAGCGTTGGAGGGATGTGCAGGAGAGGCGATAGACACAGGGGTCACGCAGCAGTCGGCGCGCGGCCACTTCACTCGGCGCTTCTTCGTTGAGCCCAGACTTCGATCATACTCCGATCAGGTGTGCGGCGCTTGGGGCACTTGGAGGAGCTATATTACGCGTCCAGTCAGTCTGATGGAACATTTTCGAGACAATGACCTCACCACGAAAAGAAGGTAACATCCTTCGAGGACATGAGGTCGGATAAGTGTCTACTACTTGAACTAGGAATCATCATCTACTGGCCAGTGATCAGCATAACAATTCACTCGCGACACTTGTACCGTTGAGAAAGTCGAGGCTGTAAGTGAAGCGGCCCTGCCAGAACAATGTGGGACATGGCCGCATAGCAAGACAGGATGTAACTGCTTCATTCGAAGGGTTTCAAGCTGTAGATTGCCATTAGTCTACGATGGTATACATATCCGGGTAGGTAATGTGTGTCCTGATCTACATGAAGGGCGGACCCGAGCTCCGATTCACTTTTATGTGCGTGGTGGGAAGCGTGAGTGACGGTGCAAATGACTGCTGCAACACTGTGAGAGGGCCGTACGGTTCAATAACGATACCTCCGTCACCAGGGCCTGCGCGTTATCGTCGGCACCAAGGCAGAAGCGGCGGAGTGTCAGGGTGTTCTATGCAAGTCTAGATGTACGGTGGTCCGAGAGCTGATGGAGAAAGGATCACAGTGGGCATTGTGAGCGGTCGTCCTGCGTGTCTGACAAGCACTACGTACCTTGGCGGAACATGTTCAGCGTCGCCTCAACGACCAGCAGGAGGAGACCGCCTCCGGGTGCGAGACGCATGACCTTCGGCACGAAACCCTTGTATAGCGAAGCAAGACCCTCCTCACGAGCCATCGTCACAAGCGCAGGATACGTCCAGTTGTACTTCGGGACGACGCCAGGCACCTTGGTCACCGACTGTATGCGCGATTTGATGACCTGCAACGCGGCGAGCAGGATATTAGATCGAATTGGAAGCCACCACGGCGCATCCACTCACATCGAATCTGAGATACGCACCACAGTCAGACGGAGTGTGAGGCAAGGGAGTACAAACTCACGGTGTGTTAATCACTGTACCGATCGTCCCTCCGATCGTCCCCGCAATCAGGTCGTTTGTCAGTCTTTGCGAGTTGGACTGCGACCATGACAGTCAGCAGGGGCGAAGAACGGGCGTCAGTGTCGATTTGAGACATACCTCAGGCTTGGGAAGCATCGCCCGGACTTGGAAGATACTGCCGAAGTAGCCTCCGTTCCACCATAAGTGCCTGTGCACGATCATGGGTGCGTGAGCAGTCCTGCTCCGTTCCCGACAAAGGTCAGAACGTACCTCCACATTGTCGCCTCCATCCCCGCGTAGAGCCCTTCAATCCGTGGGGTGAATCAGTATAGATGCATCCGGGCACGAGGTCGGCATGGCGCACCAAGGAGGCCATCTTTCGCAACTACCTGTTTAATGACGTCCAGCGGGCCCTTAAGGTGCTCGACTTGTCCTGCAGCCTGCAAATGCCGGGCATCATCAGTCGCTGCTGCCATCACTTGCGGACCATAGCCGCGCTTTCGGCGTGCTCGGGCCGACGCACAAGCGGGAGAAGGTGAAGAAGGAAGCGTGACGCACTTGATTTTCACGAGCTCAAAAGGCACAACAACCACACTCTCCGTAACCCCGGCCATGCAGCCGGTCGCAGTTGCCAGGGACTGGTCCATTTTTGTCTTGCCAGTGAGAGAAAGGAAGGACTTGCCCCAGAAGTCGTTGGCGGCGCTATGCGGCGGAGGAAAGGTGGCGAGAGTGGAAATAAGCGGGAGTGGAGGCGCAGGACGTGCGGAGGAACAGGGACGTACAACTTAGTCGCGCGCTTGGGGGCCTCCATGAGCAATGGGGCACCAAGCCACGGTACAAACGGCCGAACCTGCGCATGAGGAGAGCGCACCGAGGGCGAAACCAAGGTGAATTGTAAGAGTGAGTGTATGCGCGACTGAGGGGGACGTACCCTTCTTCCCGAATGATGGTCCGGAAGCTGGTCACGACCCCCATCTTGCTCCGCCCGGTGGCAAGCTGCATGCGCGTCTTGACCTAGAAACACAGACAAGGGACGCGTGAAGACACGAAGGATAAGAGGAGCGGCGAAGTACTGACGACATCTGTGGACGAAGACGCATATAGCCAGCCGGCGGACGGGAAGACAGAGACGTCACTGACCGAGAGGGTAGAAGGTCAGGATCTCTGAAATGCCCGCGATGGCACCGGCCGTGAAGTTGGCAATGAAGGGGAGGGCTGCGGAGGTTCGTGAGTGGACGGAGGCCGAGAGCAAGTGGCGACGGAGCTCACGCTTTCGCTGGAACGCGTCGGACATGGCGGGGAGGAGGAGGAGAAGTCGTGCGAGTGCGGGGCTGGCGCTGAGCGCTGAGGGCTATGTATAAAATATCCATTGGGGAAGGGCGGGGTCGGGGCCATCGTGACCAGATGAGGCGAAAAGGCGCGATCGGATCCTTCGGGCTCGGACGGTCGGGCCACGCCGTGCCACACGATCGAGCGAGGCACGAGACCAGCGCGTCACGTCACTGTGATGCGCTCGGTCACAGACAGGCACCCGCGAGTGACCGAGCCGGGCTCGCGGCAGGCGACGCGCTGAGGCTGCTCTGCTCCTGCCATGGTCTACATCTCGTCCTGGCAGGAATACCAAGAGGCCGCGGAGGCCCTCTATGACAAGTCTCCCAACACGGTCAGCATCGCTCTCCGACCTCCCCTTCGCGCGCTGATCTCCAATCTCCCCGATCCCCAGACGCGCTACTGCGTCAAGTGGAGGCAGTCGGCAGACGGCCAGGGCAAGCTCGTCCTCAAGATCACCGACAACACCACCGTGCGTACCCGTGCGCGCCATCTCGCTCGACTTAAAACTCACTTTCGCGCGGCGTCACCCGTGATCGCAGTGCTTGAAGTTCAAGACACATTCCTCCGTCTTCCTTAACCGCTTCGATGCCCTCAACCTCACTCTGATGCAGAAGATGCAGAACAAGCGTCCGACGCAGGCGTCGCCCGCCCCCGCCGCTCCTCAACCCGCGCCAAGTGCACCTCAGGACACTGCGCCCTCTGTGCCCGCACCAGCCGGTCCAGCGGGAGGGGTGAAGAAAAAGAAACCGAAGAAGAAAAAGTAGATGGATGGCGGATAGGATGTATGCGATCCAGGTCAGATTTCTTGAACCTTTCATGCGCTGTACATCTGCGTCATTCTACGGCGATCCTTAATCACACTCCATCTACGATCCTCGGGTGCTCGTTCTCGCCCTCGGCCTGCAAGAGATCGGTAATGTATGGGAGAGCATCGCGAAGAGGCCCTCCCATTTACCATCAACTTCGTGAGGCCCTTCTGACACTCGGCGGTAGCTCCGTCTGCTTCCCCTCCCCCTCGGTCCTATCGAGTACGATGGTTACCATGGAGGATGGTGGGGCCGCACAGGTGCGTCGTCCAGTCAGCGATTAGGATAGAGCGCTCATCCAAGATGTTCGACAGTCCCCGTGTGGCTTAGCGGGCGATGCCCCGCTGTCACATACCAGATGTACTCCGTACCGACCGCTGCAAAACGGTACTGGCACATCGTTTCAGTCACACGTTGCTTTCTCCACAGTGTAAGCGCACACATCTTGGACCATGCATATGCTCCCAACCAGTCCGGGGCATCGACTGTCAAGCAACGGCGTTGTCCCGCCGCGTGGGCGCGAGCGACACCTCGCGGTACAGTTACAGGAGGCGGCGACGGTCAAGGATTCAGTATCATTTATCCCCTTTTCCTCGTGCCTCCTCGTGGAGCGAGCTGGGGAGGGCACTCACATCACGTGATTGCCTTCTGTGCTGCCCTGCCAACAACCCCTCAAGTTGGACCAGCCCCTTGAGGAGGTACGACGAAAAGGGGATGGGTGATCATGCCTAGAGGTCAGCTACCTTCCTTTCATGCTCAAGCGGCATTGGTGCCGCTGTGGTCCCGACAGAGACGACCAATATGGAAGTGATTTCGCTCTAGGGGGCCACATTTGTGGTTGGGCTGTCGCTCGAATCCACCCAAGATGTCTGGCATGACAGGCTACAGACTGCATGGGCTTCCCACAACAATGAAGAACTCACTTCCCATCCGCCCATAAAACCTCAGCACCCTCCCCACCTTCCTCATCTCATCCGCTCCTCCAAGCCCCACCTCAACTCATACCACCCCATCATCATCATCATCATCACCACCGCCACTACCACCATCACCACCACCACCAACACCATGCTCGCCCACCGCGCCCTCCTCCTCCTCCCCTTCCTCTCGGCCACCCTCGCCAGCACCGCCCCAGGCCGCCGCACCTCCACGCCCGCAACGCTCCTCCCGCGCGACAACGACAGCGACGAGTGCTCGGACGGCTTCGCCCTCTGCTCCGAAGGATCGTGCTACCCGCTCGACGGATCTGTGTGCTGCGCCAGTGCGCCCGTCTCCCGCCCCTTCCCCCATCCCCTCGCGACGCTGACCTCAGACCGACACCGACGACAGACGGGAGATACTGCGACCCCGGGTGAGCGCGTCCTCACTTTTCGAGGCGTCGCGGGATCGATCGCTGACGGGTGCCCGAAGGTTCACTTGCCAGACGGACGGGTGCGTGCTGGGTAACGGCGCGGCGGGGGCGCACCCGGCGGCCGCGGGCACGCTCGCGGGGCTGCTTGCCGTCGGCGCGGCGTTCGCCCTCGCTTGAATGGGCCGTGGAGTCCGTCCATGGGGTCTTGAGTGCAGATTTTGGTGGGACTCGCTTCTCGCTGCTGTGACACGTGCTGAACTCCTTTGCAGGGATGGCTGGATGGATGGGTGAATCATTGTGGTTCGCTGTTAAAATCGAGCTACTGTACTACATGGATGTATGCCGGTACAATTGAAGTGAATGCACCATTTATATCGGCGGAGTTCCATATACGACGGCCATCGCAATGTTCCAAGTGGCAATGGAACATATCGCGGCAAAACATGATGTACAATCGTTCCGGAATCTTCGTATGATATATCCACTCGACGTGTATGGAGTCCGAGTTTTTGTTTTTGTTTTTGGTGGAGCAACTACCGTGGACTATCGTTTCACCCCCTAGGGAGATCCAGGACAGTCCGAGTTGCACCGAAACAACCGGCTTGCTTTTTCGTATAGGCTTGAACAGAGGAAGCTAGAAAACTCCGCTCTTGCCTAGATGAAGTTGGGACGGAGTCCGAGTTTCGCGGCGCTGATTCAGGCACTGCCGGACCTTCCTCGCAGCATGGGTTCGACTCCGGGAGACGGCAGACCATTTCATAAAACACGACGTGACATTCGTGAGGTGGGGGTGTGGACAACGCAGTCCTAAAGTACGTACACACACGACAAGCCAACCCAACGCAAGTGCCCAACGTATGTAACCGACCACGCAGCTCGCCAACCCAAGACCAACCGGCCGATCGATCGCTCTAAACTCCAAAAAAGGTAGTATGTAAAACAAGAGTGCACATAAAATATAAAACGAGGCATCCAAGGTGATAGCTACAGCAGAGCGGACATAAGAGTACAGTAAAACAACACAATATCGGCGTGTCCGTGAACCGAGCGTGGCGAGAGCGAGGACACAGTCGGCGCGCGCAGGGTCGGGGTTGGGCGTGGTGGACTCGTGAGCGATGGCGATGGCGCGGATTTGGGACGAGGACGGCGTGGAGGGATGGTAAATGGAATCCGAGGGCAGACCTCTGGAAGAGCGGGGGGCTGGGGATGATCTAGCACGGCGACCCAAGCACGCGTCGGTGCTGGAGCAGCTGCGACGAAGGTGGAATGGCGTCATCGCGCGGCTCTCTCCCTCAGCACCACGAGCCGTGGACGAGCGCGTCCCACGACTTCTTCGACTGCAGCGTCTCGACGAAGTGCGCGCGCGCGCCGGGGGTCATCGTCCCCGCGGCGGCCGCCGCCGCGTGCGCGTCGGGCACGATCGCGCCGTCCGTGAGCGGGAGCGGCGCGGGGTGCGCGGCCGCAGGAGGGGAGGGTGGTGCCGAGTGCGACGGGTTGAGGTGCGAGTGCACGTGCGGGGTGTGCGCGTGCGTGTGGGGCAGGCCGGTGGAGGAGGGCGAGGGCGAGAGGGGGACCGAGTGGTGCGGCGAGTGGAGGGCGGGGCTCGCGGTCCCGGACGTCGCGGTGGAGGAGCGGGAGATGTGGGGGCGTTTCTGGAGGTATGGTGCATCAGGGATATCCGTGCGCGTAGAGTAGAGGGGCAGGAGGGGAGAAGGATGCTGCGGAAGTGGATTTCCGGAGGAGAGAGGCGGTACTCACAGGAGAGAGGATGGTTCCGAGCGCAAGACGGAGACTCAAAACGTGAGCGTCGTCGTTGCTGCGGCGCTGGTCATCATGGGCCGGCTGCAGGAACAGGTGGATGAGTCGCGGCTGGACAGCGCATGGGAGTGGCACACACCATGATCGCGTCCGATGTGGCTCAGGGGTGTCTAAAGGAATAGATACTGCAGCGGCGCCTGTGCAGACGGCGGTAGACTCTAAGCAGCGGGGGCGATTAGATAGGAGTACGAGCCAGAGTGCAGAGGCGGCGGGGACACGCCAGGGCGAGGTGAGGGGAAGGGACAAGAGCGGGGTGGAGAGATCGGGCGGAGCAGGGAGACGCAGTGTTTATATCATCCCCGCGCCCACGAGCTCGTGAGGGCGGTGGGGGACACGGGACATCGCGGATGCAAGCGGGATTGAATAGACCCCCGCGCGGCTGTGGCGGCCCATTCTCGGTCTCGTTGCCTCAGGGGCGCCGCGCCCCGTGGGGAAGTGCGGGGTAGCCTGCCGTCTAGCACCGCACACCTCCGTAGTCTTCCGACCGTGCATCATCCTAAGAAAGCTTCAGGATTAGAGACGATCACATTCGATCCGTACTCACCGACTGCAACACAGATTGGGCGATCTTCATGCAGAGACGATAGGTCGAATGTCGGATGTCAGCGGCTCGAGCGTCCTTGCGGCTCCTCGCTGGATGAAGTTGGCCACTGCACTGTGGCCAGACCCCAAAGGCGACTCCGGGACGTCGAAGTTTTCTGTCACGTCTTCCAGGGATGAAACACCTCGAAGATTTCAAGATACCGCGTGGTGGAGCTCTGGAACACCGCAGCACCAGTCGCGGCGCTCCCATGACCTTCCAGGCTCTGGGCTGTGGCCGCGTTTCACGGACACCATCAGTGTATCGCGGGCGCGCGATATCTGGATCCTGTGCGCACGGTCGTCAAAGTCGACCGAGGAGGTGGGCGCAACGCACCAACTTGAGGCGCAAGCCCGTGTCGCGTCTCGTGTTTCCTGGTGGCATGGATGTGACCCGAGTCCATGCATCGCTCATGGCATGGCTAGATGCATGGTTTGTCACCCTCGAGCCTTCTTCGAGCTTCTCGTCATGGGCACTCCAAGCACACGCCTCGTGAGTAATACACGCGCGTATCCTATACTGCTATGTACTTCTAGCTTCGGTATTCAAGTTACTTCTCTTCATATCCACGCCCAACGTTCTACACGTTCAGCTCTGCTTTGCCAGCCTTCTCGAGTGCCTGCTTTAGCTCAGCGTCCTCAAGCGCGGGCGTGACCCACTCCTTGAGGAACTTGTCGACCTGTTCGGGTGCGCGCCCAATGAACGTCGACGGGTCGAGAAGCGCGTCGAGCTGCCCCTTGATTGGGTCGAAGTACGCGTCCGCGCGCACGCGCTCGATCAGGTCGTTGTCGAGTCCGAGTTGCTTCACCTGGTGCGCGGCCTCGTGCGAGAGAACCTGACAGGGCGCGGTGAACACGCTGTAGTCAGAAAAAAAACAGGGAGAGAGGCAGAGAAGGCGGCGGAAATGAAGGAACGGCACTTCGGGAAGCACTCACCCGAATCTTCTCGTGCGCTTCCTGGCGGTCGCCGCCCGCCTTGACGATGGCCATGATAATGTTCTCCGTCGCCATGAACGGCAGCTCCTGCGCGATCCGGCGTGCGATAACTTTCGGGTACACGACCAGGCCCTCGGACACGTTCTGGAGTGTCGTGAGCACAATGTCCGCGGTGAGGAACGCCTCGGGGAGCGACACGCGACGGTTCGCGCTGTCGTCCAGCGTGCGTTCGAGCCACTGCACGCTCGCCGTTCCGAGCGCGTTCTGCTGGAGGACCATGAGGTGACGCGCGAGCGAGCAGACACGCTCGGAGCGCATCGGGTTGCGTTTGTACGCCATCGCGGAGGAACCGATCTGCGTCGACTCGAATGGTTCTTCGATCTCCTTCAGGTTCGCGAGGAGGCGGAGATCCGTCGCGAGCTTGTGCGCGGTCGCGCCGAGGGAGGCAAGAGGGGCGAGGACGTCGATGTCGATCTTGCGCGAATACGTCTGCGAAGTGACAGGGTACGCGTACGTGAAACCGGAGAGAGCGGTCACGCGTCGGTCGAGTTCCTCCACCTGATCGACATACCATGATTCAGACTATATGCGACTGTAAAGAAGGTAGCGAACTAACCTTTTCATGATCTCCGTCAAAGAGCGCAAGGAAGCTAGCTTGCGTGCCAGTGGTGCCCTTGACGCCTCGGAAGCCAAGATCATCGCGAGCGCGCTTGATGTTGCGAAGATCCCAAAGAAGCTCCTGGATCCAGAGCGTGGCGCGCTTGCCGACCGTGGTGAGTTGCGCAGGTTGGAAGTGGGTAAAACCGAGTGTAGGTAGGGCGCGATATTCTTCAGCGAACTTGGAGAAGCGCTGGATGACGACGGCGAGCTTTTGCAAGAGGAAGGTGAGCGCCTCGCGGAGGAAGATGAGGTCGGCGTTGCTGTGGCCCGAGTCAGGTGTTAACATTAGGCTACCGTGCGGATACCGAGGATGGAAGGGACGCACTCGGTCACATAACACGAGGTCGCGCCGAGACTAAGATTCGGGTCGCGTGAACGCTGGAGTTCTGAAAGCGCGCGATGCTACTCACTGGATGATCCCCGCCGCGGCAGGCGCGACCTGACCAAAAGTGTGAACGTGCGCCATAACATCATGACGTCTCTTCTTCTCCTCGGCGGCCGCAATCTCGAACTGTTGCGCGTCCAAATGCTGTATCGCGTGTGGGTATGGCGGGATCACGACGCGAAAATTGAGTCACTCACGAGGTTCGCCTTCATCTGCTCGATGGCTTCGTCTGGTATCGGGAGACCGAGCTCCTTCTCTGCGACAGCGAGGCTGAGCCACAGTTTCCTCCACGTATGGAAACGGTTCTACGAGTGAGTCAGCGAATGCTCTGGGCCACGGATGATGCGCATACAGCCGCGGAGAACAGGTGCGCCATTTCCTTGCTTGCATAGCGACTGTCGCAAGATCAGGTTCGTGCGTTCACTGCTAAAGCAAGGGTGGATGGAACCTTGAGAGCGGCGTCTGGTAGGTATCGTTTGGATCCATGGCTGGGCGAGTGCCGAGTACGTTGTGGTTGGTGGAAGAGGAGAGAGCGGGCCGGGGCAAAAAGCCTGAGATCTTGACGAGATCTACAGTGGCTGTAGATAATCTAACCGATTGCGTCGCGGGCCGTGGCGCTTCCACTTAACGACCCTCTGGTGGTTGGCAAGTTACGGGGAACATAACAGTGCAAAAGCTGAGAGAGGACTTCATTAATTCAGTACTTCAGCACGAGTCACCAAAATCTCGATGTCTTTACATGTCGTGTTAGTAACGGTGGAGGACAGAATCGTGACGCCATCGGAGGGTGACACTGATCCGGGGTCACGACGTGACCAGGTCCGAGCGGCAACACGAGGTCGGAGATGACATCGGGCGTTACCCTGGTTGACTTCGCACCGACTCGAACACGAACACCCTCCTCCTCCTTCCGCTCTTCTAACCATGGTACGTACCTCCAGTTGCGCGCTGCTGACTCCCACTGACGATATGGTGCATACAACAGGCTGTTCCTCCTGCTGTTCTCCGTCGCCTCATGCGCGAACTCAATGAACTCCGAACCAACCCCCCAGATGGGATACGCGTCGTGGTCAACGAGGACAACATGTTGGACGTGACGGGAATTGTTGAGGGCCCTGGTACGTCTATGCTTGATGATTCCTGTTCATTTCCGCCCCGTTGACGCGTCGATTCGCGCTACAGATGGCACACCGTACGCAGGTGGCTACTTCAGGGTAAGGTTCAACTTCACCGAAGAATTCCCTGCTGCACCGCCAAAATGTGCGTTATCTGCCTCCTAGGTTTAGAGTGACTCTGACGAGCCCTTCGATGCCCAGGTTGGTTTGCTACCAAAATATTTCATCCCAACGTGTCTTCTGCTGGCGAGATCTGTGTCAATACATTGAAGAAGGACTGGAAGTCGTCGTACGGCATCGGTCACATCCTCGTGACCGTCAAGTGTCTTCTCATCTACCCTAACCCGGAGTCGGCGTTGGACGAGGAGGCAGGCAAACTCTTGCTGGAGGACTACCAGAGCTATTGCGACCGCGCGAAGCTCATCACCAGCGTGCATGCGACACCAAAGGTACGTCCCATCTCATGCTCCTCCTGCGTCCCACCATCAAATCCCCTCCCCCTTGTACGTAGGTTCGGCCAGCTGAGTTCAACACGCCATCGCGGTCAGCCCCTCCACCCGACCCTACCACATCAACGTCAGCCTCCATGTCCCCCGCACCATCCACACCCACGCCACCACCCGCACCTCCCTCAAAGCCCCCATCGAAGTCAACCTCCGCTCCATCATTGTCAGCACCCCTTCACCCTTCTGGCGAGAACACGTTCACGACCTCCCCTTCCGCGTCCTCGTTTTCCCCCGAGAAGTCCGTGTCCACCGCGAAGGAGCGCCACGTCTCCCCATCCCCGCTCGCGACGGCGGACGCCAACGTCGCGCCGCGCGTGCCGGCTGCAGGCTCGGGCGCGAAGAGCGAGGCCGCCGCAGCCGGCGCGCCCACAGGTACGAAGGCGGTCAAGCGTGCGGCGGTCGCGAGTGGCGCGACGGGCGAGAAGCGGAAGAAGGCTCTCAAGCGACTGTGAGGCGCGAGGTGCGGTCGCGGTCTCCTGCCGGGGTTGCGCGGTCGCTTGGGACGCTATATGTATGAGGTCTGGATCTGTTATGACGATGTATGCCTCTAGCTAGCTGTGACATATGATTCAATACGCGCATCATGCTTTCCTGCTTTCAATGTGATTTGCGGCACAGATTTTATGACGAGGGGGAGTAGATACTATGGTGCATGTCTTGAGATGTCCAACACCGAGAGGCCACGCGAACGCGGCCAAAGGAAACGATGAGCATATATGTATGCGTCACGACAAGCTTTCCCGGTTGGAAGCGAGCTGTACAATTCGTATTCAGAATTACGACTGCTGTAGCGATGATCTCGACTACAGCACAAAATGAGAATTTACGATGAGTACGATGTAGTGTATAAACGACATCGGAGTAGATACAATACACGGGGAACATACTGAAACATGTGATGCGAGAGGCTACATGGAGACGAACGCTGGTCTAGCAAGTATGACGGGACTTGTCTGGAGTCGCGGGAGGAGGCGACGGCAGAGAGTACCTCGCCTTCTTCGCCTTGTTCTTCTTGCCCTTGGTCGACTTCGTCTTCTTCTGCGCGTTCTGCCCCGCCTCCGCCTGCTTGACCGCATTCCTGTGCTTCCTCAAGTCATTCCAAATATCCCTAGGCCCCTCGAGGTACTCGCGGAACTCCGTGGGCTCCTCCCCCTCAAGAGCGCGCTCCTTTCCTCTCGCAGAGGGCTCTGCACCAATGGGAGCCGGGGCGCTGACGAAGTGGCTCACTGGGGTGGGGAGCATCGTGACAGCTGGGCCGAGCTGCACCGTCGACTGAATCCCGGGCGGCACCCTGTCCCTCGCCGGCGTGTCCAGCTCGTGCCAAGCGGCCTCGTCAGCGAGATGCTGGTACACCATGCCGTAGAACGCGCGCGCGTCCATGAACGCTTTCGCGCGGTTGTACTGGTCCGTCGTCGGTTCTGAGATCTCGCTTGGGAGCGACCCTTCAGGCTGGGGGATGTCGAAGGCCATGTCGGCATCGAAAGCGTGCTTCCTAGTGGTGAGACTTGAGGGCACACTGTATCTTATGGGAGCGGCTGGTGGGGGCGGGGTCATCCCCGGACCGGGGGACTTCTTAGCCTCGCGGGCATGTTCAAGTTGCTCTTCTTCCCAACGCTGGGCGAGATACCAGCACTTGAGCGAGAGATGCAGGGAGTGTAGCACTTCGTTGAGGGGGGCGGGGAAGGCGAGCGTCGTCCTGGACCCGGTAAGTGTCAACTGGCCGCTTAAAGCCCACGATGCGCTCTTCTTGACTTCGCCGCAGGTGTAGATGTCCCCATCGAGGGTGTAGCAGTCGAAGAACCTCTCGAGCCAGGAGAAGACCTGTGCGTCCTCGGTTATGTTCGAGTCGACGTAGCGAACGGAGTAGTAGAGGATGATGTAGAAGAAGGACTCCATGTCGTCTGAGACGGTGGCGACCTTGTTGCCGTCCATCAAAATCGCGATGGACATGAATTGCATAGTCCCCTGAGTGCTCGTCAGCGGTGCAATGGAATCGCGCGACACCGTAAAAACTTACCGTCCTCCCTGGCTGTCTCCAGAACTTCTCGGTTATCTTCTTGGCGAGCTCCCAGTCGATCAAAGCCCCTTTCCAAAGAAGACGGCGAGTCTCAGAACCACCATCCGGTTTGTCGACGACGACGCGGGGGAAAATGAGTATGTTGCCTCCACTAACATCTCGGTGTAGGATGTCGCACTTCCGGAAGGCCACACTATGTGCTGCAGAGACCGTTAGGACGTCAAAATGATGGGAAAGAAAGCCACGTTACCTTGTACAGCATTCAAGACTATATTCAAGAACTGATACACGCTGGTGAAGCGATGGAGAGGAAGGCCGACTTCTTCGACGCAGAGGCGATAATGTTGGTGTCGGCGGAATGGACAGGTGGGATCGACATCCGGACCGCCCTCCTCGATATCCGGATCACGGTCCTCGGCATCGACATCTTCGCTCTCGGCATTGGAGCCGTCGTCGTCAGCGTTGGAACCACCGTCGTCAGCATAGGAATCGTTGTCCTCCTCGTCTTCGGAGCGCTTCCTCTTACCGAGGGAGCTGCCCGCCGAAGTCGCGGAGCGAGTGGTGTTCGTGGCGCTGAGGGAGGAGGAGGCTGTACGCATATGGAACGTAAAGGGGATAGTGGCGGCGGTCTCGTCGTGTGTGGGGGCGGAGAAGTACGTGTGGATGATGTCAACCTGCCGCTTCTTCCAGAGCGTGTGCTCTACTGTGGCCTGTCCGGGGAGGTCGCCGTGACAGACGAGCGTGGGGATGTTCGGAACCCCGGCTAGCCTGAGCTCCTCCAAGACGTCCCCCTCGCGCATGAGGGCCGGGTAGTCCGCGCGCCAGGTGTCCTTGATCCAGTAGAACCGACGTGTCTTCTTCTCGTATCCGACCAGGCCGCACGTACCGCGGCCAATCGCTCCAGGTCCGCGGAATTGGCGTCTGGCGACAAGGAAGTAGCGGAAGCCTCCGTTCCCGTCCGGTATTGCGAGCTTGTACCTTGCGGCATCCTGCTGCAGAGACTCGGCGAACATGTCGCGCACGTACTTGAACGTGAAGGCGCCGACGAGCTCGCCGTCGGCCAGGTCCCGCTCAGTCAGGTCGACATCCGTGGAGCGTGCCTTGGCGGCGTTGGTCATAACCTTCCACTCCGGATCCTTCGAGCGAAGACGAGTGGAAGTCGGGTCGTAACCGACGCCCTGTCCAGAGTCCACGCGAGTGAGGTGGGAGATACGGCGAAGGGCCTCGCAGAGCGTGTCCCATTTGTCGACGTAGTCGAAGGCGTGAGAGACGATGACTCCGGCGCGAGACCAGCGGGTGAGGCGGACGGTGCGGCCGAAGAAGAAGAGGAAGAAGGTGAACGTGCGGTACTGATAGTCGAGGAGGGTTTCGACGTAGTTTGCGACTTGGCCACGTACGACCTTCCGCGTCTCCGCCTGGGTCGTGCCGCCGTCCTTCTTGTCGTCGAAAGGATCGAGAGAGTTCCTGCCGCGCTTGAACTCAATGGGGACGACCTGGTCCGGCCAATGCGGTCGCCCATCCTCAGGCGTGTACTGGTCGAGGTAAAGGGCGCCATCGATCTTCTGCTTGCCGTTCGCGTCGAGATCGTACTTCGTTTCGCTGGTAGCCATCTGCAACCCGGGAACGAGGTCCTCCCGGTTGATGGCTGCAGCCTAAGTATCTGGATGTTAACGCGAGATTTTAAGCATCCACGACGATAAACGCACCACTTTCTTGACCACCTCACTCTCCTCCCAGTCGTTCGCGTCTTCGAGGTCTACGAACGGGTTCTCATCGGGCATCGGGGGAAGGATCGCAGTATCCTCGACGGGCATCCAAGTGGATACGAAGTGATCCGGGGAGATCAAGAACGACTTGTGAGCCATGTCATTCGATATTGCGCGACGGTAATCTGTCTTGTTTCGTTGGCCGGTGGCGCTGCTGAAGATAGAGCCCGAGTGCCGATACGGAGGGCTAGTGTTCGAGACGAAGTGCGGATTATTGGAACCGAAGGTGGAGGAAGTGGAGTTAGACATGGCGGAGAGAAAGAAGTGCCGACATACCAAGGACACGCCCTGGGCTTTTGTAGGCGAGCGTTGGGTGAGGGTGGTCAGAGTACGCTCTGGTTGAGGTACCGGCAATCTGTGTGTGGTCGAGTCAGAGAGAAACTCCGCGGTTATGCCGATTCGCTTACCTTTGTTCGAGGCTTCTCGAAGAGCCCTACGGGCGCAAAAGGCACAATCGACTGTTGGTGGATGTGGTGAAAGAAGCAGTGGGGTGGGCGTTTCCATGTTCAATTTGGCAAGCGCGATCATGTTCCCACGGGTATCTACCACAACCCCGCTCCGGCCTTGCTTTGTGAGTTGCCTCGCACATCATGAACAGCCTCGTGGTGGTCGCTGGCCGATTTCAAACGCGCCTACACAATGGGAGTCATATGGAGCGTGAGGCCTTGAGGATTGGGACCGAATCATTTGACCTCAATTTGACCGGACTCGAAAACGGGCCGCGAAATTGTACCTACATCTCATGGCAGATGTATGTGGATGTAAATGAAACGTGTGTATGCTCCGGTTCTGGTGGGGTATACCGAGCTCTAATGTCCCTCTACTCCAAACCCAGGTAATAACTCACAAGAAATGCATAGACGAAGAGGCAGCAGAAGTACTGGGAGCATCCGCGTTGTCTCCGGCATATCCACGAGGCGACTCGGACATCAGCTACATGGGCATGCCACGCTATCCGGTCCTAAAGAACGTCCATTTTCCATCCGTGGCTCAACCCCGCCGCCACCGCATGTATCCCGCCTCTTCAATCGCGCTTGAGGTACGGGTTGTTCCCCATCATAGCCGCGTAAACAGCCTGAAAGCCACGCCATACACAATCAGTACCACCACCCTGCACAGAAGCTGACTACGGACCTCATCATACGTCTTCTTGACGCTCGGGTGCGCCTTGACGGCCTCCGCATACTCGCGGAACCGCACGAACTCGGGCCCCTCCAGGTGGTCGATGAACTTCTTCCCTTCGCCCAACGGGTACTTGCCAATTTCGTGCCGCATGAGGTACTCGTTCCGGAACAGGAACGGCGCGACGGCGACGTCCGCCAGCGTGAGGGCGTCCCCGACCGCGAACGTGCTGCCCCCCAAGCGCGCTTGCAGGCGCGCATAGACGTCGAGGATGGCGTCGACGGGCCCGGTGCCCATCAGTGCGGCGCGGAAGGCGGCCTCCCCTGAGGACTCCCACTCGTTGATGAACAGGCGCATCCGCGTGCGCGCGATCGGGTCGGCGGGGATGAGGCCGGCGGAGGGGTACTCCTCGGCGATGAGCGCCGCGATGATGAGCGACTCGGGGATCTTCTCCGACTCGGGCGAGGGCTGGTCGGGAGGGACCTCGGGGCCGCCATAGGTGATGAAGGGAATCTGAGGCGGAAACGACAATGAGTAAACGATAGTGGACTGGGGGGAGCTTGACTACCTTGCCCGTCGGCGAGATGCTTCCCCAGACCGACCTGTCCATGAGGTTGACAGTGTAATACTGGTGCTTAGCCCCAGTCGCTTCCAGTACGATGGCAACGCGGTGGACATAGGGGGAGTACTACAAGATGTATGAGTCCGAGTTGAAGAAACCAGAAGAGTGTCCAGAAATTACCGGGTGGCCGTAGAGGGTGATTTGCTCTGGCATGTTGGTTGTATGCTTTCACAGTGTCGAAGGTGAAGTGCGGTTGATGTCTGAGCACGGTCATAACCTTCATCTTTTATACCCGTCGTGTCTCCGCAGGTTCCAGTGCGGCGTGAGAGGGGAGCGTGCAGGCGCAGACTGGCGAATCCCGTTCCGTCGGAGGTCGGGATACATCCCATAGGTGGTTTGACGACCGAGGCGCAAACGGCTTGTGGTGTACCGGTATTCCCACACTACAGCGGAGTACTATCCCCGATCTGAGTGAAGGGGCATGCACGTAAGGGAGAGGATATCCCGAGGTCGGGGTGATGGGATGGGGCGTCTTGCGGGCGTCCCCGGACTCCCGATGTCGGACGCAGCACAAGAGACCAATCCGCACAACGGCATCGGCCGAAAACCGCACGATTCGAAACTGACAGCCTTGAGAAAAAGCTGAAAAATGAGATCAAGCAGACCGGTATTAATTACGCGTCCAGATGTGAATGCATACTACAGGGGTCCGACCACGGCGCGAAGCCACCACCGGTCGCTGGCCCGTAAGCAGCTACTCCGTCCTCTCTTTGACCACAGTCGCGTGACCACTTGACACCGACGCTTGCGCTTCCGCCGATGGCGCCATGAGCACCTCGCCCAGCGCGCAGATACCCGCCGACCAGACCAAGAGGAGCGAGCTGATACAGAAGAACGAGATTGTCTGGCCGATCTCCAGCCACGAGCCGGTGTCGGTGACCCGGAGGAAAAAAGTGATCGTCATGACTGGTAACGGATGGGGTCAGCACGAGTGGGGAGGAATGAGCGAGGCAACGTACTGTCGGTTAAGGTGAGGGCGACGAGGAAGAGACTGAACGGCGGTAGTGAGAGGCGCGCGTTCAAAATGGAGAAGCAGATCGCGAGGATGATGTAGGGAGCAATGATCTTGAAGATCTGTGACCACGCAGTCAGCTCATGTCGGAGTACCGACGGTGGTCATTGACGCACCAAGAGAGCTGCCATGAGGAATGGGTTGAAGACCGGGACTAGACGGTATACGGGCTCAAGGTAAAAGGAACTGAGCTGACATCAGCCAGTGGAACGCCTCAGTACGAACATGAAATGCTTACGATATCGAAGCAACGCTACAATACATGTCAGCATGCGAACAAGAGCGACTTGAAGATGTACACTCACTTTCCGGTCCCAAAGAACGCCACCTGAACGAAGAACAGGAAGAAGACCGCGATGCGCAGGTCATCCACCCGCGGCTTGTATGCCGCCACGTCGACAACCTTCGACTTGTCTTCTCGGGCCCCCTTTTCCTCGTGCTTTTCCTCATCCGTCGCCTGACGCAGCGCAGTCTCAACTTCGACCCACATCGTGAGTGTCAGCGAATACGCGACGTAGAACAAGCCCTCCACAGCGATTGCCAGCCACACGAAGGCTACGCCAAATCCGAGGAAGAAGCTGAGTAGACGTGCGTAGGGCTGGCTCCGGCCGACGCGAAGAACGAAGGGTAGCGCGACGGTAGATACTACCCAGACGGTTAGCAAACAAATTTCACAGGAGAGGGGACAGGCGAACGCACGGAAAAGACCCCAGCCTATAAAACGGAATGCAGGTGGAACGCCTTTCTTGTCACGTAGGTCCCATGCGATAACAGCCACTAGAATTAGCGACCAGCCGAGATTGTTAAGCTATTCATTGAGCAAGACCTACGTCAGCCATCGAAATGTGAAGAGTCGAAAGTACCCACGGGGATGAGGATGGCTGCTTTGAAAAGGGAACTCTCGTTCGAGTTTGTGAACTTGAACCATCGGGAACATAGTACACCGATAGCGTACATCGCCAACGTCCCACATGTGCTACAACCTCAAGTGAGCTTTGGGTACCTCTGACCAACAGATGTGCGTACATTCCAGCTAGGTTTTCCTCTTGATGTACGCTGAGCAGCGGGAAGATCGCAGTGCAAAGACAGCACGATGTCCATCCGATCACAAGTGACCAGTTCTTCGAGCGGACATCGCTCGGCCAAAATAGCGGCCACGCGACGCCGAGGATAGCAAACCATGCACTCCATAGCGAGCGATGAGTGTAGCCAGCCTGAAAGGAAAGAGACGTCAACGGGGGCCGCGGTGGACATGCAGTTGGCAGACTTACCACCATGCTCTGCAAGGCTGCAACTACGACCGCTCCTCGGATCAGAATTTTGCCCACCGATCCTGGCTGACTGTTTCTCATGTACTCGAGTAAAGGACTGCCGGCGCGCACGAGAACTTGATCCCAGAAGTAGCACGGGAAGGCGATGTAGACGTAAAAGGTGACGGGGGACCGTTGCTTCACGAAGACAGCAGAAAAGGCGGCGACGACGGATGCCGCGGCAATGTGGACCGGCAGACTGCTTGTGCCTGGGGAGCTCGCTGGTGTGGACCGGGGAATAAGAATCGAGACGGCGCCAAAGGCAATCCAGCCGAGGTAGGCCGCAATGACGATGCCTTGCAGCATAGTGCGGTCGTAACTACCCCATGGAAGTGAACTTGGAGACCCACTGGAAGTAGCGAGAGACGTACGTTTGCAGATACCGAAGGCCTTCGAGCGAGTGCGCGATGAAGTCTTTCGTTTGCAGACGAGCTTGATGGTATCTTCTCTCTCGAATGAGCCCCTCGATAGCCGTAATGGCTGAGTCGCCCGGAAGTTCGTCCGACTGAGCCGAATGTACAAAGTACGAGTATGGCCGGTAGTACAGCGAGTGCTCCTTCTTTTCGAAATGCTTGACTCGATAGTGCTCCAGGATCACCTAAAGTATGATCAGCATCGACTATAACGGACACCTTCGGGAAGCCACATACCTTGGCATTGATCAGCGCAGCCTCCGCTTGCGTCTTTTCGCCTTCTTGCGGTAGCAGGTAACCCGGCCGGTCCGGGTCGACGTCTGGCAAAACCCCCACCGAGTTGATGGGCCAGTTCACTCCAATGAGAGACGACATAAGCGCAGCTACGTCTGCTTGCTCCACATCGTGGCGAAGAAGGTGGCTGAGCTCGAAAGGCACGGAGTAGGCGTCATGTGAAGACGGTTTGCTGTCAGGTAGAGGTCCACGGACACCCTTTCCCCAAGCGATTATCGGCGTGCGAGTATTATCGGGGTCTACAAAGAAGAGGTCAGCCAAGAGTGCGACGTGGAAGTGGAGGCGAGGCAGACCTTACCGCCGTCGCCGTGGTTCCCAATCTTGGACATGCCATGGTCGGCGGTAAAGACGTACGCTGTCTCGTCGTCCGCGAAGAACTCCCGGAAGAGCTCTTCCGTCTGTTTGACGATCTCGTCAACTACTTGGATGTTCGCCATGTACTCCTGTGGGCTTGATGTGAGGACGAGGGTCGACTTGGCAGAACGGTATGCGAAACGTACTTTTGAGTGAGGGCGATACGAGTGACCGGTGGTATCGAGCCCGAGCAAATGCAGGAAGAATACGGTCTGCTCGCCTCGCAAACGGGCGTCCAGAGTGGCGTCCGAGGTTGCGTTGTGGAGGAGGGCGCGCAGCTGGTCCAGAACCCAGACGTCCAGGGAGGTGGCATCTATGACGTGCTCGGTTTCTCGAGGAGTCGTGTAAAGACTGGAACGCACCTTTCGTAAAGTCCTCCTCCTCTTCGTCATAGCACCACATCTCCACCTTTCCAGGAGTCGCTCCGCGCGCAAACATTGGAAGAATATCCGGCGAGCCGAAGGAAAAGGTGGCACTCGATTGATTGAACACCGAGTCGAAGTCGACCTGCACGAGGTTGTGAGTCGCGTGGGGATTGGAATCGAGGGAGACCACCCACCGGGTTCGTTTTCCAGCCCTTTGATGTGCAACTAGTCAGCGCGTGCAAAACAACACAGACACCCGCGTACCTTCGTCACCGCAGAAACATCCTCGTACATCCCGCCTGGAAGCGCACTGTTCGACCGCATGCTGAAGAACAGAGCAATGGCGACGTACCGATCAGTGCGACATGCCCTGGCCTGCTTTCCGTGGGGACATGCGTATGCGAGATCCCCCATGCCCCGCGCTCCTCAATGATGGACCTCAGGTGAGGAGCGACGACGTCCGGAGAGCCAGGAACCATGGGAAATCCATTCTTCTCGAGGAGGAGGTCCGCGCGCAAGCCGTCCCCTGCGCTGCGATGTGAGATGGACAGCCAAACGAGCTGCGCGCAGACATACCGACAATGAGAACAAGCCGCTTGGCTTCCGCCGTCTTGAGCGAGTGCTGTTGCATGCCTCGGACGACTGGGCTGGTGAAATAGCAGTCGAAGACGGTGCCAATATATACCAGGTGGAAGACGAGCCCTATGAGCAAGAGCTGCCATACGGAGTTGGATATCGCCATGGGGGTTGTCGATCCTATGCAAGCAGATTCATGTATGTGCGGTTAGAATGTGGGGGGTGAAGAGCGGAAGGCGGTCTAAGAGGGCGCGCGCGAGTGGGTGTCGGTGGAGTGTCGTTGAGGGAAGAGATACAGAGCGCGCGACATCGCGCGAACCTGCACTTCGCGCGCGTCGCGCGCCTCCATCACCACCACTAGCGGTCACCGCACTTGGTCAGTACATCTTCTATCTTGACTGCATGGCGTTGTAACAGCATCCCGTATACCGCAGTGATGATTGCAGGAGGTCGTTCAAGTGAAATCAACTGTATTCTCTTCGCGGCAGAGCTGGTACATCATCATTCCACTCCGTCAACGACGCGCTCTGATATCATTTCCCTAGAATGTCTGCCTGCTTCGAGAAATCCATTGCCTGGCGCAATTCCGTATCCTCCACAGAGTCTGACGAGGTGGACATCGGCCAACATTGCGCGGTCACTGGTCTCAACCGAAGCAGAGAGACGGTCCTGCAGCGTGCCTACCTTGTTCCCCCCGATATATCCCGTGAGCGGGTGCGTGACCCAGCGTATGGTGTTACTTTCTCGCTGACGTCTCGCAGCTCGACAAGTTAGAGTTCTCGTGGGGCGTTGCGCGCCACTCGTTTGATGTCCATGATCCCAAGAACATCATATCGCGTGAGTGGGCCTGGGATATCCCTTAGTTTCGAAGGTGACTCTCACATTCCCATCGCAGTTGAGGCCAGTCTCTGTGCCTTGTTTGGAACAGATGACAATGAGCCCACCGGTTGGTTTTTGGTGCCCGCCGAAGCCAAGGGCGATATAAACGACGTATATCTCTTCCCACAACTAGTTTCCGATAATTGACAATATATTTAGTGCTACGACGGCGCCACTGTGTTCAAGTATCTCCTGGTCGCATTTCCCTCCATGCGTGAATGCTCGTCGGTGATCAAGTACTCTCCCTCTAAAGAGCATCTGAATGAAGACACACAGCGCTTCCATTACCCTTTCATCGATTTCGGCCCCATATATCTCCCTGTTCCCTACCACCACGTCGTCTTCCACACCGGCACGAAGCTTCAGCGGGTATACCCAAACAGGATCGAAAGTCTCGAATATTTTGATCCCTATACCCCCGTATCGACGATTCTAAAAACTATTTGTAACATTGAAGACATCTACCAGGAATGGGATGGAGCAATGCCTCCAACCGAATGGACACCGCGGTCACGTCGCCATGATGAACAAAATGACGCACGTAAGGCCGCCGCACCCTGCCAGGACAACGTTACGCCAACCGGGAGTATCTACTATCCACTGGAGCTCGACGACACCAAGGGACGCCACTGGAATCCTTGGACAGATGATGATATAGAAGTCAGGTCCAAGTCAGACGTAGACTTCGGGGATTTGGATGATCGCACTGCCGAGGACCTCGAGTAGTGGATTTCTCAATCCCCTTCATGTCGAACCAATATTAGTATAGCATCCTTTCGATTCCATCTTCGCCATCGCGCAGTGCGAGAGCGCCGGGTGCGCTGATTTACATGATACTTATAATACTGACCGAATGCTTTGTGTAATAATTGTATGTATGGGCTGCCGGAGAATGAGAGTCAAGAGCGAGTGGCGACAAGTTGGCTCATGCCCGCGCGAGCGTACTGGCGGGGATAGCCGCACAGCAGGGTCACGCTCGGATCTCCACCACCCTCGCATGCACGCCCATGTTCTCGCTCTTCTGCCCCGTCGTCTTCCGCACACCTCCGATATGTGATCTCTCCTTTTCAATGCAAAACAAGACGGTCGCCCGACGCGTTGTACGCCCGCGTGTTCTCGCCGCACGACCACAAGCACGTTCAGCACACGATGGCACGCGAGGTGGTCACCATTCATCCATTTCTTTCGCTCGAGGCCACAAGACTGGGAAATGCTTGCCAACCGCCCGCCCGCTCTCCCCGTGATATACCCGGCGTGCGCAAACGTAGGGCGACTGTGCCTTGGATTCAAGAAGAGCATTGAATGCTTGAACTCGAGCAGAGCGCAAGACGTACGCGAACCGAAGACGCGGCCTCCCGAGCCTGGATCCTCCTCCTTGGTGCGCTCGCCGTCGCCACGCCTCCGGGTCCATGGGACGCGTTCAGCTACGCGCCGATGAGCAGGACAGTCGGTCCGGTCGCGGTCAAAGAGACCCACGGGGTGGTGAGGAGTGTGTAGAATTTGACGTTCAAAAGTAGCGCATCTTTGGTGGGGAACGGTTCATGGTTTGCGCCTGACTTTGGCATCGAGGTACGTCGTAGGATCCCCATCTCCTTCCTCCTCTGCTCACCACCTTCTCTTTTGAAGGTCGGTGGTTGACAATGCAACCAACGCGTCGTCCGTCGTTCTGTCGTTCACAGAGTCGTCCATGTTCATCAGCCCCCTCACTTCCGACGACTCCACGTATCCTACGCCGAACATGTCGTGCGCGACGCGGTTCTGAACGTCCACGGCCCATGGACCCAGCCTGCTGAGTTCCTTCGTGGCGGTTTCCGCTACGGTGACCTACCTCACGAGCATTCCAATTCCAACGTCGGGCGACCCGTGTTGGGCCTCATACCGGGAAGGTACGGCACTCCAGTGGATGCTTTTGCGCGCACGACCCGGTGTTCGAGGACAACAACCTCCCGACCAAGGTATGTGCTGCAGTCGCGTTGAATGTATTTCAGCTGTGGTATGCTGGCGCATATACAGTACAAACACAAGTTTCCCGGGCGACAGATCCCGGTGGTACAATCTCCAGGTGAGTGCAAGCTGTGTGTATGGACGATCTACGAGCTGAAGAAGTTCCGGCAAGATTGCGCGAATAATGCGACGCTAGGGACAGTGGGTCCTAACCGCGCACGCGGAGCACAGCGATCTGGCGACGCGATATCTCGAATCTCGATCCCAATGGTGCTATGTAGTATGTCGTGAATGAATAAGCGGCCATCATGTATGAAGTGGTCGTGGTCCTGAGCGGGTTCGAGGTGTACAAGAGCGACTGTGTGAGTGTAGGTAGATGCTCTTGACTAACATACGCATCTTCATGCAGAGCTACGAGGTCTGCGACATGGCCGTCGTAGGTAAGTGACTGTGGACACCTGCGGAAGCGATCAAGTTGACAATCCAAATACCTCCAGTATTCTCCGCGCTTCGCGGACATGCGATGAAGATGGTCCTAACATTTCACTTCTGTTTAAGACGAGACGATTCCAAGACACCATGCCCTAACCTGGGCCCCTGCTTCTTAACGGAAGGTTCCGGAGGAGCCTTTCCTTCTGCACAGGTGCGAGTACTGGATCCTCTGCTTTCTCATTCTTTCTGATTTTGAGAGCCGACCTAGCGTCTCTTGCAACGTGGGCGGACGCGATCGCGCTTCCTGTCGCTGTTCTAGTGATCATCTGGTGTCGCACCGCGGCTGGAAATTTGTGGTGCAAAGGTGTCTATTTTACTCTGTTTCGGTAAGCACGAGCGTTGTTCTTGACTGTTGGTCTACACTCATACCGGCTGACAGAGACATGGTACTTCGTGTATGCGACGTTCAAACGCTTCATCTTTAGCCGCTGCTCTAGCAGTGTCACGATCACGATCAACGTCTTGTCCGTGATCACCTTCGTCAACGGGGTCGGTCCCTGGTCACGCTTCCTCCGGTCTCTCGTGCATGTCGAATGCGGTGTTTACTGAAGAAGGACCCCCAAAGTTTGAGTTTGATTATGACGCTGCATTGGAGATGGAGGATGTGCTACCATCGCAGGTATGACTCCTGTCTGTACGATGCCGTTGATGCTGTTCAATGTGCACTGCTGTACCATTCGCTCTCAGCAGGAGATACTAGTTATTGATCAGATCAGACACTTGCACCGCTGTCAGCTGGCGACTCACACGCCTTCAACGTGCTCCAGACAGAACTTGATGGACACGCCATCTGTCTGACAGCTTCTATCTGGGATGTGTGTTTCTCATGCTTCTCGGTGCCGCATAAAGAGGCAGCTCGGAGTAGTCACTGCATTCTTCTTCGCCCTCTTCAATTTCTTCCTTTGCTTCTTGCCCTGCTTGCGGGTAATCAGCGCTTGGTGATGAGACTATCCTACTTTGCGACCGTTGCGACCCTTCTGACTAATTTGACTCGTAAGTGCTCGCCAGATACATGTTTAATGTATGTGCTCTTGCCTGACATTGCTCACACCGCTCATACAGACCCGACAATGGACACAGTCTACGAGAACAAGGGCGAAGTGGGGCAGTCCTCGATGGTGTGTCCTTCCGTTCATCCAGGGGTTTTCTCGGATGCACGAATCTCATCTTCGGCGGACGCTCAGATAGGAAACGCGTCCGAGACCTCCACTGCGATCTTCCCCAGTGACACCGCGATCCGCCCGGTGAACTTTCGCTCAAGCGGGGGCGGTCACGGGTCTTCTCATTCCTCGGGAGACGAAGTCCATTTAGGAAACGGTCACTCTGTTGGCCATAGCACTAGTGGCAACACGGTAGCGACTTGCCGAATTGCGCCTGGAGCTATGGCTATGCTTACCTTTGGCGCAGTCGTCGTGGCGATTTTGTAAACTCTGTGGCGCTTGAATCGATGGCATGCATGGCGGGGTTTTGCGTCGAAAGAAAATGATGCAACACATTGTGTATTCACGCAGAAGATTACAGAGATGTCTGCCCCGCTATCATCATCTACCCTGTTCGCTCCTGCGACATCAGAGTCCCTCACTTGGATCACGCATACATTTCCAAACGCGACTTCATGAAACGGATGCATCGTAGGGACCAGAAGCACGGCTACCGGTCGGAACATCATCGTGTGCGGCTGCAGACATCCATCAATATGTCGGCTCGAGACGGCCGAGCCTGGTTCCGAGAGTAGACTCACCGAAGTTAAACATAACTGAAGCTCACGTGGATGCGCAGAAGGCGTTGATGTTGCTGTCTGCCCGGCACCTTCGGCGTTGTCTTCGACGACCTTCCCTTCGGGCTCGTCGGCGGTCGTTATCGGCTGCGTCTTCCGAATACACGTCATACAGACTCGACTTCCGAGTCCGGGTCCTCCGTGCACTCGTCCGAGTGCTCATCGGTCCCATGTAGAGTCGGCGGATCGCGTCCCACGTTCGTGCGCCAGGATCCATCTGAGGACTCATGCGCGTCATCAGAGTGGTCGTCCACGGTCCACGGCCCAGCTCACAGGCGTGGCGCGTCCGATGTCAGTATGGTGGTGTGATCTGTCCGAGTTGGACGCGTTTCCATTCGCGTTGTCATCCGCAACTCGCTGCCAAGGCCCGGAGCGCGGATCCTGTGGTCCTCCAGCACCGAACCACTGCCAGTCCCCGACGGACCCATCCATGTAGCCATTCGAGGACATATCAACGCCCCCCCCCCCCCCCCCCCCCCCGAGAGCGGCGCTCGACAGACAATGCCGGGCCCTTGCGCCTGTGGGCTGACTTCGATTCGTCGCCATCGCATGAGAGTCGAGACTCCCCCCGGGGACGTTTCCGCTCCTTCCCCCGAATCATGATCGCCCCGCGGTCCGCCAGAATCGAATTTGCGCCGACCCAGAGGCGAATTTCCGATCCACGAGACTATACCAAACGTATTTTGAAGTTTGATGACGGGAAACGCGCGCGGTCGATGGTGAGTACTTACAGCTGTTGCCGAAATGATTGCCCGACCAACTCCGACGCTACGCGAGCGGCAACAGGCACGAATGCTCCGAAAAATTCGGAGAAATTCGGGAAAGTCCCACCGCGCGCGTACGACCTGACGCGAGCCGACGCGAGCGACGCAGAAAATTCGGAAAATGATGGAAATTGGGGTCGGACAGCGAGAGCGTGCCAGCGACACATTGTACGCTTCTGTTTTTACCTCCTTCCTGCTCTAACACTGGCTCTACATATCTTTCCGCCACATGGACGACACAGAAGGCAACAGAGAGATGCGCGACGCATGGTTTTGTCGCACGTCACAACTTCCTGCCTGGTCATGGGCGTCGAGAGCCACGGCAGGAAGCACGTCTCGAGGAATACGCGCGACATCGTCTTGAGCACCACGAAACACGTCACGATCACAGCAGTGCAAGCGACACATAGAGGACAACCTGCAGCACACTGTTGACGATGACGGCGAGGATCGTACAGCACTCGCCGTCGCCCCGCGCGCCGAGCACATTCCACACAACGACCACCATGATGCACCGCGTGAGACTGACCATGCTCAAACCCATGTGGTACCTTGAGAGCGCGAGCGCGAGATGCAACGCCATCGTGCACGTATGAAGCAGCACGGGTAGGGACTGGGAGAGCTTTAACGGTGTTCGTGTCGGGGCCGAACATCAGGAAAAAGCGCACCGCGCGAGAGCCCCGGCCCGAACTCGGGATCGCACGCTTGTTGCCAGTGATGGCCGGGAGAGCGCTCGAGCTCTCGAGCGTAATGACTGATGATATCGAGGTCGCCCGAGCAGCGGCGAGCACCGCGGTGAGCTCGCGAGCACTCCAGAGTTGCAGCGGCTGCTCACTACACCTTGAGAGTCACGGCCGGCTCCTACCGAGCTCTCGCGTGTCTGAGTGACGCCACGAGAGGACAGTCGATACGCCCTCAGCGGACGGGATACCTCAGGAATTCAGTAAAAATTTTGTGTAGAACATGCAGTCATTGGCTGCACCACTTATATAACATTAACAGAAGAACTCGGTACATTGTACATACATTCGGCGTAACTTGCGTAGCGCGAAGGCACACCAGTGGGAGCTTGCCGCCGCGCGCGAGGAGCACCGGCGGACCGCTGTGTTGCTCGAAACTCCCCCACAGAGCTCCGCGCCGCCCAGGTCTTCCTCACCTGTGCCGCGTGCGGACGGTGAGAGGGAGGAGCGAAGCTGGCCCTGTCCGCGTGAGGGCTAGGCCGAAGCGTCGTGGATGGTCTGGCGCGTGCGACGCGGTGGTTGAAGTCACATTCTAGGGCATCTATGCCCACAGCCTGTGCTCGATGTGCCGGGGTGGCGTGGGTGAAAGGAGCCTCGCGGTCTACACAAGTATAAGAACGCAAGGTATGCACGTTACCTTGTGTCCTTGCCCTTCGGTCCGAGTCTCCTCTCCACCACCCATTGCTGAATGCGTGTGCCGAACCTCAGGTGGTCGCCGGGTGCTGACGGTCCGAACGCACCTCCACCGGCTGCGCGAGGCTCCCGAGGACGGGGAGAGGGGTAAGGGTCGGGTTCGTGCACATGCTTGCCACAGTTCTCCACGCGTGCGGGGTGGAGGACAACGCGGACGCGCTCCGCCTCGAGCTCCGATGTGCGAATGCGGCCGCGCTCCAGACTCTTGTTCGCCTCTTGTTTGAGTTCCGGCGCGGCCCGACGGCCTAAGAGAGGGCTTCGCGCGAGAGGTCTCCATGGGCGCGCAGGAGGTGTTCGACTAGGAAGGAATGAATGGTGAGGGGCCGCGAAAGAGGATGTAGGGAAGCAAGTTCGAGACGGCGCACCTGGTGTTTTGCACGACGAGGCTTGGGTAGCCGTTCCGTCCAACTTCTCGGTAGTCTATGTGAGCGCACAGTTGGAAGGGGTTCAACGAGGCGGAAATGGAGGTGTAGGAGGACCCGAAAAGAGGAGGCAGGGAAACAAAAAAACAAAGTCGAGACAGCGCACTAGTCAGGGACTATCATGCGCGATACTCTCGTGTTAAAATGGTAGCTACTTCCCACGCACTGACCAGTCGCCCTGCGCGCGGACCTGTTGCGCTCTGCCAGCGCGCCATGGTCTCCAGTGGTCTCCATATCTTGCTCCTTCGTCGACTCCATGTGCGTGCATCTCTCGCCCGGTTTGCTCACTCTCCCGCATTCTGTGATTGTGAGTGAGTGAGCCTTCTGACATCTTAGTTCACACGCATCGTCTGACTACCCTTCTCCGCTCACGCCTGCGGCCCTCGAGGGCGGCGCACGTAGGAGTCCCGGAGTGCTTGGATCACTGGTCCAGTCTGACAAGAGGTGCGTGCACCTGCCGGTGTGGGCTCCAGACATCGCTTTCAACTGCGTCTTCCCCTTCCCCGTGCCCCTCGCGCGCGCCCAGCACCCGCGTCCTCGTCGTCCGTTCGTCGACTCCCGGCGCGTTCTGCGTCGGCGCGGACCTCGTCGAACGCGCGTCGATGTCCAAGGCGTAGGTCGACCAGTTCCTGCTCGACCTCCGCCGCGCCCTCGGCACGCTTGAAGGCCTGCCCATGCCCACCCTCGCCACCATCGACGGCCCCGCGCTCGGCGGCGGCCTCGAGCTCGGGCTCGCGTGCGACTTGCGCATCGCAGGTGAACGCCCGTGCTCCCGAGGCTTCGCTTGCGGACAGTCGCTCATCCGTCCACGCCCCAGGACACGCCGTGACGAAGATCGGGCCGCCCGAGGTCAGGCTCGGGATCGTCCCCGGCGCGGGCAGGACACAGCGGCTCACGCGCCTCCTGGGTCTCTCATCTTCGCCGCGCAGGAGGCGTTGAATACGGTGTGTCCTTTCCCATCTGTGCGCCGTCTGCCGGATCTCATTGTATCTACTATTTGGCAATAGCTTTACAGTCGTACGCGCGCGGTGTACCACTGCTCTCGAAGCCCACTGGGTGGGGAATGTTTGGATAGGGATGATGGTACGTCAAGGCTTTTATAAGCAGTAGGCCCAGACCTGACAGTTTTCATGTGTGTTGCGAGACCGTCAAGCTCTCCGTCACTCCACCTCTCCACCTGGCTCTTCTGGAGCCCCGTCTTTCGATGCTGGTGCTTGTGGTTTGCCCTGCGCATTATACTGTCCATTTTATCGTGAGTATTTTCTCTTCTGCTGCGCACACACGGTGCCCACTGATAACTCTCCACGCTCGGCTCTGCACCCCAGTTCGCCAGCAGGACCGCATTCTCCTCCCCCTCGAGCGCAGTGGTAGCAAGGCCCCCTCCCTCGGCACTCCGATTGCCAAGCACCATTGACCGTCTCGCGCCTCTCCGCTCTCGTCTGCAGAGCTTGATGCACTCGCCGTGACGCGCCCACTGGGTGAGTGGGTGCTTGATGCAGACCGCGTGGTCCGCCTCGATGACCTCGCCATTGTCGATTGGCAGACACGGTGGGTCGACACATGTATTGTGGATATAGAGAGCTGGACTGTATTATTACATATACTTGATCAATATATTTTCTTTCGATGCATATCTGGCAGCGGAGAGAAACAGACCCAGGATATGAGCAATATCGGGAGTGCGTCCCATGCCCAAGATGCCTCTCGAGCACTCTCGAGACGAAACTCGAGGCTGCTCCGGAGTGCTCGGCGAGCAGGCGGCTGTGTCTCCCGAGCGCCCGCGAGGCGCCCTGCCAAGCTCGCGTGCCTCGAGAGAAGGGGACTTGTCTCGCCGTGCTCGAACTGCTCTCGAGCCTCGGGAGCACTCCCGAGACAGGTCATTTTTTCCTGATGAAGCATGAATTCATAGAAGCAACTACAATGTATACCTACAGGCAACCGCTATGCCTGTACCAGCCGTGAGCCTTCTCCGGGGTGACAGCAGCATAGCAGGCCTCAATGAGCTCGTTCTCCGGAAAGGCGTCGTCTCCACCCATGTAGTCCCGTTGCCGACGAAGGTATATGAGCAGACACCCTTTGCACTGTTAATACGGCGAAATTCCAGCCAAAAGAGCATGTTCCGCACTCACTGGTTGCTTCCACTGCCTCGCAAACTGCTTCACTCGTGTGTGTGCGGCAATTGTCGACAATGAGAACACTGTTTGGGCTCGAGAACGGGTTCATCTTGGGCAGCTATCAAAGAGACCGCTGAGACGGGATGAGGACCGAGACGAGTTGACCCGACATACCAGCTCTGTGACAACCCAATCGTAGGACTCCACACCATCCTGCACCACCCACACGGGGAGAATGTCGTCCAATGTGAGGGCGGGGAGGACGGAGAAGCGTCGGCCCTGGTCAGCCAGCATGCTGCCCATTCAAAGCGCACTCATACCGCCTTTGAACAGTTCGGTTGTCCTTGCTTGACTCGTCCTGGGCGTGCCACCAATGCCGGGTGATCTCGTCGCGTTGGGCTGCCTCCTTTCACATTTTCTTGTACGAAAACCCGAGATGGACGAGGGTACACGGTGGGCAGTGGTGAGAGAGATGCGAATACCGTGGGTTTCAATGCACCACTTGACGACTTCGTCGAGGTACATCGAAGGGTGGGAGAGGAGATATCGTAGATCCTCTAGGACCGCGGGTGGAAGCAGAGGGCAGCGACCACAGAGAATCCGGCTGCTCTAATGTCTTGTAGTCGTTCTCCCATCGTCGGATAGAGCGTATAGACACTCCCAGGACTTCAGCCACGTCGACCCGCGACCAGCCTTGAACCGACCGCAAGTAGATCGCACAAGCCCTGAAGCTTGATATCTCGCGAGACATAGCACCCAGGCATGATGAGATGTGAAGCAGAGACAAAAGGAATGGAGCGGAGGGCGCAAAACCGCTGCAGACGATGAGGACGATTTTTTCGATTTTTTCGATTTTCTCGTGTGCGTTCGTGCAGCTCGCGTGTGATGCGAGCTCGCGTACAGCTACGGTCACAAAGCTTGTCCAGGCGCCGAAAAAACGCGACTCGCGTCGAGAGAAATCGAAAATAAATCGAAAATGGTCGAAAAATCGCCAGTGGTGCTGCGAGCGCGTTTCTTCTCTCTCTCTCCCTCGTTAGATCCCCCCGACGGCCATAGAATGTTGAAGAGCGCATCAGGCGCGTGTTTGGGTACGGTATGACGCTTTTCCGCGTCCTCAACGGCTGAGCTGACGTGTTCCGCGGCAGACAGTGGTCGGGTGGTGGTCCACGACGACTTTATCCCTGTCTGCCACCATGGCGCCCCTTGAGCCACCCCGAGGTTGAAATCATGCCCATGAAGCATGCATCTGCGATGCAAGGAAATCGTCACATCTACGGCGACTGTCGAGAAGGCGTTGGCGGAGGTGCAGGAGCGGCCGGGTATGTATGTGTACTCAAGAGAGGATGCCGCCTTCGGTGAGTGCCCCATTAATATCATGTGTCCCCTGTCGTCGCAGCATAGTTATGTATACTGTCGCTGTGATCTGTGGCGCAAGACGTTCGTATGCCCAAGTTTTTGTGGCTACATTGGGAGAGTCTGCGGTGGTTCACGGTGCAGCTCGCGCTCTCATAGACACCACCCTCCTCGCTTCGTGCTCCCAGCTTCATTGTCACGAGGATTTTTCAAGTCCTCGTTACACGGAACAGTTGGTTGGGTGGTAACGAGTCGGAAGGCTCTCATAAACCTATAGATAGAGGGGGATGTACAGTACTTGTAGGATGTACATGCCTTCCAGTTTCGCCTTGCCGTTCGAGTGTTCTCCCAGCCCTCCGAGCGACACCAACTGTTCAATAGGCACCTGTTACTTGTGCGAAACTTGAGACGCCCTATGTGTGGAATCAGGGACCATGTGGTTGCTCCTACAATTCTGGAAGTAGGCTCCGGTCATGGGGAGTACATGACATCTTCGGTGTGGCGCAGGAGACATTGAAACACCAAGAACTCACCCATAAGGATACATTCAGCTTCCTATTCATCGTCAGACAGAATTCGAGGAGTGTGAAGGTGGCAGACGGGGATAAAATCGTCGTGGACCACCACCCGACCACTGTCTGCCGCGGAACACGTCAGCTCAGCCGTTGAGGACGCGGAAAAGCGTCATACCGTACCCAAACACGCGCCTGATGCGCTCTTCAACATTCTATGGCCGTCGGGGGGATCTAACGAGGGAGAGAGAGAGAAGAAACGCGCTCGCAGCACCACTGGCGATTTTTCGACCATTTTCGATTTATTTTCGATTTCTCTCGACGCGAGTCGCGTTTTTTCGGCGCCTGGACAAGCTTTGTGACCGTAGCTGTATCATCGGAGTTGGTCGGGCAATCATTTCGGAAACAGCTGTACTTGAGTAATTAATGATGGCGAGGGACCAGCGCTTGACTGCCTGGTGTCCGGCAGAAGTGGTGGGAATTGCCGACCGGGCCGATTGGAGACCGGCGAGCGCCTCTCGTCGAGGTCTCTTGTCACTCAGCCTGTTCCTCCACCCCGAGCAACACAACAGAGATCGACAAATCATCCCTGATGGTGTCTCTCCAAGCTCTTTCTCGTGAGAGCATACCGCCTCGAGGCATGCCACCGGCTTCAGCCTCAGGTCCGAAGCACTGTGACTTACACACGACGCCCACAATACGCAGCCACGCCCGGTAGACCCTCCCTCGGAGCGCATTCAGCCAAATACGTATCCAATGGCAAACGTACTGACGAGTACCACCTTTTATCCTCAATTCCTCAGTGTGGTATTGACGTAGCTGGAATAATATCAGTATGCCGATCGCCGCGCACCACGATGCCCAGTCCTTCGTGCCGCTTCTTGCCTGTGGACCATTCCCAGATCAACGGCTATGGGATCCCAATACAAATATCCTCCGATTCCGAAGCCGCGATAAAGGCCACGTTGTGAACGCACGACTTACCGCCATGTAAATCCGTGCTCGCTGTCGCCTCCGCCCATAGGCTCCTGCCACGCTCAAGCTGGTCGTCGAGATACTTTTCGCCACCATGCCTCTCTCTATCACCTACCCCAGCAATACATCTAGCCCCCTTTCCCCTACCAACTCAAGGGCGGGGGAGGTACAGACGTGCAGCTCGGGTGACGTAGACCTACACTGCGCCGTCACAGGTCAGTGCGATGCGACTCTCCTGCACCGCACCCAGATCATCCCATTCGATACGCCTCGCGAACAGGTACGCACTTGGGCCAGAACAGTATGTCCCTCTGGCTGACTTGTTGCAGCTCGACAAACTCGAGTTCTCGTGGGGCGTCGGGCGCAACTCGATTGATGTCGATAGTCCCAGGAATATCATTGCACGTGAGTAACGATATCCCTTCGTTACAAACGGTTCTCAATCAAAAATTTCTAGTCGAGACCAGCCTTGGCGTCTTGTTTGGTACCAATGACGACCAGCCCACTGGATGGTTTTTAATACCCGCAGAGGAGATGCTCTTCTGGAAGGTATTCCTTTACGAGACATCGGACAAGAAAGGCGACATCAACAATGTACGTCTGTTCCTGCATCTCTCTTTCAACATGTGCCGATGATTGAGGTTTTATCTAGTGCTACCGCGGCTCCATCGAGTTCAGCTATTATCTGGTCGCATTTCCATCTATGAAGAAATGCTCGTCGGTCGTCAAGTACACAGGCGACGCTTCCTCTGAGGGGCAGCTTCGGTCGGATGATATCCAGCGCTTCCGATACCCATTCATCGACTTTGGCCCCATCTATCTCCCAGTTCCCTACCACTATATCGCCGTCCACACCGGCGCGAAATTGCTGCGCGTATATCCAGAGGGACTCTCCCACTATAGACACTTCCTGCCATATGACGCTCTCTACCGCAACGCAATATACAACGTAGCGAAGATCTATCAGCACTGGATGGGCACGGAACCTCCAACTGAATGGGCACCATTGACACGTCACCTTAATGAACACGCCAAAGAAAACGAGGCCGCTTCATCCTGGGAGAATGCCACGTCAACGGGAGAGATATGTGATGACGACGACTCGTGCTCTAACGAGAGTACGACCGATCCAGAGGTACTTGAAGACTACAGGGGACGCGACTACTGTAAATGGACAGATAGCGACATAGAAGCAAGAGCATCTGACATAGAGGACTTGGGTGTTTACGCTGAGGACGATGAGGAGTGCGATGAGGACGATGAGGAGGACGATGGGGACGATGAGGAGGACGATGGGGACGATGAGGAGGACGAGAACGATGAGGAGTGTGAGGAGGAGGACGATGAGGACGATGAGGAGTAAAATTACTCTGTGGGTGTATTAGAGCCACTCGAACGACCAATCTGGATGATATTGAAGACACTGCGCGCCCTTCCTCTTCAAGCTCAGCTCAAGTCGGTTCGAGGGACCAACTGAACATCCGATGCTGATCATAGAATCATTATTTTCGTGGTTCCATACCTGGTATAACCGTGTACAAATCGCAGAAACGAGAGATAGGGCAGCATCGGGGGAGAAAGAGGAGGCATATCGCTGACCAAGGTCGAAAGCGTCGATAGCAGTACAATCGGGCTCGCCTGTATCCATCGCCGAACATCACGCCTACAACAAGAGTCAGCCCAACGTTCTCTCGCACTACTGGCTCCAACGCACCTGTCCCGCAGGCGTCGCACTGGCATCCGCCGCCGCCGGCCCATCCGCTGCCCACCCCTCCACCGTCACCCCCATCAGCTCCGGCAGCCGCCGCCAGATGTCCTTGTGCTGCACCTTCTCCCGGTCCTGCAGCATCTTGTAGCACGCCGCGCAGATCCGCCGGTCGTCGTCCCGCCCGTCGATGTAGTCCGTCCAGTACTTGAACCAGTCCAGCGTGCACACCACGCGCTCGTGGCCCCGCAGCTCGTCCACCAGCCTCAAGAACACCGCCCCGCACACCTCCCGCCGCGTGCAGCCCTCCGAGAGCGTCTGCGCGAAGAGCGAGAGCGTCGCGAGCGTGTTCGCCTGCATCAGGTTCGCGCGACCCGCGAAGCACCGCCCGACGTCCGCCGCGTCTGCCAGCGCCTCCCGCCGCGCCCCGTCCCCGGTCTCGCCCTCGAGCATGAAGCCGCGGATGAGCTCGTCCGCGCCGAGCATGCAGCAGCCCATGAGCGCCGCGGGCAGGAGCGCGTCGGTGCCGGTGAGGCGCGCGAGGTTGACGACGCCGATCGCGTGCGCGGCCTCGAACGCGGGCGGCCGCGGGGGGTCGACGCGCGGCCAGGTGTCGAAGGAGTCGACGTAGTACTTCTTGAGGTATCCGAGCGCGCCTTGCAGCACGGCCTCGGCCTCGTACTTGTGCCCGAGCCGGACGCAGGCGGAGACGGCGTGGAAGGAGAGGTCGTCTGGCGTCACTCTGCACGGTGGCGATCTTAGCGTTTTAGTTGCTAGGGCGGGCGGAAGGGTGCTCACCGAGGGGTGCGTCCGGGGACGAGCACGCGGAGGAAATGCCGCAGATCCTCGGGCGAGTCTGGGACGTGCACGAGGGCGGGCGTGTAGGTGGCGCATCGGTGGCACAGGGTGCCAGGAGATTTGGGGTCAGCGTTCGGATGGCCGTGCTCTGGTGCAGGCTGCGGTAGGGACAGCATGTCTCTGAAGACGGGCGAGTTCGCGATCAGCGGTCCCTTATAGACTCGGAATTCGACGGCATTGCGCGCGATGAGGGTGAGATTGCCGTCCTCGAGCCAGAACTCGTCGTCGGGCTTGGGTTGCTTTGGGACGCTGTCCGCGAGAGATATCTCAATGACACCAGAGCCCGTCGACTTTTGAGCCTCCTCTGTGGGGAATTGGCTCTGTCGCTCCGCCGAAGGCTCGGGCGATGGATTCCGCGAAGGCATAGGCATCCACGCCGAATGTTTCCGCTGGATGTGAAGAGATCGTGTTGGTTTGGCGCCACGGAAAGGACCTGAGTAGTGCACTGCACCTGGAGCCGGGCGATGCGGATATGTGGTGGGTGTATAAACTGATCTACCGTGATGCGGGCCTGGAAGAGGTGGATGTAATCAGCGTTACTAGAGTTCCATATATCCCGCGATAACACGTGGCAGCCACCCTCACACAGTCCGCGCCACTCGGAGTACGGCTGGACTGTGCTCGAAAATGGCGCGAACGCAGCGATTTACCTGAGGAGATTGTGGGGTGTAGCAGGTGATATCGGTGGAGATGGAAGAGCTGCGCAGCAACGAGACCGCCACCAGGCTGTCTTGCACCACGAGGCACGAGCGTCAACCGCCTCATGCGGATCTGGACGCCGGAATCCGCACCACAGAAAAATCCAAACGGTGTGCTTGTGGACACTCCTTGGGGACGCATGGAAAATGAAGAAGGCTAGTTACGCTGCGTAGTTGCATGTGCTACACCCTCTCGTCCCACGCGTCGGCGACGTCCTCCTTCGCCGCGCGACCTCGTCCATCACGAGCGCGAAGCCTGCCGCCACTTCTCCCTCGTGCACAACATATTCCACCTGAAGTGCCAGTCTCGTACGTCAACCCGACGGACGCGTCCATCTCCCAGAAGAATACACGTTGCCCATTCTTGCTCCACGGTGGGCGGGGCGGCCAGAGCGGTGCGCGACGGTAAGTAGAACGTGATGTCGCGCATACCGATAAGATCCAACTATGTACGCCTGAACGAATTCGGGGTAGGAGATGTTCGCATAGTGCGTCGCGATCAGCGCGCTAAGCGTGTACATCCGCAGCCACCACGGATGAGATCGACAACTTCAACGGAGTACGAGAACCGCGCGTGCAGCTCATGGGCAGCCCTCAAAGCCTCAATATTCAATGACGGCAATTGGCGTGACAGGTGGTTGGCGGCGTTGTCGGTGCTGTTGTACGAGAAGCCGTGATCTGGGAGATCGGATGCGTGTGACAGCATATCCCCGACGCTGGCCTTCTGTGTGGCCTAGTCGCCTTTCCCGTGGAGGCGGAATGGATCAGGAGAACTCCGAACGAACGGGGTTCGCAAGCTTCCTGTCCGAGGGCGGGGCATTCGGGCCTTGCGCGAAGTCGTCCGTGAGGATGGCCAATGAAGCAGCGAGCTACGCTCCCGGGTGGGAGGCCAAAGAGATGGTCCATGCTTCACAAAAATCTCCCACACATCGACAGAAAGATATACCACACACTGACGCGTCCAGTCACCGGGATAAGTAATGCGCCTGCGGCCGGCGGAACCGTATGGGCACTGTGAGAGAATGGCCGATAGGGAGCCAAAGGCCGAGGGGGAAATTGAAAAAAGGGAGCACAACACCCGGAACATTGTCGCTTTTCGTGGTGGTGGACATCGACAACACGTTGGCAACTGGCCGGATGGCGGGGCAGGCCCTGCTTACGTAAGGTGTTGCCTCGGCGCTCGAATGCTTCGGAGCAAAGCCGATCATTCAGCCACGTGCAAGCGCTTGACAACCGCAACTTCCTTGCACTCACGGTCCACGGAGACTCACGGTGCGCAGGAACACGGCCGCCGAATCCCATCAGCAAGCCGCGGTCATCAGGCAACAGGAAGCAAACATAAGCCCGAATCGTGGTTGCGGCGAAGGCTTGCGGTCCTACTAGTTCACGCTCTCTTTTTCTTCCCACTGCCACTTTCCTCCGCACGGCGCGACCGCTCAGGATTCACGAAAGCCAAGATGGGACACAAGTGGTCCGCGCTCAAGCAGTTCTACCCGCCCAAGTCCGAGTTCAGCGTGGACCAGATCCCAGACTTGACCGGGAAGGTCGTCGTCGTCACTGGTCTGCCCAACCATGCCTAAACTCGGGGGAGATGCTGACACTGTCCGTTAACAGGAGGCTACGTCGGGATCGGTTATGAGACCGTCAGGGTGAGTCCGGGTCCTCGCCTTGCGCAGCCCAAATCGGTCGCTGACGCATACGTTTGTTTCGCTGCAGGTTCTGCTCGCCCGAGGCGCGAAGGTCTACATCGCGTCTCGCAGCGTCGAGAAGGCTGAGAAAGCGATCGCCTCGCTCAAGTCTGAGACCGGCAAAGAGCCACTCTTCATCCAGCTCGATCTCGCCGACTTGCACTCGGTGAAGAAAGCCGCGGTGGAGTACCTCAGCAAGGAGAACACGCTCGACATCCTCTTCAACAACGCGTACGCCCACTCACGGTCTTTTTCGCTAGCGAAACGCTTACCCACGCTCTCTTCCACAGAGGCGTGATGATGTGCCCGCAGAGCATGCTCACCGCGCAGGGAATCGACCTCCAGTTCGGGACAAACGTGCTCGGTCACTGGTACTTTACCGAGCTCCTCATGCCCGCCCTTATTGCTGCTGCCGAGGCGTCCTCGGACCACCACGCGCGCGTGATCACCACATCGTCGTCGGGCGCGTACAGCGAAACGCTGCACTTCGACACGTTCAACGACGGGCCGCGCGCAAGAAGATGTCGCCCACGCAGCTCTACTTCCAGAGTAAACACGTGCGTAGCCCTTCGGGAATAGAGACTTGAACCACGCCCGGAGCTGACAGGTGTTCGTGCTGTAGGCGAACGTCGTCGTCGCGCGCCAGGTTGCGAAGCGATACGCGGAAAAGGGCATCATCTCCATCTCCTTGAACCCAGGTTCGTTCGCCTTCGCGCCTTCCAGGCGCGCGCACACCAACCTTCCCCACTTCCACAGGCAACATCTCGACAGAGCTTCAGCGCCACGTCATGGGAAATTTTTGAAGAGGATTGGGGTGCGTGTGCACGCGCCACGAGCGCGGCGGGAAGCTCACGCGCGCGTTCTAGGAACTGGTCATGCTCTACCCCACGCCATACGGCGCGCTCACCCAGCTCTACGCCGGCACGATGCCCGAGGCCGTAAACCACAACGGCGAGGTGCGTGCGCCCGCACTCCCGTCTTTCGCATTTCCCGTTGGATATTGACCGCGTTCGTAGTTCTTCATCCCTTGGGCGCGCCCAGGGAAGTGCCGTCCGGAAGCATATGACGATGCGATCGGGGAGAGGCTGTGGACATGGTGCGAGGATACCGTCAAGGAGCTGGCATGAACGCCCTATGTGCACACTGCAGCGCGATGCATCCTCTGACCTGGCCGGACTGCATATACTCAACACGTCGGGTGATGACTCCGGGGGCATACACATAGACAAAGAAATCGCACATGAGTACCTAGAATCTCTCACGAATCGCCGGACCTCAAGGATTTAACGTCCTCCACTGCAATTCAGTCCTCTGTGATCCATGGTTCCCGTCGGTCCCGACTTGCCGTGCGCATAACACCCAAGTCCGCGACTCCTCCTCAGAGTCGTCTTGTTCCTCCTCGTCAGACTCGTCTGGCTCTGGCAGGGGCGTCTTGTTGTCTGCGTCGTGATTTTGGTACTCAGAGAGTCTCTGGGAGAGGGCATCGTTCTCGCTGGGCACCTTCCCACGAAGCTGGTTGACCTTCTGGACGAGTTGCGCGGCGAATGGGCCGAGTGCGCCGAAGGCGACGTCGGCCGGCCTAGATGCGGCGGCACGTTGTGGTTAGCACGGCTCGCTCCGGGCGAGTGTCGGATGCTAAGAGCAACTTACCACGCAAGAAGGCAGTCATCCAGTTCCCTCGGGATCTTTGGGGGCTGCTCGCCCAACGGTCTGGCGAAGGGGAACGTGGACCAATAGCCCCACGGAGCCCTCGGCTCGTCGTACCGGTCTACCGGAAGCTGATGGAACCATAGGCCTGTCGGTACCCCTGCGGATCTAGTGTAAGCTCGACTAGTGATACAAGGAACAGCACCCTCGCTTACTGGTGTTGGGATCGCTCTTCAAACGACGCGTGGGGGTCTCGTGGTGGAGATGTTCGCACATCTCAGCGTTGTAGTCGCAGCTGCAGGCTGAGAGTGGAATGAGAACGAAGGGCGTACTAAGAGCGTTGCTACGGGACGTCGAAGCCCTCAGCTTACCGAGCACGATATCCCCCAACTCAACACCGTTTATCTTGGCTATGCGTGGCGCCAATTCCCAAAAGAACATATACCTGTAAATCGCCTGAATCGCTCGCGTGATAAGAACCCCGATGCGGGATCCTTCATCCTGCAAGCTCTCGGTAAAGTCGTGGCTGTGGGCACAATAAGACTGATACACTTCATAAAGTTGGTACTGTTACTAACCTCGTGGCATTCAACTCAGGCCACCAGTAAGATTGTGGTTGAGAATAGCTGCGACCCCGGTACATGACGCTCATCATGTCCGTCGTGGCGACCTTGGTTTTGAGGAAACCATTGAGGTTCCCCAGGCGTATGAAATGATCCCCATCAGTGCTGTGGCGAATATACCCGTAGTCCCCCAACTTTGCGCCCTGTTTGCAGTGGACTATGATGGAGCATTGTAAGTCGCCCAATTCGGATACCATGAATTGTTCTGCAACTTCGCTCACGGAAGCCGGTCCGTCGTCGGAGCTATTGAAGCCCAACACATCGGACGTTGGCTTCCGAGCGTGACTCCATTGGGGCACTGTGAAGACGTGTGGGTGCGCGCAATACTTCACCATCACAAACGCGACTTACACGTCCTGCTCAAAGCCAGCTTGTGTGCCTTCAAGCGGAGATGGTTAGCGTTGTAGATCACATTTTACCACCAGCGTAATCGAAACAACTACCCACATTGGCATATAGACGTTGAGCACATTGGAGCACGCAGCTGATATCTGCGTGCCGAAGGTCCGAGGCGTCGACCACGAGGCGACCTCGGTGGTCGAGTCCTGCTGACGGTAGACAGTCTCCCTTGTGGTGATGCCGACCTTTCGATGGCTATGCAGGGTGTCAGCACATGACATGCACAAGGACGGGGGGATTCACATTATACACGGGGATAGAGGCCACGTTTTCCGCAAATTCGAGAGCACTCTGTGCGGACCCGTGTGAGTAACCTCGCGGAAATCGAATACGTGTTCTCACAGCGATATCCATCGACTACGATGAGCGACTTCAGAACAAGTTCGGTGGAGAGTTCAGAACGACTCACATGTTGCAACCAATTCGTGAGCCACATCTTCGGATCATTATCATTGAAACTGTCCAGTATTGACCTGCGGGGAGCTGTAAACCGAGGTCAATTGATCCCCGAACCCGAAAGTGGGTGCGATAACATACCGCCATCAATGACGTAGAACTGCGCTCCAGCCCGAGGAAATGCCATCGCGAGCACGTTCGTCAGATTCCCTTGATACTCCAGCCTAACATGTTTCACCGTCAACTACAAGCGTAGCAGCTGTGACGGATGTTGATCTCACTGGTTCTCTGAGTAGAGCAGAATGCTGTCCAGGGCGTCCTGCGCGTCGAAGGTCATCTCAGACGAGAATCGAACGATCCGATGCGTGATACGTACCTCCTTATCTTCGGGTTTGAACTGTCGTACTGTTACCGGCCGATTTCTCCACAGCCCCTCGTACTGTTCACCGCCGTGAGAGCTAGCGGCATACGACGAAGATCCCCAACGCGTTGGATGTCCGTCTTCAGGACGTATGGAAGCTACATTCACAAGCGTCAGAAACACTCATTCGTCTGCAGCCACGACGGAAACATGCCATCGCGTCTGGGTGGATCGTAGCTTGCTCTTCAACTTGACGCTCGAGACGGATGAGGATCGCGCTCTAAAGGAGGATGAATAGACGATATCGCAGCGGGCGGCATTAACCACTCACGTCGAAGTTGTGCCACGCATCCTGTAGTTTCTGAACACACTCTTGCGCTGTGGACGACACGGAAGCTCGGCGGAAGAACCGGGAAACGGACCCCCTTCCGAGCTCGTGCGTGACTTCGTCAAGTATGGATTGCAACGCTCTGAAAATGTGTCAATTCACTTCGAACGTATCAACAGACCGGATTTGGACGTACTGCTCTAGCTCTTTGAGAGTGACCCTCATCTCCGCGCTCACATCGCGATCTTTAGAACCCACGACCTTCGATTGGAGATGCTCCCCGAGGGCTGCCGCGCGTTTGGCAAGATCCACGAATGCCTCTCTGTTGCTTTGGCTTTCTGCAGTACGATGAGTCTGTGCGAGTGCAACGGGGTAGATCGGAAGGGACGGACCTCTATCGCTCGGGCAATCCCAAGAGCGGCGGCGGCGATACCGCCCAGGAACGGGACGGCGCTGATCGCGGCGGCGTCCTTGAACGCTTCGAGGGTAGTGATCGCGTTGGATAACACATCATCGGCCAGGCCAGGGCGGGATTTGGTCGCGCCTGGCTTCCGTGCAGTCGTCGGAGCATGTCGAGGTGGACAGAGGAGATCGAGGGGAGAGGCGACAGGGAGCACAGATTTATATGGCGGTAAGCCGTGCATTCACAACGTGGCCTTTATCGCGGCTTCGAAATCCGTGGACCTTTGTATTGGACTCCCACGACCGCTGCTCTGGGAATGGTCTACAGGCAAGAAACGGCACGAAGGACTGGGCATCGTAGTGCGCGGCGAATGGCATACTGATATTATTTCAGCTACGTCCAGACCACAGGACTGGAAGATAAAAGTGGTACTCGCCGGTATGTTTTCCATAGGATATCTGGCTGAATGCGCTCGGAGGGAGGGTCTACGGCGTGGCTGCGTATTGTGGGCGTCGTGTGTAAGTCGCAGTGCTTCGGACCTGAGGCCGAAGCCGGTGACACACCTCAAGGCTGTATACTCTTACGAGAAAGAGCTTGGATGGAGAGACAAGACACCGTCGGGGATAATTTGCCGATCTCAAATGTGTTGCTCGGGCCCGTGGAGGAACAGGCTGAGTGAGGAGAGACGATCTGAGGCTGCTTCGAGGCTGAGATTGGTGAGCGCGCAACGTTGGCCGATATCCACCTCGTCAAACTCGGTAGAGGGCGAGGATTTTTGCCGATTAATGGATTCATAGAAGCAGATGAGTGAAACGATATGTCGTTGACGGCGTGGTATGATGATATTGCTCCGCCGCGAACAGCTGATTCACATGGGTGGCCGCCTGGAATCGTCACTGCGATGTACGGGGGGCTAGTCACTTCAGAAACCATGCAGTCAAGATAAAAGAGATACTGACCAAGTGATGCGTTCACTCCAAGATTGCCGGCGGTGGTGGTGGGCGGGTACGTATGATGCATCATATGGTGGGCCAGCTGAGCCATGGGAGCGCGCGATGCCCGCGCGTCCGCGCGGTGTCCCTGGCATTTCTTGCTCACAACACTCACTCGCGAGCACCCGCCGCCTTTCGCTCTTCAAACCTTCACCTCCCACATTCCATCCGCTCGTGCATGAATCTGCCCACATAGAACGATAACTACGATGGCGATATCTATCTCCATATAGCGGCTCTTGCTCAGAGGGCTCGTCTTCCACCTGGTATACATTGGCACCGCCTTCGACTGCTACTTCACCAGTCCAGTCTTCCAAGGCATGCAACAGCACTCGCTCAAGACGGCGGAAGCAAAGCAGCTCGTGCTCATGATAGGTATGTCCCGCGCGCGGCTCCTTTGGCTGTCCATCCACATGGCGGGGCAGGAAACCGCTTGCGCGCGGACCTCCTCCTCGAGCCTCAAGAGCGGATTCCGCATGGCCCCTGGCCCTCCGAACGTCATCGTTTCTCACCTGAGGTTCATCATCGAGGAGCGCGGGGCATGGGGAATTGGGCATACGCATGTCCCCACGGAAAGCAAGCCAGCCATGTTGCACTGATTGGTAGTCGCCGTTGCTTCGTTCTTCTGCTTGCCGTCGAACATCGCGCTCTCAGGCAGGACGTACGAGGACATCTCTGCTATACAAAGATACGGGTGTCTGTGTCGTTTAGCACGCGCCCACCGGTCGTACACAGGGCTGGAAAACAAACGCGGTGGGCAGTCTCCCTCGATTCCAACCCCCACGCGACTCACAACCTCGTGCAGGTCGACATCGAATGGGTGTTCAGTCAATCGAACACGACCCTTTCCTTTGACTCCCCGGATACTCTGCCCATGTTTGCGCGCGGAGCGACTTCTGGAAAGGTGGAGATGTGGTGCTAAAACGAAGAGGAGGAGGACTTTACGAAAGGTATGTTCCAGTCTTTGCACAACTCCCTGCGATACCGAACACGGTCTAGATGTCACGTTTGTGGATGTCTGGGTTCTGGAGCAGCCTGCACCAGAGCACAACATCCGAAACTCGACGGCGACGATCTCCCACCCTGTGTCACCGATGCGCCACCTACACGCCCGCCCTCGTGCACGTTCCAGACTCTCCGAAGACCTGCGGCACTTCCTCCGCGTGCTCGTACCCGGACGCACCCCTCGGTGAGCACCCTTCCGCCCGCCCTACCAACTGAAGCGCGCTGAGATCGCCCCGTGCGCAGAGTGACGCCGTATCCGCCTGCGATCCGGTTCGGCACAAGTACGAGGCCGAGGCCGTGCTCCAGGGCGCGCTCACCTTCCTCAAGAAGTACTACGTCGACTCCTTCGACACCTGGCCACGCGTTGACCCCCCGGGCCGCGCACGCGATCGGCGTGTCAACCTCGCGCGCCTCACCGGCACCGATGCGCTCCTCCCGGCGGCGCTCATGGGGTGCTGCATGCTCAGCACGGACGAGCTCATCCGCGGCTTCACACTCGAGGACGAGACCGGTGCTTCGCGGGGTGCGCGAACCTGATGCAAGCGAACACGCTCGCGACGCTCTCGCTCTTCGCGTAGAAGCTCTCGGAGGGGTGCACGCGGCGGGAGGTGTGCGGGGCGGTGTTCTTGAGCTGGTGGATGAGCTACGGGGTCACGAGCGAGTGGTGTGCACGCTGGACTGGTTCAAGTACTGGACGGACTACATCGCGGGACGACGACCGGCGGATCTGCGCGGCGTGCTACAAGATGCTGCAGGATCGGGAGAAGGTCAGCACAAGGATATCTGGCGGCGGCTGCCGGAGGTGACGGAGGTGACGGTTGAGGGGTGGGCCGCGGATGGGCCGCCGCCGGCCGATGCCAATGCGACGCCTGCGGAATAGGTAGGTTAAAACCAGTGGTGCGAGACAACGCTGGGCTGACTCTTATTATAGGTGTGATGGTCGGCGATGGATGCGAGCGTGCCCCGGTTGTAATGCTATAGACGCTTAGGATTTCTTCCGAAGCTGCTGTCGCTTTAATACGCTCGAAAGGAACGCAGCGTTCTCTGCTTCTCATATTATGTTTTGCAAGGTTTCCAGTCATATAGACGATCATGTTTACACACGGTGGTGAAGATGGAAATGAGCGTAGCGATACTGGTAATATTCGCTCGAGAAGAAGGCGATTAAACATTGCGGACTAATTCTACTCCTCATCGTCCTCGTCGTACTCCTCATCATCCTCGTCCTTGTCATCACTCATAGTCTGAGAGTCTTAATTCATTGTCAGCATCCGACCATTCACAATAGTCGCGTCCCATGAGGTCTTCGAACACCACTGGATAGGTCGTAATCTCATTGGGGCATGAGTCGTCATCTTCACATATCTTCCCGTCGACGTGGCTGTATTGTCGCAGGGTGAAGCGGCCCCTTGTTCGTTGCCCTGTTCATCGTGGTGACGTGTCAATGGTGTCCATTGAGGGGGAGGTACTGTCTCCATCCAGTTCTCATAGATCATCGCTGTGTTGATGATGGCGATGACGTCAAAAGCGTCGTACGGCAGGAAATCTCCGTAGTGGGTGAGTCCCTTTGGATATACGCGCAGCAATTTCGCGCCGGTGTGGACGATGATATAGTGGTAGGGAACTGGGAGATAGATGGGGCCGAAATCGGTGAATGGGTATTGGAAGCGCTGGACATCACAGTTCGACCGAAGCCGCCCCTCGGAGGAAACGTCGCCTGTGTACTTGACGACGTACGAGCATTCCTGCATGGATGGAAATGCGACCAGAGAATATTTGAACTGTGCGGCGCCATCGTAGCACTAAATAAAATCCCAATCAGCGATCCATATCGAGAAAAATGCAGGAAGAGACGTACTTCATTGATGTCGCCTTTCTTGTCCGTTGTCTCCGAGTATGTGGATACTTTCCCCAAGAGGTTCAGGTCTGTGGGTATTAAAAACCATCCGGTTGGCTGGTCGCCATTGGTACCAAACAAAACCAAGGCTGGTCTCGACTACACATTTTGGTTGAGAAAGGTTTGCAGTGAAGAAGATTGTTACTCACGTGCAATGATATTCGTGGGATGTCGACATCGATTGAGTTGCGCTCGACGCCCCACGAGAACTCAAGTTTGTCGAGCTGCAAAAATTCTGAGTCAGCCAGAGGGACATACTGTCTTGGCCCAAGTGCGTACCTGTTCGCGAGGTGTATCGAATGGGATGATCTGGGTGCGTTTCAGCAGAGTCGCATCGCCTTGACCGGTGACCGCGCAGCGTAGGTCGATGTCTCTGCATGTATGCGCGTCCTCCTCCCTCGAATTGGTAGAGGACAAGGGACTCGATGTGTTGCTGGGCTGGTTGATGGAGAGAGGCATATTCTGAAGACGGAGTCGGTGGTTCAGTTTGCCAATCAGTATGTTGCTCCGCCGGCGCCGTCGCCGTCGCTGAGGTCAAGATACTGAGAATATGGGGGATTGTTGTGCGGCGGCGGCGTTTATACAAGTAACACGGACAGTGTTGGGGGGAAGTTGGGTGGAAGCCGGCCGGTGAAGAGCGTTCGAAAGTGTAGGTTGCAAAGTTGGCCCCGGCCAGCGCCATGGAACACGCGCCTCCGTGAGCCGGCGTCACGTCGGCCATCGAAGGGCGCGCACCACGATCACTCGCGCGCACCCGCCGCGTTCCGCTCTTCACCGGTCACCCCCACATTCTGACCGCGCATACATGAATCTACCTGCATAGAACCGAAAACTACCATGGTAATATCCAGCTCCATATGGCGGCTCTTGCTTGCTCACAGGGCTCGTCTTCCACCTGGTATACATTGGCACCGTCTTCGACTGCTCCTTCCTCAGTCCAGTCGTCCAAGGTATGCAACAACACTCGCTCAAGATCGCGGAATCCAAGAACCTCGTTTTCGTTGTCGGTATATCTGCGCGCGGCTCGTTTTGGCCGTCCATCGAGTTACATCGCGGCGCAGGGGACTCCGGTTTGCGTGCAGACTCGGACCTCCTCCTCGAGACTCAAGAACGGATTCCGCGTGGTTCTTGGCTCTCCGAACGTCGTCGCTCCTCACCTGAGGTCCACCATCGAGGAGCGTGGGGCATGGGGTATCTTGTATACGCCTGTGCCCGCGGCCAGGGCATGTCGTACTATTTGGTACGTCGCTATCGCTTTGTTCTTCAGCTGTGGTCGAACAACGCAATTCTACGCCCCCAAACGCGATGGGACCGCCACCGCTGGCCCATTCACCCTCGCTACACGTACGTCCTCCTCCTCTGGTGATTCCAACGCTGAGGATGGTGGTTCCTACTCTGAGAACGATGATGTAGATGTCGGACGGCGGTTCCAGTGTCGACCCCACCCCATTCCGTCGGCATCAACGTTTTTGCTTCCGTGTTGGTCTTCCCCTGCAATACTTCACCGGCCCGTATCATGTTGTGTGATCTTGGATACTGTAGGGGGTCGCACCCCACCGAGTCTAGCTGGTCGTATTTTGCGTGAAGAACTTTAACGTAGCCTACTAAACGGCGACAAGCAAACGAAGAGAACTAAAGAGGTCTTCCACACCTATTGTATAAGGAATACGTGCTGTGTCCGAATATCGACGCACTGAGAGTCGAGCCTACTTGTAGTCTCGGTCTGCATCTCGCCATGAGCCGTATGCCAATGTCGCAGTATATCTGAACCACCTATGCCAAACTCCTGAGTGCTAGCGTTCATGCAGGACGCCCTATTTCGGCCCATGTTCTTGAGGTCGCACAAGACAAGTCACAAACGGGGACAGCATTATTGTCATTTCCCAGTGGAGTTGCACGACAGCAGAGGCCTTCATGGACGGGTGAGAATTAAGTACGCAATTGCAACGCAGCCTCACGGCGAATACTTAGACGTCTACATAGAAACTGAAAGGAGTGTGGGGTGTACCTGGACGCGCGTAAGTCCAAAGTCCGATAAAGTCTACTTTTCACCCGCAGCCTCCGCCACCTGCGACTCCAGCTCCAGGTCAGAATGCACAGCGCTCTCCTCGTCACCCGGCGGCGGCGGCTTCTTCTCCACCGGCGCCGCGCCGCTCCCGCCCACATCCATCGGCACCTCCCGCATCATCACGCACGTCAAGAACCCGACGCACGCGACGCCCGTCATCGCGACCCACACCGCGCGCGCGCCCTCCGCAAACGCCACGCGCACCTCCCTGCGCAGCGGCTCCGCGAGCGCCGGGATGAAGGGGATCGCGGCGTACGCGACCTCGCCGCCCGCGCCCTTGCCCTTGCCGAGGCTGTCGAGGAACGCGCCCGGGAGGTCGCGCTCGAGGGCGTTTTGCAGGAGCGCGCCGGCGACGACGACGCCCCAGCCCTGCGCGAACGTGCGCGCGAAGATCCAGAAGGCGAGCGCGTACGCGGTGGCGTCGGCGTCGGCGGACGCGATGGGCGCGAGCACGGGGAACTGGGTGCTGATCCAGAGGATGCCGAGGCCGGCGCCCACGGGGACCTGGAGGGCGAGGGCGAGGGCGCGCGAGGAGTCCGCCTTGAGAAGGGTGAGCAGGCCGAAGCCGATGGCGGTGAGCGCCCAGCCGAGGTAGTTCTGGGGGCGGTAGCGGGCGAGGACCTCGACGCTGATGCCGGTGAAGATGGCAGCGAGGGGAATGGCGAAGGCCAGGGGAAGGAGGTCGATTCCGGAGCGGGACGGGGAGTTGGACTTGGATGCTTGCAAGTACACGGGGTAGTAGTCTAGACGCATCGGTCGCAGATGAGAACACAGCTGAGGGAGCAGAGGAAAAGGACTGACAAATGAGAGCGAGGGAGACGATCCCGTGGAAGAACGTGCCGAGATACCCACTCAGTGTTGTCAGGTCGGTGAAGAACTGTTCTGGTACCTGTGACAATTGTCAGTCACTGACTCGAAACCGAGGGAACTGCAGACTCACTGTCTTTCCCTTCAACCACGTTCTTTCAAGAGCGAAGAACGCCACGATGCCTTCAATACCGACAACGAAGGGAACAAGTACTGGGGCCGAGGTCCACGAGTACTTGGCCCCTCCCCACGTTATCGCGACAAGGACAAGCAATGTGCTCGCTATGATGACAGCGTTGCCTCTAAAGGACATCGACATCAGCACAGTATGACAAAAGCCATCGAAAGTAGCTCACATCCAGTCCATTTGACGTATCTTGTCCTTGAGACTGCCGGTGGGCACCCGGGACGGGAGGAATGTGCAGATGAAGCCGGTGGCGACGGCGCATATAGGAAGATTGAGGAAGAACAGCCATCGCCATGCTCCCGATCCGGCGAGGGCGCCGCCGATTGGTGGCCCAACAGCACTATCTAACGGTCAGATCGACGTAGAATTCGGGCAGGGACGACGTACCACGCCAGCGCCCAAACCCTGAGAGCACACTGAAGTTAGAATGCGGTTCCATATGACCCGGAAGACACGTACGCAGCGGAGATGCCTTGGAACTTGCCTCTCTCGGCGAGAGACACCATGTCGGCGACAACGATGTCGGTGACCGACATGCTTCCGCCGCTTCCGAGTCCCTGTAGAGCTTCGGTAAGGTCAGCCTTTACGGTTGTGTGAAAAGAAAGAGACAAGTACCTCGTCCTGCGAAGAGCATCCCCATAGTTGTGGCCGCGCCACACAACACCGAACCGACACAAAATAGGACAATGAACACAACAAGCACAGGTTTTCGACCGAAACTGGCCACAAGCCCGCCGACGAGGGGAAGCACTGCAGTGGAAGCAATCGTGAAGGCCGCCCCGGCCCAGACGAAATCTCTGCCATGTAGATGTTGAACGACTGTTGGGAGCGCAGTCGAGACCGCAGTCTGTCGAGAAGTGAGCAATGTCGATTTGAACCACGAAGCGATGAACGCACAAGGTCTAGGGCAGCGAGCATGTCTACAAGTAATGTCGAGAGGAAGACCATCCAAAATCGCACTCCTCGAGGAGGTTCTAATGGCGGCAATGGCGGGGGACATGGCTCTGGAGCAGGTGGTATGGTGATAGTCACGTCCGTCGAGGAGCTGTCTCTGCCGTGTACGCTTGCAGTTCCGGAAATTTCCGTCATGGGCTGCCTGGTAGCGAAGTTTCAAGGAGGGGACGATGCCGCGGGGTGGGATCGGAGTCGGGGGAAGTGAAAAGGGCGACGGGCGAGCCCAGCCGTTAAATAGAGCCCGTTGGTACCCAGATCGCCATCGACCACATAATGTCAGCCCCGCCCACCCCGACCGTGTTTCATGACAATCCCTCAGTATCGCGCGTGGTGCAGGCGCGACCTTCTGCGACGTCGCTTATCACCAGGAGGTCTCGGAGTCGGACACGGAAATAGACTGAGGTCGGGGCGGCCCGCAGAGAGCTGTACCGTCCACACGTCGCCAAGTTGCTGCCAAGGTCGGAGAAGGGTTAGGCAGGGTTAGGCGTAATACGCAAGGCGCGGGCTACTCACATCCGGTGGACGTCGCTCGCGTTGTAGGGCTTGGAGGGGAAATTTTGGCAATGGAAGCTTTGCCGTCGCTCGCGTAGCTGTCGTGACGGCACATGTGGCTGAGCGCTACTAGCCATCATTCGGCGGTGTCTCTGTAGAGTGGCAGATCGGCGGGACACGACGAAGACCGCGCACTGCTTCAGCGGAGCCTGCAAGGCCGGAAGGCTTATCTGCCACGAGTACTGAGGACTAGAGTCTAGATGGCCTGTTGACTGAAGAGCTGGTGGCAAAGCAGCGGACGCCGGTCGCCGGAGCATATGATCGCGCTCAAACCCTTGTTCCAATATGTATCCGTTGACTGGAAGCATGGTACTAAGCTTGGAGTAGTGGAATGGGCGCCTGACCACATATGGCAACAACTGCCATGCGATCGCGCACCAACCGCGCTGCCACGACTTTCACCGCTGCCATAACACTCTCCCCTCATCCTCCGAAAACATACTCCGTTTACTACTTCCTATATGAACGGAAATGAATCAGCAGCTCCAATGGCGCGATACATAGTTCGCAGGTGAGTGGCGGAACAACACTGGCACCAAAGGGATACACCAATAACACTATGCAAGCTCCGATGTGCTGCAAGACATGCGTATTAACGTCTCCTTGGAAGGGTCGGAGAAGGTGGTCTGGTACAAGGCGAGTTGCCGGCGCAGCAAATTCAACTCCTCGGCAACTAATCTCTCATGCCTTAAGGCAGGAACGATTCCTTACGGACGATGAGATAGTCGAGCAGATTGTGGTATGTCCTCACTATATGCGCGTTCTTCCCTTCTCCAACTCCTCTCGCCGCGGCAGGACAACGCTACTTCCACTGCCCTCTGGACCGTCCACCGCCCCATACGCGGCTGGTACCTCCGCCTACGGACGCCCTCCTTTCCTCCGGGAGTCTTCATTCCCCTCGTCCCTCTCCCCCAAACGTCACCATACCATTCCGAGGCCGCGCTCTCCTTCGCGTGCCGGACCAACCTACCCTCGCCAAACCCGGCGCGCATACGCCCATACACGCTCTCGAAGACGGACTCGGAGACAACACTCACCAACGAGCCGCCCGCACAAGCCTCCACCCGCCCCAGCCTGACCAGCGAGCACTCCTACCCGCCCACGCCGCCCACAGGCCCAGTCGTGACGGTCTCTCCCCCCTCTCCGCGCTCCGTGCACGCGAAGCTCGACTCCGTCTCCCTCAGCGAACCAGGGCCCGCCACCGCCCCTCGCCCCCCGCCCCCGACGGTGCGTTCCGCAGTAACACACTTCGTCGTCGCGCTCCGACAGCCCGCGGCGGTGACCGCTAAGGCGACGCCGTCGATGTTCTCGCGACTGGTCTCCGCGCTGAAGAGCAGCACGCCCGTGCACGACTCCTCGTTCACGCTTTTCGCCATCCCCGCCCCGCCACCGCGCTCGCCCGCCGGGGCGCCCGCGCCCGCGCCCGCACCCGGTCAGGGGCACGCGCTGACACCGCATCCGCTGCTCGTGTTCCACGACCAGACGCCGATGTGGACGGCGGGGAGCACGACGGGCCTGCTGGAGATGGACGCGGAGCAGTGTCGGGTGCTCGGCGTCGAGCCCGCGTTCTACGTCGCCGTGGCGCTGACGTATCTGGAATTTGTGGAGGACCGGGACGTGAGTCGCATCTTTCTTGCCCTCGGGAAGTCCTGCTCACTCTTGCTCGCAGAGCTACGCCGTCGCGGCGTACGACTGAGGTTGCGCTTGGTGTTTTGGTCTGGGGCTGGCGGTCGCTGTGTAACGTAACTTATTCAAGGTGGACATATCATATCTAATCTCATTGCTGTGACTCGAGAACGCAGATCATCGAACCGGGATCGGGCGTGCGTTTTCGGTCGGCTTTTCTTCGCTGAAGGGACTCGATTTCCCTGCGTCCTAGGAACAAGAAGCGACAGAAGCAGAGAAAACTACGCATCTCGCCCCGGGGTCCGAAAGCTGCCAGCACCGTGATCCGGGTTTCCAGGCCTTTGTCGACTTTCACCTTTGGATCGTCGCCTCATAAACGGGGGCTCCCGTTCACGGTCGAAGGCGATGTTTGCGACGGGCTGATATACTTGCCATCCAGTCCTCAGTCCACTCGGGTAATGCAAGCCCTTTGAGGAGAAGTCGGCCTTGTCTTTAAGCCACAGCGTGCGCACTGGTGCTCTCGAGTCCTGTCGGGGTCAACACCGCCACTAAACAGTACTCAGCCTTCAACGTTCAAGCTCTCTACCCACGGGTGGTCTGTTGTCCGTTTATGGTCAACGAAGATCGCCCCTGCATCCAGAGCCAATTTCGTGCCGTAGTCCCGATTTCCGTCCCATCCCGCTTTCGACAATGCCGCCCTGCATCTTGGATCAACAGGCTTATGATGCCCCGCATCCCGAGACTTGTTCGCGATGTGGCTTTTTCAAGGCCTTGTACATCTCGCAAAAGCAAGATCAGCCACTCTCCTGAGGATGGGCGACGAACGTGACTGTGCTTCCCGATGTGCTTGAAGGCGATCCCGGAGCTCCGGCGGAGGGTCGCGAAGGACAGCGATCTGCAAGGGCGGGCGGAGTGGCTTCGCGACCGACAATTTTGCGCAGCACGGCCTGCGATGGACGCACCAGCGCCTTGCGCGCTGACAACGGGCGAACGGTGGTCCAAAGCTGGCTCCGATATTCTTACAGAACAACAAACGGTAGTCGCGCTCACCTTCAATCCAGTCGCGTTCTTTGGGTGCAGGACGACGCCAAGAGAAGAACGCGAACGAGTACCGCCGACAAGTTCGCGGCACGGGTCGTCCTTGGCCGCGCAAGCTCCATTCTCTGCTTCGCCGACGAGAATACAGCGCGCGCTCCTTGCGACGCGCGACGCGCGACCCGCGCCGCCACCTGCCGTCGGGCGTGGGATGTCGCTTTCCGCGGATGGCCGCGCCGACCGTGCCAGTCCGCGGCAGTCCACATGCTCCCGGATCCTCGTTCGCGGTACGTAAACGTGAGTCGCGCGGTTGCGAGAGAAGGCGTTCGGTGGGCTTCGCGCGGCGCATCTCCACTCAATAGTGCAGTCGACGACCTTCGCGAACGAGGCTGACCACCGTCGCGCGCGAGGACGCGTCCGGATCTCGCGCGCACCCCGTCGTTGGAGCGGCGCGCGCCGAATCTTATCGCGCGCATCCATCAAGGCGCGGGCGCGAGGGGCGTCACGCGGCGACCCCTCGAAATCGAAATCGCTGCTCGCGCGCGCGACCTTCATGCGCCAGACTATTTGCCTGGTAGCTCACGCGTTGCTTGCTGTAGTCGCGCACCGACCCCAATATCTTCGTCTACTAGACTGGAACAATCCCAGGTGGTCGCGCGTGTGAGGGCGAAGAGGCCATTGCGTCGACGAACGTCCTGGGTCTCGGCCAGCGGACGGCCTCTGGATCGGGGTCACCGGCACGATGGCGTCACAACTCGCACGGGCCCGGACTCTCCCCGCCCTTTCGTCCTGCCCCAGGACTTCCTTCGCGTCCGCTATATAGTCCCCCTCGTTCGGCCCCTCCCTCGCCCTCTCTCGTGCGTGGCCTGTCGTCTGCACGGCCCACGTCTCCCCCACCTCCCACCCCCCTTCGACGCGCATAAAACCCGCGCCATGACCTCCACCATCGACCCCAGCACCATCGGAAAAGCCAAGTCGCGCCGGCACATCCGTACCCTCACCGGTGCGTGCGGTCCATGTATGCGCGTCGAGCGCGCTCGCTGACCTCGGCACACGTCCTCGCGCTCGTTTGTAGGGTACACGGCCGAGACCGACGCGGCGGGCAAGGAGAAGTGGCCCATCGGCGACGAGAAGGTGTGGAAGGAGGGGATCCCCCCGGTCACCACCGGTCAGTACCAGTGCTTCTACTTCTACGTGCTCGTCGCAGTCGAGGGCGGGGCTCCGCTCTCTCCTTCGCGCTGTGCTTCGCATGGGGTCAGCTGCGCGACGGCGCGTGGGCGCGCGATGCCCGTCGAAGAGAGCGAGGGCGGGAGACGCGTCGCGGGCGACGTCATCGCAGTCTCGGCTTCGCCAAGGTTTCTCCGGGCGGTGACGGGGCGAGCGTGAGCACCGTGCGCGGGAAGCCGTGCTCGAGTCTTCGCGTGAACGTTCATTCTTGCTTCTTCGCGCCATCTTTGCCTCGCCGTTCAGGACTATGCGGGTGCCTGCCGTTTCGTTACGGCGCGCCCTATGGGTGCTCTTCACCCGGGCGCCTTGTGTGCAGTCCACTTTCAGTTCGATCGAGTTGATGATATTCAGAGACTGACGCGTCCAACAGAGGTCCCCCAGATCACCAAGTCTGTCGTCCACCACGTCCATACCTCGCTCGCTCGGCAGGCGTACAACCTCGACAACCTCGGCGCTTACCAAGCCACCGCCATGTCTACCCGTGACAACCTGCTGGTACGCATCGCGGCCTATGTTCGTGTACTATTTCCGTGCTCATGCGCGGGTCCGTTCACTCATAGGCGAACTGGAACGAGACGCAGCTGCACTACAACCGCAAGGCCCCTAAGCGCGCGTACTACCTTTCGCTCGAGTTCCTGATGGGACGCACGCTCGACAACGCGCTGCTCAACCTCGGCCTCAAGCAGCAATATGGCGACGGCACGCAGAAACTCGGCTTTAACCTCGAGGACCTCATCGAGCAGGAGCGCGACGCCGGTCTGGGCAATGGCGGTCTCGGTCGTCTGGCCGCGTGCTACCTCGACTCTTCCGCGAGCCAGGAGCTCCCTGTGTGGGGCTATGGTCTCCGGTACAAGTACGGTGGGTCTCTTTTTCAGAGTCTCGAGGAGACGAGGTTTCTCATATTCTTCCAATCCACAGGTATCTTCCAACAACTCATCTCGCCCGACGGGTCTCAACTCGAGGCTCCCGACCCGTGGTTGGAGCACGACAACCCTTGGGAGCTCGCCCGCTCCGATGTCACCTACCACATCCGGTTCTACGGGTACGCCGAGCGCCTTGAGGGCGGTCGCGCGCTGTGGCAGGGTGGTCAGGAGGTGTTGGCGATGGCCTATGACGTTATGATCCCCGGCTACGCGACGAAGAACACGAACAACCTCCGGCTCTGGGAGAGTAAGCCCAAGCGTGGATTTGACCTTCAGAGCTTCAACGGTGCGTATCATATGCGTCATGTTGCGCTGGGCGCAATTCTGATCGGAATGTGTTCCTACCAGCTGGCGACTACGAGCGCGCAGTGGAGGCTTCAAACAGCGCCGAGGCGATCACGTCCGTGCTCTACCCCAACGACCACACGACATTCGGAAAGGAGCTTCGTCTGAAGCAGCAGTACTTCTGGACCGCGGCGTCGCTTGCAGACATCATGCGCCGCTTCAAGAACACGGGCAAGGACGTCTCTGAGTTCCCCGACTACGTCGCCATCCAGCTCAACGACACGCACCCGACGCTCGCGATCCCCGAGCTGATGCGTATGCTCGTCGATGAGGAGGAACTGCCGTGGGATAAGGCATGGGAAATCGTTTGCAACACGTTCTTCTTCACCAACCACACCGTCCTGCCCGAGGCGCTCGAAAAGTGGCCCGTCGGGTTGATGGAGAACCTCCTCCCTAGGTGAGCCGCATGTATGCGTATTCGTGGGGTAGAAACTGATGATGGCATAGACATATGCAGATTATCTACGATATCGTAAGTGTTTGGTTGTTTGTGCCGGTGTTGAGCTAACTATATGCGTGCCAACTGCCTATCAGAACATGTGAGTACCTATCACTCCGTCTCCTCGCGGTCACTGACGCCACATACAGGGCTTTCCTCCAAGCTGTCGAGAAGAAGTTCCCGGGTGACAAGGACCGCCTCGCGCGCATGTCTCTCATCGAGGGTACGTTCATTGATCTTGGCTGTCAGCGAAGGCTGACGTCCCCATTCAGAGGGATTCCCCAAAAACGTTCGCATGGCGAATCTCGCGTGTATCGGCAGTCGCAAGGTCAACGGCGTCGCGGAGCTCCACTCTGAGCTCGTGCGGCAGACGATCATGAAGGACTTCGTTGAATTCTACGGCGTCAGCAAGTTCTCCAACGTCACTAACGGCAGTAAGTCGAGTCCGTACTGGTCCACATCACGCAGACGCTGATATATTCTGAATGAAGTCACGCCTCGTCGCTGGCTCGACCAGTGCAACCCTGGCTTGTCGAACCTCATCAGCGAGACGCTCAAGGTGCCGAAGGCTACTTTCCTCAAGGACCTTTACAAGCTTGAGGTCAGGCGCAACGTCGTTTCCAACACCCTTTTTCATCTCACTGATGTTTTGTACACTATCAGGGTCTGTTGGAGCACGTCGACGACCCGGCCTTCCAGAAGCGTTGGGCGGCGGTGAAGCAGAGCAACAAGGAGCGCCTGGCTCAGCATATCGAGAGCACGCTCGGTCTCAAGGTCAACACGCGGGCGATGTTTGACGTTCAGATCAAGGTTTGGGACGGTCTTGTTACGCGATGTATGCGCCGAGCTGACGTTTTCTCTGAGTAGCGTCTACATGAGTACAAGGTCAGTGCATTGGGTGATGATATAGATACGCTCCCAGCTAACTTTTGCCCCTCATAGCGTCAAACGATGAACATTATGGGTGTCATCCACGTGAGAATGGCGACATTCGTGGCCATACATTATGCTGACGATGTGTCGTGCAGAGGTACCTCACTCTCAAGGATATGACACCCGAGCAACGTACGAAGGTCAACCCCAAGGTCGTATTCTTCGCCGGCAAGGCTGCGCCCGGATGTGAGTTTCTTCTTCCTCGAGTTTGAAAATGCTTACTCAGCCTTTGGTGTGAAGACTACATCGCGAAACTCGTGCGTGTAAAATTTTATGTCGTGATTATCGGATTCTTACTCGACCTTCCTCTGGACCACAGACCATTCGCCTGATCGTCAACGTCGCGCGCATCATTAACGAAGACCCGGAAACCAAGGACCTCCTTTCACTCTACTTCCTCCCAGACTACTGCGTGTCGCTTGCCGAGGTCCTCATCCCCGCCTCCGATATCTCCCAACACATCTCCACCGCTGGAACTGAGGCTTCCGGGACGTCGAACATGAAGTTCTGCCTGAACGGCGGCCTCCTCGTTGGCACTGTTGACGGAGCCAACATCGAGATCGCCGAGGAGGTCGGCGAGAGCAACGTCTGTGCGTATTTGATTGGCTTCGTCCGCTTCGAATCTCGAGTGGGACGCTGACGCCATGCATACGTAGTCTTCTTCGGTAACCTGACGCCTGCGGTCGAGGACCTTCGCTACCAGCACATGTACCACCCGGTCCCGATCGAGCAGAAGTGCCCGCCGCTGGCGCGCGTGATCAACGAGGTCGCCGAGGGCCGCTTCGGCGACGGAGGGGTGTACGAGCCGCTGCTGAACACCATCCGGCAGAACGACTACTACCTGCTCACCGAGGACTTCGACTCCTGTACGTGAACTGTGCCGTTGTTCTGTTCAGCTAGATGGACGATGCACGTGCGACGCTGAGACTGACACGACCGATGCAGACATCAAGGCCCTCGAGCTTGTCGACCAGGCATACCAAGACCGCACGGAGTGGATCAAGAAGAGCATTCGCACGTCGGCGAAGGTACGTCCGGCGTTCTTCCGGCTTGTGAGGCGCTTGCTAACTATGTCGGGCAGATGGGCAAGTTCAGCTCCGACCGGGCGATCATGGACTACGCACAGGAGTACTGGAACCTAGAGCAGACGAGCGTCGGTTGAGTCATGATTGTGCATTCGAGATTAAAGGTCGGCACGAAGCGAAGGAAGGAAGGGCTTGTATCATAATTGCATGTACTTTGACGTGGTTACTGCTCTGGAGATTGTTAGATTGCGATCTCTGGCGCTTTTCGAGTTCGACCTTGGTTCGACCGGCGGGTACGTTGCCTCCAGGTAGCGGCGCAGGCAGCACTAGTAGTACGGCAGGATCACTCGCGCCGCGATTTGGCCGCGATGTCCGGCGACGCGTGCCGGGGAACACTTATACAGCCAGCTATGTACTAGGAAGAACGGTCTCCCGATAAAATTGGGTGTAGGTGGTGCACGCGAGAAATGGATGAGTGGTACGGCGGGGACTGGATGCGCCGATGACGGAAGGCGCGCGCCGGGTGCGGGTGTCGGCGGAAGGATGTGGGAGTAGGCGCCCAATGCTCGGCCGGCACCGGCACACCGCTTCACCTGACTGCCACTGCCAGTGGTGACAACTTGTTCAGCTCCGCCTGAGACCTCATTCCACACCCGACCACGCCGTCTCCTGATGACCCCCTCGGCGAGGAACCATGCCACTCCGATACGGCCCTTTTGAACGCCCCATCTAACGAGACGTTCATCAGTGTGTCCGTGGGGGCAGTGTCCCATCGTCTTCTCCTGGCCACCTGTTCTCCTGGCGGCGCCCGTGGAGTGCGTTCATTGCCCTATGACTCCGAAAAGACTCCAGGTTGGCACCACCCGTCTCGCTCTGGCTTCTGACACTTCTCTGCCGTGTCTGACCCGACAGCGAGCACGATCCCCACGGAACCAGGGTAACCACCGACTGACGCTCTCTCCCCACGCCCGGGCCCAGAGTCGAGAGAACATCTTCCTCCTGCCATGCACGCTCAGAGAAGAGGCTTAAAAAGTCCACGCCGTCGCGCACGACCATCTCACCGATCTTCAATCGCGGATTCGCGTTCGCTGCCACCGCGCGCTCAGACGTATTCTAGACGGGCCAGTCCGACGACCCTTCAAACGCGGCCGCGCACTCCATCGCCGCTGGTATCGGTAGCTTCGATCAGACTGACGGCGCGTGTGACGCATTTTTCTGGGCTACCCGCACCCGCAGAACGCTCGGGCGCGCACTAGGGGCGGCCCCAAGCGTGCCAGGGCGCGGATCCGCCGGGGAGTGTTGCACGAGTGAGGGGAGGCATGTGCACATCATTGATGGGTGCTCTATCCCGGAGGGTGAGTTAATTTTTTTCTCTCTTCGTACCCGTGTCTTTGAGAGCGAGAGCATATAGGTGCCGGACCCGGGACGGGCGTACATCACGAGCGGCCTTGCCACGGTCGCCGAGCCGCTCAATGGCGCGCTTTGCGCCCCGGACGATAATCCTATGGCTGCTACGACGTAGGAGCTGCTGGCGCCGGAGAGCCTGCACGTCAGCGCAAGCCCGTGCAAGCGCGTTGAACGTTGTCGCAATTTCGGAGCACGTTTGTCAGCGGTATCTGCTAGTGTGTTTTTGTGGCACTCCGACATTTTATAGACATCCGTGGTGACAATATTGTGAGATGGCGTTTACAGGCATCACCACAGGCTGATATCTAGTACATGGGTACGGTAAAAGGGGTCTTGGGATGCCGTCCAGATGATACACTTTACATGACCTGCGTCTTCCGCCAATCGCTGATGCCCACTCGAATACATCCATGGACATGTACATCATGTATGACGGCGCGTTCAGCTACCTTCGCCCTCTGTGCTTGGAGTACTCTCATCAACCTCCTCTAATACAGAATGACCATCCGTACAGCTCTCGCTGGTTGAACAACTCTCAACCATCATGTAGAGGTGCGCCAGGAACATATCCATACGTGCAAAATGCAATTCGAATGGTCTAGGAGGAGCGACGCTCATCAGCCCCCCTTAGCAGCACGCGATGATCTGAGAGGGGACGTACGCGACCTCGAAGCAGTTCTTGCAGCCCTCAGGAAGCGCTGGAGGCTGCTGGCCTTCGTCAACAGCCTCAGCATCGAACGACCAATACGCCCACGGCTCCCGAGGCTGCTTGTTCTCCCCGAGGGGTAGAATGTGAAGCCACGCGCTCGCTACACGCACCGCGACGGTCAGATGCGTCTCGCCCGCGATGATCGAGCTCGGGCGTGTACGCACGATGTCTGCCGTGGTCGCAGTGGTCGGGAGAGTCGTGCATCTGCGCGACGTAGCAGTACTCTGCCGCTGGGGCCGAGTCAGCCTGACGAAAGCCGCGCGGCGCGGGCTCGGGGGGACGGGGACGCTCACCGATCACGATGTCGGCCGGGTCGACGCGGTGGTCGCGCGCGAGGCGCAGCGCGTGGTCGATGAAGAACGCGTTGCACGCGCGGGGCTCCACGACGCGGAACAGCTTTCGGCCGATGCAGTGGTCGTCGTCGGGCCCCGGGGCGAGGTTGACTTCGTGGCTGCGGGGAAACGACCGGGTTCAGCGGCAGAACGTGCGCACGGGCCGGCGCCTTCGCAGCACTGACCTCTCGACCGCGCTGGCTGACCAAGTGAAGCGATTGAAGCGGCCGGAGAGCTCTCTGTACACCCGACGGCTGACGCCAAAGGCGTTGGCTGAGGGTCCTGCGAGATCGTCGATGTTGCCGAGACGCGTGAAGCGGTCGCCGTCGCTGTGATGTGTTACGTAGCCGTAGTCGCCCATCGCAGACGCGGTTGGCGTTGTTCCTTTCCTTAGTGCTGTGATCACTTCCGCTCTGGGAATCGCAAAGGTTGTACAGGTGCGTCGATCCACTGCCGCGCATGTCAATCCAAGCGACCCCTCGTTGATGAGCAGCAACAGGAAGCGAGGGAAAGTGAAGACGCGCTCGTCGAAGTCGCCCGGCGAGCCGCGGCCATCGTGACGCACATCAAGCAGAAGGTGCAGAGTGGTGCTGGCAGCCTGGCGGTGAGCACAGAGATGCAGAAGATCCTGGCCGAGCTTCACGCGTTGGTGCCTCCATCTTCGAAGGAGATTTCTGTGCTCTGAAATGCGCTCCCTCTAGAGTGATGGAGAATATACGTGCTGAGGTCGAAGATGTGCTCAAGATCGTACCCTTCGTGCGATTCCTTCGTCGGAAAATGGTCCAGAAGAAGGGACAGACCTGCGTGCAGAAACTGGACGATGCATGGCGGGCCTTCGATGTAAGTCGCTCGGATTTGGATCGCCCACCGATATGCGGAGCTGACATATGCATATGTCTAGAGCGCACTCTTGGTTCATCTCGAGAACCAGGTCAAAGCGCAAGGTGAATCGTTGGAGCGTCTCGAGGACCAGAACAGATCACAGGTAGAAACGTTGGCACATCTCGAATGCGAAGTCAGGTCACAAGCCACGTTCGAGCCCACTTTATCCGTATTTATTTGGCGTTCATCGGGCGTTTTTCTGCTCTCACGTGTGCATATTAGATACCTTACGCTCGATTCACCGATATCCAGCACAAGGTCCGCCAAGGAAAGTATAATACGAGCACTTACAGCGGAGATCAGTTCAGTGGTCTCTGGGGATCCGAACAACGTGTTGTGACAGTACGAAAGTTCGATCCAAGCCTAAAGACGGTGAGTATATTGATTGTGGATAGTCACGCATGGTCTCACCGAGTTCGCAGTGCGTCGTTCGAGCAATCAGAGCATATTCTCAAAACCAGTGCGTGTCCCCTTCAGCTGAAGTTGGCGATCTGACCGTAAGCGCACAGACACGAATATCACGAATGCCTCACCAACGTGATTGCGCTGGCATATCCTTCCGCCGGAGTTCAGTTCTACCTAATCGAAGGTCGTATATTATAGATTCCTTATAGGCCATGCTCGCTCATTGTCGATTTGACAGGGCCGCGGAAGTCCATCATAGAAGACTTTACCGGCAAGGACCCCAGGGTATGGATGAGGAAACTGCTACAGCATGTGAGCCCTCTCCGACGCAGTGGGTACACATACTCACGGTCCATCCCATCTCAGATTGGTGATACAGATGCAAGTTCGTCGTTGTATGGGTGGGTCTTGTACTGAACGCCCGTGGCAGAACGTTTTGACGTTCATGGAACAGCAAGCACTAGTCCCGACTTACACGGTAAGGTTCTGTCTTACCTTTCATGTGGTTTCATGACTCTGATATTGGCAACAGGGATCTCAGCGTCGCAACGTGCATACGGAAGGGCCGTGCCTACCCTCCGCTCAAGTAGACAACCAAGGCCGACTCGTCGTGGACGCATCGGATCTCACGGATGCGCTTCCATTCTGCGTCTATAACTGCATATGCCGCTTGTACGCCGAGATGAAAAGGTCAGCGCCACGTATTCTCTACAGGTGAAATAATTGTCTCAAAGTGTATCGCAACAATACGCATTCTGCAAGGTCACATACAGATCGCGGCGTATCATCTACTTCGCAAAGCGACGGCGCTTCGGGAAATCGACAACTCATTCCCGTGCATCTTGATCTCGCCCATACAGTGGACTCGATCCATGCAGTGAATCCGTTCGCGCCTGCTGACGGTCTCGCTGATCAGTGGCGTCTCGTCTCGTCCTTGACGTCGTTCGGATTGCCTCTTTCTCCCCTGCACATCCCCTGTGTCGCAAAACTGGGCGACTACGGCTACGTAACACATCACAGCGACGGCGACCGCTTCACGCGTCTCGGCAACATCGACGATCTCGCAGGACCCTCAGCCAACGCCTTTGGCGTCAGCCGTCGGGTGTACAGAGAGCTCTCCGGCCGCTTCAATCGCTTCACTTGGTCAGCCAGCGCGGTCGAGAGGTCAGTGCTGCGAAGGCGCCGGCCCGTGCGCACGTTCTGCCGCTGAACCCGGTCGTTTCCCCGCAGCCACGAAGTCAACCTCGCCCCGGGGCCCGACGACGACCACTGCATCGGCCGAAAGCTGTTCCGCGTCGTGGAGCCCCGCGCGTGCAACGCGTTCTTCATCGACCACGCGCTGCGCCTCGCGCGCGACCACCGCGTCGACCCGGCCGACATCGTGATCGGTGAGCGTCCCCGTCCCCCCGAGCCCGCGCCGCGCGGCTTTCGTCAGGCTGACTCGGCCCAGCGGCAGAGTACTGCTACGTCGCGCAGATGCACGACTCTCCCGACCACTGCGACCACGGCAGACATCGTGCGTACACGCCCGAGCTCGATCATCGCGGGCGAGACGCATCTGACCGTCGCGGTGCGTGTAGCGAGCGCGTGGCTTCACATTCTACCCCTCGGGGAGAACAAGCAGCCTCGGGAGCCGTGGGCGTATTGGTCGTTCGATGCTGAGGCTGTTGACGAAGGCCAGCAGCCTCCAGCGCTTCCTGAGGGCTGCAAGAACTGCTTCGAGGTCGCGTACGTCCCCTCTCAGATCATCGCGTGCTGCTAAGGGGGGCTGATGAGCGTCGCTCCTCCTAGACCATTCGAATTGCATTTTGCACGTATGGATATGTTCCTGGCGCACCTCTACATGATGGTTGAGAGTTGTTCAACCAGCGAGAGCTGTACGGATGGTCATTCTGTATTAGAGGAGGTTGATGAGAGTACTCCAAGCACAGAGGGCGAAGGTAGCTGAACGCGCCGTCATACATGATGTACATGTCCATGGATGTATTCGAGTGGGCATCAGCGATTGGCGGAAGACGCAGGTCATGTAAAGTGTATCATCTGGACGGCATCCCAAGACCCCTTTTACCGTACCCATGTACTAGATATCAGCCTGTGGTGATGCCTGTAAACGCCATCTCACAATATTGTCACCACGGATGTCTATAAAATGTCGGAGTGCCACAAAAACACACTAGCAGATACCGCTGACAAACGTGCTCCGAAATTGCGACAACGTTCAACGCGCTTGCACGGGCTTGCGCTGACGTGCAGGCTCTCCGGCGCCAGCAGCTCCTACGTCGTAGCAGCCATAGGATTATCGTCCGGGGCGCAAAGCGCGCCATTGAGCGGCTCGGCGACCGTGGCAAGGCCGCTCGTGATGTACGCCCGTCCCGGGTCCGGCACCTATATGCTCTCGCTCTCAAAGACACGGGTACGAAGAGAGAAAAAAATTAACTCACCCTCCGGGATAGAGCACCCATCAATGATGTGCACATGCCTCCCCTCACTCGTGCAACACTCCCCGGCGGATCCGCGCCCTGGCACGCTTGGGGCCGCCCCTAGTGCGCGCCCGAGCGTTCTGCGGGTGCGGGTAGCCCAGAAAAATGCGTCACACGCGCCGTCAGTCTGATCGAAGCTACCGATACCAGCGGCGATGGAGTGCGCGGCCGCGTTTGAAGGGTCGTCGGACTGGCCCGTCTAGAATACGTCTGAGCGCGCGGTGGCAGCGAACGCGAATCCGCGATTGAAGATCGGTGAGATGGTCGTGCGCGACGGCGTGGACTTTTTAAGCCTCTTCTCTGAGCGTGCATGGCAGGAGGAAGATGTTCTCTCGACTCTGGGCCCGGGCGTGGGGAGAGAGCGTCAGTCGGTGGTTACCCTGGTTCCGTGGGGATCGTGCTCGCTGTCGGGTCAGACACGGCAGAGAAGTGTCAGAAGCCAGAGCGAGACGGGTGGTGCCAACCTGGAGTCTTTTCGGAGTCATAGGGCAATGAACGCACTCCACGGGCGCCGCCAGGAGAACAGGTGGCCAGGAGAAGACGATGGGACACTGCCCCCACGGACACACTGATGAACGTCTCGTTAGATGGGGCGTTCAAAAGGGCCGTATCGGAGTGGCATGGTTCCTCGCCGAGGGGGTCATCAGGAGACGGCGTGGTCGGGTGTGGAATGAGGTCTCAGGCGGAGCTGAACAAGTTGTCACCACTGGCAGTGGCAGTCAGGTGAAGCGGTGTGCCGGTGCCGGCCGAGCATTGGGCGCCTACTCCCACATCCTTCCGCCGACACCCGCACCCGGCGCGCGCCTTCCGTCATCGGCGCATCCAGTCCCCGCCGTACCACTCATCCATTTCTCGCGTGCACCACCTACACCCAATTTTATCGGGAGACCGTTCTTCCTAGTACATAGCTGGCTGTATAAGTGTTCCCCGGCACGCGTCGCCGGACATCGCGGCCAAATCGCGGCGCGAGTGATCCTGCCGTACTACTAGTGCTGCCTGCGCCGCTACCTGGAGGCAACGTACCCGCCGGTCGAACCAAGGTCGAACTCGAAAAGCGCCAGAGATCGCAATCTAACAATCTCCAGAGCAGTAACCACGTCAAAGTACATGCAATTATGATACAAGCCCTTCCTTCCTTCGCTTCGTGCCGACCTTTAATCTCGAATGCACAATCATGACTCAACCGACGCTCGTCTGCTCTAGGTTCCAGTACTCCTGTGCGTAGTCCATGATCGCCCGGTCGGAGCTGAACTTGCCCATCTGCCCGACATAGTTAGCAAGCGCCTCACAAGCCGGAAGAACGCCGGACGTACCTTCGCCGACGTGCGAATGCTCTTCTTGATCCACTCCGTGCGGTCTTGGTATGCCTGGTCGACAAGCTCGAGGGCCTTGATGTCTGCATCGGTCGTGTCAGTCTCAGCGTCGCACGTGCATCGTCCATCTAGCTGAACAGAACAACGGCACAGTTCACGTACAGGAGTCGAAGTCCTCGGTGAGCAGGTAGTAGTCGTTCTGCCGGATGGTGTTCAGCAGCGGCTCGTACACCCCTCCGTCGCCGAAGCGGCCCTCGGCGACCTCGTTGATCACGCGCGCCAGCGGCGGGCACTTCTGCTCGATCGGGACCGGGTGGTACATGTGCTGGTAGCGAAGGTCCTCGACCGCAGGCGTCAGGTTACCGAAGAAGACTACGTATGCATGGCGTCAGCGTCCCACTCGAGATTCGAAGCGGACGAAGCCAATCAAATACGCACAGACGTTGCTCTCGCCGACCTCCTCGGCGATCTCGATGTTGGCTCCGTCAACAGTGCCAACGAGGAGGCCGCCGTTCAGGCAGAACTTCATGTTCGACGTCCCGGAAGCCTCAGTTCCAGCGGTGGAGATGTGTTGGGAGATATCGGAGGCGGGGATGAGGACCTCGGCAAGCGACACGCAGTAGTCTGGGAGGAAGTAGAGTGAAAGGAGGTCCTTGGTTTCCGGGTCTTCGTTAATGATGCGCGCGACGTTGACGATCAGGCGAATGGTCTGTGGTCCAGAGGAAGGTCGAGTAAGAATCCGATAATCACGACATAAAATTTTACACGCACGAGTTTCGCGATGTAGTCTTCACACCAAAGGCTGAGTAAGCATTTTCAAACTCGAGGAAGAAGAAACTCACATCCGGGCGCAGCCTTGCCGGCGAAGAATACGACCTTGGGGTTGACCTTCGTACGTTGCTCGGGTGTCATATCCTTGAGAGTGAGGTACCTCTGCACGACACATCGTCAGCATAATGTATGGCCACGAATGTCGCCATTCTCACGTGGATGACACCCATAATGTTCATCGTTTGACGCTATGAGGGGCAAAAGTTAGCTGGGAGCGTATCTATATCATCACCCAATGCACTGACCTTGTACTCATGTAGACGCTACTCAGAGAAAACGTCAGCTCGGCGCATACATCGCGTAACAAGACCGTCCCAAACCTTGATCTGAACGTCAAACATCGCCCGCGTGTTGACCTTGAGACCGAGCGTGCTCTCGATATGCTGAGCCAGGCGCTCCTTGTTGCTCTGCTTCACCGCCGCCCAACGCTTCTGGAAGGCCGGGTCGTCGACGTGCTCCAACAGACCCTGATAGTGTACAAAACATCAGTGAGATGAAAAAGGGTGTTGGAAACGACGTTGCGCCTGACCTCAAGCTTGTAAAGGTCCTTGAGGAAAGTAGCCTTCGGCACCTTGAGCGTCTCGCTGATGAGGTTCGACAAGCCAGGGTTGCACTGGTCGAGCCAGCGACGAGGCGTGACTTCATTCAGAATATATCAGCGTCTGCGTGATGTGGACCAGTACGGACTCGACTTACTGCCGTTAGTGACGTTGGAGAACTTGCTGACGCCGTAGAATTCAACGAAGTCCTTCATGATCGTCTGCCGCACGAGCTCAGAGTGGAGCTCCGCGACGCCGTTGACCTTGCGACTGCCGATACACGCGAGATTCGCCATGCGAACGTTTTTGGGGAATCCCTCTGAATGGGGACGTCAGCCTTCGCTGACAGCCAAGATCAATGAACGTACCCTCGATGAGAGACATGCGCGCGAGGCGGTCCTTGTCACCCGGGAACTTCTTCTCGACAGCTTGGAGGAAAGCCCTGTATGTGGCGTCAGTGACCGCGAGGAGACGGAGTGATAGGTACTCACATGTTCTGATAGGCAGTTGGCACGCATATAGTTAGCTCAACACCGGCACAAACAACCAAACACTTACGATATCGTAGATAATCTGCATATGTCTATGCCATCATCAGTTTCTACCCCACGAATACGCATACATGCGGCTCACCTAGGGAGGAGGTTCTCCATCAACCCGACGGGCCACTTTTCGAGCGCCTCGGGCAGGACGGTGTGGTTGGTGAAGAAGAACGTGTTGCAAACGATTTCCCATGCCTTATCCCACGGCAGTTCCTCCTCATCGACGAGCATACGCATCAGCTCGGGGATCGCGAGCGTCGGGTGCGTGTCGTTGAGCTGGATGGCGACGTAGTCGGGGAACTCAGAGACGTCCTTGCCCGTGTTCTTGAAGCGGCGCATGATGTCTGCAAGCGACGCCGCGGTCCAGAAGTACTGCTGCTTCAGACGAAGCTCCTTTCCGAATGTCGTGTGGTCGTTGGGGTAGAGCACGGACGTGATCGCCTCGGCGCTGTTTGAAGCCTCCACTGCGCGCTCGTAGTCGCCAGCTGGTAGGAACACATTCCGATCAGAATTGCGCCCAGCGCAACATGACGCATATGATACGCACCGTTGAAGCTCTGAAGGTCAAATCCACGCTTGGGCTTACTCTCCCAGAGCCGGAGGTTGTTCGTGTTCTTCGTCGCGTAGCCGGGGATCATAACGTCATAGGCCATCGCCAACACCTCCTGACCACCCTGCCACAGCGCGCGACCGCCCTCAAGGCGCTCGGCGTACCCGTAGAACCGGATGTGGTAGGTGACATCGGAGCGGGCGAGCTCCCAAGGGTTGTCGTGCTCCAACCACGGGTCGGGAGCCTCGAGTTGAGACCCGTCGGGCGAGATGAGTTGTTGGAAGATACCTGTGGATTGGAAGAATATGAGAAACCTCGTCTCCTCGAGACTCTGAAAAAGAGACCCACCGTACTTGTACCGGAGACCATAGCCCCACACAGGGAGCTCCTGGCTCGCGGAAGAGTCGAGGTAGCACGCGGCCAGACGACCGAGACCGCCATTGCCCAGACCGGCGTCGCGCTCCTGCTCGATGAGGTCCTCGAGGTTAAAGCCGAGTTTCTGCGTGCCGTCGCCATATTGCTGCTTGAGGCCGAGGTTGAGCAGCGCGTTGTCGAGCGTGCGTCCCATCAGGAACTCGAGCGAAAGGTAGTACGCGCGCTTAGGGGCCTTGCGGTTGTAGTGCAGCTGCGTCTCGTTCCAGTTCGCCTATGAGTGAACGGACCCGCGCATGAGCACGGAAATAGTACACGAACATAGGCCGCGATGCGTACCAGCAGGTTGTCACGGGTAGACATGGCGGTGGCTTGGTAAGCGCCGAGGTTGTCGAGGTTGTACGCCTGCCGAGCGAGCGAGGTATGGACGTGGTGGACGACAGACTTGGTGATCTGGGGGACCTCTGTTGGACGCGTCAGTCTCTGAATATCATCAACTCGATCGAACTGAAAGTGGACTGCACACAAGGCGCCCGGGTGAAGAGCACCCATAGGGCGCGCCGTAACGAAACGGCAGGCACCCGCATAGTCCTGAACGGCGAGGCAAAGATGGCGCGAAGAAGCAAGAATGAACGTTCACGCGAAGACTCGAGCACGGCTTCCCGCGCACGGTGCTCACGCTCGCCCCGTCACCGCCCGGAGAAACCTTGGCGAAGCCGAGACTGCGATGACGTCGCCCGCGACGCGTCTCCCGCCCTCGCTCTCTTCGACGGGCATCGCGCGCCCACGCGCCGTCGCGCAGCTGACCCCATGCGAAGCACAGCGCGAAGGAGAGAGCGGAGCCCCGCCCTCGACTGCGACGAGCACGTAGAAGTAGAAGCACTGGTACTGACCGGTGGTGACCGGGGGGATCCCCTCCTTCCACACCTTCTCGTCGCCGATGGGCCACTTCTCCTTGCCCGCCGCGTCGGTCTCGGCCGTGTACCCTACAAACGAGCGCGAGGACGTGTGCCGAGGTCAGCGAGCGCGCTCGACGCGCATACATGGACCGCACGCACCGGTGAGGGTACGGATGTGCCGGCGCGACTTGGCTTTTCCGATGGTGCTGGGGTCGATGGTGGAGGTCATGGCGCGGGTTTTATGCGCGTCGAAGGGGGGTGGGAGGTGGGGGAGACGTGGGCCGTGCAGACGACAGGCCACGCACGAGAGAGGGCGAGGGAGGGGCCGAACGAGGGGGACTATATAGCGGACGCGAAGGAAGTCCTGGGGCAGGACGAAAGGGCGGGGAGAGTCCGGGCCCGTGCGAGTTGTGACGCCATCGTGCCGGTGACCCCGATCCAGAGGCCGTCCGCTGGCCGAGACCCAGGACGTTCGTCAGTTTTGCGACACAGGGGATGTGCAGGGGAGAAAGAGGCAATCCGAACGACGTCAAGGACGAGACGAGACGCCACTGATCAGCGAGACCGTCAGCAGGCGCGAACGGATTCACTGCATGGATCGAGTCCACTGTATGGGCGAGATCAAGATGCACGGGAATGAGTTGTCGATTTCCCGAAGCGCCGTCGCTTTGCGAAGTAGATGATACGCCGCGATCTGTATGTGACCTTGCAGAATGCGTATTGTTGCGATACACTTTGAGACAATTATTTCACCTGTAGAGAATACGTGGCGCTGACCTTTTCATCTCGGCGTACAAGCGGCATATGCAGTTATAGACGCAGAATGGAAGCGCATCCGTGAGATCCGATGCGTCCACGACGAGTCGGCCTTGGTTGTCTACTTGAGCGGAGGGTAGGCACGGCCCTTCCGTATGCACGTTGCGACGCTGAGATCCCTGTTGCCAATATCAGAGTCATGAAACCACATGAAAGGTAAGACAGAACCTTACCGTGTAAGTCGGGACTAGTGCTTGCTGTTCCATGAACGTCAAAACGTTCTGCCACGGGCGTTCAGTACAAGACCCACCCATACAACGACGAACTTGCATCTGTATCACCAATCTGAGATGGGATGGACCGTGAGTATGTGTACCCACTGCGTCGGAGAGGGCTCACATGCTGTAGCAGTTTCCTCATCCATACCCTGGGGTCCTTGCCGGTAAAGTCTTCTATGATGGACTTCCGCGGCCCTGTCAAATCGACAATGAGCGAGCATGGCCTATAAGGAATCTATAATATACGACCTTCGATTAGGTAGAACTGAACTCCGGCGGAAGGATATGCCAGCGCAATCACGTTGGTGAGGCATTCGTGATATTCGTGTCTGTGCGCTTACGGTCAGATCGCCAACTTCAGCTGAAGGGGACACGCACTGGTTTTGAGAATATGCTCTGATTGCTCGAACGACGCACTGCGAACTCGGTGAGACCATGCGTGACTATCCACAATCAATATACTCACCGTCTTTAGGCTTGGATCGAACTTTCGTACTGTCACAACACGTTGTTCGGATCCCCAGAGACCACTGAACTGATCTCCGCTGTAAGTGCTCGTATTATACTTTCCTTGGCGGACCTTGTGCTGGATATCGGTGAATCGAGCGTAAGGTATCTAATATGCACACGTGAGAGCAGAAAAACGCCCGATGAACGCCAAATAAATACGGATAAAGTGGGCTCGAACGTGGCTTGTGACCTGACTTCGCATTCGAGATGTGCCAACGTTTCTACCTGTGATCTGTTCTGGTCCTCGAGACGCTCCAACGATTCACCTTGCGCTTTGACCTGGTTCTCGAGATGAACCAAGAGTGCGCTCTAGACATATGCATATGTCAGCTCCGCATATCGGTGGGCGATCCAAATCCGAGCGACTTACATCGAAGGCCCGCCATGCATCGTCCAGTTTCTGCACGCAGGTCTGTCCCTTCTTCTGGACCATTTTCCGACGAAGGAATCGCACGAAGGGTACGATCTTGAGCACATCTTCGACCTCAGCACGTATATTCTCCATCACTCTAGAGGGAGCGCATTTCAGAGCACAGAAATCTCCTTCGAAGATGGAGGCACCAACGCGTGAAGCTCGGCCAGGATCTTCTGCATCTCTGTGCTCACCGCCAGGCTGCCAGCACCACTCTGCACCTTCTGCTTGATGTGCGTCACGATGGCCGCGGCTCGCCGGGCGACTTCGACGAGCGCGTCTTCACTTTCCCTCGCTTCCTGTTGCTGCTCATCAACGAGGGGTCGCTTGGATTGACATGCGCGGCAGTGGATCGACGCACCTGTACAACCTTTGCGATCCCCAGAGCGGCAGTGATCACAGCACTAAGGAAAGGAACAACGCCAACCGCGTCTGCGACGTTCTTGACGGCTTCGAGGGCGTCGATAGAGTTGGCGAGCACGTCGTTCACGGTAGCCTTTCTCGGAGACTTAAAAGTGCGGCGAATGCGCCTCATGAAGCTCGGCATGGAATAGGAAGGGGGGGCACGGGAGCGAGTTGGGGGTTGGAAGGACGACCGATCCTGCAGGGATTAGTAGGGAACAGCCGCGGAGGCTTCTCCATATGTTCCCGCCGTCATATAACCCGGCCAATGTGAGCGCCGCGCGTTTTCTGTTCGCCGCTCGTCGTGAGTGCGGCGGTCGTCGATGATCAATTGATTAAGTACCTGCCCTCCTCCTGCGGTGTGGACCTGAGGCGATGCCACCGGTCTCCGGACAGAAGCGTCGCGTCGACTTCCAACTCGCTTCGGTGCAGGCAGGATGCTGCGGGGCCTGCGCATTACGCGTGTGTGGGACTTTCGACCTGTGCGCAGAAGCGTGAACGATTGGAGGGAGCTGGAGCTGCATTATCAAATATAGAAGTTGCTGGTACCTTCTTCACGACGCGCACACAGCAACGCCGGGTGCTTGCAACACGCCGCTGTCTCCGAGGCGTAACGGAGAAGGACTACATGCAGCGAAGTGATCGTGGTGAGGATCAAGTATTGACGTGGTAGAGGCGTGCTCTATATTATTAAGCTGAAAAGGTCAGAATATTACGAGAGTATGCAAGAAAATGAATCGCCGGTGCGCACCACGTTAACGGAAAGGTACCGTGCTTTCGTTGGTTGCGTTTGTCGTGTTATCCAAACCCCGGTGCGACTGGAGTTCGCCGCGTTCATCACACCGTCGCAGACGGACAGATGCAGATGGACGTCATGCCTTCGTGGAAGGAAGAGAATCGCTTGTTGGTGTGAAGTGCTTACCAATGGATTTCTATATGCGGATACGCCGAGCACATTTCCCATACAGTGGAGATCGCAACTGGAAGCGTTCTCCTCTTGGCAGTGTACTTCTTCGACCACATCGTGGCATGATCATCTACGTCGAGTTCGAGAAGTATCAGCGAACAACTTGCTCGCAGCGAACAGGTATCCAGGGTTTTCGAGCGCAAGGCGCCTTTAATGCGCTTCATCATTGTTCCAGCGGCGATCCAGTTGGACAATCCTGATGTCGACGAGACCGAGGGAGATGACCGATGAGAAAGGAGTCAAGAAGTCCTCCTGGGGCATTGGGCGCGGCGGATATATACACTATGTAGCTCACAAAAGTGCTTGTCTTTATCAACGAGTCGAGAGTTCAGACAGAAGTGCCTAACGCGGCACTTACGGGCACCTTGCACGATCAACTCAGGCATCGACTCGCCGAGACCTGAGTTGATCGCAAATCGTATGCGCCTCTCGGTCCACTGAGACGCTGCGTCATACGCATGGAGTTGTGGTGAGAGTGATCATCGCCCGTCTTTGAGCCTTTCAAACAAGTTTCAAAGAACACGCCTGGTCTCGTCCCTAGCGGCTCTGTACCACACCCCACCACCGCCTACACGAGTGCGGTACAGAGCCGCTGGGGACGGAACCAAACAGACCGGAGACATAAGGCCTGAGATCCTCAAGCCAATGCTGAGCGTCCAGCCAGCAAATCTGCAAGCAGAAAATATGGTGAGAAGCAGACCAACACGTGAGGCGAAGTATGATGATGCGCGAAAGACCATGGATATATTGCGGACGGCGATCAGTAGGTGGTGTGCTGTTGAGAGTATAATGGTATACACTAGGGTATGGGTGTATGCGGGAGTGAAGTAGGCGCCAGTAGTGTGGGTGTTGAACCTCTAAGCAATCCAGGTCCATGCGAGGTGGCGCGGTCGTCGTGCGTCGTTTTTAGTTCGTGTGGATTCATTAGGAGCATGGACGGGGGCTCACTGCGCCTTCTTGGAGCCCGCCTTGTCCGCTGCCGCCTTGTTTGCGTAGATCATGTCGGTGAAGGGACCCTCGAAGCGGAGCGCGATCACGTAGACGATGTAGACGTAGAGCGTGATGAGCAGGCCTGCGGGACGCTCGTACCTGTGCATGCGCGGGAGCATCAGGGGACGTGCGCAGGACGCGCCGGGGGAGAACGCACCAGAGCGAGGTAGCGGCGAACGACAGAGTGCTCCCGACGTACATAGGGTCGCGGAGGACGTTGAAGGGGAAGCCCTCGACGCGGTGGTCCATGAGAATGCCGAAGTAGTCTCCGAGGAACGTGCCGGTGATTCCGAGCGCATAGGTGGAGGTGATGACGAAGGTTTGACCCATGACGAAGAGCGCGACGGGCACAATGATGTTCAAGGGCTCAGGGAGGAGCTGCGTGCGGGGTTGTTCGGACAGAGCTTCGTGGAAGCTACAGCGAGCTCGCGTAAGCAGGGGGGGTGGAAAGGAGGACTAGCCCGCTGGAGCGCATACAGCGAGGCAAAAAAAAGCAGGACTCACATAGCGTCGCGCACCATTCCGGCAGAGAAGATGCAGAGTGCGAGGAAGTAGCAACCGTACTTGGCGTTTCCACCCAAGCACGCGTGATCGTCTTGTTTCTGTACTCTGCACCAGGGCGGAGTGAGCGGACAGCGCATGCTGGGGCAAGCAAGGAAATACCATTTCGCGCCACAATGTTCCAAGCAGTGGGATTGAAGGCGATTGACGCAACAGAAATCCACAGTGACTGTTGGTAAGGTCGACGATGGTGTCCATGTTCACAGCGGCCACGTCTAGAGAGAAGGAGGAGGGGGAGGAGAGGAGCAGAGCAGCGCAGCGCGAGAGCACACGTCGACGAAATGAAGGCGTGGAATTCACGTGGGGCGCGTTGGGGGCGCGTGCCTTGCGCGCGGGGGCCCTGATTGGCTGCAGCGGCAGGGGCACACATGGGGCGCGACCTCCTCCCTCAACAACCCCGCCGCTCCGCGAACCTCGCGCGCGCCGTAGGCCACCAGGCGTGCCAGGTTTGCTCGGGGCCGGCATGCTCTCCATCCCACCTAGCAGCCGCGCGCCAGATCATGGGAATCAAAGCCGTCCTGCGCGGGCGTCCCACCTCTCGCGCCCGCACAGCTGACCATATCGCCCAAAAATGAATAGAGACCGCCGCCGGCTTCCAATGACCTCCTGTTTCCATCGTCTCACCCTCCACCCACCACAAGCTCCTCACCAAATGAAACCCAGCAGACCCGCGACGCCCTTGCCATCTCGCATCCGCGTCGAACCAGACAAGGAGCTCTGGTTCGCGGACGGCAACCTCGTCCTCGTCGCCAGAGACGTCGAGTTCCGGGTCTACCAGGGGCCCCTTGCCGCACACTCCCCGATCTTCAAGGACATGCTCTCTCTACCGCAACCAGGCGAATCCGAGTCCCATGCCGCCCACGGTGCAGCTCACCGATTCTCCACATGACCTGCGCCACTTCCTGCGCACATTCATATCGGATCGTCTCTTAGGTAAGCATCCAGCCCCGCTTTGCTCCCGAACTGCTTTTCATCGCCTTAATACCGAGCTATCTTTTCTGTTGTATTACGGCTCTGCTCGTTTGTGCGCGAGTTGACCGGTTGATGAGTCATTTGATCACCCGAGCCGTATACGGCGTCGTGAACTCATCCCTCCATTTCACTGATACCAATCTCCCACAGAACTGGCTCACACAGCCCAACCTTCGATGAGGTCTCCGCATGCATCCGCTTGGGACACAAGTATCAGATTGACCACCTCGTCACCACCAACATGGACTTCCTCCGCAAGTTCTACACCGACAGCTTCGAGGACTGGTACCCGTCCAACTTCGTCCGCCCGCCGACCTTCCAGGCGATCCACTCCATCGGCGTCGTCAACCTCGCGCGGCTCGTCGGCGCCGACCGCATGCTCCCCGCCGCGCTCATGGACTGCTGCACGCTCGGCGCCGAGATCGTGCGCGGGCTGCCCCGCCCGGACGGTGGCCGCGAGACCCTGGCGCCGGACGACCTCGGGCGCTGCTTCGTCGGACGGACGCGCATGGCGCAGGCGAGCGCGCGGATCGCGCACCACATGTTCCGCCAGAAGACCGCCGTGGGCTGCCGCAATCCGACGTGCTGCGCGCGCGTGCTCCAGCGGCTGCTGAACGAGCTCGCGAACGCGAAGGACGACGTCATCTCGTGCGTCGACTGGTACGCGTCGTGGATGGTCTATGTCGACGGGCGCGACGAGGGGCGCGAGCTGTGCATCAAGTGCTACCGGATGCTCGAGGGCGAGCGGCCGAAGGTGCTGCAGCGCGAGGTGTGGGAGAAGCTCCCTTCGATGATGGGCGTCGATGTCCCGGGATGGGCGGACTCCATGAAGCAGGAGGTTTGATCGAGGTGGGTGCTATGATCTCGTGTTTTGTGCGTTTGACGAACGGTACTCCAGGTATTAGCCTGGACGGACGTGCACTTCAACTCTCATGTAATCTAAATTGGACGTCTTACTGTGTAGCCACTGACCAATGTACAACACGCAAGTTCATGTTCGCTCTCTCGTCCGCTCCCTGGAGATCATCCCCTCAACATTCAGCCCATACACCGTACGGATCGGAAGAGTACTTAGCCGCGATGACGACGTCCATATCCGGGCCGGCGGTTACCGCCACTCGCAACAGTGACGCGTCGAACACGGTCACTTTTGGGGGCGGCGTCAGTGCGCCTGCTTCCGGAATCATATCAGACTCCAATCACAACAATAGCGTCTTCAACCTCGCTAACGACAACTCTTGCAGCCTGATCTTCTCTTACCAACCCCAACTGCGGCAGCAAGCTCAACGTTGGTCGATGCAGGGAGGTACAAATAAATCCGCATCTGTGGTGAGCAACGGGGTTCTCGAATTCTTACCTGTTACTCACCTGTCATCAGGTACATTTCGAGTACTCGGACGCCTGGGTTATGTGATTCGAAGGTCGTCCCATGCAGACTTCGTCACATATTCCTCCGTGTCGCTGGGTGCACTCGGCACTTCGCATGACACGCGTGTGCGCGCCTAGAACGCGATTCCATGTGTTGTCCAGCGAAGGTCACGAGATACCAGGCCGCGGCAATGCTTGCTCGGTCTTCCGGGAACGTCCCCGGCACGTGGCAAGAACTCTCACAATGCGTGGATGTGATCCCATGGACCCACAACGAAGTAAGCACGGCGAGGAGACTCCGCAGACGTGCCGCCGGCGTGGAAGACACGAGGATCGATCTTCGAATTCTCGCGCACAGGTCCCTGACAATGGAGATACCCCGATAAGTAGTCTGGGGACGCATGCGCTGATGGCCCATGGCCTCTCTCTCTTTCTCATCTCCCACCATGGCTCCGCGTCCCGGTCGCGGACATCGGTCCCTCGTCTCCAGCAAAGGCGTCGCGGACGACGTGCTCGCCAACTCGATCACTATCCTCGAGGCCCTCAAGGATGCTGCAAGCGCCGTTGGTGCCGTCCCCTTCCTCGGCGGCATCGTCGCCACCGCACTCGGAATCGCGAAGCCGTCGAGGTGCGCGTTCCTCACATCCGCCCGCTGCGTGTGCGCCGTCCTCATCTCTCACGACAGCAATCGAGAGCGAACACAGACGCGTTCGTCTCTGTCGCTGAGCGCGCAGCGGCCTTCGCCGAGTACGTCCAGAAGAAGACTCTAGGCTCGAACAGGGGGACATCAGCACGGACATGCAGGTCATCCTGCTGGAGCTACACGGGTGGGTGCTTTCATTGTGCTGGTCCCGGAACGGCTTTCTCACCCGATCTGGACACAGCGCTCTGGTGACGATACAAGACGAAGTGAAGAAAGAGCTGGAGAGGGGGCGCATCTACCGTTTCCTTCGACGGGCAAGGCTTCGCGGGAAGGCGCAGGAATGCCTACAGATGCTGGACGATGCTTGGCGCTCGTTCGACGTGCGTTTGGTCTTGTCGAACCTGGCAGCATCCTGACGGTACGTCTGCTCAGAGCGCGATCCTGGTCCGACTCGAGCGCCAGCTCGAATCGCAAGCTACATTCGAACCCGTTTCCTTGGTCAGTTCCCTTACTCTGTCGATTGCAACGTTACTCTGATGGTCGCTTTCAGCTACCATACGTGCCGTTGACAGCGATCCAGCCCGCAGAAGACCGTAGGATGATGCCGTACAGAACGAGGACCCACGGCGGCGTTCAGTACAGCGGTATATGGGGCACTCGTCCGGTGACGGTGCGCAAGTATCACCACAAGCTCCAGGGTGTATGCACCGTGGTCCGGTTGAGTACTGATGCTTCTTACCAATGGCTATCTCACAGAACGTGTTTGAAAGCATTCAAATGCACTCTGAGAACCAGTATGCAGTCATCTTTGAGCAGCCTGAGATTTTTTCTGACAGCAAGTACGCATACTAGCCAGGAGTCTCACGAAACCTTCAGCAATGTGATTGCTATGGCTTACCCTCGCGCCGGAACCCAATTCTATGTCCTCGACGGTAGGGTGCTCTTTCCGCTTATTCATGTCTGAGTTGCTAATGTCATGTTCAGGTGTACGAAGATCTATATTGACAGACTTCGACAGCAAGGACCCCGTGATTTGGGCTCAGAAGTTTTATCAGCATGTGAGCACTTCTTGTATTGTCAAAGGAAAGGCCGCTAAGACCGGAAACGTTTCAGTTGGTTGATGCAGCTGTGACCCACATTCATCCGCAATGTATCCGTATTAAACCTCCTCCAGAGTGCGGTTAAATTCGTTGAAGATCGGGCACTGCTCCCTCTATATTCTGTAATTTTCTTTCTTTCCTCGCTCTTTCATACCTGAGATCTCAAACCTATCACAGAATGAAAATGCGATTCTCAGCCACGAAGGTCCCTGTTTACCTTCCGCCGGGATCAATTCACACGGTCAGCTCATTTTTGATGTGCAAGATCTGGAGCATGGAAGTGCATCCTGTCTATATACACATATCTCCGGCTTATATTCAGAGGTAAAAATCCTCCTTATGTTCGTTCTAATAGCATTTACTCATCCCTTGCTAAAGGCCCACAGAGACCCTAGGCACCACTTCCTTCCCGGTACGGACTGTCTTATTACACCTCCGTTCCACGCTCATACGCCATCCGCAGAGGCTCCAGTTATTCACAACACGGCGCTCACTTTCGATGCTCTGGTACAGGCGCGCGACGACCATGCCTTTCGTTCCAATTCCTCTCGTCTCTGGGATTTCCTCGCTGGCAGACATATACCGTTGCACAGCCTAGAGATCCCTGATAACGATGCCAAGCTGGGAGACTATGGCTACATTACAAATCACCCCGACGGTTCCCGTTTCACGTACCTCGGCAATATCGGTTCGGATGTCTTCAAATCCTCAGTCGATATGGCGCATGCAGAGCGTTGGATTTGTCGCGACATGCGTCCTCCCCCGTACGAGATCACCACTTGGTCAGACAACGCAGTCCAGAGGTCAGGATTGCTCAGCCATTTGCTTAACGCTCTATCGTTTTAATCGTCCCATCCTCGGCAGCGAGGAATTTACAACTTTTCCATCGCAGAACGACCCGAGTCGTTGGCGCATCGGCCAACAAATCCTATCTGGCATACATCCAAACACATACAGCAAATTCTTCACCGGCCACGCACTACGTCTGTCCCGCCTACATGGTATAGACCTATCGGATCTCTTTCTCGGCAAGCTCACTGGTTCCCCTGAATTAGTCTAGTGCTGATGTTGCGACAGTCTCTTCCCGCTGTTATCTCGCAGGCGCGTGCACCGGCGAAGATCACACGCACGGTACACACAGTGCGTACGATGTGTGACATTTAACGTCATCCACGATCTCTTACAAGTGACTGTGGATACAGCAACGGCGTGGCTTCACAGGCAGCCACTTGACGAGCACGGTGTGGCCCACACGCCGTGGGCGTACTGGTCCTTTGATGAGGAGCCAGTGCCCATAGGACACCCGCCGCCAAAAATTCCCCGGGGCCCTGAATGCTTCTGGGTGAAGTACGTCATCTTCAGGGTTGCATGCGCGTGATACCCGTGCTGATGCGAATCTGCGCCAACTGCAGACGGCCGAGGTTGTATGCCACCTGTCTCGGTCCGTTTATGGCTCAAATGAACGTAATGCTCGACGAGGCTCACGAATGTGATCGGCGCGTGAGCACACACAGGAAACTCGTGGACACTAACAAGGTTGCGGCACACGCGGGGCCCTCGTGCGCTGGGGAGAGCTCGGACGACGATGACGATGCGGGGTACCACACGGCGAGTGAATAAGAAACTATGTAGTAGTACTTCCCAGATTATACGGATGCGAGGGGGGCCAAAACACATCTAGTCCTGCCGCGTTTCCCAATTGTATAGGGCACGGGTTCCCAATGTCTCCTATCGCACTCGCGTCCGACTCGTTCCCGTCCCCACTCTTGAACTCCACCTCCGCTTCGGCCTCAGCCCGACACGCCTCCTCAAAGCGCGGGTCACTGCGCGCGCGGAAGTGCGGGAACGGCGCGATCGGGTTCTCGGAGCACGCCGCGCCGGGCACGACGTCGGGCACGCCCTCGGGCTCGTCCGACGCTGCGTTGTACAGGCCCCAGACTGTCGCGGCCCACGAGCGCGCGCCGCAGTAGACGAGAGAGACGCGGCCAGCGAGCGTATTGAGGAAAGGAGGTGTGCTGGAGCTGCCGAGGTGCGCGGTGGGAGTATGGGGCTCTGGTGAGACTCGCAATCCCGAGCCGGCCGGTTAGGATTCAGCAGTCACTTCCGGGTCTTGTACCACGGCCGCGCGGGGGCGGGGTATTCCGTGCCCGCGTACCCGTCCTTCGCCTTCGCGGCGTCGAACGTGGCGGGGGGCGCGCGCGAGCCTTCGTATCCTTCCCGCGGCGTGCGCGGGGAGCATGGCCAATGTTCCGCCTTCACGTTTGAAGACTCCGCGCTGGGACGGCTGGGACTGTGGAGACGGAAATGGGGGAGTCGATGTATGCGCCGGTTCCCTTCCCAGCCGTCTCCCGTCGACCCGGTTTTGCATGCCCTCCATCCTCCCCGTGACCCATGCGCTTCATAGCGGGTGATGAGTCACCCGCCTGAAAGCTAAGAGACGTCAACGGGGAGAGGTGGTGGGTATACGGTTGGGAGACTTACCGCCATGCTCAACAAGGCTGCAACAACGACCGCTCCTAGGAGCAGAGACCTGGCTGCTCACCGGTCCTGGGTGGCTATTCCCGTAGAACGTGACGGGGGATCGCTGTTTCACAAAGAAAGAGGCGGTGACGGATGCCGCGGCGTTGTGGATCGGCAGACCGCTTGCAGTGCCTGGTGAGCGTGGCCATCCGTCGTCGGCGCCTCCTGTTTTAATCGCGCTCGAGGTACGGGAGCCGCGTAAACAGCCTACAAGCCACGCCATACACGATCAGTACCAAAACCCCGCACAGAAGCTGACTACGGACCTCATCATGCGTCTTCTTGACACTCGGGTGCGCCTTGACCGCCTCCGCACACTCGCGGAATCGCGCAAACCCGGGCACCACCAGGCGGTCGACGAACCTCGCCCAACGGGTACTGGTCTCGTGCCGCGTGAGGTGGTCGTTCCGGAACAGGAACGGCGCGATGGCGACGTTCGCGAGCGTAAGCCCGTCCCCGGCCGCGAACTTGCTTGTCCCCAAGGGCGCCTGCAGGCGCGCGTACACGTCGAGGATAACGTCGATGGGCCCGGTGCCCATCGACGCGGCGTGGAACGCGGTCTCCCCTGAGGACTCCCACTCGTTGACGAAGACCCGCATGCGCGCGCGCGCGATCGGATCGGTGAGGACGAGGCCTGCGGAGGGGTACTCCTCGGCGATGAGCGCCGCGACGACGAGGGACTCGGGATCTTCTCAGACTCGAGTGAGGGCTCGTCGGGAGGGCCTCGGTCGCTTCCAGTACGATGACAACGCGGCGGTGGATGTAGGGGGAGTACTGCAAGACGTATCAGCCCGAGGAGAAGCAATGAGAAGAGCGTCCAGAACTCACCGAGAGGCTGTGGAGGGCGATTCGCTCAGGCATGTTCGCCGTGTGCTTTCACAGTGTGGAAGACGGCGTGGTAGAGGGGTCTGACCATGCCACCACCGGTTGCTATCCCGGAAGCAGCCACTCCGTCCTCTTTGACACGGCCACTTGCGCTTTCCGCTGGTGGCGCCACGAGCACCTCGCCCAGCGCGCAGATACCCGCCGACCAGACAGCAGGAGTGAGCTGACGATTTCCAGCCACGAGCTGGTGTCGGTGACGCGGAGGAAGGTGGTTATCCAGACTGGCAACGGATGTGGTCAGTCCAAGCGGAGAGCAATGAGCGATGCAACGTACTTTTTGTGTAGGTGAGGGCGACGAGGAAGAGACTGAACGGTGGGGTGAGAGACGCGCATCCAAGATGGAGAAGCAGGTCGCGAGGATGATTCGGGGAGCAACGATCTTGAAGACCTGTGGCCGCATACTTAGTTCATGTTGAAGTACCGACGACACACCGAGAGAGCTACCATGAGGAATGGGTTGAAGACTGGGACTAGACAGTACACGGTTCTAGGTAGAAGGAACTGAGCTGACATCAGCGATTGGAACGCCTCAGTACGAGCGCATGATGCGTACGATATCGAGGCAACGCCACAATACATGTCAGCGTGCCATCAAGAGCGACTGCAAGGTAGACACTCACTTTCCTGTGCCAAAGGCGGCCACCTGAACGAAGAGCAGGAAGAAGACCGCGATGCGCAGGTTCTCCGCCCGCGGCTTGTGTGCCGCCGTCTGACGCAGCGCTGCCTTAACTTCGACCCACGTTGTGAGTGTCGGCGAAAATGCGACGTAGAAAAAGCCCTCAAGGGTGATCTCACGCAACACGAAGGCTACGCCAAATCCGAGGAAGAAGCTGAGCAGACGCGCGTGAGGCTGGTCGACGCGAAAAACGAAGGGTAGCGCGGCGGTAGATACTACCCATACGGTCAGCAAACGAAAACCACAGTAAAGGGAAAAGCGAACGCACGGAAAGACCCCGGCCTATGAGACGGAATACCGCTGAAATGCCCTTCTTGTAGCGTAGGTCGCCGTCCCAGGCGATGGCGACCACTAGAAATAGCGACCAGCCGCGGTTGTTATGCCATTGCGTGAGCAGAGACCGGTGTCAGTCATCAGGACGAGGACAGTTGAAAGCATGCACGAGGATGAAGATGGGTGTCATAAAGACCGGTTAGAGACGTACGCTGTCTCGTCGTCCGCGTACAGTTCGCGGAAGCGCTCTTCCGTGTCTTTGGCGATCTGGTCCACTACTTGAATTTTCGTCAAGTACTCCTGCAGGCTCGATGTGAGGACCAGGGTCGGATCGCCAGAAAGGCATGCAAACCGTACTTTCGAATGCGGGCGGTACGAGTGATCGGTGGTGTCGAGCCGGGCAAATGTAGCATCTGCTTGCCTTGCAAACGGGCGTGGCGTCCGATGTTGTGTTGGGAGGAGGGCGTGCGGGTGCTCCACAGCCCATACTTCCAGAGACGTGGCATATAGGACGCGTTCGGTATCGCAACAAGCTGTACAAAGACGAGAACACACCTTCCGTAAAGTCCTCGTCCTCTTCGTCATAGCACCACGTCTCCGCCTTTCTAGGAGTTGCTCCGCGCGCGTACATGGTAGAGGTTCCGTAGATCCGAAGGAAAAGGTCGCGCCTGGCTGATTGAATACCGAGTCGAAGTCGACCTACGCGAGGTTGTGAGTCGGATGGGGGTTGGAATTGAGGTTCGACTTCCGACCCTTTGGTGTACACCCAGTCAGCGCGCGCAGAACAGCACCAGAGACCTGCGTACCTTCTTCACGGCAAACACGCCTCGTATATCCCGCTTAGAAGCGCGATGTTCGCTCGCATGCAGAAGAACGAAGCAACAGCGACGTACCGATGAGTGCGACATGCCCTAGCCTGCTTTCCGTGGGGACATGCGCAGGCGAGATACCCGATGCCCCGCGCTCCTCGATGATGGACTTCAGGTGAGGAGCGACGATCTTCGGCGAGGCAAGAACAACGGGGAATCCGTGCTTCTCGAGAAGGAGGTCCGCGCGCAAGCCCTTCCCTGCGCCGCGATGTGAGATGGACAGGCAAAACGGGCCGCGCGCAGACTTACCGACCATGAGAACGAGGCGCTTGGCCTCCGCGGTCTTGAGCGAGTGCTGTTGCATTTCTTGGACGGCTGGAGTGGAGAAGTAGCAGTCGAAGACGGTGCCAGTGCAAACGAAGTGGAAGACGAGCCCGATGAGCAGGAGCCGCCACACGGGGCTGTATGTCGCCACGGCGGTTGTCGGTTCTATGCAGGCAGAGTCCTGCATGCGTGCTTGGAATGTGGGAGGTGAAGAGTGGAAGGCGGCGCGCGCGAGTGAGTGTTGCTGAGGGATGAGAGGCGCGCCTGCTTCGACCCCCAGCGGCCACGACGCGGCGCGTTCGCGCCTGTTCTCGCGCGCCGCGCGTTGTGTGGCGCGCTCTCTTGACTGGGCTCAACTTGTCCACCACCACCGCTAGCCGTCTTCGTGGACGCCGCACTCGGTCAGTATCAATTTTATCTTGACTACACGGTCTCTTATTAGCAGCCATGGAGGATGGCCGCAGTCTCTCGTCACCCACCCTGTTCGATCGACTTCAGTCGTGACTCTCCACCATGATGAAGGTAAACAAAGGTTTGCATTCAGACCCAGTCTTCCGACGTTGACATCATTCGCATCTTCCACCACAGATCCATGAGTCCTCGAATCATGTGTCGCGAGCGAGGAGCACTCTTCAAGTACTTGCTTCCTCATCAACGATTTCTCCTCCGCTCGCCCTAGGCCTTCTTCACCGTCTCCACCGCACCGCCTCTTCCTGTACCCACACCGCTGTCGCGTCTGCAACCACGATACCCGCTGTGACCGCGTCCGCGCCCTCCAACGGGTCTCGCCCCGCCGGTGACGTCTCCCCCTAGGCCTATACCGCCGCGTATACACCCACGTTAGCGTCCTCCATCGCTGGTGACGTCCTCGCCTCTGCCTCATATTCCCGCGCTCATTCACACGCTCGCGGCGGCGCGGGGCACGCTGCGAGGGCTCGCGACAGCTCCTGCGTCGGCCGAGCTTGGCGAAGGCGCACGAACAGTGGGGACGCGTCGGACGACAAGAAGGAGGGCGACGTCGTGCGTTCGTCGGAGCTCGACAACACCCTCCCGGCTAATTGTCACCGGGAGGGGGGCGAGTGGCGCCGCGGCGGTGGATGCCGCGCTGGAGAAGGGCGCGAAGGGGTATGTGATGCTCACGCGCGACGACAAGATGACAGTGTGGGCGTGGGTCGTACAGTGGATCGCTGTGATCAACGCGCTCATTCCCGAAGTCTCTTCCCTATCCACCCGCTCGGATTTCGCCATTCCAGTCCCGGCTTTCGTTATCGACTCCGAGCTCTTCCCTCCCGACCCCAATGGAAACCAGTGTTCAACGCGCGCGCATACGTGCAGATAAACAGGCCTCGGGTTGACGACTGTATCGACCACCACGTGGGTGTTCTAGTCTCTTCTCTTCTCTCTCTTCTCCTCCCTCACACCTCGCCGACCGCCCAGCTGTGGATTCGTTGCCTGCACCAAGTTCTCCCGTTACCGCTCCCGTCGGAACGCAGATCGCACCCGGCGTGGCATGCACGCTCGTCAAGCCGTACGTGTATGCCAGCTGCGGCAGTGGCTCGGTCTACTCCGTCGACAAGCCGCCCTCCGTCATCCGCAAGCTCATCCACTTCCCCTCCACCTCCAACCCAATAACCACCAGGCTCCGCTCCAACACCCGAACGTCCGCGGCTGCCCCAGTATGCCATGTTGCGACACCGCTCCCGTAATGGCGCAGTCGTTCGCCAATCCCCTCCCGATCGCTCTGCATCCGCATGCCGGCCGCCGGACAAGCGGGCTAGGAGAAAGTGAGGATATCACGGGCGAGTCCTTCTGCGCTGACCAGCTCATCCGGCGACAGCGCGCGCCGCCGCGGAGGCCGCTCGATGGCGAGCACCAAAAAGCCCAGTCAAGCATCCACGTCGTTGCCTGCTCGCCATATCCCCGGACCTGCTTTCGCCTATATTCTCTCTCTCTCGCATGCATCTGCAAGGAGTTCTCCGTTGCGGCACTCCAGGCCCTGTAGAAAGCCCTCGACCTCCCGAACATGGACGATGGGCACATCGAGAAGGACATCACCGCCGACCGGCGTGGACCGCTCTCAGTATTGGTGCGTTCCTTCGCCTGCCGCGAACACGTAGTCATGACCGCGGGCGGCGTTGGGTGGCTTTGTGGAGGCGCTCGAAGGGCGCTGGACGCTCGTCAGCGAGGTGCGCTCGTGGCCCGCTCTCCGTACATTTCGCGCCTTCTCGTCTCTCTCCCCCGATCTCTGTGGAGCAATTCAGCTGTTCACACTGCCGTCTGTTTTACCCTTGGCTTTCCTCGCCGAGGTCGGTTACTGACGCCTTCTGTCTCCGTACGCAGACTCTGTATTGACTCGACCCGAGCGTCCTCGCCTGTTTCCGGGTCCTCCACACCCTCCACCTCTTCCGCGCCTCGACATTGCCTAACCCGCAGTCCCCTCTGCTCGAGCTCCTGCTCCCACCTATCGCCCCACCAATCTCGCCCAACCCAAGCGCGCCATGGAACAGCCCCATTTCCATCTTCCTACTCGTCTTCGTCCGCCCGCGCGCTAAGGCGGGAGGACCTCTTGGCAGCTCCCGCACGCTTGCGTCGGCGGAGCGGGCGCCGCTCCCGCGCGTGCACGAGCATGCGCACCTCGAGCTCGGGGGTTGCAAGGCGCGGCCGACGTTTCGCGCCGTCCTTTTCCTCCCGGGCGCGGAGTGAGGCGTGTTCCCGAACCGGACGGTTGACGAGGGGCCGCAGTTGGAGTTTGTGGGCTGCGCGCCGTGCGCGTGAATGTGAGGACGCAGGCCTGCGGACGCTTGGGACCGCGCGCGGAGGGGATCTGGCGCTTCGCTTTGACCCTCCGCGTTCTTCGCGGTTCGGTGTCCCTCTCTGCGCCTTCGCTCCCTTCCGCGGCTGGCCACGTCCGCGAGCACTCTTCGCCCGCACGCAATAACATCAGGCCCACCTGCGCTCGCTTGCCGTCGCGTTCCTGCTCTCTGGGTGAGCAGAGGCATTCGGTTGTCTCCAGGACCTGATGCGAACTCTCGACAGGCCACTCAGGTACAATGCAGATGCGCGAGAAACCCTGCGCCCGCGCATTCACGCGGTTTTTCAGTCGCTACGCGGACGCCTTTCAGGATGACGACGTGCGTGAAGTGTCCTGTCACCTGATCCTGCAGTGCTGATGCATATACACGCCCTCGTCCTCCCCGGCTGATATCCAGCCCTCTTCGCTTCCAGTGCCCATAACAGGCTTTTCCCTGTTCGCTGTCGTTGAGCCTCGCCCAAGCCAAGCCTGGGATGACCCCGCGCGCCCGACAGATGGTCGAGGCGGAGGAGTACACTGAGGTGGGTGCAAAGTCCCCTCTTCCCTGGATGTCGATGTCACTGCGCAGAGCGCGCTTGCATGTGTGCGGCGGCGTCGCAGGCATACGCTCAGGGCAGGACGGTGTGCAGCGAATGCAAGCCCCGCGCGGCGGTGTGCAGGTGGACGACGGCCGCACGTCGTCCGCGTGTCCGCGCGGCGGGCGCGAGACCAGTCGCGCGCCCTCTGTGACGCCTCCCGACGCGACCGCTGTCACGAGCCGCCACGGACGGGGGAGTGGCGTACCCCAACGTCCCCATTCTGGGCGGGGGATGTCGGTGAGGGAGGCTCTACCAGAAACCCCTCGAAATGGGACCAGCCTCTTGAGGGACTGGATCCGCGTTCGCGGTCCCTGCCGTGCATGCACTCGCAGAACAACGATGGGAAGACCGCGGCGCCGCACGAGCCACTGGCACGTCCAATCCCCAGCTAATCGCCACATCCTGGTTTCAGATATCGCACTGCTCCATCCGGCGATCTGAGCGTCTAGAGCGTCGGCGACAGCGGGGACCGCTCCAGCCCCGACGGCGAACGCGCCCTGAGCGCCCGCATCCGCCGTTCGTCAGACTGGGAGCCTCCGCTCGCGGCCAGCCAGGTATATGCAGCGCTCGAGACGCGGTTGCCGAGCCCTCATCGAGAGGAAGCCAGGCCTGGAGCGGAGGGGGCAACACGTCCTTCTACTACATGGCGGTGATCACTGTTTGCTGTGTGCACGCTGTGCGATCTGCGATTCCCGCGTTCCCAGTATTAGTGGCATGCAGTGCCCACTGCGGCTGTCCGGCACAGAAATATAGCTTTCGCCGCGGTGCTTCCCACCACACGTATACATGTGCGCCTAATCCGCGACTCGACATCTCACACCGCGGTCCTGGCTTCGATGCTCAGGCCCCGTGATTTTCACGCATCGGACATGCGCACTCGCGTGTGGACTCGCAACGGGCCCAGAGAGCACGACTTGAAAACTTCGAGCGTCCAAGGCCCAAGTCGGTGTGGAAGGCACGAGGCTCGAGCTTCCAATTCTCGCGCACAGCTCTCTGACAATGGAGACGCCACTATAAGCAGTCCGAGGACGCGTGCGCCGATAGCCCATGCCTTCCCCCACAGACTCCCCCATGGCTCCTCCGCCGCGTCCCAGTCCCGGACAGCGACCCCTCGTCGCCAGCGAAGGCATCTCGGACGACGTGCTCGCCAACTCCATCACCATCCTTGAGGCCCTCAAGGATGCTGCAAGCGCTGTCGGGGTCGTCCCCTTCCTCGGCGGCATCATCGCCACTGCACTCGGAATCGCGAAGGCCGTCGAGGTGCGCATTCCTCACATTCGCTCGGCTGCGTCTGTGCCGTCCTCATCTCTCACGACAGCAATCGAGAGCGAACACAGACGCGTTCGTCTTTGTCGCTGAGCGCGCGGCCACCCTCGCCGAGTACGTTCAGGAGAAGACTCTGGGCTCGAACGGGGGGACGATCAGCACGGACATGCAGGTCATCCTGCAGGAGCTACACAGGTCGGTGCTTCCATCGTGCTCGTGGAACAGCTTGGTCATTCTCTCCGGACACAGCGCGCTTGTGAAAGTACAGCACACAGTCAATCGAGAGCTGCAGAGGGGGCGCATCCACCGTTTCTTTCGACGTGCAAAGCTTCGCGGTAAGGCGCAGGAATGCCTACAGAAGCTGGAAGATGCTTGGCACTCTTTTGACGTAGGTTGGTCTGGTCGAACCCGGCAATATGCTGAAGGAACGTCTACACAGAGCGCGATCCTGGTGCGACTCGAGCGCCAGGTTGAATCGCTTCAACGCCAGGGTGAATCCCTTCAAGGAAAAGTTGAATCGCTTAAGGGCCAGGTTGAATTGCAAGCTACATTCGAACCCGGGTGCTTAGTCAGTGCCTCCGCTCTTCCAACTACAGCGTTATTCTCACAGCTGCTGTCAGGTACGATACGTGCCATTGACAGATATACAGCGCACAGAAGCCCACACGAAGATACCGTACAGAACCAGGACCCACCACGGTTATCAATACAGCGCTATATTGGGTACTCGTCCGGTGACAGTGCGCACGTATGGTCACAAGCTCAAGGATGTATGTACCATGGTCCAGTCGATGCCTGATCCATCTCACCAATGGTCCTCGCACAGAACGTTTTCGAAAGCATCCAAATGTACTCTGAGAACAAGTATGTGCTCATCTATTTAGCAGTCCGATTGCGTTTCCGATGATGTATGCATAGTCACGAGTCCCACGAAACCTTCAACAACGTGATCGCTATGGCTTACCCTCATGCTGGAGTCCAATTCTATGTCCTTGACGGTAGTGTGCGCTTTCAGCTTTTATAATACGGCTACTAAATGTACGTTCAGGTCTACGAAGATCTATATTGACAGACTTTGACAGTAACGACCCTGTGGTTTGGATTGAGAAGCTTTGTCAGCATGTGAGCACTTCTCGTATCGTCAAAGGAAAGGTCGCTAAGAGCGGAAACGTTTCAGTTGGTCGATGCAGCTGTGAGCCCACATTCATCCGCAAAGTATCCGCATTAAAACTCCTCCAGAGCGCAGTTAAATTCGTTGAAGATCGGGCAATGCTCCCCCTGTATTCTGTAATTGTCTTTCTTTCCTCGCTCTTTCATACCTAAAATCTCAAATGTCTCACAGGACGAAACAGTGATTCCTGCACACAAGGGTCCCTGTTTACCTTCCGCCGGAATCGATTCGCATGGTCAGCTCATTTTTGATGTGCAAGATCTGGAGCACGGGAATGCATCCTGTCTATTCACATGCATCTATGGCCTATATTCAGAGGTAAAATCCTCCTTATGTTCATTATCCTGGAGTTCACTGATGCTTTGCTAAAGGCCCACAGAGACCATAGGCAGTACTTGCTTCCCGGTACAGACCGTCCTATTCCACCTCTGTTCCAGGCTCACATACCATCCGCAGACTCGGAGGCTCCAGTTTATCACAACTCGAGGCTCACTTTCGATGCTCTGGTACAGGCGTGCGACTATGTCTCTCGTTCTAATCTCTCTCGTCTCTGGGATTTCGTCGCCAGACAGATACCGCTCCACAGCCTAGAAATCGCTGACAACGATGCCAAGCCGGGCGACTATGGCTACATTACAAATCACCCCGACGGCCCCCGTTTCGCATACCTCGGAAATATCGATGATGTCTTCGAATCCTCAGTCGATATTGTGTATGAAGAGTGTCGGATTTATCACGACAAGTGTATGACCCCGTTAAAGCACTCAAATTGGTCAAAAAACGCAGTCGAGAGGTCAGGATTGTTCAGCCATCTGTTTAAAGCATCGTTTTTATCATCCCATCCTCTGCAGTGAGGAATTTACCATTGTCCCATCCCAGAACGACCCGGGTCGTTGGTGCATCGGCCAGGTTTTCCTATCCGGCATACCAGACGACACATACGACAAATTCTTCACCAACCACGCACTACGTCTGTCCCGCCTACATGGTATAGACCTATCGGATCTCTTTCTCGGTAAGCTCACTGGTTCCCCTGAATCACTCTGGTGCTGATGTTGCGACAGTCCAATGCCGCAATTATGGGGCGTGGGTGTGCACTGGCGAAGATCACACGCATGGTACACACAGTGCGTACGATGTGTGACATTTAACGTCATCCACGATCTCTTACAAGTGACTGTGGATACAGCAACGGCGTGGCTTCACAAGCAGCCACTTGACGAGCACGGTGTGCCCCACAAGCCGTGGGCGTACTGGTCCTTTGATGAGGAGCCAGTGCCCGTAGGACACCCGCCGCCAGACGTTCCACAGGGCCCTGGATGCTTCTGGGTGGAGTGCGTCATTTTCAGGGTTGCATGCGCGTGATACCCATGCTGATGCGAATCTGCGACAACTGCAGACCGCCAAGGTTGTATGCCAGCGGTCTCGGTCCGTTTCTTGCTCGAATGAACGTCATGCTGGCGGAGGCCAGCGAACGTGATCGGTGCGCTGGCACACACAGGAAAGCCGTGGACACTGACAAGATTGCGCCGCACACGGGGCACTCATGCACCGGAGAGAGCTCAGACGACGACGACGACGCGGGGTACCACACAGCTGCGAGTGAATAAGAAACAACATAGTAGTACTTCACAGATTCTACGCACACGCCACGCCAGTTGCTAGGCGGACCGAGAGATGTAGTCCTGCAGCGCTTCGAAATTGTATCAGGCACGAGTACCCAATATCCCATATCGCGCTCGCGGCCCACGAGCGCGCGCCGCAGGAGACGAGCGAGACGTGGCCCGGCGAGCGAGTTGAGCTCGCGAGGTCGGTGCGGGAAGGTCGAGGTCCGCGGGGGAGAGCCGGTCGGTCGGGATGCAGAGCGAGGTGAGCGTCCACGAGGGTATTAATTAGCACCAACGGCGCGCCGAAAGAGGTGGCCGGTGGACGAAAGAACGTGTACCCGAGCTCCTGGAACTCTGGTGGGATCGGAGGCGGGCACGCGTGAGGTGATAGCGAGGACAGGCGGTGGAGTCGACGTACGGGAGCGCGGGTCGTGTGCAATGTGCGCGAGTGGTTATCCGTCGTCGGCGACTTTGGGTGCGGGTGTCAGTGTGGCTTTAAGGAACGCGCGGGTTATCACAAATAGGAGAACGCACAGCAGTCAAGGTCGAGCATGCCTCGCAAACTGGCCACAGGTCTGTCTTCTGCGCCATGCCCACCCTCTTGAATCGGCGCATGCGCGTCATGAAAAAGAGACGCATTTCTTCTCAGGTGCCAGGATCGTGCCCGGAATCCGCACCGTCGACCCGACTAGTGGACTGACGCAGTCCAAGCGTGCCAGAAGATAGCAATCGGCACGATCTTGGTGTCTGTGCCGGCGCCGTCCGGGGACGGTGGCTCCAACGCACTGCCGTCCCAGCGCGCAGTCCGGGTGCGAGCTGCGTCCACAGCCTGGCGCGGTGCGATCGCTCAGCGAGAACGGGGCGGAGCACACGAAGCGCAGCTGAAACGCACCGAGCCCGCCGTCTTCTGTAGCGCGAAGGCGATGGTGCGGCGCGCGTCGGCCTTGCCGCCACCCGCAGTCATCCGCGCCGCTACGGTGATAGGCCCGAGCGCGTTGAGATTGACGGTGTCGGCTAGACGACGGGCAAGCATTCGGGGGAGTCCAGGCTGCGGGGGGAGCACACGCGAGGAAGCGGGGCAGCATTTGGGGATGAAGTCAGAGTACGCAGTTGGCGGGCGGGACACGGCAGTGGATGCGTACGCGGTCATCATCAAGGTTGCGTACACTGCACGGGTGCGGCACGGAGCGAGGATGGGATGGATGAGCGGCGGGGACGGGAAGGTGGAATGGCGGGTACGCGTACGCTTGGTCCCCGGTAAGTCAAATGAGGCGAAAACGAGTTCTCGTGGGCGGATGATTGCCTAGAACGCATCTGAGCGCGATGGGGAGATGCCACAGGAGACCGTCTCGCCAGATGGGGCGTTCAAACGGGCATTGATCAGGAAAGGGAGTGGTTGGGGGTGGAATGCGGTCCCAGCCTTGTCATCATGCGAAGCCTTCAGTTCGGGCCGTCCCTCCCGCTCCCCTTCCCTCGAGCGCTCACGGCGGAGGCGCGCCCCATGCGCTCTCCGTCCCTGCCTCCTCACCCGCCCTCTGCTCTGAACATGGCCACTGTAAATACGGCCGCTGCTCCCTCGCACCCCGCATCTTCTCCGCTGGAATGGTGCGCGACGCCCTGTGAGTCCTGCTCTGTCTTTTCCCCTCGCTGTATGCGCTCCTCCTCCTTTCCACTCAGGCCCCGTGCTTACGCCGGGCCGCTGTAGCTTCCACGAAGCTCCGTCCGAATAACCCTGCATGCAGCTCCTTCCTGAGCCCTCGAAAATCTCCGCGCCCGTCACGCTCTTCCTCACGGGCCAAACTTTCGTCGCCGCCTCCACTGACGCGCTCGCGGAATGATCGGCCTACTTCGGCATTCCCCATCATGGACCACCGCAGCAGGAACTTCTCCTTCAACGCCCTCCGAGACGCCATGTGCATCGGGAGCACTCTGCCGTTCGCCACTACTTCGCTCCGGTGCGTTCTCCCCCCGCGTGTTCCGCGAACGTCTGACGCCCTTACGCGCTCACTGCACTTACGAGCACCCCGCGGGCCTACTCTCCACGCTCTACGTACAACTGCGCGATCCCCCTCTTGGAGCACGCTGTGCTGGGTACGACGTCAAGCATGCCCTCGTCCGTCCAGCCCGGCGCTGTGCAGGCCCCAGACCGTCGCGGCCCACAAGCGTGCGGCGCAGCGGACGAGAGAGTCGCTGCTGGCGAACGAGTTGAGCGAGATCGAGCTCTCGAGGTCCGCGGCGGGCGGGATCCTCAATCGGCCGGTTGGGGCGCAGGGCGAGGTGCGCCGCGTCAGCGAGGGTTTCGTTGGAGACGAGCGTCACGCCGAAGGAGGAAGCATTGTGCAGGGATGGGGCGAACTAATCCAAACCTAGTATACAGCGACGGGGAACGGACAACCACGGCGGGGAGCAAACATAAATGTCTACACCGCTGTGAGCAGTCGGAAAGACTGATCTGAGGGGAAAAGGGAACTTGACTCACGACTCATACGGCGCCGATGGGCCTGCCAAGGCTACCCGTATCTGACGACCTCGCGATGAAGCTGCCGCTATTCGGGTTGGTCATGCTTTGAAGGCTTGCATCTGGGCCGATGCGCCTGATGTGTCCGACGCTGTGGGCGTGCCGGTGCCGCTACTCTCGTTCGTCGTAGCCGACGAGGTGGGCGTCGTCACCGACTGGCTGTCCCCAGGGTTCGCCGCCGTCGACGACGTCAGGGCGTTGGTGTGGCCCTGGTTGACCGTGACGCCGACGGCGCCGCCCACGACGGCAGCGACGAGAAAGATCAGCAGTCACTTGCGGGTCTTGTACCACGGCCGTGCGGGGGCGGGGTACGCCGTGCCCGCGTGCCCGTCCTCCGCCTTCGCGGCCTCGAGCTTGGCGGGGCGCGCGCACGAGCCTTCGTATCCTTCCCGCGGGCGTGCGCGGGGAGCACGGCCAGCGTTCCGCCTTCAGGGGTAAAGACCCCGCGCTGGGACGGCTGGGACGGTGGAGACGGAGATAGGGGAGTCGACGTATGCGCTAGTTTCCTTCCCAGCCGTCTCCCGTCGACCCGGGTTTGCCTGCCCACCATCCCTCCCCGTGACCCATACGCTTCACAGTGGGCGATGAGTGTACCCAGCCTGAAAGCAAAGAGACGTCAGCGGGGGAGAGACGGTGGGCATACAGTTGGGGACACTTACCACCATGCTCTGCAAGGCTGCACCAACGACCGCTCCTTGGATCAGAGACCTGCCCCCCGATCCTGAGTGGCTATTCCCGTAGAACGTGACGGGGGACCGCTGCTTCACAAAGAAAGCGGCGGTGACGGATGCCGCGGCGATGTGGATTGGCAGACCGCTTGCAGTGCCTGGTGAGCGTGGCCATCCGTCGTCGGCGCCTCCTGTTTTAATCACGTCTGAGGTACGGGAGCCGCGTGAACAGCCTACAAGCCGCGCTATACACGATCAGTATCACCACCTCGCACAGAAGCCGACTACGGACCTCATCATACGTCTTCTTGACGCTCGGGTGCGCTTTGACCGCCTCCGCATACTCGCGGAACGGCGCAAACCCGGGCACCACCAGGCGGTCGACGAACCGAGCACAACGGGTACTTGTCTCGTGCCGCATGAGGTACTCGTTACGGAGCAGGAGCGGCGCGACGGCGACGTCTTACTTGCCCTCAAGGGCGCCTGCAGGCGCGCGTACACGTCGACGGGCCCGGTGCCCATCGGCGTGGCGGGGAACGCGGCCTCCCCTGAGGACGAGGCCTGCGGAGGGGTACTCCTCGGCGACGATCGCCGCGACGACGAGCGACTCGGGATCTTCTTAGACTCGGGCGAGGGCTCGTCGGGAGGGACTCAGTCGCTTCCAGTACGATGACAACGCGGCGGTGGACGCAGGGGGAGTACTGCAAGACGCATCAGCCCGAGGTGAAGCAATGAGAAGAGCGTCCAGAACTCACCGAACGGCTGTAGAGGGCGATTCGCTCAGGCATGTTGACGTGGCAGAGGGGTCTGACCATGGCGCGAAGCCACCTCCGGTCGCTAGCCCGAACGTAGCTACTCCGTCCTCTTTGAAACGGCCACTTGCGCTTTCCGCTGGTGGCGCCACGAGCACCTCGCCCAGCGCGCAGATACCCGCCGACTAGATAGCAGGAGTGAGCTGACGATATCCAGCCACGAGCTGGTGTCGGTGACGCGGCGGAAGAAGGTGATCGTCATGACTGGAAACGGATGTGGACAGGCTAATCCGAGAGCAATGAGCGATGCAACGTACTTTTTGTGTAGGTGAGGGCGACGAGGAAGAGACTGAACGGTGGGGGTGAGAGGCGCGCGTTCGAGATGGAGAAGCAGGTCGCGAGGATGATTCGGGGAGCAACGATCTTGAAGACCTGTGGCCGCATACTTAGTTCATGTTGAAGTACCGACGACACACCAAGAGCGCTACCATGAGGAATGGGTCGAGGACTGGGACTAGACAGTACACGGTTCTAGGTGAAAGGAACTGAACTGACATCAGTGATTGGAACGCCTCAGTACGAGCGCATGATGCGTACGATATCAGAGCAACGCTACAATACATGTCAGCATGCGATCAAGAGAGACTGTAAGGTGGACACTCACTTTCCTGCGCCAAAGGCGGCCACCTGAACGAAGAGCAGGAAGAAGACCGCGATGCGCAGGTCCTCCGCCCGCGGCTTGTGTGCCGCCGTCTGACGCAGCGCTGCCTTAACTTCGACCCACGTTGTGAGTGTCAGCGAAAATGCGACGTAGACCAAGTCCTCCGCAGCGATCGCCAGCCACACGAAGGCTCTGCCAAATCCGAGGAAAAAGCTGAGTAGACGCGCGTGAGGCTGGCTCCGCCGACGCGAAAAACGAAGGGTAGCGCGGCGGTAGATACTACCCATACGGTCAGCAAACGAAATTCACAGTAAAGGGGGCAAGCAAACGCACGGAAAAGACCCAGGCCTATGAAACGGAACACAGGATGAAACGCCTTTCTTGTGGCGATGATGACCACTAGAAATAGCGACCAGCTGAGGTTGTTAAGCTGTTCCATGAGCAGAGACCGACGTCAGTCATCGGAACGAGTACAGTTGAAAGCACGCACGAGGATGAAGATGGTTGTCCCGAAGACCGGGTGCAGACATACGCCGTCTTGTTGTCCGCGTACAGTTCGCGGAAGGGCTCTTCCGTGTGTCTGGCGATCTGGTCCACTACTTGAATGTTCGTCAAGTACTCCTGCAGGCTCGATGTGAGGACCAGGGGCGGATCGCCAGAAAGGCATGCAAACCGTACTCTTGAATGAGGGCGGTACGAGTGACCGGTGGTGTCGAGCCGGGGCAAATGTAGCGTCTGCTTGCCTTGCAAACGGGCGTGGCGTCCGATGTTGTGTTGGGAGGAGGGCGTGCGGGTGCTCCATAACCCAGACCTCCAGAGACGTGGCATCTAGGACGCGTTCGGTATCGCAACAAGTTGTACGAAGACGAGAACACACCTTCCGTAAAGTCCATAGGACCACATCTCCACCTTACAAGAAGTCGCTCCGCGCGCGAAAATTGGCAGAATTCTCGGAGGGCCGAAGCAAAAGGTCGCGCCTGGTTGATTTAAAACCGAGTCGAAGTCGACCTACGCGAGGTTGTGAGTCGGATGGGCCCTTTGGTGTACAGCCAGTCAGCGCGCGCAGAACAGCAACAGAGACCTGCGTACCTTCTTCACGGCAAACACGCCCTCGTATATCCCGCCTAGAAGCGCGATGTTCGATCGCATGCAGAAGAACGAAGCAATGGTGACATACCGATGAGTGCGACAGAGACATGCGCAGGCGAGATACCCGATGCCCCGCGCTCCTCGATGATGGGCCTCAGGTGAGGAGCGACGGTATTCGGTGAGGCAGGAACCACGGGGAGTCCGTTCTTCTCGAGAAGGAGGTCCGCGCGCAAGCCCTTCCCTGCGCCGCGATGTGAGATGGAGAGGCAAAACGGGCCGCGCGCAGACTTACCGACCATGAGAACGAGCCGCTTGGCCTCCGCAGTCTTGAGCGAGTATCTTGGACGGGTGGAGTGGAGAAGTAGCAGTCGAAGACGGTGCCAGTGCAGACGAGATGGAAGACGAGCCCAATGAGCAGGAGCCGCCACACGGGGCTGTATGTCGCCACGGCGGCTGTCGGTTCTATGCAGGCAGAGTCCTGCATGCGTGCTCGGAATGTGGGAGGTGAAGAGTGGAAGGCGGCCCGCGCGAGTGAGTGTTGTTGAGGGATGAGAGGCGCGCCTCCCCCAAGTCCTTCCTCTCCCGCTCCCGTCGGACCTCAGCGTGCCACGCTCGTCAATGCCGGCTGAGGCAGCGGCCCGGTCTACTCCGTCAACGAGCCGCCCTCCGTCGTCCGCAAGCTCATCCACTTCCCCTCCACCTCCAACCGACTTGCCACCAAGCTCCACTGCAAAATCCGAACGTCCGCGGCTGCCCCAGTACGCCGTGTCGCGACTTCGCTCTCGTATTGGCGCAGTCGTTCGCCGACCCCCGCCCCATCGCTCTGCATCCGCATACCAGCCGCCGGGCAAGCGGGCTAGGAGGAGGTGAGGATATCGCGAGCGAGTCCTTCTGCGCCGACCGCTCATCTGGCGACAGCGCGTCAGCACGCCCCCCGCTGCGGAGGCCGCTCGAGGGCGGGCACCGAAAACGACACTCAAGCATCGCCATCGTTGCCTAGCCGCCATATCTCCGGACCTGCTTTCGCCCATGCAACTGCTCTCCCCCGCACACACCTGCAAGGAGCTCCCCACTGCAGCACCTCATGCCCTGTACAAAGCTTTCGACCCCCGGAACACGGACGACGAGCGCATCGAGAAGGCCATCGCCCTGCTCGCCGGGCGGAGACAGCTCGCGTTCCTTCGCCTGCCGCGAACGCGCAGCCATGTCCGCGGGCGGCGTTGGGTGACGTTTTGAGAAGCTGGAAGGGCGCTGAATGCTCGCCGACGAGGTACGCTCGCGTCCCGCTCTCTGTGCATTCGCGCGTTCTTATCTATCTCTCCAGATCTCTGTGCAGCATCCCAGCTGTCCACACTGCCTTCTGTTTTCCCCTTGGCTGTTCTCGCGCGAAGTCGGGTGCTCACGTCTTCTTTCTCCCCACGCAGACTCTGTATCGACCCATCCAGAGCGTCCTCGCCTGCTCCCGGGTCCTCCGTAGCCAACGCCTCTTCCGCGACGCGACCCTGCCTACCCCGCCGTCCCCTCTGCTCTCGCACCCGCTCCCGCCCATCACCCCGCCTGTCTCGTTGAGCCCAAGCGCGCCATGGAATTGCCGCATTCTAATCTTCCTACCTGTTCTCGTCCGCCCGCCCGCCGCCACGGGAATACCTCTGGGACGCGCCCGCGCGCTCGCGTCGGCGGGGCGCACGCCGCTCCCGCGCGTGCACGAGCATGCGCACCTAGCGTTCGGGAGGTGGGAGGTGGGGCCGACGCTTCGCGCCGTCATTTTCCTCCCGGGCGCGGAGTGGGGCGTGTTCCCGAACCAAACTGTTGGCGGGGGGCCGCAGTTGGGGTTTGTGGGCTGCGCTCCATGCGCGTGAATGTGAGGGTGCAGGCCCGCGGATGCTTGGGATCACGCGCGGAGGGGATTCGGCACTTCGATCCCTCTGAGTTCTTCGCGGTTTGGTGTCCCTCTCTGCGCCTTTACTCCTTCCACAGCTGGAAACACATCCGCGCTCTCCAAACGCGCTCCCCGCCCGCACGCAATGACATCGGGTCATCCTGCGCTCGCTTGCCGTCGCGCTCCTGCCCCCTGGGTCAGCCTAGGCATTCGGTTGTCTCCAGGACCTGATGCGAACTCTCGACAGGCCGCTCAGGTACAATGCAGTTGCGTCAGAAACTCTGCGCCCGCGCGTTAACGCAGTAGCTCCGTCGCTACGTGGGCGCCTTTGAGGATTACGACGTGCGTGAAGTGTTCTTTCAGCGGATCCTACAGTGCTAATGCATATACATACCATCCCTCCGCTGATCTCCAGCTCCCCTCGCGTTCAGCTCCCGGCTCAGGCTTTCCTCCGTCCACTGTCGTTGGGCCTCGCCCAAGCCACGCTGTTCTAGCTCTAGCGCTCCGACCGGGATGACCCCGCGCACCCGACATCGGATGGTCGGGGTAGACGACTACACCAACGCGGGTGCAAAGAGCTCCCCTCTTCCAAGTTCCATGCGTATCGATGTCGCTGTGCAGAGCGCGCGTGCATGTGTGCGGCAGCGTCGCAGGCACGCGCTCAGGGCAGGAGGGTGCGCAGCGAACGCGAGCCCCGCGCGACGGCGTGCAGGTGGACGTTGCCCACACGTCGTCCGCGTGTTCGCGCGGCGGGCGCGGGACCAGTCGCGCGCCCTCGGGACGCCTCCCGACGCGACCGCCGTCGCGACCCGCCACGGATGGGGGAGCGGCATACCCCAACGGCCCCGTTCTGGGCGGGGATGTCGATGCGGGAGGCCCCTGACAAAAGCCCATCGACATGGACCAGCCGCTTGAGGGATCGCGGACGACGAACTTGCGGCTGGCCAATGATCGAATCGATCGAGCCTAATACTCCCGATCCATCCGCGTTCGCGGTCCCTGCCGTGCATGCACTCGCGGAACAGCGAATTGAAGACCGCTCTGCGCCGGCTACTGGTGTGTCCAATCCCCAGCTGGTCGCCGCATGCTGTTTTCAGAAATCGCACTGCTCTATCCGACGATCCGGTCAGCCTGGGCTTGAGCGTCTAGAGCCTCGGCGACGGCGCGGTGGGGCGCTACTCTGGTATCTCCGCCCCAACCCCACACCACCCGACGGCGAACGCGCCCTGAGGCCTGCCCACATCATCTCCGTAGTTCATCAGACTGGGAGCCTCGGTCCAAGTATATGCGGCCCTCAAGACACAATTACCGAGCCTTCATCGACAGGAGGCCTTAGAGCGGAGCCTCGTGGCCCCCGCGAAACACGTCCCTCTACGACATAGCTGTGATCATTTATTCATATTGCGCACATTTCGTACGTGCTGTGCTCCAAGTTGTGGGGAAGTAAAACGCGCGTGCCCGTTATCGGTGGCGTGCAGTCCCTGCCCACGGCTGCTAGCGCTGACCGACACCGACTGCATGCAGTGGCTTTCGCCAGTGCCTCCCACCACACGAATATACGCGCGCCCAATCCGCGCCGCGACGTCTCGTTGAGCCTGCACGGCCGCGGACAGACGGCGGTCCTGGCTTCCATGCTCGCTTTGAAGTCTGGACGCACAGCCTGCACGCGGCAGACGTGCGCATTGTGCGTGCACACTCTCGTGTGGACTCGCAACGCAGCGAGCACGGCCTGGAAACTCCGCCGACGAGCGTCCTAGGCCCAAGCCGGTGCGGAACACACGAGGCTCGAGCTTCCAATTCTCGCGCACAGGTCTCTGACAATGTAGACACTACTATAAGTACGCCGAGGACGCATGCGCTGATAGCCCATGGTTTCTCTCTCACTCACAGCTCTCATCATGGCTCCCCGTCTCGGTTGCGGACAGCGGCCCCTCGTCACCAGAAGCGCTGCGGACGACGTGCTCGCAAACTCGATCACTATCCTAGAAGCCCTCAAGGATGCTGCAAGCGCTGTCGGGGCCGTCCCCTTCCTCGGCGGCATCGTCGCCACCGCACTCGGGATCGCGAAGGCCGTCGAGGTGCGCATTCCTCACATCCGCCCGCCTGCGTCTGCGCCGTCCTAATCTCTCACGACAGCAATCGAGAGCGAACACAGACGCGTTCGTCTCTGTCGCTGAGCGCGCGGCCACCCTCGCCGAGTACGTTCAGAAGAAGACTCTGGGCTTGAACGGGGGGACGATCGGTGTGGACATGCAGGTCATCTTGCTGGAGCTACATAGGTGGGTGGTTTCATCGTGCTCGTGGAACGGCTCAGTCACCGGATCGGGATGTAGCGCTCTGGTGAAGGTGCAAGACGCAGTCAAGCGAGAGCTGGAGAAGGGGCGCTTCAATCGTTTCTTCCGACGGGCAAAGCTTCGCGGGAAGGCGCAGGAATGCCTACTGAAGCTGGACGATGCGTGGCGTTCGTTTGACGTAGGTGTGGTCTGGTCGAACCCAGCAAAATGCTGACGGAACGTCCACACAGACCGCGATCCTGGTGCGACTGGAGCGCCAGGTTGAATTGCTTAAGAGCCAGGTTGAATCGCAAGCTCCATTCGAACCCGGCTCCTTGGTCAGTGCCTCCGCTCTGCCGACCACGGCGTTATTCTCACAGATGCTGTCAGGTACGATACGTGCCGTTGACAGATATCCAGCGCACAGAAGCCCACACGAAGATCCCGTACAGAACCAGGACCCACCACGGTTATCAATACAGCGCTATATTGGGTACTCGTCCGGTGACAGTGCGCACGTATGGTCACAAGCTCAAGGATGTACGTACCATGGTCCAGTCGATGCCTGATCCTTCTTACCGATGGTTTCGCACAGAACGTTTTCGAAAGCATTCAAATATACTCTGAGAACAAGTATGTGCTCATCTATTTAGCAGTACGATTGCGTTTCCGATGAAGTATGCATAGCCATGAGTACCACGAAACCTTCAGCAATGTGATCGCTATGGCTCGCCCTCAGGCCGGAACCCAATTCTATATCCTTGACGGTAGTGTTCCCTTTCTGCCTTAATCATGCAGCTACCAAATGTATTTTCAGGTACACGACACTCCATATTGGCAGACTTCGACAGTAAGGACCCCGTGATTTGGGTTCAGAAGCTTTTTCAGCATGTGAGCACTTCTCGTATCGTCAAAGGAAAGGTCGCTAAGAGCGGAAACGTCCCAGTTGGTCGATGCAGCTGTAAGCCCACATTCATCAGCAAAGTATCCGCATTAAAACTCCTCCAGAGCGCAGTTAAATTCGTTGAAGATCGGGCACTGCTCCCCCTATTATCTGTAATTGTCTCTCTTTCCTCGCTCTTTCAAACCTAACATCTCAAATGTCTCACAGTTAGAAACAGTGATTTCACATAAGGGGCCCTGCTTACCTTCTGCCGGAATTGATTCGCATGGTCAGCTCGTTTTTGATGTGCAAGACCTGGAGCGTGGAAATGCATCCTGTCTAATTGCATGCATCTCTGGCCTATATTCAGAGGTAAAATCCTCCTTATGTTCATTCTCATTGCATTTACTGATGCTTGGCTAAAGGCCCACAGAGACCATAGGCACCACTTCCTTCCCGGTACGGACTGTCTTATTACACCTCCGTTCCACACTCATACGCCATCCGCAGAGGGTCCAGTTATTCACAACACGGCGCTCACTTTCGATGCTCTGGTACAGGCGCGCGACGACCATGCCTTTCGTTCCAATTCCTCTCGTCTCTGGGATTTCGTCGCCAGACAGATACCGCTCCACAGCCTAGAAATCGCTGATAACAATGCCAAGCCGGGCGACTATGGCTACATTACAAATCACCCCGACGGCCCCCGTTTCACGTACCTTGGTAACATCAATGAGGTCTCCGAATCCTCAGGCGATATGGTGCACTACGAGCGTCGGATTTTTCGCGACACGCGTCCGACCCGGTGGAAGCTCTCCACTTGGTCAAACAACGCAGTCGAGAGGTCAGGATTGTTCAGCCATCTGTTTAAAGCATCGTTTTTATCATCCCATCCTCGGCAGTGGGGAATTTACCATCGTTCCATCCCAGAACGACCCGGGTCGTTGGTGCATCGGCCAACAAATCCTTTCCGGCATATCAGACGACACATCCGACAAATTCTTCACCGACCACGCACTACGTCTGTCCCGCCTACATGGTATAGACCTATCGGATCTCTTTCTCGGTAAGCTCACTGGTTCACCTGAATCACTCTGGTGCTGATGTTGCGACAGTCAATTGCCGCGATTATGGGGCGGGGGCGTGCACTGGCGAAGATCACACACACGGTACACACAGTGCGTACGACGTGTGACATTTAACGTCATCCACGATCACTTACAAGTGACTGTGGATACAGCAACGGCGTGGCTTCACAAGCAGCCACTTGACGAACACGGTGTGCCCCACGAGCCGTGGGCGTACTGGTCCTTTGATGAGGAGCCAGTGCGCGTAGGACACCCGCCGCCAGACGTTCCACAGGGCCCTGGATGCTTCCGAGTGGAGTATGTCGTTTCCAGGGTTGGATGCGCGTGATACCCATGCTGATGGGAATCTGCGACAACTGCAGACCGCCAAGGCTGTGGGCCAGGGGTCTCGGTCCGTTTATTGCTCGAATGAACGTCATGCTGGCGGAGGCCAGCAAACGTGATCGGTGCGCCGGCACACACAGGAAAGCCATAGACACTAACAAGATTGCGCCGCGCACGGGGCACTCATGCACCGGAGAGAGCTCAGACGACGACGACGACGCGGGGTACCACACAGCTGCGAGTGAATAAGAAACAACATAGTAGTACTTCCCAGATTCTACGTACACGCCACGCCAGTTTCTAGGTGGACCGAGATATGTAGTCCTGCAGCGCTTCGAAATTGTATCAGGCACGAGTACCCAATATCCCATATCGCGCTCGCGTCCGACGCGTTCCCGTGCCCACTCTCGCACTCCACCTACGCTTCGGCCTCGGCCCGCGCTCGGAGAATGCGCGCTCTCACACTGCGTGCGAGGAAGTGCGTGAACTGCGCGATCGCCTTCTCGGGGCACGCCACGCCGGGCACGACATCCTAAGACGGTCGCGGCCCACGAGCGCGCGCCACAGGAGACGAGCGAGACGTGGCCCGGCGAGCGAGTTGAGCTCGCGAGGTCGGTGCGGGAAGGTCGAGGTCCGCGGGGGAGAGTCGGTCGGTTGGGATGCAGAGCGAGGTGGGCATCGACGAGGGCGTCCCGAGTTGGCACAGCAGCGCCCCGACAGAGGTGGCTGGTGAAGCAAACAGCTTGTGCCCAGCCCACGGAACTGTGGTGGGATCAGAGGAGGTCACGCGTCAGTTGGTTTTGATGGCGAGGACAGGCTGTGGAGCCGACGTACGGAGGCGCAGGTATTGTGCAATGTCTGCGAGTGGCTATCAGTCGTCGGCGACTGTGCGGGTGTCAGCGCGAATGCCTCTGAGGAACGCGAGATAAGGGGATGAACGGGTGATTAGAAACAGGAGCAAGTACAGCTGCAGCCAAGGCCGAGCGTGCCTCGCAAATTGGCCACCGGGGTGACTTCTGCAGAACGCCCAGCACGCCCCCCTCGATTCGGCGCATGCAGGGCGCCGCGCATCATCGTCTCGTTGGTGCCAGGGTCGTTCCGGGATCTACACTGTCGACCCGTCTAGCGAACTGGTGCAGTAAAGTCGACCGCAATGAAGAAGAAGCATGCACAGATGTAGGGGGACGAATATGCCAGGACGAGCAAGAGAAGGCATGGAATTTGGATGAAGGATTGGCAACTTACAGATAGATAGCTAGTTCGCACCTTTACCGTGCGTCTCCCGCTCCTGACGTTTTTGCCCCTACCGTCACTTTCGACCGTCTTCCCTAGAAAAGCTGTCCCTTGGTGCCCCGCCTCCGCGTTGCCACTCGACTTGTCCAACACCCGGCGCTCCCGTGCCGTCGACCGTAACAGCTTGCACGTCGCCGAGTTCCATTGTTGGGTTGATAACCGGAGTCAGTGATGCGATATAGTCTCATAGAAGCTCGAGAAAAGAATGGGAAACGCCAGGGGAGTCGGTGGAGAGGAGGAGGAGGAGGTTGGTGACTTCAGCCCCTCCAGCAGTGCCGCAACACCACTAGAAGCGCCGAGGAATCCTACTTAGACCGACCGGTCCAGTGCTCGCCGACACCGTCCGATCCACCCTGTAGGTATCCCTCGGTGGAGAGAGACAAGAATGCGTATGATAGGCGCCTGAAAATTTCTGGCCTCCGGAGTCCGGAGTCCGCGAGC